CATGTGCTGAAACACAGGCAATCTGCTTGAATGAATGAGAAATTAAAATCTGAATGAATTGTTCAGAGATTTGAACGAATACTTTAGAAAAATAAATAATTCTCTCTCAATAACTGAGCCAAAACGGATGAGAAAAAAACTCTTATTGTCCAGTTGTTGTATGTTGTATTAGGCTGTTTTACAGGTTGTGTAAATCTGTCCAGGAGTAACAAAACAGAAAGGAAAAACTTAAAATGCATTACAGAATAGCACTCAAAGATATACCTAAAAGTTTTTGAGGTTCATGTTCGTGAGGAAGAAGACAGAAGTGAGCTGGGGGTGGGGGAGCAGGTTGAACCTGGCTCCTTCCATTCACAAAACCAGCAGCTGTGAGCTGGGACGCTGCAGCGAGCACAGGAAAGTGACTGATGCCTGCCCAAAAAGTAGATAGATTTGTCACACTAAGCTATTTGAAATTCACTAAAGCGCTCTGAAAGGTATGTGGCATAGTGTGGTATGATGTTACAACTATGGCTGCCATCAAATGTGAACATCTTCTTATTTAAAAAAAAAAAAAAAAGAGTTGACAGCACTTTCTTTGCATGTGTTTCCTGTCTGACTGTCCTCCTTATAGTGACCACCACCACCCCGTCTCCAGGTGTGAGTCACGCCAGGCGCTGTAACGACTCGGAGAAGGCCTACTGCGTCAACGGGGGAGACTGTTACTTCATACATGGTATTAACCAGCTGTCCTGCAAGTAAGTTGATTGCTCAGCCGCCCCCCCCGTCCCCTCAGTCATCACTGTGTAGTCGCTCCCCCCGTCTCTCCTCCCTCCCTCTCTCTGCCTGTCTGCCTCTCTCTGTCTCTCTGGTCTCAGACACCGTGTCGCTGGTCACTGCACTACCTTGTCTTCTGTTCCCTCGTTGTATCCTCCCCACATACATGCACTGGCAGCCCACCTAGCCGCTCTCTATGAACTATGTTTTTGCCAGTTGTTTCAAAAGATAAGGTTTATATTTGTTGCATAGAGCAGTTGGCTTAAACAGATCTTGACTTGGACATTCTGTCCACGTGCATTCGAAATGTGTTGTGTCTTGCTGCAAGAGGATCATTTTAGTTTACAATGAGTGAGTTTTACTTGGGACAGCAACACCTCAGAAAATGCTTCTGGTAACAGAAAATCATGAAATAATGGAAAGTATTACAAAGGTATTGTAAAGGAATTAACAGGTTAAACTATTGTGTGTTTGCATTTTAAACTACATTTATAATATTACCATATGCATTTATTTAATTAACAATGAAAATACTCAGCCCAACTATTGCAGATGAAATGCAAATTACAGCAAAACCCATGCTGTGAGTTCCACCTGTTAGCGATATGCTGGTAGAACCCAATGGAAACAATTAGCATTCTTGTCACCAGGGAAAAGGATTTTTTGGTGTTTTTCTTGAGTCAATATGCAGGATGATGACAGCGTATCTAGTTTGTTGTTGTTATGGTTAATATATACATACACATATATATTTAAAAGTTAAAACTGTGTAGCAGTCTTTATCAGCCGGAAGAAGGTAACTTGTGTAACATAGCAGGTGATTTTACATTTGCTTACCCTGCAGAGCACAGTGTTGCTCAGAAGAACGTCACAGGAATGAAAAGTTAAAGAGGACGTCCAGCTGACGTAGTGTATAGGCTGCTGTCTCTGCTGTCGGTCACTCTGTTGGCATGTAACCACGAAACGCTTCGCATGCTGAGGGCACCTACTAAAGCAAAGAGGACAGAGGAGACAAGATTCAAATACTTCGGAAATGTACAGTTGTTTGTACCGATTTTTTATTATTATTCAGCTTATTGTGCTCACTACCATCTATCATTAGCCACTGTTAGCAGCTATGCCAGTTACTTAGCAACCATAATCACAGTATTGCTTTTTAAGTCCCGCCCCTTTTTGCTCTGTGCTCCAATAACAATAAAAACCAATAGTTGAATATCTGAAGCTGCTCCCAAGTGAAGTATTAGCATTAATTACTAAACTAAAACTGCCGCCTGTTGACACTAATGGTTGGATTATTAAGTGTGAAGAGTCCACCTCAGATTTTTGCAGGGGATCGTGGAGAAGCTAGCTAAATAGCTAAACTGAGATTATAGATGCGATTGCTTGAATCTGAATCCATCTGACAATGTTTAATGAAAAATGACTGCAAGTCACACAGGGTTTTCTTTTACTAAGGCATGATCAGAAATATGATATTTGCATATTTAGTTTTGAAGTTGTCTCCCTCTGGTGCTGCAAAACACATGACTACAGTACAGTACAGTACAGTACAGTAGGCCAACTATAATTCTATTGTTCCTTCTTCATCATCAACGATTACAATATTTTGATGTCGAAGCTACCTTTAGTAAAAAACTGTCTGCTGCAGGTTGATCTGTGATTGTGTAACTGACACTTGTGCTGTGGTTTGTTCACATGTCGACGTGAAAGAAGCTACCAAATCCACATCATCCCAACAATGTCCATTCTCTTATTGTTTGTTTTTCAGCCTTTACTTTGTGACAAGGAACCCTGTAGTTGCTACGTTGTTTGGCAGCTGACACTCAAGTTTTGGATGTCAGGAGCAGCAGAGCAGAGCAGCCTGTATGATTTTCTTTTCACTCTGAACGTGTTTAGCAGGTGCTGTATAGGGATAACGTGAGGAAGACATACACAGCTCGGGCCTGACAAACATTAGTCTTCCAAATATCTCCTTCCCCCTTTTTCCTGTTTTTTTTCTCCTTTTCTCTGTGACTGTTTGTGTCACCATGTTTTGTGTTGTCCCAGTCGGAAGGAGACAGGACGACGTTTGACATAATGGTCACATTCATGGCAGGTTGGATTTGAAATGTAGTGTAGTAGTAGTGATGCCACAACAATTTCTGCATTGACGCAGACCAGGAGTGGTTAACAGGGTTCATAGCATGCAAAGTTTCAGGTTTTTCTTCTTTTTCTATTTATTTGAAATAAACTGTTAACATAAAATGCATCACTTCCTGTGAGTGGGAGGATTTTTCCCAGGAAAGAGCTACCAGACTGGTAGGTGTTTAGAACAGCAAGTGCAAAATAAATTTCATGAACTGCATATTAGATGAATCACTGCTGTGTTATATCAACTTATTACAGAGAAAAAACAGACATTTATTTATATTAACATGTCACAGGTTACAGCTCCAAGACACAATAAAAGAAGGTGCATCATAACGTCGTAATTATTAGTTGATTATGTAAAAAATAAATCAATATTTTTCATCGTGTTTACAAAGTGCTATAACAGTAAAAACCCTGGCTACAGCAAAGAGGCAACTTGTAGCTTGTAGCATCTTACGCTAGTGTAGTAGAGCTGGAAAATGGCATCATATTAGCCAGTATCTGTTAACACTGGCCTTTTTCATGCCAACAGCTATAAGCTCCATGCAGTGTTTTACACTATGAACTGTATTTGCATCCAAAGCTGTGTATTAACCTAAGCTATGAAAAAATCTTTCTTTTCCACTTTGTGAAATGTATATTTTCTGAACTGGAGGTTGTAATCTTTCAGTTCAAACTTGCCATACATACTGGGTCATTTTGTAGATGTGTAACAAACACTTCCCCTGACAGTGCGGCTAACAGATGGCGTGTATTGTCGTGCATGATCAAGAGCTTTGTTGTTATGCTTCCTGTACAATTGGATGTATCTGCTAGAAATCCATCCTTAGATCCTTTGGTGTCTGTTCCAGATCTGCACTCTTTGTTTCTTTGTTTCCTCATTTCCATCTCTCTCTCTCTCTCTCTCTCTCTCTCTCTACATATAGCCTATTTCCAGCCCTTGCTTCCCCTATTCTCTCTCTCTCTCTCTCTCTCTCTCTCTCTCTCTCTCTCTCTCTCTCTCTCTCTCTCTCTCTCCCTGCCTTTCTCTCTATCTCTCATCTGATATACCTTCCGGTCATTGCTGAAGGATAAATCAGGATTTTTTTTTCATGCTGCTGACAAGCAGAAAACTTTGTTCGAGAGGGTGCATATAGACAGTACGGGCTGCGTATATATCAATTTAGGGGTACAAAATGTGCAGGATTGTACAAGCTTATGTGCATGATTGTGCTACATACGAACACAATGCATATTTCAAGAAGCCACAGCAGCCTAGCAAGGTAGCAGCAGACTAGCCAGCAGTTTCCAGAGAGTTACTGTAGCTTCTCAGCTTTGTCATCCTTTGTTGGCCTGTCTGTGTGGGCCAGTGGATCACAGGATGTAAATAAGACTGCTGTCTGTAGACTGTCTGCTCGGCTTGTTCACTTTAGAGATATGTAGACCCCCACTCACACGCAAAGACGCTCCCGGTTCTGCAGCTGCAAATCAGTGCACCGCATGGCTCTGGCAGGCTGCAGAAACTGTTAATATCCCTGAAATTTGAGGTGGTATTTGCAAGCTCTTTTGTGCCGACCATGGAAACGTATAATCTCCTCTTCCCTGAAGGGGAAAGTAATGCTGTACTGCAAAATGGAGTCTGTAGGTTAAAGTGGAGGACAGCACACACAGAAAGGCACCCTGGCTAAAACAGAGCGTGGAGGTTAAAGTGGAGATCAGCACATACAAACATACCCCCTGGCTAGCTGTTGGCAGTTAAAGCTTGGTGTATCTTGCCTTCTTAATGTTCCTTTTATGGTATAGTTTTCTGTGTATACTTGCAGATAGCTCTGACTCTGATTAGTCGGAACTTTGTTGGTAAACTCCAGTCTGGTAGCCAGCAGAAAACATTAGCCCATGTATTCCCATCTATAGGTTGAAAATGCCAAATTTGAATCAATAAAGTTAATTTAATCTAATCTAATCGACAAATGTCATGAGTTCAGGCTAGTATTGATGCCTGGACATAATGTCCATGGCTGTCTGTGGTTTTTTTTTCTCTTAAATTTGATGAGCCTTTGTATAATTCATATAACAAAATGAATCACAGGCTCTGCTTTCATTCAGATGGTTGGAACAAAAGGTGTGCTGGTTTTTACCCCCTCTGTGCTCGTTCTCAGGGCAAAGGAAAGCAAGCACAGGTAGATAAAGAAAGGTTGGCGAAAAAAGGGGAAATGAGAAGCAGAGAGCGAAAGAGAAAAGAAATGATATACAGTAAAAGCTCTGCCGGCATAAGGCTGCTTCTGCTCCGAGTGTCTCCCACCTCTCTCTCTCTCTCTCTCTCTGCTCTATTTATAACTCTATGGGAAATTGCTGAGTGGGCTCTTCCGAGGGTTTTTGCTGTAATTGATTCAAAATGCAAGTTGTCTCTTTAGTGGTGAGAAAGAGGAGAAAAGGATACCCAGTCAGTTATATGGACAGTATATGCATGAGGGTACGGCTAAGGTCCTTGCATTTTAAACCGGCTAAATATGTTGACCAGATACTAAATCACTGTAATGAATACAGTATTATAGCCAGAGAGCCTCTGTTATCCTATAATGACTGTAATGGGGCCACACCCATAATATCACCGTGGTTCATCAATTGCTGTGATTCATCTGCAGTACCATGTGCACTGCTATAGGATCAGATTTTCTATAACATGCCTATTTTTCGTCTGACTGCAGTAAAAGCTGATCTACTATCAGTTATAGCCATAAATTATTAAATCAATTATGCCTGGCTGGGTAAAAGCCATGACACCCATTATAACACACAATTCAAGAAACCTACTCTTCTCAAAAATAGCTTTTATTTTCTGAAGGACGTCAGTTTAAATGAGGTCCTGTAGTGCTTCATTTAAAGAGCTGATTAAAATTAACAGGAAGAACAGAAACTCAAATCAAATATTTTGCTTCATGTATGTGTATCAATTTTCTAGTTGCTGTGATGCAGTGAGGAGCCTACTTGTTAGTTTCAGTGTTGTGAGTTTGATGGCTGGTGCCAGAATATGAATCATATTCAGCCCGTGGTATCGCTGACAGCTCGCCACCCATCCAGAAACAAAACACCACATTCTGCAGCTGCATGTAAACTATTGCTGTTATTTATGCCCAAGAAATACCAAAACCTATTCCAACAATTTTCATGCTCACACACTGTGGAGGGCTCTCTCCCTCTCTCTCTCTCTCTCTCTCTCTCTCTCTCTCTCTCTCTCTCTCTCTCTCTCTGTGTGTGTGCCGCTCTCTATTTCCGTTCTTGTGAGAACCACTTATGTTTTACACATCCCCATTTTTGCATTTGTCGGAAGGTCATTTTGACAAGTCCTCATTCTTTAAGGCTTAGTTTACAGCCTTCATTTAGGGCTTTTTTATCGTTTGTGATGGGTTTACCACCCGGCTTTCGCACTAAACACACAAACACAGCATCACACAGAGCAAGGATGTTGTTTTCAGTGGAGAACTCTCCCAAACCACTGCATGTGCATGACTAAACAGGGCACACCGCTTTCCTTCCCTGCTGGGTTTGTGCACCCCAAGTTTCAGCTTCGACCTCAAAAGACTTCTTTCTGCAAGTCACCTTCAAAGGCATTCAGACTACTAGTTGGAGTTTGTTAATGATTTAATTAATTAATTTAGCACATTATTCACATTAAGTATAACTCAAGTATTTTACAGCTGCATTCAAGCTGCTCCAATCAATATTTTTATATTAACAGTAACAGGAAGAGTTTCCCTCAGCTGAACAGAACATTATGGTTTCGTAAAGCTCATTGTTTGGCCTGAAACTTTATTGTTTTGGTTCACTCTTACAGCTCTCATCAGCCCTATTTCCTACAAAAACAGTCAGCTGTTTTCAATGAAAAAGCTCTGAAAAACCCAAAGGCCGCTACCTGCTCAGCACTTAACAGCAGACAGACACAGTTGGCGACTAGCTGGTGAAGAAAGTGGAGAATTTAGCAGCTAAAGAGCCAGATTCTTGGCTGAAGACTAAAACAGAGCTAAAAGAAGAGTGAATATTTTACTTACATTTGTATTCATCAAGAAACACAGCTCTAAAATCAATGATAATGTTGCTTAGATCTGTCACATTAATTATGTTATCGACTCATCATATGACATATACAATATTTAATTATCGCCTGTCACGATATCGACTTGTTTAAGAATGTCACCAACATTTTATCTAATATGATGCCAGAATAAACAGCAGGGTTTTCCCTACTATGACTCTACTGCCTACAGAGGATTGACTGACTCTATAGCTTACCCCTGTGCCAAATGTTTAATATTAATATAAGTGTAACCTTTGTTAACAGAGTCTAAGAGTCTATTTTATTTATTGTGTTGGTTGTGTGGTTTTATTTATGTTTTATTTATCAAGGATATTTTAATATTTTTTCCACATTCCAATTAAAATGTCTGAATATGTACTTGCATTATTATGCTTATCATTATATCAGTGTGGCATGAAATAGTCTTTGAATTACAATAATATTAGTTATCGCAATTATTTCTGGGACAATATATCATCCAACAAAAGTAGTCATTGTGATGGGAATGTTGCTTTCTATCTGCTGGATGTGTAAATAGGCAGCTGTGTGTTTGTTAAGTTTGCCTTACAGCTTTATAAGGTGATCATTTCACAATACTGTGTTTATAGCTTCTTGCGCTTCTTCCACTCAGCCAAAACAATTAGCTAATGCAGGTTTACGCCTTTTTTTAAATTTTACTATACACATATAGGCTCAGAAAGGCTAAAATGCTAGCCAGTAAAAATTATCTTATTACTTTAATGGTCATACACTCAACTCGGTTAGATTGATTCAGACCCTTTTTTTAAGGCACTGTGAGATATGTATGTATTAATGGAGAATTGAATATATGGAGAAATGGCCATTCATTTGAACTTGATTTACTCTGTCAGCGTACGGCCAGAAAAGTTTTCTCTCCTTTTACTTTGCTTCTGCTTTGTGCAACTTAGGACACAATGTGTATTTCTCCTTGTCCCTTATGTCTCATAACATAGATAGACTTTACTTTTTTGAGATGTGCAAAAAAAGGCTTTTTCTGAGTCTGAGGAAGTTTTACAAATATTAAATAGCAGAGAAGATCAGTGTAAACTGACCTTGTCTGCCGTTTTACAGTTTTTACAGACATGTTTTATAATGAACATCAATATAATGGATGTCCGTTATAAATCAGGTCTACTTTAAAGTTCTCCTTTGCTTTGCTTTTCTATTTCATCATGGTTGTGGTCAGGGGTTAAGAAATGGATGCAATGAATGAGAGTCCGTTATCTACTATAAGTCAACTGTGAGTGTGTGTGAGTGTGTGTGTGTGTGTGTCTGTGTTTATGTGTGAGAGGGGTCGGAAGTTAACAACAGTACGTTTGACCCCTCCTACTTCCTGCACCACCATCACATGACCCCCATGACTGTGATGATGTCTTAACTGTAGCAGTGATGTCATATTGATGGCGGTGATGTCACGGTATGCAGGTCATCTCTCTCTCTTTCTGTAGTTGGTGGATTGTGCTGTTTCTAATCCCTCATCTCTCTCTGCTCTCTTATGTCTCCCTCCTCCCCCTCCTCTCCTCTTTCCCCCTCTTTTCTATCTGTCTTTGTGCACTTCTCCTCCTCTCTTTCCTCCTGTTTTGTGCCCTCTCTTCCGTCTGTATCTTTAACTCTCCCCCACCTCCCTCTCCCCCCTCTGTGTCTTGTTTTCCCTCCATCAGGTGTCCCAATGACTATACGGGGGACCACTGTCAAAACTCCGTCATGGCCGGTTTCTACAGTATGTCCATTTGCTCTTGTCTGTCTCCTTCTCACTGAGATGCTGCATGCTACATTGGAGGGGTTGGATGGAGGGAGCGCTCTGTGTTTGTGTGTGTGTGTGTGTGTGTGTGTGTGTGTTTGCAAACCTGCTCTTATGTTTCATGTAAATTAATGTGTGTGTGTGTGTGTGTGTGTGTGAGTTTGCATGACTCTGTGTCCACCCCTTCCTCTTCCTGTCTCCCCTGGTTCCTCTGTGATGCTCCTCTGGTGACCAGAAACAAACAATCGAGATATTTTTAATATTCACACATAAGATATTTTTCACACTTGCTCATCTGCTTGGAATTGTATTTGGTGCACGACATACTGGATTTTCTTGACCTAGAAAGCTGCTAAAAAAACAAAACAAAAAAACAAAACAAATTGACAAATCGAGCACCAAATTTTTACTTTGTGTCTTCTCTTACATTTTTAAATTCTATATTTTTAAGCTCGATCCAGTGAATCGCACAAAAAGAAACAGAGGAGACAGAAAATTAACACAATAAGCAATACAGGATTTGATTTTATTGGAACACTTTGTCACTTTTCCTTTGTAGATGGTCCATCGGTGCTACTAGCAGTAAAAAAAAAAATTAATTAGCCGATCAAGGCTAAACTGTGTGGATAGAAACTCAGTCAATGCAAGGTTGTAAATCCTAACTCCTTGCTGTTCCTCTCTTATAAACAAAGAGAAAAATCTTCCATTGATTTCACTTTTTAGGAGTAGGATCACAACTGGCAATTGAAGGCTTTAGATGGAGAACAATGTAAGTCCTTCTGACATTATTTTGAACAGCAGCCAGTCATTACTAGAAGCTACAGTGTGTCCAAAAATCCAAATAATTTGGCAAGTAAATGAGAATGAGATTGAGAGTTAGAATATGTTCAACATTTCAAGTCTTAATGTAATGAGATTAGATGAACATCACTCATGGTTATATCTATCTGAGGGACAGTCCCTTTGGGATATTGATTTTCATTTAAATGGAGTTTCTTGATCATGTCAGTGGAATCTGTCCTGAAATAAGAGATTAGTTTAAAACCCACAGATAACCTGTTGTTTTCACTCTGAGCATCCATGGATCATCTGATTAAATCTCTCATTATGGCATGTGGCTAAATGCTGCTTGAAATGTTCTAGGGTTGACCTCTAATATGTTCAAAATGGTGTCACATGTTTTGCTTCTCATCACAGTGTAATTGAATCCTGAGAATAGTTTGACATTTTTGTGAAATACTTTGCATAAAAACAAAGGGTAACAACTAGCCTGGCTCTGTCCAAAGGAAACAAAGTCTACCTTCTAGCAGCAAAAGCTCACTGATTAACACATTATATCTAGTTTATTTAATTGTTACTAAATTGTAAATTTAGGCATAAAAAGGTTTTACAGGCGCTTATGTGCCAAACTTGTTTGTTCGCCAGGAACGTCTTGTTGTTAGCCTGAGGTTAGTTGGCAACCAGTGGTGCTGGTAAGTGGATTTTTTTATATTGTTGGACAGAGCCAGGCTAGCCTTGCCCCCTTGTTGTCCTTATGCTAAACTAAGCTCACAGTCTCCTAGCTCTAGCTTCATTTTAATCCTTCAGACAGGGGGGTGTGTATCGATCTTCTCATCTAACTCTTAGCTGCAGCAAATACGCAGATTTTTCCAAAATGTCAAACTATTCCTTTAAATCACAGGGATGCAAATGTCTTGTCAATCTCCTGTGATTGCATGGGCAGTGACACTGAAACACATTCAGTCAGTGTTGGTACAATCAGATGATAACCAGGACATGTGCATAAAAATTTAGCACTGCACAGAAGGTTAAGTGATTCCTGTATGTTGCTACGTTCAGATAGTAAAACACTGCTCCTCCCTCCACTGGCTGTGTCACACTCCTGTTACTGACCCAGCAATCACAGGGAGATAAAAGAGAGGGATAAAAATGACCCTCTTCTTCTTGTTTCCAGGGGTTAAACACTCTTTGCTCCACGCCATGTTCTCTTGCTTTGCCGTTGAGCGGTCTGTTTCCACACTGAATAATGTCAAGTTTAAACTGAGAACAGGTTTTCCATCATAAGATATCACACTATATGTAATGTCTGCTTATTTTGACCCCATCATCAGGCTTTGTCTACATGCTGGAATCTGTCTGTGTGACTTTGTGCTTTTATTTTGCATTGTGAAGCTCTTTCCGTCAGTTGAAGGAACACTTTCTGCTCTTTTAAATCCGTGTTGATTTGTTACTGCCGGCTTTTCTAGTGGTACGAACGTTAAGCAAAATGTCAAAATGTAGAGTAGTTAAGGTCAGGGTGGACAAAAGATTGGCCGACTTCTCGTTCTCTCTTTATGGCCAGTAATGCATGCAGAGCCATGTAAATTGGGAATGCTGCGATGATTTCTTTGTAAATCATAAGAAAGGTTATAATAGCTGTACGCAGCGGTAGTGGGACAAAGTGCTACACAAGAGGTATGCTGTAATCAATACAAAGGCACACAATTGCCATTAGTCAAATGAGTTACAGCACCCACCCCCATTTGCTGTGCCAGCCTCATCGACTGTACTGTGTTTTTATGTTTGAGAGTAACTCACTGCTTTTTATCTTTTGTTTTCTTGTTTTTTTTTTCTTTTGTCTTGTTTTTTTAAATTTTATTTTGTATTTCTGTCCAATGTTGTTTACTCCAGAAATGAGGTCTAGTAAATATAGCAGTAAGTGATGTGGCTTCTTGTCTTGCTGTCTTTGTCCGTCTGTCTCTGCATGCCTTTTCCTGCCTGTTGGCTTCTCTTTCCTTCTTGCCTTTGGTTCATTTTCTCCCTTCGCTTTTAATTTTTGTTTAGTTCAGTCTTTTTTTTTTTTTTTTTTTTTTGCTCCTGTCATTTTCTGGGGGTCACAGAGCTGAGGCTGTCTGAGTTGTCTGTCTGTTACTGGACGGTACACATGTCAATCGCTATGGCTGACAGCACTAATTAATTTATATCCTGGTTCAGCGTATACAGGACATGAAAATAATATATCTGCTCCAAAGTGGACATTACACCTGACCCTATCTGTCTCTTTCCTTTTACCACGACAACTTTCTGCGCTGGCAGAGCTTCTCAGAATTGAATTTATGGGTATGGAACATTATTATTCATTTTGCTGTGCTTAAAGGGTTTGCCAAGATCCTCTCACAGTCACACATTATTGTGCCATCTTCTTTCTAAAACCAACAACTGGGTCTCCCTCAACCTGTCCCTCTTTTTCTCCTGCCCACTAACCTGCTTTTAAGACATGTAACCTCCCTTCTCTGCATGCATTCTTCTTACAGTCCGACGAATTTGGCAAAGTAGACATCAGAGAAAGAGACAAATTAACTGGGAAGGATACATTAATGAAAGAAAGTGCAGAGGTGAATTAAAACACAATGTAATGGGCCTTATATGAATCAGAGTTGAGATTATCTGAGCAAAAGCTACCGTCTTTGTCCAAAAATCAGAGACTGTTTCACATCACCGATAAATACAAGTATCTGGCTCGTCTTCTGGGCTTTGGCAATGTGCATATTGGCTTCAGCAGCCTGTCGAATAAAAACATGCAAGCTGCGAGTATTTTTGCAGAGCGTTGCCAAAAGCGAGCAAAAGGCCTGACCACATAGTCTGTCCTTATTATTCTGCCCTTGATTGACTCAGTGTCAGAGTCGAGAGCTCGCCTGTCCTAAATCACGATTGCTGTTGGCTTCACTGTGCCAGCGAGCTCGCCTTCCCATTTCCCTTTGCCTTTCTGTATCAGTACCCTGTGACACACACACAATGCTGGGCCAAGGCTCTCGTTGGCTTTGTCAATCCCCACAGAGGCCCTTTATTTAGAAACTTCCCCCCCTTCCTTGCCCCCCACCCCCCTTTCCTTCCCCTTCAGTGGCGTGTCTAGAGCTTTTTGAGGGAGGGGAGAGGGGGAAAAGTGAGGTGATGAATTAGGTAAAGGGGGCAGTTTTTGATTCATCTGCCCCTGTTTCAATTTGATTTCAGAAATGCTTTGAATAAATTCAGCTTTCTGATGTATTTCACCGTATTTTCAACAACTTTCTTCTATAAAAACTAGCTAGATACACAGACAGATCAACTATTGATTGCTTATAGGTGTCACTTTAGTTGTGTAACAGATTTATGACATTGAAAAACAATGACTGTCTTTAGGGAGTTTAATTTGGCCGTAACTACCAATTCAAGGGCTTCTATAATCCAATTTTAGTTGATAAGGGGACAAAGTCAGGACAGATTTTAGTTTCTGGGGACTGGTTTCTCCCTGGGCCTTTCTCCTGGACACGCTCCTGCTCCCCTCTCAGCTCCCCTCCTCTCCCTCTGTCTACGTGTTTCCTCCTGCTCCTCCTTTCTCACCACTTAGCCTTTTCTCTTTTTATTCCCTCCCTCTTCCCCTCATGTTCTGTTCTGTTTGTTGCTCCTTCTGTCATTGTGTCGTTGCGCTTGCCGTTCTGACACAGTGTTACACCACAGCAGGCCCAGAAGTCTGAATTAACCTAGATACACCAAGATGGCGTAGTATTCACACGGCATCACTACAAACCTGTTAGAACTTAATGAGTTGAATGTAGTGCAGTAGTAATGTGATCCAAATCTGTCTAGAGATGTTGAGATGAACTCAAAGGTTCTCACTGTGACATAAAAGTGCTGTAACCACCTTAACCCGGTCACCAACAAACGCTTGTAGACTGAATATAGTAAACTGTATAGTGTAAAGAAAAAAAATCACTGTCAATTTTGTGTAATTGTAGGTCAATTCAGTAGCTTTAAAAGGAAAAGTTCATAGTCTTTTATGGTAGATTTTTCAGTAGTTTATCTGAAGCCAAAACAGCCAGTCAGCCTTAGAAATTATTACATAATATTAATGTAGAACTCCGAAACTTTGCACAAACACAAAATTGTATGAAAACTTCAAACATCATAATAACTAATACCATATGGATTACTATTTCCACCTATTATTCAAGCCAAGAAAAGTTAGCTATGGTCACATTTGTGAAAGTAAAACAACTTTTATTTAAGTTAAACGTTAACAACAGGAAACTAAAACAACTTGTAATAAAATTGGGATTAGATTTGATGACAAAAATATTGTTTATAATGTGAGAAACACCTCCTGGAAGTCTTGTTTTTGCTGACCTCCACTGGTTTAACGTCTTCTTTAACTTCCGGCAGTGATGTAAAAGTGTACATTAGCACCTCATGTCATCACTGCTGGGTGTGTTTCCAGGTGCAACCAACAGAGCACATTTCTGACCGCACCTATAAATGACAATCAGAGAGGGCAGCAAAACACTGCTTCTCAGGCTGGTGTTAAGTTAATGTTTCATTTAACAAATAAGCAACGGTTAAAGATGAATGATATAACCTCTATAATAATGAAAGTTGAGTTGAGTTAAATTTCTGTTGAAAAGGGTCACAACTTTCGAAATGCTTCTGTAAATACTCTTACATACAAAAAGTAAATAATTAAAGTATATATATATAGTATTTCCTTTTACTCTTTTGACACTTGGTGATCTTTGTGAATACCAAACCTTTATACTGTCAGGCCGCTGTGGTGTTAACACTTTGAACAAAAAAAAATGCTTTATTTAATTTCTTTTAACAATCCCATCCATATAGGCATGCATTCAGATCCTCTCCAGTGTCATCTGTAGCATTACATCCCCATGGCCATTGTGAATACACTTGTACAGGGACAGCAGGAAGTCTATGTCAGGATGTAGGTGTACAGCTGCTTTTCATCATAACATTTATGAGCTTGTAGAATTACTCCTGTGTTGTAGTAGCACTGTTACTGTAGTACAGTTAAAACTGAAAGGCATGTGACATTATAGAGCAGGAGTTGTTTTATAGACAGCACAGGGGATAGGATGGCAGCAGATAATAGTGAGAAACCTGTGTCTGTAGTTACCATCAATGGAGTAGTGCTCATGCTGTACCTGTGTGCGTCTGTGTGTGTGTGTGTGTGTGTGTGTGTGTGCATATTCTTGTCTGTTTTGCGATCGTCTGTCTGCAACGCACGGATGTGTGCGTGCATGTGAACTTGTGTGTGTTTGTATGTGCGTGTGTTTCCGTTCACAGAGGCCGAGGAGCTCTACCAGCGACGGGTGCTGACGATCACAGGCATCTGTGTGGCGTTGTTGGTGGTTGGCATCGTTTGTGTGGTGGCCTACTGCAAAACCAAGTATGTGTCTTTCGAAGGAGAGATAAATGACCTAACCCTAACCCTTCAAATTAACCTACTGTAAGAATAATTAGTAATGAGCTGCTTCTTTTTTATGCTGTAGAGCAGTGGGGCAAGATGTATTCAGATCCTTTTTTAAAGTAGCAGCAAGGATGTTTAATTTTTTGTTGATTCTGGCGGCCCCTGTGGACAGAAGTGGTAGTGTTTCCACCACCTACTTTCATTGATTTTAAGGGGGGATCCAACCGAATCCAACCTGATGGTAGGCCTTAAGAATAACTATATCATATATAAAAATATAGACAATCTTCTCAATGATGGTCTTGTGTGCATATATAGGTCACATAGGGGCCTTAGAAATAAATTAAGAGTTTCATAAAGAGTTAAAAACTCCTATGTTTGAATAAAAGTAATAATACAACAATCTATATCAATACTCCTTTACAATTAAAAGTCCTGCATTCAAAATCCTATTTAAATTAAAGTACAGAAGTATTATCATCAAAATGTGCTTAAAGTATCAAAAGTAAAAGTCTGTGTTCTGTGTGACTGCTATATAATTATAAATGACATTATTAGATGTGTAGATCAGTGTTAAAGCAGCATTTTACTGTTGCAGCTGGTCACGGTGGAGCCAGTTTTAATGACTTCATATACAGTTAGCTAGTTTAGTCCAGCAGTCCCAAACCCAGGGGTCAGACCTCCTCCAAAAGGTCGGAAAAAAATCTGAGGGGAGTTAAAAAACAATTTTACAGGGTGTAGGAAAACGTTTGTTTTAAATATACAGTAAACTAAATGAAATTGTTACTTTTAAACATTTGGTGATTATTCAAGCTATAGATATCTGTTAACTCAGTGGTTGAAAAGGTGTTCCTTAAGGAAAAAGGTTGGGAATCAAAAGTTAGCAACATATATGTTATGTAAAATAGCATTACATAAAAACACTACAAGTATGTCAGAGTTGGAACTATAGGATCTATTATACCAGATAAAAGAGTTTGATTATTGGTTGGTTGCTTCGTCATGTTGGCCGCATGATCTAAAAAGACAGAATGGTCCAGATCAGTCACAAAGTTAACTTAATAATGAATCAAAACTGCTCTTAAATATATAGTTGAATCCAGAATTTTGCTGGATCTGAGCAATTTACAGTGTATACAACAGAAAAATGCTGATGCACTGTCTGAGGCACGTTTACCAGATCACTTATTGTTCCTCTGTCGCCACCCCTCCAGGAAGCAGAGGAAGAAGATGCACAGTCACCTACAGTGTGTGGAGCAACCCAACCGCGTGCTGGCAAATGGACCCAACCACCTCGGACCTGGTTGCGAGGAGATCGCCCTGGGTGACGTGAGTGCAAACAGCAGAAACACACAACAGAGGCAGGTACAGGTGATCCTGAGGTCAGATTTAACTGAGTCACCTCCCGACAACCCTGATCGTCACGCTGAGAGGAAACCAAAAACAGGTCGCCCCAGATAGACCTGAGAAATAGCCACTGTTTTTTTAAAATGCAGAAATATTGACCTGATTGAATCTAAAAACAAGGAAAATTAGTCATTTCATGGCAAGAGGGATAGGTTTCTAATAATAATCTAATAATATATAGCTTTTATTTACTATAGATGCTAAGACGTTAAGCATAAAGTTGGTTGCCAGAGTTGTTGTGGTTGCCAAACTGTACCAGAGACATTTTTGGCAACTGTGATTTTGTTTCAGCTTCTGGTAGCCAACAATTAGAATAAGACAATGCAACAATAGCAATTAATTTACAGTCATCTGTTAGCTACCAGTCAGAACGCATAGAAGTTGTGTCCAACTTTGCTTTCCTATCAAAGTGCACAGGCTCTGCTGCAATAAAGCCAGATATATCAGTGCTTTTAATTAAATATAACTGGCCTATAAATAGGATTGTGGTGTCAAAATGTTCAGAATACTCTCAGATATTCATTAATGCTAAAGTAGGCACAGAAGAAGAAGAACAGGATGTCAGCTTCACCTGAACAAACTTCACAGGAAGCCCCACAGAGGCTCGGCCGGTTACTGATAGACTTTATTTAGCTTTGCCACTTACATTGAACTCCACAAAGACGGTTCTTTTAGCCTTCAGAGCAGGTCTGCCTCCAAAAGAGTCCTCGTGTAAATAAAACCCTGATCCGCTGACAACACAAGGAAAATATGGTGGCACATAGCTGACAGATGTTAAAGAGAGGGCAGAAAACACCTCCTATTCTCTCACATAATGGGCATGAGTCAGCATAATAGCAACAATGAGAACAGTGAGGAGAGAGTTACAACAGATCTGTATCCTCTCGTCATTAGATATCTATATATCTATGCATTATCTATCTATATTTACTGTATGATATGTTGGTTATTTTAAAATGAAAATGCATTTTCTTTACGTACGTGTTTGTGTGTGTGTGTTGCAGTACATCCCCAAGAGCGTCCCAACAACAGAGTGTGTGATCAGCCACGGAGCCGAGGGTGCAGGCAACTACGCAGGCAGCCGAATGTCTACCCGCTCCCACCACTCTACCACTGCCTCACATGCTTCCAGGTAGATCCTACGACAAACACACACATACAGACACACACGCACACACACACACACACACATACACTCCATTGAACTCTGTTGTATCGGAGTGGCTGTAGAAATCTCAGAGACAGCCATCACAAAACCTGGACAGCTAAGACGAATACTATCTGCATGAAACCACCAGGGTTAAGTAAGAGAACTGGATTTGGGTTAAACAAAACTTTAAAGGACCAGTGTGAAGGATTTAGTGGCATCTAGCCGTGAAGCATGTAGAACAGGGGTAGACAACCTGTGGCTGCAATGTGATTCTTACATTCTCCAATTGTACAAATGTTTAGCCATTACACACTAAATAAAAAAAAAATTTTGTCAACTAAATATTTTGCTTAACGTCAATAGCGGTGGCTACTAGTCTTGTGTCTGCGTAGCTAGGCTAGTTACGGACTCACAATCCATCCACCAACGCTGTTTGCTTATCGGTATGGTTGATCTGTAGCGGGAAATTACCATTATAAGGCTCAAATACACCGATCAGCCATAACATTATGACCACCTGGGCACCCTATTATGCAGCCCCATACCAACAAACTGTGATTCACTGTGTGTTCCGACACCTTTCTATCAGAACCAGCATTAACCTTTTCAGCAGTTTGAGCTACAGTAGCTCGTCTGTTGGATCGGACAACACGGGTCAGCCTTCACTCCTGACGTGCTTCAATGGTTCTTGGCCGTCTATGAACATGTCTCCGGTTTACCTCTTTTGATTTTTCATTTCTGCGACCTTGTGGTCCTTAACACAAGTTTTCAAAAATTTCCAATAATTGTAATTTGACTTGTTGTCAGTATAGTTCAACTCTCTCTCGATATACTATAGCACTTTATTCCTCAAGTATCACAAAAATATCAACTGAATCAAGAAGAGAATTTCATGCTGGACAGGTAGTGTACAATCAGATTGTGTTGCACTGTTGGCTATTGACTGTTAATGGAATTGGCCGTACTAACAGCTCTGCCACGTCACAAACAGTGATTTAATTCAGTGTTTTCTATCAAAACTATCACTTGATGGTGCTTTAATAGACAATGCACGTGAACATCTTTGCAGTACAGTAACTTTATACAGCATTCCTTCTGCCTCTGTATCCCTCTGCCTCCTCAGTGCTGTTGTAACCTTTTAAACGTGTTCTGCTTACACCTGCAGACACGAGGAGCAGACGTGGAGCATGGAGCGAACAGAGAGTATGAACTCAGACTGCCAGTCAGGTGGGCTGTCCAGCTCTGTGGGAACCAGTAAGTGCAGCAGCCCGGCATGCATGGCGAGGAGGGCCGCCCACTGGGGCTGTACGGACGTGTCCGGACCGGGAATGCAGTACGGGGATTCCTACGACTCTCTAAGAGACTCGCCTCACAGTGACAGGTAGGGCAGGTTGTAATCGTGTGTGTGATGGTTAAGTCTGTCTTTGCTCATGACTCTCTTTTGCTTTGACACACCAGCCTCTTTACTCTTTGGCGACCCCAAGTGGTTACATTTCTCAATCTCTACACCCAGATACTGTAGTTTTTTTTTTTTTTTTGTGAAGGTAATGAAATATTTCAAACATCGTTGGTGAATTCTTTCTCAAAACACTGATTTTTGTTGATGTGTTTTTGTTGGTAAAGGAGAAATTCCCCCTCTTAGTCTGTTACTGAACATCAGTCATTTATTTTTGCCTATTATAAATAGCTTTGACTCCCAACTGCTCTATTTTTTACTGTTTACAAGTTAGTGGTTTACTACATGTCCCAGAATGCCTTCTGACTAATAAACTGACTTGGCATACCTATATTTAGCTATGTTTGTATTACCTGCGTACACTATAATAGCACACTTTCTCATACTGAACGTGGATATTCTCTCTTTGTTTTTCACGTTAAATAACATGTGGTTAAAAGGTGTGACAAATATCAATAATTTTACTGCTAATGTGACTCTCAGTGTTTCAGAATTTGGGATCTTTGTTGTTGAAAAACCGTGCATTAACAATTAAATTAAACCAAATGCGAAGCAGCATTCATACACTCCTTGCAGCTGGGATGGCACATGTTCAGTTATATTTTTCATATTCTTGGGACTGGCTGAGTGGGTGGCGAGGTGGCTCAGCAGTTAACACTGTCGTTTCATGGCAAAAAGGTCCTGCGTGCGAAACTCAGCCAGCTGGCTGCAGTGTTTCTGTGTGGAGCTTCCTCCCACAGTCCAAAGACTTGCAGGTCAGGTGGACTGGAAACACAAAATTTCCTGCAGATGTGAGTGTGGTTGTTTGTCTATGTGTGTGTTAGCTCTGGGCTCTTCTCATTTCTCTATTTTGTGCGACCTCGTCTCCTCCCTCCTCCGTCCTCCTGCCTGTGACCCAGAAATCGATCTCAGCGCACCATCTTGAAGGATGTCTCAATTCCTAAAATGCATCTTCAAGGAGACAGGAGGCTGGAAGGAGGAGCTATGAGCGAGGATGCGCAGGCGTATCCATTGGGGAAGATTTTCAGCAATCGTCACATTTAAAAAAAGGCATAGGGACAGATGATGCAGCTGTGCCACGCGTCATATTTAACTGACATCGCTTTAAAATGACGGTTCAGAAGCGAGGATGGTTGTTTTGTTAAATTCCTCTTGCCTTGACTCCTTGTGGAACTCAGAAGCAAAGAGAGGATTCAAGGACGGAAATCGAGGACGTACAAACTGAGAAATGGGAAGAGGAGTCTGTGATTGACTGGTGGCTTGTCCAGGGTGTACCCCTCCTCTTGCCCAGTGCATGCAGGGTAGGCTCCAGCCCCTCGGCCCTGAAGAGCAAACAGATGGATGGGATTCACTGGCAGAATGGTTTAAAGTGATAAGCTACAGTTATCAGTCCAAATCACAAAGTGCATCCCATCACCCGCTGTTGTGCCCCACTGATTCATTTCATGACCGAATCAAAAATGTGTACTGTAAGGTCACCTGCTATCCAACGACTGTACCTTAGTGCCGCATCGAAATACATAGGAAACTTGTAGTTCAACAATTAACAGGATGCTAAACATAAATATATTCAGTTCATGAGTATTCAACAACTTGCTTAGTGTATTCTGTTAACCAGTCATAATCGTCTGTTACAATTATGTTCAAATGTGTGTTAGTTTTGGTGGTCCTTTTGTCATGAGCGCATTTACATGCATGTGTGTGACTCAGACACTGTAATAATCCGTCGACTTTTCTGCTCAGGTATGTGTCGGCGCTGACTACGCCAGCGCGCCTGTCTCCAGTGGAGTTTCACTACCCCCCGTTGCCGCCCCAGGTGCCCACCTTTCAGATCACCTCGCCCAACACAAGCCACGCACTCTCCCTGCCACCCGCCGCTGCCGCCTACCACAGAGAGGACGACCAGCCGCTGCTACGGTGCCCTGATGTACGTAGGAAAATAGAGTACATACACACTGTCATATGACTGCAGCAGCACGGAGATGGTGACAACATCAGTTAAACTGGCTGGTGATGTTTTCATTGTCAAAGAAAAAACCAAAAACAGAAATGTGTGAATCCATCTTCACATCCATTTATTCCTACTGAAGACGTAAAATCTTTCAAAGCGGGTCACTTACCGTATATTCACTATAAGACTAAATCATTTACCAACAACAGCACTGTAGTTTTTAATGAATGTTACATAAGTAAATAGGGCTTTTGTTTTCAGCCATGGAGTAATATACATGTAGTGCTCCAGTAAGTATTTACAGCAGCAGGACAGTATATTTGGGATCAATTCAAAATGAACTACAGTGCCCTTGTTCATCATAATGCAGAAACATATCACTAACAACACCAGTGTGGCTCACTCACAACAATGGCGTAGAGTTCATCAGGCTTTAGACAGACAATACTTGTTAGTAGGATTCATTTATTGTTGGTTTTGCTTTTATCTTGGGATTTGTTCCCAGTAAGTAAAATAAAGCCCAGACTCATCCTTTAACCTGATTGTGTTGGCATCCTCCCTGTCAAAACCTACACATTTAACATGCACAGTAAACAGTTCCTATCTAATGCTCCACTCTGTTTCTGTGTGTTTTAGGATGGAAGTTTATACAGGCAGCCCCGGCGTCCGCGGCGACCTTACCTGACGGAGAGCACGGGAAGTCTACCGTCCAGCCCCTACCGTCTCCCTGACGACGAGGCCTACGAGACCACGCAGGAGTACGCCTCTTCACGGGAACCGATCCGGAGCCGGCGCCGCCCGCGACGCAACCGCCTCAATGGACACATCTCCCAGCGTTCAGCGGGCCTACGGGACTACAGCTCACAGAGCTTCAGCCAGTCAGAGGAGGAGGAGGAAGAGGAGGAGGAAGAGGACACTCACGGGGAGAGCACACCTTTCCTTAGTATGCAGAACATGAACGTGGACCCGCCCTTAACTGTCCCAGGTTACCGTTCGTCATCCGGCGCGGACACACGGACTCACCGCGGGCTGAGTCGGCCGGGGACACGCAGCAACGGGCAGAGCCGCGGCTCCCAGTCGCAGCGCTCCAAGGCTGACAACATGCCCCTTTAAGACTTAACCTACCCCCGATCCCCACCCCACCCCCCCAACCCACCCCCCCGACCCCCCTCCCACCACCACCACCCACCCCCCTCCACCTCACACACTCCCCTTCCTCCTACACACAACCAGTGGACTAGAGACCTGCACCTAGGAGAAATATTTTTATTTTGTATAACAGACAGATATTCTAAACAAATGAAATATTTATTTTCATTTCAGCAAAAATTGTCTACTAGCTAACAGCAAAGACTTTTTTTATAACGGGGGGGGGAAATATTTATATGTAAAGTTTTTTGATTTACAGCATTATGAGAGATGAAAAAAAAAAAATAAGAGAATTACGTGCCAATTTTTTCACAAGTTAGATAAATAGAATAATATTGTGGTGCCTTTTGCTGTATGCTGAAGTCGGAGGTCCCATTGAGTTTTTGTAGCCTTTCTTATAAAGACTCCTCGTTTTTATAGAGACCAACCCTCTTCCTTCCTTTTGCTTTGGTTTTTTCTCTGATTTGGGATCTTCCTCTTTTTGAACTGTGATCTGATTATGTCATCATGCAATATTGATTCCTCCTGTGTAAAAGGTGTCTGTTTACATGAGTATGATCCATGCGATGCGCTCGTTTCACAGGGACATTAGTCACTGACGCAACCGGAAGAGTAGGGTAGTTTTTCTCGGATGATTTTTGGATGAATCACATCAGTCATTTACGTCCTCGTTCGCTGCCTCTCAGTCATTTGTTGTTATTTCTGTAAAAAAAAAAAAAAACAAGCGTGTTAGGGAGTTGTTGAGGGAACGTGACTCCAGATTCCTGTGTAGGTGTTCAGGGTGCTGCCATGACATTGGTGGTGGTTGCAGTGTATGTGTGTGTGCGTGTGCGTGCGTGTGCGTGTGCATGCCTGTATGTACACCTCATGAAAGCCTCCTTTGGTTATCACCTCCGTTCACCTTGGAGGGTGTGGTCTCTTGTTTGACTGACATGCTCCTCCCACCAATCCTCACGCTGCCAGAAGCTCCATTGCACTGTAAGAACCTCCCTCCATGAGCAGTCATTGGCCAGGGAGCTGCCGATCCAAACCGAACCTAACCAATCCAGTTGTAATCCAGCCTGACTCTGGCCTCCCGTGGACTGCCCAGCCCGCCCGTTTCCTATGCCAGCAGCTTAGAGCCGCACTGTGTCTCAGGACTTCCCCATCACATCACAGCCAAAAAGACTCAAAGCAGAGAGCGCACGTCATCTCAGTCACAGTTCAGTCCGCAGGCCAGATCCACATCCCCTCACTCTCCTCCCTGTCCGTCCGTCAAGTTTGTTGCGTTCACTCGTGGCCACGATTAAGGGAGCGTGGGTAAAAACTCTTGGAATCAGAAGGGAGATTCAGTTGCTTTTTCTTTTCTTTCTTTCTTTTTTTTTTTAATTTTAAAAAAAAAAAAGGTTGTGTGTATGTGCATAAGTGGGCTTGTGTGTCGCTGTGTGTGGGTCACGATGATGATGAAAAAATGATGTCGTGCGGAGACCACATCTGTTCACTTTGTTGCAGGGGCGTAGTTAGGAATCCTGGGCCCCCTGAGAGGAGGATATCGCTCTGGGTTCCCCACCCCCACCACCTTTTCTGTTTTGTTTTTTATTAATATAATCCTTCTGGAAACTTTACGGGCCCTCTCCAGCTGTGGGCCCCTGGAATCGCCGCCACCTTTCACCCCTGTAGTGATGGCACTGCTCTGATGGGAAATATCCCTTGCGGGTCATTGCGTGCAGGTTCACACTGCTAGAGAGCGAGTTTCTGAGTCTGATTCTACTTTTTTCTTTAGCTCACAGCCAAACGGTGGTTTATGATAATACTGATTACTGCATCCTTGATTTGCATTCCTATACCTTTATTGATTGAACTTCTTTTGCTTGGTCATATTGACTGAATGATCTGTTATGTGTCTGTCCCTGTCTGCCCCCCCTTCCACCCGACATCGCCCCCTCACCTTCATGTCTTTCTCACCCCCTTACCGACCTTCAGAAGCAACTAGCAGATGAATTTAGGCCCCATCTCCAGATGAGTATTGGACAGCACACTAACAGTGGGCTGATCATGTCAGAAACTCTTCCACGTCAGATACACATTGGGTTTAGAGACCCTTTCAAGCTCACTGAGGAAAATGATACTGTGTCAGATACAATATGTGTCCGTATTAGAGTTAATTTCCAATAAGTAGAGTTTTTTTGTTGTTCTTTTTTTCACACAGGAGATGCATGGATCACAGATATAGAAAGTATCTTAAAAATGGCGACGAACCCCTCAGATTCAGGGGAATCATGCTAGAAATTTATAAAAACATTATTTGGGTTCATGGCCCAAAAGGTCTGGCTAGTTTTGTCTTACTATCAATCACTGTAATCAATCTGGGATTTGCAATGTGGAAATACTGCAAGTGAGGGTAGTGTGCTTCTAGAGCTAGTTGAATTGTTAACACCCCCCCCCCCCCCAGCCCTCTTTCTCCTCACCCTGCACTCCCCCTTTTTTCCCTTTACATACACACATACATTTCACACATCATACACTACTCACACATAACGAAGCACACACACACACACGCACACACACACCCTCATATTATACACACAAATACAAACACACACACACAAAGCCCCTCCATGTTTGTGTTTGTCAAGCAGTTTGCCTTTGTCTTTTTTACCTACCGACTCCCTCTCTCCTCCCTCCTCCCCCCTTCCCCACCCTCTCCCTCCTCCTTCCTTCCTCCTTCCTCCTCCCTCTCTCTCTCCTCTCACCCCCAACCCCTCTGCATGTCCTAGTGGTACTGGTAGTTGGGTGCATGGAAAAAGCAGCAAGCAAATCGTTTTTCCACTTGGTGAAAAAATAAAAATGTGTCTTCATTTTAACATTCAGCAATAAATCCCCTTCTCTTCATGTCCATCATTCTTGGAATATGCTAGAAGATTTTTTGCAAGTTTTATCAAAAACATACTACTTGTAAAAGAAGAAAAATCCAAAACCACCCCTTCATATGGAAAATAAAACTTTATTCCTACCATTTTGAAACAGTCCTGTCATCTTTGTAACAACAGAAAAGAACAACTGCTGCTTGTTGTTTAGAATCTGTCATTACCTTTTTATTCATATTTGAAGAAGCCCAAAGTCAGAGGTGCACCAAAGGTACAGTAAGAATGGAGTTGCAAAGATAGGAGCACTAGATGGCAGCATTTTACCATGTCTATAATTTGTTGTGCCTTGAACTGAATGTATGTCAGTTACTGGAACTACTACACACTTATCCAAAATGTTTTTAGAGAGAGAGAGAATTCACTTCTATTTTAGGATTTCACAAACTGTTAAATAATGGCTCATTGTAGAGGACTTTAGTCAAACAGGCCTTTTTCACAGCAGACGTTTTGACACGATATACCAGGAAAACCACAGGTGTAATTACCTTAATAATATGGCTGTATTCCATTTAGTTTTGCCACTCTCCCCTAAAGTCCTATTGGTCTAAACTGTTTACTCTACATTGTAATAGTCTATTTAAATTGATATTTTATAGCTGTAGGAGGCAACATTACAATTTTATTCAATTTTACTTTTATTTTATTTTAATTTAACTCAAGTATGTCTAACTGGTCTATCCAAACTTCCTCCCTCGCCATCTGACATAATTCACGCCAGTCACATATTTATGACATGACAAGTATTTCTGGGCATTTTTTCACACACACACACACACACACACACACACACACACACACACACACACACACACAGTTATTACAGTGCCTACACATTCCAAAAACAATAATATTGGTAATAGTAGTGTAAAAGAATAATGGGTCTTTGGTATTTTTCAACCTTTTTTTTTTATTTTTCTATTTTGTGTTTTTATGTATAAGTGACTAAGGGGGACAACAAAAAAACTGGCAACTGCAATGTAATCATTATGGGCAATTGCACACTGCCAATGTACAACCACTGAAAGGCTCAGATTGTTATTTTAAGTGTCTGATAACATTATGGAAAGGACCCTACAGAGATAGACCTTTTTGTGAAAGAGTGAGATCCTTTTTGTTTAATTAGAAACCGCAGTTACATTGTTGTGTTCAGATCCACCAGACAAAAACAGGCATTTTACATCATAAATGGACCAGCTCTTTCTGGTCTACCAATCACTCAACAGGCTTTACAACACTTGTCACATTGCTCATCAGGACTTACACACTGAGCCATCAAGAGCATTTGGGGTCCAGTATCTTGCACACTTTGACTGGACTGGGAGTAGTCCTAGCTGGGAATCGAACCGTTGACCCTGCTATTAATGGAGCCACCCCGCTGTTGACACTTCTTTCAAACTTGACAGAAACAAAATAAAACTCAACAAAACATTGGTTTGTCTTCCTACTGTTCCAGCAATCACTACTAATCTCTACTTTGGTTGAAATAAACTTTTAATTCAGCATCTGAGAAATATGGAATGATTTTGGGCTGCTTCTCATTCATGAAACCAACTCAACAGTGGGTTTCTATGTTGCCAGAAGAGTTCCAACACAGAGACGTTTCAGGATGCCAGACACACTGCAGGCCTGTCAAGCTCCTCACACGTCCTGTTTTACCTGATTACTGCAGTTTTGGGGGTGACAAGGCTGAGAAATGACGTCACTTCTGTTCACCTTCCAGCTTAGCAGTTAATTTGTGTTTGAAAGACGGTGCTCATAAGCTGCTAGACCTGTTCTGCACAAGGTTCACACAGTGGTTGCATTCAAGGCCAGTTTATTGTTTGACAACTGTTTGTCTGCTAAATGTAAAGTCTCCATAGGCACTCACTTGTTGTGGAAGAGCAGCTTGAATGGCCTGTTTTGATCTCTCTCTCACAGATTGTTGTCTACCCACCAATTGTGGCTGATTTCACCTTCATTCATCACTGGTGACAAGACAACATGTAATTCCTGTTTGCTGTCAGTGGGTGTATCCCTTGTGTGCATGCACCTGACTGTACGTGTCCTCTTAGTAAACATCTGCTCCGTGGAGTTTTTCATCATTGTTCATGCACATCTCCAAGGACTACAGCAGCCTCACGAGTTAGGAGAGTTTAGGTTAGAAAAGAAAAAAAAGACACCTTGAATGACCACGAGACTGAGGTTACTAGTGTGGCCCATTAGCTTTGTTTATCAAAACAGAGGAGAGTTCAGTGAATGAGAAAGCCTTCACTTAAAACAGGTAAGCAAAGAAAAATGACTCTTTGACTCTTTATGTATATTTCAGCACTCGAAGAGAAGATGATCTCACCTTGTCAAATGAGCTAGTGTAACCAAGCTGTAATCTTAAGTGCAGTTGTGAATATCACACAGTAGGGTTATTATCGTTATTCTTATCACTATTATTAACAAGACGATGTTGTGTACTGCAAGAGAACTGTGACGAGAACTGGCTCTTAGAAACTCTCTTTTCATCATTTTAAATATAGTTGAGCTTGAAAGTTAATTTGTGACTTTGTGGACAGCAACAGTTGATGAACTATCTTAGCATCTCATATTACACGACCTGCTTAAGCAGCACAGTTGTGCGTCCTCAGACAAATAGGAATTTGAACATTTACGTTTCCATTCCAACTGGACAAAATCCATCTGATGATACTCCAGAACAGATACTAAATGGACCTTTTGGTGAGATTTTGTTTTGGTCACAGTTCAAATACAGTCTTCTTACAATACATTGTTTCATTTCCAAATCTTCAGACATTTTTCCAAATACGCAACACTGAACTCACCTAACCTAAAATGTGCCCGTAACAGATCATTGAATTAATTTCCAGTTTTAACATTATTTCTAAAATTATTTCAAATGAATGTGTTGATTCCAAACTAGGGTGGCAGCCAGGCCTTTTTTAGGGATGCCAACCCATGCGACCCCTCCTCTTGGTCTTTCTCTCTCATGACTCCTCTACACTTTGTTTTACTCTGGGATTTCTCTCCGTCTAACTCTGGGCTATTCAAAAACATTTACTGTTTTCCATTTGCAGTTGAATGGCGCAGTTCCACTGTCGTTGGCGTAACGTGTTTGTCTGTGTGTGCACCCCATGCATCTGCCTGCTCCTGATGTTGGTCTTTCTCACTGCCATGGTGTGCATGTCCATGAATGGTGCAGGAGCACCAGGGACCAATGTCCAGGAAACTCCTTCTCACTCCGTGGCCCCAAACGATTTGAGAAAAAAGAGCTTCATCCCACACGCTAAAACTTTCTGGCTCGCCCAAGATGAAGGTGCCTTTTGGAACCAACTCCAGCTGGCCATCGAACGCTATTTCAACCCCATCCTGCGCCCCAATGACTTCAGGAAGAGGATGGAAAATAGTAACTTTAATGAGTCCCTACTGATGGAAAGTTTCATTGAACTTATGGACTCGGACAGCATGAGGAAAAACTTTGATAAGCTATCATGGCAGATGCAAAAGTTTGTGAGCCACATGCAAAAGAGGGACTACCCAGCCATCATCCAACCAGATGGAGTATGTGGAGCCGGGGCAAAGGATGAGAAGGAGCCCCCTCTGCTTCTGCTGGCTATTAAGACGACAGAGCACAATTATAAGAACCGGATGGCCATTCGTCAGACCTGGGGCAAGGAGGGGTGGGTATCAGGACACAAGAACAGCAGTGGAGGACGAGAAAGTGGAGGATATGTCCGCAGGGTGTTCCTGCTGGGCAGAGAAGACCCTGAGGAAGAGGATGTGAGTTTATCTGAGCTGCTGCAGATGGAGAGTGAGCATTATGGAGACATTCTGCAGTGGGACTTCACAGACACATTTTTCAACCTCACCTTGAAGGATGTGCTCTTCTGGAGCTGGTTTTCAGGCTCCTGCAACCAGACTGTCTTTGTCTTCAAGGGGGACGACGACGTCTTCGTCAACACCCCCAACATTATAACCTACCTACAGGATCAGCTAAACAAGTCGCAAGCAAACGACACCATAGCGGACTTCATGGTCGGAGATGTTATAGATTCAGCCATACCCCACCGAGTCAACAACTCCAAGTACTTCATCCCAGACAGCTTCTACAGAGGCCTCTATCCTACGTATGCAGGCGGAGGAGGGGTAGTGTACTCGGGCCTGCTGGCCAAACGTCTACATGAAATCTCTAAAAGTGTTCACCTGTTCCCCATTGACGACGTTTATGTAGGGATGTGTATGATTCGGCTTAACACTCACCCCATCCACCACCCGGCATTCCTCACATTTGACTTCCCTGAAAAGGAAAAGAAGGAGCTGTGTTCATACCACAAGATTCTGCTGGTCCACAAACGAACCCCCAAGCAGATGGTTAGACTGTGGGCCGACCTGAAACGGACACAGAGGCCGTGTTGGGACGTGCCCCTGAGAAATGCAGTCAAGAAGTGAAACGAACCATCCCAGGTGATTTTTGATCAAGTTTGTCTACTGAAGAATTGTGCTACTACAGTCTGATAGCAAACATGTTCATGAGCTTCTGTTGAAGTTATGAAGAACTAGTGTCCGTATATTTACTTCAGGCATTCATGTTCTGGAGTTGTATTTAATTATATTAGACAATGTGAAAACCTTCGGGCTCATCAACATGCCAACAGCCTGAATAATATTTAATAATGTGTTTTTAAACCTTTTGCATATTTTAGTCAATTTATTACAGATTAAACATACTTCACATACACACTATTTTTGTATATATTTTTTACTTTTAAATGTGTTTCTCCTTCCTTTCAGACAGCCACTGGTTGTCATTCATCACATTTTATGAAAATATGTACATATATATATAGTCACGCTTTAGCTGATGTAGCAAAAGGTTAGATAAACTAACAATTGATATAAATTAGCTTTCAAGTTGCAAAAAATGCTAAGCTACTGTGACAAGTCGAGAAGAGCCATAACGTTTTCCGAACCGACTCAGTAATGTGTGTACCACAATGCTGAGCTTAAGTGTGCTAAATTTAGCTCGCCACAATAAGGTTGTGGTCATATCAGACCTAACAGCAGCTGAACCTGTACAGTGTGTGAATTTAGCAATGGTGTGTTTTATTGTTTATGAATTCAACAATGTGTTCTTTCTTCCCTCAAACATGTTATAAACCCTAAATTGCCTCTATTTATGTACTTAAAATGTGTTTAATCAAATGTTATGATTATTGTATTTTTGAGACTGTGAACATGACCTGAATTAGATGAGCTGCTGGTTTCAGCCTATCAGCTTCCTGTTATGTTTTATAGTGAAAAGCCTGTTATTGTTGCCATAGAAAACTAATGTGATGAATGTATAAAATACATTCCTGTAAAGTACTTCTTTCATGTCTAAATAAACTTTAAATAAATCCGGTTCTATTTCTGTGAAATCTTCCTCAATGACCTGATACTCTCAGAAACCGAATCAATGTCCAAAAAATAAAAGCCCAATAGACTTTTTTACATTCTGCTTTGCTTGTGCAAACAGTACAGACACTTTTTCTACTGATGTAATGTAGTTATGTGCAGAAAAAAACACATTTCATCCAATGAATGAATAATCCAAGACTTCTTCTTTTTTTAATGTTCACCCATTTTACGTTTAGATTTCCTTGTTTAATTACATTTTTATGGGTTTACAGATTATTTACTAGTCTATTTCCTATTTAAATACACATCTGCAATTATTAGCTATATTTAAAGGAAGGATGTTTTAAATAACTACTCTTCCACTGAATATAGTGGGATAGATCTCTCTAAACTGTGCTAATGCAGCCAGAATCTACAAGATAGAAGAAAAGAGTTGTGCTGCTATTAATTGTTAGAATGTGCTCACAAGACAATGCTTGTTTTTGTAAGGATGTGATAGTTGATATTGGGTTTCATACTTTTGTTTGACAACTATTAGTAACCTATTTCATTAGACCTTTTTTTGATAGATTATTATAAATATATTAATGCAGAAATATTTGTTTGTTTGGGGTTAAATACCCCGGACTTCGTCTCCTGAAACCAACACCCAAAGCTCATCTAATTGTCAGCCAAGAATGATTCTGCAACATCTTTCCTGAAAAAGCATAAATGTTTAATAAACTTGTTTTCCAGCTACAATATTTTACATTGGAAAGTTATTTCACAGCTTCCTGAACAAGCAAAACCACTCAAACAGTGAGATGCACTCAGCCATGTTCTACATTTAAAGCATGTGGTCTGACTAACTTAGTTTCCCCTCACGCCTCGGGGGCAAAACGTATGCAGAACATTGCAGCAGAACTGGTTCCACCGGCACCAAAAATTAACTGCTCAGAGGCTTTCTGTTAATATTGTGACCTTATCATTCAGGAATTTGATTGTGGTAAAAGTGGAAGGGGTGGGTTTATTTTTTATATCCATGCTTATAATACTTTTTCCAAAGAAGATGGTTCTTTGAATGTCTGTGACATCTGTGGAAGTCAGAGATGGAATGATCGTGTTGAAGTGACGTAAAGCACAGTTCAAGAATTTATCGATTTCCAAAGTGTTCACTACAAAAAACCAAAATAATCAACTGGGTGAGGAATGTCAGTAAAAGATGAGGCACAAAGATGTCATGACAATTAAGTACAAAAGGTTTCAAAGTCAATTGAAACTAAAGCATTTTGATAAAATCTTCTGGTGCCTGAGACAAAGAAATCTCAGGGGCTGTCGGCAGCATTCATTTGAAAATCAAGAGGCAGGCCAGCTAGTTACAATATGCTTCAGAGGACTGGTGAAACTGGAACAGTGTTTACATCGAAACAGGATTATACAGGAACGGTGCTTCAATTATTACCACACCCTCTAATCCAGCTTGACAGCCATCCTTACCCAGTAACTGAAATTAAAACATGAGAAAACTTGATTTTGGCAACAATACATGTTTGAGTTTCTGTGATTCTTTCTCTCTTCTTTATTTAGTCCTATGAGGGTGAATGAATAGGACAGTTTAGATTAGCATTACCCTGCAGATGTACAGTGTGGCCTGGGTAGACAGCATACCGCACAATGTACTGGCATTATAATAAAGGCTGCACTGGAGGTAGAGCATACAAACACGCTTTAGTTTGTCATTTCACCAAAACACTGAAACTAAAAGTAGAAATTTACAGAATTTCAAACAGACATTGGAAATAATGAAAATTATTATTCACTTTCAGCTAAATTTCTACATTACAGATTTTTCTGGATCAACAAGCAAAGGCTTATTTTGCTCCCTTAAGTTGAAGTCCATTCAATGAGCCCAGCCATTTAACGTCTACGGCAGGCTGCCATACAAGAGCTACAGAGGGAGTCCGTGAGGACGGCAGCGCAGCAGAGGACGCCGTCTCATGATTTCCACAGCTCTTACTCTTATTTGTCCGTATCCACAGTGCTGCCACTAGGAGCCATTTTCTGTCCTTCCCTCTTTGTGATTGTGTTCTTCCTCGCTGTCCTCCTCCTCACTCTCGCTGTACTGGTAGTTACAGCGATTGGTGTTTACAAAGAGGTCACTCTCATCATCATCATCAGAGTCGCTAACTCCCTCGTCCTCGCCTTTCTCCTCCGTCCCCTCTTCCTTTTCCTGCTGTTTGTTTGTCTTGTCCTGCTCCAACGGCTCCTCCATGAACCCCTCTGGCCTGAGGAAGTTAGGAAAAAAAAACAATACACTTGGTTACACCTGACAAAGTGATGCTGGTTGTGGCTGGTATCTGTGTGTGTGTGTGTGTGTGTGTGGCTGGTATCTGTGTGTGTTTCTGCTCACCAGCACTGCTGTTTCTGCAGGTACTGAATGTGATCCTTGTAGAGAATGAAGCTGATCTCTGCCTTCACCTTCTCTCCTTCATCAATGGGATCCACAATCACATAATCACCTTGGGGATCAGAAAGCTGACTTTAACTTCCAATACAAACATAAAAGGTCATTAAAAATGCAGAGAAATGACAGGATAAACAATTCTCCCAGTACTGTAATTCACTCAACCCCAGTCTACCTAAGAGCATATGAAGAAGAAAAAACAACCCCAACACTTCAAAAGATGACTGATTACCGGTATTTCCGAGACACCATGGCCACTGACAGAGTAGGAGATGGCCTAGAAACAAAACTTGAAAATCCTCCTGCTTCCCTCAACATTTTGCCTTCTCTTTGCGAGATACAACAACGACAGAAACACTTGAGTTTCTTCACCAGCAGAAAGCTTTTTGTGGAAACTCAACAGTAAAGTAGCCTTCTGCCTTCCAGAGACCCTTCGTTTAGTTTGTTTTTGACTGATGAAATAAGTTATTACTTTATAAAGAAATGATTTAAAATTGGCTTTAGTGTGGTACATTCCAGAAAGATAGATTATATTACACATTATTTTTCTAAAGAATCATAAAAGACTAATAAACTGTTTATCTTTCTTATCAAGGCTCGATAACAATGGCATAACTGCCAGTCAAAAATGTCATCACACGAGTGACTGATACTTGACAGGTATCAATATCTATTATCTTGAATAATGATCAGATCAAGCTCACAAAACAGGTGCAGATCAGTTTTACACTGACTCACAAATCACACATGTAGAAACATTGTGGATAAAAGATACGAGACTGATCATATTTCATGAGTGTATTTTGGAGCTTATATGAAATTAAAAGATCCCAGTGACACTAAATCTGATAATCCCAATGTTTAATGTTAATATTGCACATTTATAATGGTATTTATCTGTGAAATGTTGCCACTTGTTCCCAAAGTGAAACCAATGGCAGCAGAGAAGAAGATTTGCTTTGCAGATGTTTTCTAAGTAAGGCACTTAACATGTTTGTTAAACCTCAAAATGACTTTTTAGAGCTTTTAGATTGAGCTGCCTGATTTAAAATGATCTCTTTAATACAGGACATCACTCTCTCCCAGTGTTCATCGTTTAAGGGACACTTACGGTCTTACCACCGCAGCCAATTGTTCTTCTTTGTGAATAAACCTTCCACTAACTAACCGTAACATTAAAATAACACAAAATACAACAAAAATCCAGGACTACAGAGATTATTTTCCAGGACATTTGTTCATTTTAAACCCTTTTAATGAATTTCCTGGTGTTTCCATCACTCCTCTCTAAAATGTCCAGGTTTTCCAGGATCCTGTAACAATCTATAACACCTTTAAACCTAAACCTCCCGCCTTCACTTACCTCTCTTGATCCAGAGGTTCTTGCGAAACTTGGTGGGCATGCTCACCAGGAACGTCTCACCCTTGGCTGTGACAGCTTCGTGGAGGTTGTTACCACGGCTACCGACGACCTGTAGGAGCACAGGTAGAGGATGGAGAGAAGAGTCAGGTAACGTGAGAGGTAGTCATCTGTTAACACCTTAAAAATCCGCGCATGGGTCAATGTGTGGCTCACCTTCACGATCTGCTGGTTTTCTGTGGGCGTCACAAAGTCTCCAAGAACCTCCTTGACAACGTGTTTGCGCTTGGTGGCCTGTGACATGATGAACGGCGAGCTTCAGGTGCAGAGTTGTTTACCAGCTGAGCTTATGTGACTTAGACACCTGCAACTTTTTTTTTTTTTCAAGTTAATAGCTGACTAGCATTGAGCTAACGCAGTCACATTTAGCGGGTTTTTAACGTGCTGACCTTGAACAAAAGAGTAATTGTGTGTCTTCGAAGCAGACTTTGTTTTCCGCGAGGCTTCGCTGCAGGTAAACAAACTCTTTAAAGGAGGAAACACGCGGTGAAATATTAATAATCAGTGAATCCGAAACCACATGCGTTCCTGTTTTCTGACGACGAACGTTACACTTCCGGTGTCAAGTGTTTCAAAATAAAGGTCGTCGTGTTCTGCTCTTTTCAAAATAAAGGTCGTCGTCTTTCCCACCCTTTTGTCTCGTAGGCTAATATAAATGTAAATATAAATATAAAGCAGTGGTTCCTAAGCTTTTTCTTTAGGGGAGCCTTTTTCTATCACTGAGTAAACTGATCACCCCCTAATTGACATACTTTATAGATATTGTGGATACATTATTTATTATATTCAATGCATAATAATAACAACTGATCAACAATAACTTTATGAGCAGGTTATTTCTTGTGTATATTCATCACTTCATTCCTGATGTTTTTATACAATTATCTGTCTGTATTATGTATTTTTTCTATCATGTTTAACAATACATACTTAATTCAGTGTTTTCTACTCATTGTTCTGTTAGCTCTTTAGGGGTTTGAGGCTGTTTTAGGGAAGGCTCTTAAAATGTAGATTGTGTTCAGGTCTTCCAAGTTTAAATAATTATATACACTTTAAAAATAACAACTTCATTTAGTTTTATTTAGAGAACTGACTGATTTCTTTATTAACGTCACCTTTTAAATGACAGTGTTCTTAAAACCAATGAATTGTTAAATACTTTAACTATTAGAAGACAACAAAAGGGTTCAGTCACCACAACAGCAGGGCATGTTAGTAAAGTAAAATGTAATCTCACCTTTCTTTTCATATCACTATGGCATTTTAGTAATTTAATATTCATCGTGGTTTATAAATGCTGTCATTATATACACAGTGTGATCTAATCTATGTAGTAAGATCTCAAGTTTAATGTTGCATTTGTTTGTATTTTCAGTAAATAGAGTTTTATTCTGCTGTTGTAGTGCAAAGAAGAAAATAACACAATAAACAAAGAACAGGATTCTACACTTTTTTATTGCACCTTCGTTAATTTATCACTGTTTTACAGCAGTCTTTTTTACAATTACATTGCAGTTATGTAGTCATGTGCAGACCAGTATATGGTAAAACCCCCATTTTTCAACCTCCCTCGCTCAAGGACTACATAATATTAGCACTGAAAACAAAACATCAAACGGACAAGACAGAAGTCTAAATTACAATTAGTGCACAATCTTTACTGAACACAGGTTCTGTTGCTGTGAGGAAAGATGAGTTAAAACCAATAAAGCCTAAAACAACATTAATGGAATGAAATGCGCAGATAAAATCTACCTTAAAATGACCGTAAAATTTCTCAGCAAAGCTAGCTTTATTAGAGCTGGTATGTTTTTAGTAAATTGACAAGAGGTATAAGGTATGAGGAAGAAATACTAGTCTGGTTTAACGGAAAAGTAACATCAGTAGGAAATGATTGTGTGTTTGACCTAGAGCATCATGCAGTCTGGCTCAGATGTGTGCGAGTGTAAAAGTGAGGTCAGCTGGTAGCTGTGGTTCATGTGGTATGATTGTGTGCGTGTGTGTGTGTGTGTGTGTGTGTGAGACTATGAGGTGTTAGTGCTTTAGTTGACCACAGCAGATGAACACATCCTGTTGATCCCACACGCATTGGACCCTCTGTACAGGTAATAGTAACCCTGTATGAGATAGAGAGAGAAAGAGAGAAAAACTCAAATACTTTCACAACTTTATAATGTACAGCAACAAAGTATCAAAGTAACTTTATTTTTATTTGTCTTTACTGGTCATCAAAGCATCCAATTTAATGCAATATGGCACAAACAGTAGTTTTGTACAGTATTGGTGCAACCCAACAGAACATACTGAATTCTGTTAGACTGTAAAGGTAAAAGTTCATGTTATTGAGGTGAATATATAACATAGTCACATAGTGAATATATAACATAGTCACAGTTTAAAACAGGGTTTTTATGCTCACTTGGTCACTATTTAGAGACGGTCAAATATGATTTTTAGGTAACACAACACACTTGTAACTGAGCACTGATTTGTCTTGGCAAGTAAAGAAATTCTGGTGAGACTTTTAATTTAATATAAAATATGAATGTGACTTCATATATTAACAAAAATGTTAAGGCCTCTTTAAATCTTTTTCTTTTCCACAAACAAAGACTGTTAGTAGGTGGGGTTATCGTACCTGTTCTCCATAATCCTCTCCCCAGCTGTTTTTGATGGCCCAGAATGGGATTCCTTTACCTGAAAGCACAGAAACTTTTTAAACTTCACTGCATCTTGATTCACAAAGTTATCATGATTTATGTCAATATGCATGTTTTATAGGAGCCAGACTATAAATAGGACAAACAAGTAAAGGATAAAAAATCTCTTACGTTCTCCGTATCCAACCATCAGCACAGCGTGGTCGATCATCCAGGGGTTGCAGAAGATCTTCAAAGGGTGAGACACACCCTTCCTGTAGAACTACAGAAATCCAAAAGATGAGTAAAATGAATTAAATATGGTTGTATGGTAATGATTAAATTTAGTGAAAACAAGATGCATATTGGTATGATGTTATCTTTTCATGTATATTTTACTTAGAAGTGATAGCAGTGTGTTAAGTTTGTCAAATGTTAGTGATTCAGTCATGTTGTGGTGGATGAATATACTGTAGCAGGGACAAAACTGCTTACCTGCATGGCAAAGGCATTCAGAGCAACAGAGATTGGTCCATTCTCAGCCAGCCAGGCTGCAATTTCTGAAGACAAAAAAAAGAACAATTAGTCAATTTCACAGCCCTTTATTTCAAACTGCCACACGGTTGAATTTTATAGTTACAATTAATGCACCTGAAAAATCAACACCCATTAATCTCAACTATGTATTTGTCATTGAAACAAGAAATCACAATTCACTGGAAAATCTAATTAATGTCTCACCACTTTCAGGTGTTCATTTTAGTAGGAATTTCTGTTTATGCATTTATCACTGCTTTGTCTTCCCTCTATTCTCTCAGCCCACTCACCCTTCTCATCTTTGGACAGCTCCACAGAGCTGTTGATGTAGGCAGCCACCTTCCCGGTGGTGAAGTCGCACCTCTGCTTGCGTCCGCTGTAGGAGTAGTCAGTCTCTGACTCCAGACCACCTTAACAACACATGGAGGAATCACGTGTGTTAATGCATGCTTTTCAGGATTCTACACAGGATGGAAAAGTATGGAATTTGATTTGCTCTTTTCCAGGTCAGGATAAGTATGGGGAAAATATCTGTTTTTTTTAGTATTCTGTGTTCTAAAATATAAAATCTAAATTTTTGAAATTAAGACCAAAAGAATACGTGGGGAGCAATAATTGGGTCTGGGTTTGGTGTTAATCGATTTGCATGAGCTACAGTACTGAGATACAGTCTAGTGGCAATTATTTGCCAGCATAATAGCATATACAGCCAGAATGTAACATACATGTTAGCAGTTAGAATTTAAAAATATTTATTTACATAATAAAATTATAGCTATTTGTACACAGATGTCAAAAAATCTCAAAAAGCTTTTGTAGGATGCTCAGAGTCAATAAATAGCTGAAATTTTGTCACGAAAAAATGAGAATTGGAAGCTAAAATGTTTTAAAGTGGTCGCACACATCACTTTCTTACCCAGCTTCTCAATAGCCTCATAAGCATTTGATGGCAGCCCTCCTCTGCACGCCTGGTCCAGCCCATCACAGTCAACCAGCTCTGTGGGAGACAGATCAACGAACCAATCAAATCATGGCTTTTTATCTGCAAATGTGAACAGTGATTTGTTTTCTGCAGGAGCAAGTTATTTAATTATTAGCATCATCTGTGTTTGATGTGTGTATTACCTTGTTCAGAGAGGGACAGCAACGTCCCATTTTTCAGGAACCACTGGCCTTCAATGTTGCCGGTAACTGAAAATGCCCAACAGGATCCACACATTCCCTGCAAGAAGCACACAAACACACCACAATCAGCATGAAGTTGGCAGGAGGTATAATTTATCCATTAGTAACATGCTATTTGTGGAGACTGCCCTATAATTAAGCCTGTATGTTGGTACCTGGTTCTTAATGGGACTGACGGCTCCGTGATCCCGCCAATCCCAGCTGGCAGGGGCGGGGTCTCGGGCAGGAGAGGCCGGTTTCATTGGTTGATGAAGAGTCCACTGACTCAGTAGCGCGTTCAGGTACGTAGAGCGAAACTCTTCCTCTGGAGAACACAGACAAACCTTTGGGTTACTTAAAAGGATGTTTTAAAAGAAAAGCTGATGCAACACATGAAAAGCAGAAGATGCATTTCTTCATTGGAAAGTGTGTGGAAATACAAACAGATGCAGACACACAGACACACACACACACACACACACACACACACACAAATACACACAGACACGTACCAGTTAAGTCACTGAACTTGGTGACTCCATACTCAGCTGACCCTTGGTCCAAAGATTGGAGCTTCTCAGCAGTCTTCAGGTTCTCGTGGAAGATGCGCAGACGGCGGTCTGCCTCTGCAGGATCAAAGGTCAAAGAAACATATATGAAAAAAAATGATTTGCCCCTGACAGTGAAAGACTCTGTTTTAATGCCCTGTATATTATTTTATTTTACATTTTATGAAATACTAGGACACACAACTCATTTCATGTGACATATTTGAATCCATTAAGCAACAAAACAAAAAATATGTGAAGCTAGAAATACAGTATCACTCCACCCTTCCTATCTCTTCTCAAACAAACAGTCCTTATCAAAACTTTTGAGACAAACAGTTACCATGTCTACACCTGTTTGTGTTTGTGGATTTCTGAAATTGTATTTATAATTATGCAGTTAAACTGTATTCTTTGTTACTTTAAATGTGCTCCTTATTATTCATATATCATTTATACTGATGAAATGCTCACAATCAATCAGTGCAGATGATTTAATAATTCCAAATGCTCTGAGTCAATAGGGGATATTTTGCCTTGTGTTCAGGTTTTCAGTCAGTATGAAGGACTTTTATTGTTGTTAAGAGAAAGCTGTGAATACATAAAGGGTTCAGTGCATGTAGACAGGAATGTGCCACTATTGGTATGTTCCTTATATACATCTCAGTCACTCACCTTCCTGGCTGCTGTAGACCTTATTGTATTTCACCATGAACTCTTTGAACTGACCCAACAGCTGCACAGACTCCTGCCAGATAAAGAGCAGACAAACACAAACTTTATCCTCAATCTACAAGTTCAACAAATGGACTGCTGGAGTATGTAAGAGGCAACAATCTGCATCGTTGTCTGTCATGTTATTAATCTGAATATGACATCATTTATACCTCCAGAGGCTCGCTGGTGGATGCATCAATCGCCTTGTTGGTCTCCTCTTGTTGAGGCTCAGCTGATAACAGACATCAAGGAAAACATGTTAAGGGTCAACGTGTATAAAACACCTAAATTCGTGTTTCATGCGTTCAAATGTAACCCTCAAATAAATGATACTGTTGCATACACATTGCTTAACATTTATTGGTCGACTCGTCCCTATTTTACCTTTAAAGCTTCCCTTATCGACCAGATTAGTAAACATTAGCGTTACATAATAACTGAGAAACAAAGGTCAACTTTATCAAACAGCTTTTGGCAACATGCAAACAAGATATGTTTTTTTTTTTTTTTTACATAACTTCTTTTGTTTCAGTGCACTAACTGGTTGGTTTGGTCTGCTCGGTAAGATCGGTGCAAATGGATCCTTTGATTATCTGGGAATGTTTCTTAATCATGGTGGTGTCAAACAGCACTTTACAGATTATTTTCTATGTTTCTATGTATATATGTTGGTTTAACAAGTTTGATAGAGCCAATGTCATCTTGGCAGATACTGCTGCTTTTACAGGAAACATCATGGGATAACACAGAACCTCTTGGGATAAGAATAAACACAAGATAACAGTGCAGAGGAATCTCAGTCATTCACTGTGAATAGCAGCAGTGTTCTGCAGCTTTCAGGAGAGTTGTAACTGAAAACCCCATTAATCCTCACTGTGTAGTGATAAATGTTTAATTTTTGGCTGCTGACTGACCTTTAGGCTGGCACTTCTGTTTGAGCAGAGTTGAACTGCCCTGCCAGGGAATGTCCCACACTTCGAACACACACACCTCCGTCTGATATCAGCAAAAAACATACATATATATTACACAGTGAATCAACCTGATTATATTGTCATATGCAGCATATAAGAGTGCTGAAAACACACTGCAGCACAAGTTAAAAAAAACATTAAACAGAGAAAGTTATTTATAGCTCTTGTACGTCTTTACATTTTTTTATTTCTATTTCTTTTGCCTTGAGTTGGATCGAGGTTGTTTTTAAAAAAAAAAAAAAGGGAACAGATTTCCGCTGCAAAGTCTAAGAATAGAGAACGAAGCAAATAACAAATATATGTGTCTGTGTTTTGCTTGCATGCATGTGGGCCTGAGGCATGGACCATGCTTGGGGTTACTTCAAGTCAAAACTCAAGTCACAAGATCAGATGTCTGGTGACGTGTGAACAAACAGGACGACATTGCGGCAATAATAAAATCGATTCACAAGCACATTCACATTTTGGGTTATTACATACTTCTTATGCTGCGATTTTCAAACCATGACAGTGACCTAATTTCTCTCAGTGAGTTAATCTCTTTCACTAATTCACAATCCCTCTCTCTCTCTCTCTCTCACACACACACACACACACACACACACACACACATATACGAACACACACATCCTACCTTGAGTTTCTGTGACTCGGGATAGAAGTCACATGTCCTGAGCATGGTGGATTTCTTGCACTGAGTGTTACTCAGCTCCACTGTTATAGTGTAGCGGATGCCCTTAACCAGCTGGAAAACACAAAAATACACACATACACTGGTTATTTTTAATGTACAAACAAGACATTATACCCTTAATAAAGCATTTATTCAGACATGAGTCTAATTGTGTTTAAGCCTGGTATACTAGTGGTGATACAATGCATGTGTATTTGCCAGACAAGGCTTTTATTTGTGAGTGTATATTGACTATATGTGGATCTCTGGATGCTTCTTTTGCTGCATTGACACTCTGCTGGCACTAGACTGCACAATGCAACTCCAGTGAGGCCATTTGGTGGCGGTGTGAAGTCCAGGTTAAACTCAATGACAGGACTTCCGGCCAGAATTAAAAAATAAACCTACTGAGAAACACATATTTTCAGAATGTGCCAAAAAAATTAAACAAATCAAAAATGTGATAACTGGTACATGAAAGTGGGAATAAAAACGTACTTAATTTGAATGTACGCATGAGGAACATTTATACCGCAGTTACCAGTTTATGCCATTATACAGCCGCACTCTTGTTGTTGTTGTTGTTGTTGTTGTTGTTTACAAATCACATATAATTCTTATCGCACGGAAATACGTCATTTTATAATCAATATTCTGCCTCCGTACCAGTGTGATCTGACAAAATAAAACGCTACAGGTCTCAGAATAATATATATATATATATATATATATATATATATATATATATATATATATATATATAAAAACATTACATACATTTTACAACGTTTACCTGTTTGGTGGCGGAGAGGAGTCGGCTGACTTTGCGGAGGTGCATGGCGTTGGAGCCCCGGTTGTAGCGCTCCTCGGCGAACTCCAGAGCCTTCTTCAGGCCCGGGTCGGTCTCCTGCAGCCGGATGGGAGAGCCCGGAGGCCCGAACAGAGGCCGGTCGAGGTCCTCACCGAGCCCGAGCACCGAGCCCAGGGCCAGGCACAGGATCAGCGGACAGCAGCGGGGTCCGACCATCATGTTGGTCCCGGTGTCAGAGAGACTAAAGGACCGGTGTCCGGTGTGTGCTCAGTTAAAAAGAGAGAGAGAGGGAGAGAGGATTGTTTGTAGAAGAACAATCGATCTGGAGTTTATCAGCACCGATTAAGAGGTAACGACACCGTGTTGTTGCCAAACAGATCTGATGGTGAGTCTGTGGGAGGAGCGTTAATGAGCGGAGTGTGTTCAAGAGCAGTTAGACCGCTGCACACTGGTTCAACAATGGTGTTATTTATTTATATTTATATATATTTATATTTATATATATGTGTGTGTGTGTGTGTGTGTATTGCGGTGGTGGAAATGTTTCTGTCAATGGGTGGAAAACAGATTTTGAACAAAGAATAAAAGTCTTATTGGTTATTCTTGTAAAAATGAATAAAAGTCTTTAAGATCCAATAAGATCCTAGAAAATCCTTATTTTTCATATAAAAGGGGGACTACAGATTTTTATAATTTCCTAAGACTCCTAAGGGATTTTATTGGCAACAGTAGAAAAAAAAAAACAGATTTCCAATATGTGAAAATCCTCAAAGAAGCACAATTTCTTTCTGTAGAATCTGTTTTATACATTTATGGGAATACAAAAGGATTTTAGTAATGTAGTAATGTTATAAGGAGTTCGGTCTAGACCTGCTCTATTTGAAAAGTGTCCTGAGATAACTTCTGTTATGAATTACAAATAAAATTTAATTTAATTTAATTGGAAAAGATGAAATAATCCTATAGGACTTTTTGACTGAGGTATAAATAGGATGAAAAGACAAATCAACTGGTCATTATATATATTAGTGATTGCAAGGGAGCAACTTTACATATTTAGCCAAATAATTATTTTTCTTTCACCACAAAATGTGTGTTTTACTCTCTGAAGGGAGGCCATGGCACTGATAGACGATACAGTGAAACTGAATGTCTGATACTGACAGACTTTACACAACTATCATTCTTCTGCACATGTAGCCAACATATCCAAATATTTCTATGTTTTATCTTTATCTATATTCTCTACGTGTTTACTGTAATGCACCATTATTACCAAGGAAAATTAACTGCATGTGAAAACTTGGCAATAAACCTGATTCTGATTACTAAATACCAAAATATTTTATATTTAAGAATCTCGCTGTGCAACTTTCAAATACAAAGAAGTTTTGATTAGCCTCTAAAACTTTTTTTTACCTAAAAAATGATGATAAAATCTCTTTTTCCTCTTTAGTGGCACATAATCACAGCCGGAGTTGGGCTAGTTACTCATTACTCTTTTAAAAAGTAATATCATTACTCATCATTCCTCCACGATTACAAAAATGAATCCAAGGATGTGATTGGATTTCAAATCAGTAGAGGGTGGCATCAAAAGTAATTTTTAGCAGTAACTGTAACATTATTAGTGAAATATATGTGTAATTACTTATAGATTAGATTAGATTAGATAGATACTTTATTCATCCCCAAGGGGAAATTCACAGTTTCCAGCAGTATCCACAAACTGATAATAATAATAATAATAATAATAATAATAATAATAATAATAATAATAAGAGGAGGTCAACTAATAGAATAAAGTAGAATAGCTAAATAACGAGCATTGGGTAAGTGTCCTAATCCAGTGTTTGAAAGGCCTAAAGTGGCCTTATACTGGGAAATGCAACATTATTACTAATAATGAGTTACTGCCCAACACCGATCACAGCCAATAACAACAGATCGATGGGTTGTTGCAGTGTAACCACTAGAGGGAGACAAATATCACAACTTTTCGACCATCTACGTGGCCTTTTATTTTGAAAAAAAAAAAAAAGTCCGCTTACATTGAACGTATATCACACTTTTATTGTGGAGGATGCTGGGCGGAAGTGTTATTGTTGTCGCTGCTAGCCGGAGAAGCACAGGCGGCTAGCGCTGCTAGCACCGCGGGCAGAAACCTTCATTTTAAACTTACACACACAAAAAACAAAAAGCTGCCCGACAACATTCACCTGCAATCTCTCTGTAGCGTCAACAACAACAACAACAACAACAACAACAACGGCGTCAAACTGGCAGTTTACCCGTCGGACGACAACATTGCCGCCGTGAACGTTATGACTAATACATGTTTAGGGATCAGGTTGTTTTCTTAGCATTAGCCTCCGAGTAACAAACAAACAAACAAACAAACAAACAAACAAACATGGAGACTCGGGGGATTGAAGACATGTTTGACTTCCGTCGGTAAGTCGGAGCTAGCGAGCTAAAGGAAGCCGCGGTCAACCTTGAGCTAACGCTAAGTAGCCACAGTGATGCTACATCTGGCGGCTAACTGCTAGCCGCGGTAACCTTAAGCGTGTGTGTGTGTGTGTGTGTGTGTGTGTGTGTGTGTGTGTGTGTGTGTGTGTGTGTGTGTGTGTGTGTGGTTGTGTAACGTTAATGTTTTTATTACCTAACGCAACGTTGTAAGGTTGTCTTTTTTTTTTTTAAAGGGTTGTTGAAGTTTCACGTCGTTAAAAATTGAATTAAAAGTCTCTCTCGATGGTTGAGGGTGAAGTTTTCTGACTCTCAACTCCTTTCGTGCACAATAAGACCAGATTACACGTGTTAGAAACCCTCTTTGTGTGTTAGGGGGGAAAGGAAAACACCAGATTAGGGAGGTAAAAGTTGTGCCTGGCTCGTTTAATCCGTAAATAAATGGGCTCGTATTTCTCTTTGAGTTTCAGGTGGGTCATTGTTAGGCCTGTAGGAGTAGCAGTAGTGATTCTGGTGTCAAAATAAGATGTTATTTAGTCGTTATATCTTAATATTTGGCCTCCCAGGTGTTCTACCAATCACGTAGAGACACGTGTAAAGGCGCGGACTGTGTGTCGATTCTGAAACTAACATGAAGGAGGAGTTGTTTGTTCCTAATAATAAAAGCGTTGGTCTCTTGTTTTAGTAGTTTACACGCAGGTGTAGGTCAGATATTGCTGCTTTCTAACTGAGAAGTATCAACAATAAGTGGCTGAGTGGGGAGTTTTTGTTGTGATGCAAATGTTATAAAGATGATTATAAGTTAATGGTAGTCCATACATGTGTTTTTTGTCTTCTTCTGACCAGCGGTGGCATTTCACCTGTATTTTAAAATGTTACTTTACAACTGTGACTCTCTCTCTTTGCACAGGTTTCCCAAAGATGCGGTTGTCCTCCTGCTGTTGCTGGTTTACTTTCCAGTTGGCATATGTTTGACGTTTATACGGATTTTTATCGGTGTCCACGTGTTCTTGGTCAGCTGTGCACTTCCAGAAAGTTTTATTAGAAGGCAAGTATCAGTTTTTATGCTGTTTAGTTGTAGTTGTGGCGGCAGTAGTCGTCACATGTGTGCATTAATAATAACTGAGCTACAAGTAGTAGAAATGTTAGTAAGAACAGTGACAGGCAATGTATTGCACGCTATGTACTCCATTAAAAATAATTGCAGCATGTGTGCCTCTCACACCTATAATGACTGCATTAAATTAAATTCAGCCACCTCGTTAAACAGCATTAAGGCGAGTGGCTGCTCGATATATATTTGATATGGTGTGTGTGTGTCTATTACCCAGTGACCTCTCGTAAAATGAGACCTGGCTCTCAGTAATCCCCGTGTTTAAATAAATGGGATGACTGTGGTATTAAAGAACATTAAATTAGATAACACCTGTAAATTACCTGGATGTTGCTGTAAGAGAAAGAAAACCATACTGAGCTCATCCCTAAAAAAATAAAATAAAGTATGTTATGAATTCCCACTGTTAATAAAATACTGCCCCAGGTTACATCCACCCTTATTTCTTTTGTTCACTCAGATTTATTGTCAGGATTATGTGCTCAGTCCTGGGGATGCATGTGCGACAAAAAAACCCTCGCTCCAGAGACAGAAACACCAAGCTGTACATGTGCAATCATGTGACCGAGTTCGACCACAACATAATCAACCTTCTGACCCCCTGCAGTACCGTAAGTGTTTGACTATTGATATAAGATCTGTGAAATGACTTTTCCTCGTGCGTCTGTTTGTGTTAACACATGCTGCACTTACAAACTACATGTCAGCGTTACATTGAAGCTCTGTGAATAGTCTCCTAGTGAAACTGCGTCATGTCCTGTGTGTAAATCTCAGATGACTCTGTGTGCACTGGTGCCTGAAGCGTATTTAAAATCTTCCATGCTTAGTTTAAATCCCATCTTTGACCGTTTCCGTTTTACTCTTTAATACATTGAATGCAGTTGTAGGTGAACTTGCTGCGTCTCTTTCTGCTCATTAGCCCCAATTAGAGGGCTCCACAGGCTTTGTGTGTTGGGCCAGAGGCTTCATGGAAATCCATTCAGCACCTGGCCAGGAAGCAATAGGAGAGTCTCTTCAGAGGTACAGCTCCACCGAAGGCACCCCGCCTTTGCTCCTGTTTCCTGAAGAAGACACCACAAACGGTCGTGCTGGCCTGCTCAAGTTCAGGTTAGCGCTAACATTTTTTGTTGCAGCATCTTAACCACTCTGTGTAAGAACACATGCTGCTTTATGCCACTGAGAATAACGGTTATTATTTGAGAGTGGAAATGGTTGATGTAATACCAGCAGGATGTATGACCCACTGATGAGATGTAACATTTCCCACAAATTCTGCTCTTGTTTCTAGGTTTTCATTTCATTCATATTTACCTACAGTAATGAAACCAGACCTGCAGCACAGCAGTGACAGTTTGGACACAGTGTTTTGGTCTCATACTCTTGACTTTGATTATGAAAAGAAATAGATTTAATCAGGCCAGCCACAAATTATAATTCCTATTCCACTGCACTTTGAGATAGAGATGAATTACTTTGGCAGTTGTTTCTCCACACTGATTTCCCTCTAGAGTTCTGTGGGAAAATTAGTGTAAGGAAGGGAAAACAGCTGCAAAATTGATTCATTTCTGCTGTTAATTTAAGTAACTCAGAACCAAGTGTGCTATATCTTCAGCTGGGAGGAGCACTTCATAATGGGATCAAGAATATCTCAGTGCTTTTGTTTGCACAGTTCACTTTATATTAGTTTTCACTGCTCACTGAATTACACCAACACGCACCACCAGCTTACTGGTTGTTTGCCTCTCGATTCGCAATGTTAACTTTATGAATATTTTCCAATTAAAGAAATGTGTGTTCTTTTTCTTCTTGCTTGTCCAACTCTTGTGTGTTTCACAGCATACAGACTCACCAACTAACATACTAAATATATTTGTTTCCTCTCAGTTCTTGGCCTTTCTCATTGACTGATTCCATTCAGCCTGTGGCCTTACGGGTGACCAGACCATTGATTGCTTTGGTAATGTCATTTGAACTTGCATTTTAAGACAGAAATAGAGTGCAGGGATAAAATACAAAATCAGATCGATACCATTACCAAAATGTGATTATTGTGTATTTCCAGCGTTCACAGTTTGAATCTTGAATGTTTTGATGAATATCTGAGTGTTACACAACAAGCACAAGGAGAAGAGATTTCTTAATGTGGTTGGTAATGACACGTAGGCCATGTAACAATTTAACTGCCCCTAACGAGACACTGAAAAGCAAAATGTCAGCATTCAGAGAAAGGAAGGAAATCAGCAGGCATTGTGTACACCACTTGCCAGCTATGGAAAATTATTACAAAATGAGTGAAATTTCCTGGAAGTATCAGCAAGCTGATTAGTGTGGGCTGCTTAAATCTAATCCATCTATCTCAGTATGAAGAATAATTCTGTCTTGTGTTGTTGTGTGCAGCAGTAGTTCACCAGGACACATTACCCCAGCTACTATTGTCCATATTCTTTCTGTAACTGTCTGTGCCTCCAAAGCTGAATGTAGGACATGTCACACTACACTGTAATATAACACAATGATTGACTCCAGTGTTTTTTTTGTCTGTTCACAGAGCACACCAGAGTCAAGTTGGCTGATGGAGCTGTTGTGGACTTTTTTTGCTCCATGTACAGTGTATCATGTAAGGTACAAAATAATTTGTATCCTTATTTCTACCAACACTTGCTTTTTATAGTTGATTCCTGATGTTCTGCAGCTGAATGATCAATAAAAATCCAATAGTGTTTTTGTTCATTTATCTTGTAAACTGAGGTAGTGGAAATCTAAAACCAGATCCACCGAGTATAAAACACAACTTGGCTTTGGTACAACCCCATGCTCATCTTCTTTAGCCAGTAATGTTGATTAATGAGCATGAGTTTCAAATCGTTTAAAAACAAAATTGCTTTCGTAAGTGATTTTTCTTTTAATGCTTTGAGTCTTTTAAATAGCTTCTTGTTGATTTTCCTACGTTTCTGGTGCCATAATTGATGTCAGAATTACTTCTTGTTCTGCTTTTTTTCTCCATCCCAGTTGGCTCCCACCAGTGTCCAGACAAGATGGGGAATCCATGCAGGAGTTTGCCAACAAAGTCCAGGAGGTAAAAGCAGCTGAGTAATGAAGGGTTAGATTTGTAACAGTAAAAACAAATATGTAGACAAAATGTTATACAGTAATGTAGCTTAGGCAATTTATTAAATTTTCTGGCCCCAGTGTCTATACACAGATCCCTCTTTAGTAAACAACAAGGATCTTTCCGTAGTTAGAGCATAAACATCATTAGAGTTATGATTCCCCCTATATTTTGGTCATCACTATCACTAATTGCCTCCTCTTCTGTTCTTATGTGTGTAATTTAATTTCAGCTACTAGCTGGTGAACTTGGCTTGGTCTCCACTAAGATCACCAAAGCTGACAAAGCAGAGCACATCAAAAGGAAAAGGCACATTGTACCACAAACATCTACAAGTAAGTAAATAAATGTGACGTTCTACATGTAAAGACTCAGTTCAGTTTTTTTTGGGGGGGATGTCAGCTGTTCTCTTCCTTACCCCAGGTGTCAGACCTGCCTCTATTGGCCTCGGTTTCATGGTCCAGAGTTTGGGCACGGATGATCATAGGATTGCTAAAATGGCCCAACAGGTGAAGGATGTGCTGCCTCATGTCCCACTGAATGTAATCACAAAGGACTTAGGTAGGACCCAATCTCAGTGCACGTTTACATTTTGACTGCACACCCCTGACACCCCACTGCAATGCACTCTCTGCTCTACCGTGTCCTCTGCTGTGTTCATCCTTCCAATTTCATAACTCGCCCTTCCAAAAATTTGAATAGCATTAAAATGCAATGCCCTTACAGTTGTCCCCTGATTGTGTACAGCCAAAACCAATTGTGTTGACACGACCATAACAAATCTGCTGGAGAACAAGGAGGAAACTCAAATGGAAGCAACCGAGACGTCGTCATATGGGCCTTCGAAGAGCAGCTCCTATTCCTCCGGTCCTGCTCCCACCATAAAGGTTTGATGATTCAACACGCCGCTCTCGGGAGGGGGGGGATTAATCATATAGGAACCATTTTAATCACATGTGAACATATGAAGTTTATGCCCTAGGATTTTCTTAAAAGGGGATTAAAAGTTCAGTTCAGCTACTTCAGTGTTATGTCACATTGATTGATTTGATTTGCTTTCAAATGCAATCTGTCCAGCTTATTGTTTTGGTTTGTTGTTGTTTTTTTACTAAATTGGTAATTCCATTTTGTTTTCATCCACAGCCTGCTGCCAAATCCTTTGGGAGATCACCAACTGACAGACATTTGTCTCTCCAAGAGAGAAAAGAAGCGCTGTACAATTTTGCAAGAAGGTGAGCTTTTCTTGTCGTTAGCAATGTCACATCAGAAAGAGAATATTTTATTGTATGAAACAGGAGCAGGGAAGGTCAGCCATACATTGTGGGATTAGATTTTCTTTTAGTTTCTCAGCTATTGTTTGAATCCAATATTTCTGGACTCACTGACAGTACTCTCTGTTCAGTCATGTCAGTTCATGTTAATAAGACCCCTCAGAGAAAAGCCAACTGCTTCATTATGCACAACATCTTGCAGGTGTGCCGAAGTGAACAGTGTTGCAATATTCATTTGGTTTGAGATTAGAATTAATTCCTCGGGATCATGTCTGTCGCTCATTACTGAGTCTACATAGTGTTAACGCTGCACAAGGCATGTAAAAATACACCTGTCTTCACTAATTTAGACCCTACAGATTTGTTCTGAAATTCAAACAGCAGTGAAGGAGCAAGTCATAGAGAGAAAAGTGGACTCTCTCCAACATCTCTTAACTGTTTCGTCTCTTTAACAATACTGTGGGTCGTGAAGTTCAAAGTTTTTGATCGGATATCTCAGCACATTGGAGGTGACACCGCACACAAACACCTACTGTAAGCTAAAGCTGCACTAATCAATATTTTCATATCAACATTGGGTCAAATAACTGTGTGTAACCTGAAAGAGGTCAGTTATAGTGACCCAGAGTCATCACCCACCCTGCAGTTATCCTCAGCTCTACGGCGCTCATCAGCATTGTCTCCAGTCTCATCAGGGAGCTTCAGTTCAGGTTCCCGAGCACCAAACGGAAAACAGAGCAACTAGCTGGTGAACATAATGGAGCCGGATATTTTTATCTGGACTTGGTGACGAGCAAATTGGAGCTAAAAGGAGAGTGAATGCTGGTCATCGCCTGAAACATTACTCCAAATGAAAGCTATTGTTGCTCTGTAGCTGCTGAATGTGTAAACCAGCAAGTGTTCTCTAGCATGTTTGCTTTTTGACAATGTTGTTTACTTGTGGTGTTTCCCCCAAGTGGCCAAAACAACTGTGGCATAAAAATGATGTACATGGAAAAATAACATCCCCAGTGGGCCTCGATTTAGTCTCGCCCTGCCAGGCGAGAACAGCGGCAAACAAACGTATGCTCCTCACTTCAAGGACACACCTTACTTGAAACACTGCTCTCCCCCCCCAATTCTCTTCTGTAGTGAAACAAACTGGAGATATATAATTAAATAAAAACCCCACATATACTTTTTAAAAAATGTTTTTAGTTTGGTGGAAAATAAAGGTCAGAGGTGCCCGCGTGCAAAGGGTTGCTAGGAAGAGAGCAAGTTTGATGAAGATGATATAAAATGTATAGAAACTGCTGTATGACGTCAGTAATGGAAATATTTTCCGAATATTGTGCTGTCTTGTGGTAGTTGAACATTGAAGTGGCCCTCCTATGAGATGCCCCAAGCCAATTTGAGTTTAAGACCCCCTGATTAGGAGAGTCTCACCTCAGTGTAATGTATAATATTACTCTAGGGCAAAAAGGATGTTTATTCTTGGGTGAAACCCCAAGAAGTTAACTCTGACTGTTTGGGTTTTATCTGTTTTTCCTCATCTAGACGCTACATTGAGAAACACGGATTGGATCAAGAGGACAGTCACTGAACACACGTTGGGTCAAGCCATCATTGAAAGCATATTCAACTTGCATAGCTGTCTAATCTGGATGGTGATTTTATATTCTGTGAACTGGTTCTTTTGAAGAGCAGAATTGTTAATAAATGCAAATAATGGAGACAAGTATTCAGAACATGTCTATGTTGATGGAATGGTGATTATGCATGTGTTTAATTCTTCATTCTGGCTGATACATAATTTTGATAACAATTTGTATTACGATCCACTGACTGTGAATCATCTATTTATTTTTATAATGTCCAGAGTCGTCGATGAAAAATAAAGTTCAGCTTGACCTTAAGAGATTTGTCACTGATGTGCTTGGTTTGGGAAGAAATTAAGGGGGGGGTTATTCGTTTTAAATGTGAATTGCATAAAATCTGTGAATTGATAGAATATAAATAGAATATCAAATTTATACATTTAAAGACTACTGTCCTGTTTCTTTATAGTTAATAATTCATGCCTGTATTACCCCTAAATACAAGTCCTGCCACCAAATCCTGCCATAAGAGGGAGCCAGAGAGTTAACCAATGCTTGTACTACTCCATCTCTGGTCCCACAACAGTTCTTGAGAAAACTAATCTGGACTGGAGTCTCTTTTGTCCTTTTGTTAGGAAAGATCTGGTCATTGGGGCAAAAACACACAAAACAATAAAACCAACAACTGTCCAAGACTGGTGATTAACAGTGATTTGTGCACTTGGAGTGTTTTAAATGATGTGAAGCAGCATGTTGAGGTCAGATTGGTTATATACACATATAAATGTATGTGTATATATATATATATATATGAGAGGAAAACATGTCTTGAGATTGAATTGCAGTGTGAACTGATATTTAGATCTACAGGTAAAGCTTTTAGACAGCCAGTAAAGACAAAAAATAAATAAAAACTTAAGTGACTGGCCTACATTTATACAGTAACTCTTGTTTACTGTATATATAAAGTTATGTCTCAACTAAAGGCTGTCAAGATATTTTCTTATGACCCAAGTGAATGTCACACATCCACAAAGTCCGCTACTTTTCTCTGTGCCCTAAACGTCTCATCTCGGCAGCTCCAATATCAAAGAAAACACAGCGAAGCGAATACTTGTAAATTTTTCTCATTTGTTTTACTCTTGCACCTGAACGACAGTGTAACGACTAATAACTCTAATCATTTATTTATGTATGTATTTAATTTATTTTACAAAACGTCCACTGCAGGTTATAAAAGCCGAACATTTCCCACAGTCCGTAAACGCGGCTTTACGCTACACCGGATACGACGTCCTCTTTCTTCCACAGAGACGAGCTTAAGCTACCGAGTCCGCGATGTCAGGTGTCGAAGAAACTTTAAACGAGTCCGTAGACATTAAAGAAGACAAAGAGTTTGACGTGGAGGCTGAAGACCACATCGGGGATGATTATTTTGTTGACCCGACTCGGTATTTATTTTACAGGTAGTGTTTGAATCATCGTTTTCCATGAATGTTTGCGTCAGCTAGCTCGGTGAAGGTAGCCGCACTAACCGTAAATACTCCTTCTGTTAACTTTAATTTGAAATATGAGTTATGTTAATGTTTTTTTTTTACACAGTAGTGTTACCACCGGTGTTATTGGACTCAACTGTAAACGTGAAACACTTATTTATTGTGCTAATTGGTTGTATTTTGAAAGTTCAACCCCCAAAACCTCTTGCTAAGTAGGATATCTGAATAACAACCACAAACATGGCATCTGTGTGTGTGTGTGTGTGTGTGTGTGTGTGTGTGTGTGTGTGTGTGTTTCAGGGACAGAAAGGAGTGGGCTGACCTGGAGCCTGTTCCCCAGGATGATGGACCAAATCCTGTAGTGAAGATCGCCTACTCTGAGAAGTGTAAGACCAAAAGTCACACAGGAGACACTTATGAGCAGCAAAGCACCTGCAGAGCCTCAAACCATAGCTTTTAATGGGATGTTGTAACTCTACCGTAGTACCACAGATGTTAGACTTGTTTAAAAGTAACATTTAGGAGGATCTATTGACAAGAGGTGGAATATAATAATAATAATAATAACCAAACACTGGCTGCAGGACTTTAACCTCGGTTTCTCATACACACGTCACATCCCTTTCTCATCTCCCAGGTCATCAAATACAGTCAGCTTCACCGCTACTGGATGCCACAACGTCCTGCACACTGGTCCTTTTTTAAAAGTCAGAGCCTCTCTTGGTGAAAAAGTTTTGTAATTGAATGTGTCTCTTTATTTCTTCCAACAGTCTCTGATGTTTATGACTATTTCCGTGCGCTCCTGAAAAATGATGAAAGAAGCGATCGGGCTTTCGCCTTGACAGCAGAGGCCATTGAGCTGAACGCAGCCAATTACACAGTTTGGTGAGCATGCTGCGTGTTTGGAATATGGAAAACTAATGTACCATTTAGGAGTGTCCTCATTTTCATAATATGATGGGGAACAAATACAAGAGAGATGATTTTCTGTTTTAAAATAATTGTTTTCAAAATGGTACTTTTGGAGAATGCTTGCACCTTTTCAATCAAACAGTACGAGCTTTTATCTTTGGATATCAAGCTGTGTTTGGATAGAGCTGTACATTTTTTAATTAACGACGAGCTTACAGTCTCACAATTTGTCAAGTAGTCACTTAATTTACAAGCTTCTGAATAAATATATCGTAGGACCAGGAGAGGATTGTGTTTAACAATGGTCGTGTCCTCTGTGAAAATGCTTTGACGCAGTTGTTGTTGTTGTTGTTGGGTGTGTGCAGGCACTACAGGCGAGTACTACTGCAAGCCCTATCAAAGGACCTGAGGGAGGAGATGAGGTACATTACTGCCATCATCGAAGAGCAACCCAAAAACTACCAAGTCTGGTGAGTGCTGGCAAAAATAATGTGACAACGCTTCAGCAAATATTCACGACCAGAGGTCATTAATATACGTAAAAGTATTTGTTTAAAAAGGATGTTTATGTCCGTGTCTGTTTATTTTGTTTAACCTTCAATTAAAGCTTAATGAGAGTAGAATAATACAAAGTTTTCCCCAAAAGACAAGATTTGTAGGCAGTTGAGAAAGAGTGGTGGAGCTAACGTGATTCAGTTTAATCAAAATACAACTATTTTTTGTAAACTCCTCTCACAGGCATCACAGACGTATGGTGGTAGAGTGGTTGAATGACCCCTCGGAGGAATTGGAGTTCATTGCGGACATTCTCAGCCAAGACGCGAAGAACTACCACGCCTGGCAGCACAGACAGTGGGTCATCCAGGTAGGTGTTGGAGCTCTTAGCAGAGTTTGGCTTAAGTAATGAGGACAGAGATCCAGTTTTCTTCCCACAGCGAGCTACTCTGCCAGAACGAATCCTTTACTTATTCATTTGGTTGTTTGTTGATGTGCTGTTTGAGTCCTTCTGTGGTCAGTATTTGTCTCATGCACAGCAGGGGCCACCACAATGGGCACTTCATGATTACATAAACAAGTACGTGTGCCAACATTTGTCTTATTCAGGAGTACAAACTGTGGGACAATGAGCTGAAGTTTGTGGAGAATCTCTTGGAAGACGATGTGAGGAATAACTCTGCATGGAACCAGAGGCATTTTGTAATTTCTCACACTACAGGCTTCTCTGATCCAGCCATAGTGGAGAGAGAGATTCAGTGAGTACTTTTCCTAAAAGTCTGGACGATTTAGACACAAAGTTAATTCACACCTTTCAAGTTGGACAAAAAGTGATAGAAATTTTTGGAGCCACAGTTTCTACTGTAAATAGCTTCTAGTTAAAGGATCCCAGGCTTTATATAGAAATGAATACAAGTGTTGAAGTGACAATACATGAAGTCAAATACAAAATTTAAGAGGAATATTTTTAATATTTTCTGATTAATTTCCAGTTTTTTACTTGCCAAAGTAAAGATGTCCTTTGAACAAAACTGTATGACTAATAGAAGTTTCTTTTTATAACCTGAGCATTGTTCCTCCTTCAGGATGTGCCAGTGCATTAAGTTTTCTGCTGCATACATTTAACTGCTGTTCCTCTCTTTTGTGTAAGGTATTGTCTCAGCCAGATCAGAAAGGCTCCCCACAATGAAAGCGCATGGAACTATTTGAAAGGGTAAGATTTAACATATCAGATACATTTTTTTTCCACAGTCTAAATCTGAATCCAAGAGATCTGCGAGGAGCAAAACACAAAAAAGTTTGTATTTTCTCCGACACATATGAATCTGTTTGACCTGCTCAGACTGACTGAACTGTCAAGTAGAAAACGCAGACTTGTCCGCTAATTATCCCAATTTTCCCAAATCCCAAAGTTTGCGGCTGGCCTGTGTTTCAGTTGAACAAATGACCCTGTTAATTGGCGACTTTCAGACGAATGTGTTAATTAATTGCCGACTTTATTTGGCTGAAAGTCGCCAGTTAACAGGGTCACCACGGCACGAGGAGTGAGAGAGCAGGGGATTAATATAAACAGGTCCTGTTGTGCTGATGAACCCCTTACAGACTAATTTGCCCAAAATAATAATTATAATGCTGCACACCCCACTGTTTAGCCACCCTAAATCACTGCAACAGCCCTAACTGGTATTTCAATATGCCATCCGCATTCAGACATTCACAATATATGACATGCTACAGGGGAAAAAAAAAAACGTGAAGACTATTAAAAATGGAAAAGCTCACTGACAGTATCCCCCTTTTTTCCAAGGATGCTGCAAGACAGAGGTCTGTCGTCTCCCCCGGGCCTGCTGGAGAGAGTCCTGGAGCTGAAGGAGACGCACTGTTCACCGTATCTTCTAGCGTTTCTGTTTGATTGCTACGAGGATGCTTTGGAGAACAGCAACCAGAAAGAAAATGTGGGGGAAGAGGAACGAAAGGACATTTTACGAAAGGCTCTAGAAGTGAGTGCTTTTGTTTAAAAGGAAAATATAACCCTAGAAATTGTTATAACTGTGTGATTTCTTGTGTTTAAGCTTTGCCACTAAGAGATTTGTTCCTTGCTGATGAATCTGTGAAAGATCAGGATTTTAAATTGAAAAAATTGTGCAATTATTGTCGTTTTCTAACCCTTTTTTTGTGCTTGTTCTCCCCTCCTTTGAAGATTTGTGACCTTCTGGCAAATGAGAAGGACACCATCCGTAAAGAGTACTGGCTGTTTTTGGGACGTTCTTTAGAGAACAAATCTGGAAGCCGCGGCCCCTCTGATAAGCCTCCTGAACCATCGGACCCAGCATCTGGGCAGCAGGAGATGAGCTAGACCACCAGGAGACTCGCACCATTTCTCCCCACTCCTATCCCGCTTCATCAATACTGTCGCCAAAACCAACCCTCTAATTGCTCTAATGTATATGACTGAAGTTTCTTAAACAACCACTAACCTGAGATCACCTAAAAGAAGGGACTGAGGGGACATCAAGCAGCTGCACGGCAAAACAATCCATGGAAATCTCCTGCTAACTAAAGTGTAATAACATAGAATATAACTAGAGATTACGTGTCAATTATTTGTTTCTACTCTTTGTTGGACACTTAGCCAGTTTATCACATTTAGACTAAGCGCAGCTGTTTCCTGTCTTTGTTTAAATCTTTAAGTCTTTTTTGTCTTCTGAACTTATCAATCTGTGTGTGACAGCAGTCCCCATATCATGATATACCTCTGAGTGTGTTTGCACGCACACGCAGTTCAATTGAATGCCTTTGAGTGATGGTAGATACACATCTTCAGTTAAACCTACTACTAGGAGCTTTTAACTGGATGTAAAACTGTAAGGTACCTCTATATGACAGAGAGAAGATTGGCTATTTCTGTATAGTTATTCTTAATGCCTGCCACCTGATCATATTCCCCTTGAAATCAATGAAACGAGGCAGTAAAAACACTACTGCTGTTGTCCACAGGGGCCGCCAGAGTCTACACAAAATGAAAGTTTCTTGTAATTGCTTAAATATTTGGTTAGAAAAAACATGTTTATCTTATTTGCGTTGCTTTTAAATGTAATTTAAAAGTAAGATTCCTGATAACATTGACATAACGTTTTCTATACACGGGTAGTTTTGAATGGGCACTCATTAGTGACTCCAGATAAGACTTTAAATAGACTATTGTGTGCATGTAAACCCACTCTTCATTTTAAATCCTGGAACATTTTTTTTTTGCTTGTTTAGTGGCGTCAGTCAGAGAGTACATGTAATTGTGTTGTAATGGAGGGACAAAAAGCATCATGAAACATAAAAATAAAACCGTTTGTAGTAATACTGAGAGTGGTTTGTAAAACTTTTTATCAGTCATAATAAAGTAGAAGCAATGCAGCAGTATGTTGCTGCATTCTGATCAATGACTCGCACAACATCACAGCTTTCCCCTTTTCTTTTGTCCAGGTCTATATCAGTTGCCCTGAATGAGCCACTTTCTTGCTATCGGGCCGAGTTTGTTCTGTTTGGTCCTCTGAGCCATGCTGCCAGGAGAAAACCAGCAAGCCCAATGCGCATACAGCACATGTATTGACATTTGCAGCCGCATGTCCTGGACTCCCTCAGAGCTAGGAAATGGATTTACTCCACTAGATGCAGCTGTTTCTACTTCTGCTGACACTACAACACAATCCATCCCTCCAGTTTCTAACCAAGCACTTGGTTTGCCAGCAGTGTATAATTACAGCTTCTCTAAATACTTGATATTAGAGTAGGATGGCTCTCTTTTCTCTGCTTTTCCTCCTTAGTGTGGAGGACACTATGATCGGCGTGTTCGTGTCATCCGCAGTTTGGACGACTGAGCATGCGGGTCATATGACGCTGATATCACAGGGCAAAAAGGAAAATGATATGATTCATTCAACTGCAAAAGATACCCACCCCCCTTATCCTTTAACTAAATTTAGTAGTTTTATCTGTAACTTTGGGTCAATCTGCATTAGTGTGGAGCAGCTGCTTTGTTGAATAAAAGCTGAAATGAAACGAGGCACAAGACTCACAATCCAGGCTGCCAAGTGAATATGAATGTTGGCCACACTGTTTCAACTTATTAAACAAAACAGATCAGGTACCTGCTGCATCACTTCAAGCATTGTTTGGAGGACAGTGTTCCCTAGTGGTTAAACCTAGAACAAAAAAAACCAGAAAGAGTCCCAGACAGTGTAATTAAAATACTAATTAAACCCAGCACAAGTCCAAACAAACCACCCAGGTTCCCTTGCAGTCTGTGGGCTATGGAAGTTATTGAATACAGGTTAGGAAGACAGACTGCAGCCAAGAATCTGTCTTCTGTTCTGGTGTCCATATGTGACTTCCACAAGAGCACTTATCACAAAAGCCTGTGATGCCGGGGCTACTTTTTAAGATGCATGCACAGACACACTGGATTAACAGGAGACCAGCGTATCGGTGCAGAGCCCTGGCCGAGATCCAGCTTGGTTCTGAGACATCTGTTTCTTCTAAATGGTGGAAAAGGCAGCTAATCCTGTGTGGGATTCTGCAGCCTCTCCGTTTATCACAGAGTCAGCCACATGTGTTTTTTTTAACACCGAGACACAGGAGCATTGATACCAGAATCATACAGCACATGTAGGATTTTTGAGGGGGCACATATTTGCATAAATGCTGTATTTTCACAATGTAATTCAATGAGACAACAGACACTTGAATCTCAGATGAAAGGAACCTGCGCATTCGGAGAAAGCAGTTACAAACTAACTCGTGACTCCAGGAGATGTGTGTCAAACAGTTTTAACACCAGCGTGTTTTGGAAGAGAATTAATTGGGCTAATAATCTTTTCTGGTAGTCTGAACATCTGAAGAATAATGATTTATGTGCGGTTAAAAGGGTTCTAGAGTAAACTGGAGCCAAAGACAGCCATACCAAAAATTAGGATATTATTTAGAGTTAATTGAAACATTTGAATTCACTGTAATTATGCCATATTCTACAATTACATACGCCTTAACCAGAGAGGAATGCTCCACAGAATATTTAGATATTTATTTAGTTAATATTCTCTAGCAGTTTGCCACATTGAAATAAACATCAAACCTGGTATGTGTGTGTACGGATAAAGCTGATACTATTCTATATTTTCCTTGATATCAAGAAAACCCTGAAAGCATTAAAACCAATTGATCGTAGAACAAGTACCCGCTGCGTTGCCAAAGCCTGCATATCTCATTCCTCTACTGTTGCCCAGTAAACACATCAGTGAGCCACACTGTTACACTGGTTGACTGTAGTTTATTTTGAGTCGATCCCACATACGCCGTTCTGGTGCCACAAATACTCACTAGCATACAAAATGTGTATTAGTCCATGGCTAAAAAAAGTCCTTTAGCACAGTTTACTCCTGTTTGAGAACTACAGTGCCCAGCTGGTTTAGGAAATGGTTTCATCTTTTTATTTTCAAATAAACATATAATTTTTGGCCCATTTTTAAAGAACCAGTGGGTTTGAGGCTGAGAGCTACAGACAGAGTAGGGGAGTGGAACATTATTGAGAGATGAACTGAAACAGTGTATGTCAAACTTTTTACACTGCGTACCACCTTAGAAGATATTAGGCTCTCTATTAGTACCACCATTATGACTAGTGTTAAAATACAGTAAAATACTGTATTCAGGACAGAACCAGAGCTAATTTGGTGGAAAAGGGTTACTCCTGATCTGCACTTCCTAATAGTTCCCGTTTGCAGTGTTTTTGAAGCATTCATTTTACCTCTGATTACTATCTTGCCATCACAAATCACAAATGTTGTAGTATTTTGATAATATTACATGTTCTTGACTTAATTTATTTCATATTTTAACTTTATTTCAGAGATGAATCTGCATCCTACTTGGGGTAGGGGGACTAAAACATTGTTGGTTTTGGTCTTTACAAGATTTGTTGACAATAAGAAAAATGTAGAATAACTTCTGCACGCAATCACTAAAAGTTGTAGTCCCTCACCACACATAAATAATCTAAAATGTCACACTCCTCTCTCAATCCCTATGTTTCCTATCTGTATCCACAGTGTGGCTATTCAATAAAAAGCCAAAAGGCCAAAGAAAATCTTTAAAACTGTAAAAACCACAGTCTGATCATCATCGTCCCAGCACTGCTCTGCAACAGAGAAAGAAAAACCAACCCTCTTTTAATAAAAAACTACATGGATATCCATTAACTGATGCCACTATTAATCTTCTTTAAGGAGTAGCAGAACAATAACAATGATGGTACTGAATGTGGGAGAAATGTACAAATACTATTATTAATCAAGTTTCTGCATCTGCTGTCTCCAGACCAGCCAGTCAATGCCTGAAGGATGATTTATAATTGACTTCAATTTATTTGAGCATAAAATGAACTGAGTGGGCTGTTGAACGAACAGACGCTGCTCTCACACTAACTGTTGTTAGTCTTCATGATTTAAACAGATTTCCTGGGTTTAGTTAGTGTGGCTCTTGGTGCCCTTTTCTCTTACTCTATGCAAAATATAATTTCCAAAAGTTCTCTGATTAAAAGTCACTCCGTGGAAACCAATTGAGAATATTTATAGTTCGGCGATGAAGTCTATTATTACATCAAGTAGTACAAATTAAAATGACCAGGGAATGAGTTTAAAGTTAAATTGACTTTTGATTTAGATTCTGAGAAGCAATTTTATTAATTTGCATTGAATTTCTTTTAGACAATGACAAGTGATGGTGATGGTGACACTGGGAACTGCATTAATAACGGGATAATGGTGGTTAGTTGATAGTTAAAGACTGATAAAGTATTTTGAGGGCTGATCCTGTGCTTTTGTACAGAGACAAACATATTTTCTTCTGTCTTTTATTCAAAAAAAAGCTGCAAACAATCAGTGTTTCTACAGACTGTTACTCTCCTCATGGTGCAACCACCTTTCAAAGAGCACCGACTGTAGATAATGGTACACGTAACGCTCCATTGAACCCGGCCTACTGACATAACTTTCTTTAATTGTTTCAGTGTTTGTTAAAAGACCGTTGTACAAGGCAAACCTCCAGGTATATTAGCCCATTAAATAAAGAAACATCATCCCAATATCTCACTTAAAGCCACTTGGTGGCAGCAGAGTGGGTTCAAAACACCACAAAACATCAAATAAAGTTAAAAAATGTTAGCAAAGAGTTTCTTTAAGGTCCTGTGTGTAACATTTAGGAGGATCTATTGAATATAATATTCATAGGTATGTTTCCATTAGTGTTTAATCATCTGTAAATAAGAATTTACAAACCATTTTTTTTCACGGCTACCATACTTTCTCCCTCGTGCTTTGAGTGCACTGCTAGAAGGCACTAAATCCTGCACACTTGACCTTTGAATTCAACATACAAATTTAAGTCCAATGGTCTTCTTTACTGTTACTCTTTGCTGCTAAATGCTCCCCTGTTTTTACTGGCCAATGCTAGTTGCTAACATTTTCTGGCCATTTCTGTTTGGAGTTTTTGGTAGCGTACAAGTAGTGGGTCTATCAAAGCTTGAAAACAGCTGAAAACCTGCTGTGGCTGTAAATGAAAGCTGTGGCTAGAAAACTGTTCGCTAAGAGAGGTTGAAACGGGAACTGCAGGGTTAAGATTTTCTGTGGGTTCATCACAACAAGCGACACCTTTCACATTACACATAGTCATTTGATCCATTGTTACTATAAAAATATTGATTGGCGAAGCTTTAAATGACACTCATGACCACCTTGTTTCTTTGTTAATTTTCTTTACAGTCAGGCCCATTTGGCAGGCCTTGTCCCTTGTCTTATCCTGGCCAGACAGGTCTTCCGCCTCCGTATTGATTCTATATAGTTCTGAGTCAATTCCTCAAACATTGTTTGTGTTCCTCCCAGTTCCAGCCAGCAACAGTGGAGAAACTGCTTTAGATTCATTAATATTTATAGGCTAACACAGGATTTTACAGGCTGACCTGTCACCGCGGTTGTAACTGCTGCCGTAAAACTGCATCTCAGACGCCAAAGCGGTCCCTTCACAGCTGACTCTTGGCACAGCTGAGGCGATGGACCCTAAGCACGCACACACACACACACACACACACACACACACACACACACACACACACACACACACACACACACACACACACACACACACACACTGTGCTTTGAAGTGATTCAAGTTAAAAAGCTGCTCTTGAAGGTGAAAAGGTGATTTTAACACAACGTGAGGAATCGATCTGAATTGTTCTGTCACTGAATAGGCAAGTTTATGTTTGGTTGATCGTGTTTTCCTTAGACTGCTGGGTAAAAACAACACACTGTAGAACATACTGATCAGAATGAAATCAATTTTTCAGCTAATTCTACAGTGGTGTACTGCCTTCCTCCTCTTGCAGCTGTGTGTGTATGTGTGTGTGTGTGGGGCAATCTTACCTATAAGGATGGGAATTACTTTCCTCTTCAGTAGCAGCATCTTCCAGGTTTGTGACCATGACAGGGAAATTGTCTGTGTTATGGAGGTGAGCAGGGCTCTCCATGTGCCCTGATGAAAGGCATATGCTGTTAACAGCTTCTGCTTCATCAAATTTGTCGGACAATTGAATACAGTAGTTTTCCCTAAGATTAAAATGCATGCTGCGTACCTGTGACTGCTCCCACTGCGAGTTAACTAAAGCCATTTTCTGAGCTGGCCTGGTCCAAGTTTATTTGTATAGCTCTTAATCACAGTTACAGTCTCAAAAGGCTTCACAACGCCCACATTATAGAACACCAAATGTAAGAAAATTGGTGATCAGCAGATCAGCAAAGCGTGGACATTATACAACACTGTAAGAGACGGGTAAGAGCTGTGGTTTTTCTGCTGAAGCCTGGTCTGTCTGAGTCAAAATAAGTGGGTTGATGCCGGGTCCAGTCAGTCTCATTGTTGTTGCTGTTGATGGTGTTGACATCCACAGCGCCGCCGTTGGACCGACCCACGTTGGCAGCAGAGACATCCACTGTCAGCAAGCAGAGCTGCCAATCAATCAACCAATCAGCAGATCATCAACACATCATTCACAGGCCCCTTCTCTTATCTGCAGACCTATGCAAAGCAGTAATGACCTAATTAGTCTCACACTCACACACACTTACTGGCAGCTGTACTGGTACAGTCAATGAGGTGGCTCATTGTGATGAATGGATCGGCGAGGGCTTTCCCCGGTGTAATTCTCTCACCTGGACCCATCAAACATTTGGTTCATTAAGCCAAAAACTTGTGCTTGTCCTCTGGAAGTTTTCACATCGAGGGTAAATGAATTGGAAACAAATCAAATCTAACAACCTGCAACAATCTGGCAGCAGGTCACACCAATGGGATCATTTTACATATCCTTGAACTTTTCTCAGATGGTTGCCTTTTGAGTTTGGAAACTAATTTTGTCATTTTTCTAATGTTTTCAGCTTGTTGCTTCTATGACACGTCTTTGTTTTTTAGCCACGGCTCTACAGATCTCAATGTCAGCCTTTCGGTTGGTCGGTCCACCAGACTGAAACATCTCAACAACCATTAAAGTTTGTACGATAAATTCATGGTCCCTGAGGGTGATTCCTAACAAGTCTTTCTGGTGCCACCATGAGGTTGATGTTTGTGTATTTGTGTCTAGAGCAGTGGTTCTCAAACTATGGTACTAAAATGGTGACCATGTTAAACGTTATACCTGCTAATTATAAACATGTTAGCACAGTGATTGTAAGCACACTAACATGCTGATGTTAGCATTTAGCTCAAAGTACAGTTTCACAGAGTCCCCACTAGCATGGCTGAAGAGTCTTATTGTCTTTCTTTGAAGATCCCCTGAAGTCAAGTAATAAGATATAATACAAATTCTCTGCTTTGAATAATAATGTGTGTTTTTTCCACAAAAAAGTATAATTTCCACATTAAAATCAATAAATCTACTCCTTCTATCTCTTTAAAAATCTATGAATTTGTAAATAAAGTTTTCCTGCTGGACACAAGATGTCTCCTACTTCACTGTAAAGTCCATTCTCAGTGTCTGAGCAAGTGACTTCAAGTTTGTACTTCACACTTGTATAAGTTGCACACTGGACCAGGCAAGCAGGAAAGAGAAATGACGTTGGACGCGAAATGAGCAAAAAGTGCAATCGGCCCTAAACCAGTGTCAGGTTTGTCTGTTCTGGGCTACTGTTGAAACATGGCAGCCTCTGTAGGTGGCCTGCGGTGTCTGTGGATATAAGAGACTCATTATAAGGTAACAAAAACATAATAATGCTTATTTTCTGGTGATTATACACAAATGAAAACACAGTTATGCATATGATATTCAATTTCTGCTGACAGATCTTCCTAAATGTTACACATTGCACCTTTAACTCAACCCTAGAGACAAAATATGAACTTTTTGGGATAAAATATCAACATATCGATCTCTTAAATGTTCCCTGACACATTTTAAACTCTGATATTTATGGAATATATCTCCCATCAGTAGGAAACATATTGCACTTCATACTCAAACATTTACTTTTACTCTGTGGGCTGTGTCAACTTCTGTTACAGAATCGGCTTTGGATGACTCACCCGGCATGTCCTTCTACATTTGTTTTTCGGACTAAAGAGAATTTCTCCAAACAGTAATCTACCCTTTAATACCTGCGCTTCTTTTGATTCTTCTCTCTGTTTGTCTGCAACTCTCGGAATCTCCATCGTGCCAAGGTCATTTGGGCACTGAATAAAAAACAAATAAATAAAAACAGACTGCAGTTTGTGCCCCCACCTACACAACGAGTCATTAAATCTGTGCTAAATGAAAACGTGAGAAGGATAGTTTTTCCTTGTATGTTTTTTATTTGGGGGGGAGGGGGGGTGAAGAGGAGGTTTGCTGAGAGGAAGGATGTTGAGGAGTCCAGTCAGATGCCATCTGGCCTCGGCTGGATGTTTCAGCACCACGGACAGCGCCCAGCCTCCGTCCATCCTCTGCTATTATTCATGCTTTTGTTAATGATTTCCAGAAAGATCCACCCTACAAACAGCAACCCTTAGGAGAAAATTATGCAAGGATGACGTAGATATATCACAGTATGTGTGCAACCTATATATATAATATATCCACTGAGTTATATCATATCATTGAGGAGGTTATAATTAACCCAAAACTTAAGCTTATACACCTTTTATTTGCAGTTTTACCACCAGTACAAATTAAATGCATTGACTCACAGTTACTGCTACCAAACTGACTTCACTACAAGGCTATGGGGCTTTAAAGGGGGTGTTGAGAAATTAATGTTCCTGAAAGTCAATGATTTCTGTTCCTGCTGCTGTTTGTTTTCTCGAACGGCAGCCAAAAGTCGTTCACCCACCTTTTCATTTAACGCCACGTCGCTATAAACCCACTACAGGGCACCTCAGACGCATTTAAAGTCCCTGCAGGAGTGTTATCTGAAGGCCTGTGGGTCACTGGTCATTGGTCCACTGGACCCTTAAGCATCTCCGGCTCAAGCAGCCGCCTCCTTCTCTGCCACAAAAACGCCACACACCATTCACTCCGACGACTTGGCGGACTGCAGATGAGACTCTCTCTTCAGGAGGAGGAAAAGGGAGGAAAATAAAAAACTTTTGGTCAGGAGAGTGCTTCAAGAAGCTGATGGGCGGTTAGGTGATTTGGGTAATGTGATTACTACTTGTGTATGGATTATCGTTAAGTGCAAACAACAACAACAACAAAAAATTTTAAAAAAAGGGAAAGGAGCGCGTTCTTGGCATTAGTTATTTATATATTCCTGTAAAGCGGCGGGGATGCGAGAGAGAAGCCACAGCGGCGAGGATCGCCCGCTCTGAACCGGAGGAGTCACCGGCAGATGATGTCCCAATGTGAGAGTGCTTCCAGAGGAGACGAAGGAGAGGACGAAGGAGGATGAAGAAGGGGGGAGAGGGATCGAGAGCGGCAGAGGTGGAATATAATGAAGTTGAGTGGGAAAGGACTGTGCACCGTCTTCTCCAGCACCCTCCTCTTCGTGTGCGCCCTGAGCGAAGTTGTCGTTGGATTAAGATGCGTCTCGTTGGGATCTACGGTGAGAGCGCATTTCCACCTCGGCGCCGCGGCCGGGGCTTTCTACTCCGGGCTACTTGTGGGAATCGGGCAGGTCCTGCTGGGGATGGCGCTGCTCTTTTGCATGGAGAAGCCCGGCTGCAGGAATTTCTTTCTCCTCGGTGTTGTGGTCTTCTTGTTGGGAGTCCTCACCGCTTTCTCCGGCGCGGTGGTGGACGGGGACACGGCTTCTCTGGTGGAGAGGAAATATTCCCATTACTGCTTCCACTCTTTGGTTGTGAACCCTGCCTGCGAGCAGCTGAGGGATTACCAGCGGAGTCTGGTCATCTCCACTGTTCTCAGCACCTTGGAGTGCGTCTTGGGGCTCATCAACCTGGTGGTCATCAAAAGGTACAAATCAGCGCAGTTTTCTAGGAGCCGACAGTCGAGGCAGCGCGCCGGCGCGATCCTCTTCAGCGAGGAGCGGGACTGCTCTTCGGCGGATTTCCAGCCGGTGTCTTACATCAATTTGGGTGTTTTTAACGTGTTTGACGAGACAGGTGCAGAAGTGCAGTGCGGGGGACACCCGTCAATCGAGCTGCCGGGATACTCGCCCACGGACCCGGAGCTCAATCATTGCTTCCCTTTCTCCTACCCGCTCCCCAGTGAACTGCCGCCCGCATACGAGGACATTTTCCCCGCTGAGGCATGCAACACATAGCCGCTCTGGAGCAGCCCCCCCAGCAGCGCTTTTTTCCCTCTGCTGTGACAATCAATGACTTTGTGCTTTAAAACAACCCCCCTCCCCACCCACCCCCCATACAACCACCACTACCATCCCTCTCTTCTCCTCCTCTCCCAACACCCCCCAACAAAAACCAGTAAGTTACACAGGAGGACAGCAGCTGTGGGTTTTAATTCACCCGATTCCTTCTCATTCTGATATGTTTCTTACATCTGCCTGGTAGCTTACATTGTGCACCACCAGTCAGACTGATGTAGATGAACAGATCAAAGTGATACAGGCCCAGACAGTGCAGGCAGATCAAGGCCCATAAACGCAACAGCTTGCCAGTATAACAAAAAGCAGAGTTTGTGTTTTGAATGTTTGCTGTTAATATTTTTACTTGTGAATAAAAAGTGTATTTAACCTCATCTGACTGTCCTGAGGCTGCTGCCAGTATAGCTTGGAAACCCCGTTGATGCTGTGGTCAATCTAAACTTCATTTTAAAGGGTTCAACCAACTTTTTTTTTTTTTTTTTATGGTGCTGTTTATTAATAATCAAAAACTCCTATAAGATACAAGCAGTTATTTTTTTAAACCCATCATCTGGAGAAATACCTGTATATGGCATAATGTTGACAAGACAAAATACCTTTAACCACTTTAAAGTCACACTGCAGTGGTTTATTATATTATTTACATAAAGTCTGGGAACACAAATGCTAAAAAGAGCTTCCAAACTCAAAGTAGCGGAGGCCAAATTATGGTTATGTTATGTTTATTGGTATGAGAGAAAGTAATAAACACTGGATCCACTGGACCCTGACACAGGCTTTCTGTTTATAGGTTATCTCCGATAACCCTAATGACATCACTAGCACTCCTTCCAGAGAGAATAATAATAATAAAACCTTTATTTGTATAGCACTTTTTAAAAAATATTAGTGTTTACAAAGTGCTTTACATACAGCAGCAATAAAGAATAAGATAAAAAGCAATATATGAGGTAAACAGATAGAACCTAAACCAAACAGAGATACTAACCATAACCATAATATAACACAAAAAATTCATATTACTGATATCAATGATAACGAGTATCAGACAGAGCAGAGAGAGAGTCCGAGCCTGAATGCATCATTTGCTTTAAAGTACAACAGGAGTGATGCAAAATCCCTCATTGCTGGTGTCTGTGAAGGCATTCTTTGGTGCAGCAGGCTGTCCAGATATGATCCAGACTGAAGGTTTAAAAGACTGAAACCGTGCAGCACAGCTTCCCTTATTGTTCCATTTGATGTGACTCGAGTTAATAAATTAACTCCGCCGCACACAAATAATCACATCAGCTCTCAGCATGGATCCTCCCAGGACCATCAAAACCTTTTCAACTTCACTGTTACTAATTTCCCTTAACAGCTAGAACAGTGAAAGAATATATATATATAGATAGATAGATAGATTTGGCTGTCATCATTATGTGCCCACCTTTAGACAACATCTTCTTCTCTGTGGTAAATTAAATTGAAATGGTCCCTTTTCCCTCAAATTAAAGCCCTCAAATGAGCATCCGTGGCCAACTGTCTCTCCAGAGGGAAGGAACAACTTTAAGAAGTATACTGTACTGGCTCAGTGTAATAATCCTCCTCTTATCCTTTTCAAACAGTGTGATGATGTATCCACTCACTCATCCTACTTAGGTTGGGCTTTGCATGCCAGAGCTGAATACAGGAGAGGCCAAAAAAAATAAATTTAATAAAAAAAAAGCTCTTTCTTCTAACATTTCGTGCCAATAAAAAAAATAAAAAATACAGCTATAACCTGAGATTAACTCAGCAACCAACCAGAGAACAAAAGAGGTCTTCTGGGAGGCGGTTGTCCAAAAAAAGATGCAAACAAAGCTAATGGCAGGGGCTCCTGCTGTGGCTGTGCACCAGCACTGTCCACTGACAGAAAAACAGAACAGAAAACAAGACTTTAGGTTCAGACCCTTTCAAACAAATAAGATGTGTGCCCTTGCCAGCAGCACCTCTTCAACCTAGAGCACAGACGCCCAGGTCAGCAGTATCACACCAGGCTCAGTGAGTTAGCTGGCCCGGATATGTTTCAGGTTGTGTTCTGTTTTTGATCTGCCTGCAAAAGTAAATTTGTCAGCGGGACAATAGATGGATTTGTTTACCTTTAGATAAAGTGTCTGAGAATGTTTTTTGCCTTCCTTCGTACCTTTTAACACCTCAAGTAAAATGTCATGTTTTAAAGATCATCGATCAGGGAGCCGGTGCAGTGGAGCAGTGCTGCTTCTATTTCATATTTCGATTACGTGTGGTGCTTGTTACTCACGAAAAATGGTCCAACATTCATTAACTAAAGTCAAAAAAAGATGGGAAGTAGCTAATGTAGATAGGCATCTTTTGGTTTTACCCGACTGCCTATGAATAGGGTCTTCAGGAGACTTAATGTGGTGTAAATAAACCTAAAACTTGGTGGTGAGAGAAACTTTAGATGAAACACAAGGATGTGACGGTGCTGTGACCCTCCATTAAATCACTGGAACTTCAGTGCTGGCTTTGTTTGCAGTGGGAACTATTGGACTGCAGATATTTTCCATTTTCCAGCTGGTTAAACTAAGCATTAAGATTTCATATAGTTTTAGGATGCACAAGGTCTCTTTGCATATAGAATAATTGAAAAAATGTCCAGAATGTTTTCTCACTGCAAACTGTGCATAAGCATCTTCACTAAGTATCTAAATTGCTGATTATATCTTCCAGCTTAGGGAGACTCATGCAGATGCCCAGACTAACATTTTTTGACATTTACTGCTAAAATCTATTTCATTGATAACATAGAGAGGTTGTTTGTCAGATTTTAGATGAAATACTTTTGCACTACAAAATTGGAATGACCATAACAGCCCCAACTGTGTCACTACAGACTGGTCACATAGTTAGGAACCCATGGATTTAACAGTTATCTTACGTCATTATATTTTTGTTTGAGTCATTTGAGTGTGCTACATCTCATTTTATGCTATTAGGTGGTTAATAATAATTATAAGTGGAAAGTAACTAAGGTCTGGTTATGAAACAGCCCAGATGATCGGAGTATATGCTACTATTATCCCACTTTTTATACTAATAGACCAAATAAAAACATAAAAATTATACAATCATGGCAATAATAACAAAACAAAACCTGCTGGTAGGTTTTGGCAGGCAGCATCAATTTTCTCAGTTGTTTTTTTTTTTTTTTAAATCTATTCATACTGTTAATTTAATTTGTAACAGCTAATCAAAAATTAACTATACTCCATTTGATTCTGTTGTGGCACTGTAAGACTTTCATGTTGGCCAGTGGATTTTAAATTAGTGAAAACAAGTTGTTGTTTTTTGTGCTAATCTCCGCAAACATGAAAATCCATTTGTTGAGCAAAATATTTTAGTTTGTCTAAAATAACTATAACTAAATAACTTAATAAACTTTCCTTAAGGTCATGATCATTTCTCTACATAACATAAGCTGTGTGCTCATTTTTCCCCTCTGTGCTCAAAATGTCCCATCACGTCTCTGAACTGAGGCACAAATATAACTACACACTTTTCACGTCACACGGAAAAAAACCCTATAAATATCCAACTGAAAAAGCGACTCTCGGTTTAGTCTGACTCATTTCATCCAGCATGTTTCAAGATGCTGCTGTGTTCAAATATCAGCTCCATCAGACGTAATGATGAAATTACAGAGTGCATTCACCCTTACAAGTAAAAGAGAGAGAGATTAACTTTTTAAAAGTCACCACAGTGGGAGCAACCTGCTGTCTATCGTGACAAATGCATCTCTGCTCTGTGGTCGTTAACAAATGTCACCTGCCTGTTCACTGGAAAGAAAATCCAAGATTACACGATAAATCTAATCTGTATTTATTCAGGGAAGTTGACTGATGCTATTTTCCAGTAAGTCACATTCACACTAGGAGCCAGAGGCTGAGCTGAGGAGTGGCTTCAGAGCCTGAATCTTTTAGGGATTTAAAATAACTTCAACTTTGTGTCATTTCCCCTCCGTCTGTTCTATTACTGGTGAAATATCACCCTCTCTTACAGCATTATGGGCAGGGTTTCACATGAAGCAGATTTGTCGGATAAACATTCATTCTGTGAACTCATATCGTTTCCAAAAATAGGTTTCAAGATTGGTAATGCACCAAATTCCTACGCTACCTATGTTATGTAACTTTAAAATAATAATAATAATTATGATGATTAATAATTCTTGCCTCTTTTTAAGTGGCAGGAGTAAAGAATAGTCATCTCCAACATTTGCTGTGTTCTGGTTTCAAAATGATGAACAGTGCCAGTACTCACTGGTACTGATCGGGGAATACTGGCATTTCTGACTTTTTATGACCTTTCCGCCTCCTGGTGAGTGGCACTCTGTGACGACCACCACCCTACTCTGCCTCTGATTGTTTGTTGGTTTGGTTGGTTATGGGTTCAGGCATGAGGAGTGAGATGATCAGTGTTAGAGCCAATGAGAGACAGACTATGGCCGAGTGTGTCTTCAAACTGTAAACACATAGTTAGCTTAATGTTTGAGAAAAAATATAAAATGTCTTTGTTAAAATGGATACAAAATGCTAAGATTTAGGGTTATGGGATAGGGGTATGTTGTGGTTAGGGTTGGAGAACAATTAGATACAAGGATGTAGGCTCTATAGGATGATTTTTCCTGGGCAACAATCATGTTCTTCCAAGTAATGTACAGTTTTTTAGGAATCCTATAATCTGATCTGGCTTAAAAAAAATAGTGCATATAGCTGCTGCTCTGGGGAGCATGCCTTCTTGGTTTGGGCTAAGCCCCGAATTTAATAGTATTACTAAAATGTATTAGTAATTAGTTACACTACTTGTTACTCTGGAAAGTAATATTATTACTAGTAATGAGTTACGGCCTGACACCGCTGCCTCCACCCCTCCTCTTCTGAGAGGAGACAGGGTGTTAAGTGCATTGCTTAATGGCACCTTCATGGGATTTGACCTGATGACCTTTCTGAGACAAAATCTAACTTAAATCATCTTAAATCTTCACAGTAGAACTCTAACAGAGGTGGCTGCTATCTATGTGTGTTTTATCAATAGTTTTAATCACTAATGCAATGTCAAAACTGCTTTAAAGTGCCATTGACAGTGTGTATCTGAAAGTAATTGCCTCCATTAATGTATGAACTGTGTCTTAGATAGCGTGTGGTATATATTCTAGCACATGCTGCTTCAGAGGTATAATGATGAGTAATTGCACATTTTAAAAAAGCAAAGACATGTCTTGGTTATAATGTAGGGCAGTGTATTATCTTAAGATCTGTGGTCTCTGTGGACCAAGAGTCCGGAGTTTTTTTTTTTTTCTCTCCTGGTGGCAGATCCTTTGTTGGATAGCGGTGCTGCATTAGTGTAATGACAGCCTCCGGCTCTGGTCACACAAAGTAAAAACCGCTGACTTGCATCTCAAAGTTCTTCACTCTGAGGAATATAAGGGAGGGTTTCTGCACAAGTGATTACACTGCAGATATTTTGGATGAATGATGTACGTGGACAGGAGCGTAGAGCCGGGGTGAGCTGATGAAAGGAGTGAAGGGAGAACGAAGGCAGATCAAAAATGTCTTTGGCACTACTTGAGACAATTAGCTCATTAACAAGTGTAATAAGTATTTAAATGTTGTAGTGCCACTTTTGTTGCCTCTCACGCAAAGAAAATTATAGCTGAGCTGCGGAGTGAAACACAGGGACAAAGGACTCACGCACACATATCTTGCATTACATTTTCCTTCTCCATCTGCATACTTCCACGAATGTATGTCAAGGACAAAACTGCCGGCCATACTTATGGAAAAAAAATCAATACCCCCTAAAAGCCTTTCATTAGACACATATCCATTTGTCTGTGTGCAGCTGCCAGAGTGGCTTTTAAAAGCCAACACTGGGCCTTTCCTGACGGAAATGTGGTTCACTACCTGTGCATGTGCTTCCAAGCCATTAGACTCTCTTGTGCCAATTTCTGAAAAAACTTGATTCTTCTTTATACTCTCTTTGAAGATTCTGATTTTCATTTTTCTCCTGCAGGAGCAACAGTGTCAGAGCTCTCATTATGAGTGAGAAAAAAACCACTACACCATCGAAGGGGCTTCAAAATCGCAGAACCACGTGTGTACGGTGTGTTCACATCACAGGCAGATTATTAGGAATTTATAGCTTGATGTGCTGGAATCACAGTCAAAAGCCACTTTTGGATTATTAGATTCAATTAAAAAGAGAACATTTATATTTAACTCCAAGTCCATTTCACAACTCTTTTTCAGGACTTTCAATCATATCACAAGCTTTTTAATAATCTGACCATCACCGTTGCAATTAATCAATACATTTTGGTCTATAAAATGCTAGAAAACATTTAATAATTCAGCTCATGATTTCCTAAACCCAAAAGTCACATCTTCAAATGTCTTGTTTTTTTCTGACAAATGGTCCAAAACTGAAAGATATTCAATTTACAATGATATAAAACTGAGAAAGACAACAAACCCTCACACTGGAGAAGCTGTAACCAGAGACTATTTGGCATTTTTGGTTTAAAAAATGGATCTAACCAACAAAAAAATTAACACTAAATAAATGTTCTGTCTGTAAAACTTGTCATTTAACTGACTAATTGTTCTAATTCAGTTCAAGTGCACTTTAGGACTCCTCGTCTGTCGGCTTGCAAGGATGAAAGTTCATTCTTGACAGGAAATTATGGCATTAAAGTCCCCTTACCTGCTTTTTCTAGAACCTTTAACCATATCACGTCATCTTTATCCACTGTTGACGACTGAGTGATCGCATTAACACCACAAACAGAGGTCCTAAAAGTATAACAGCTACTGAGCTAGCATTGCAACAGATCGAGCTCCTTGCAACCATAATAACGAGGCCATAATGTCACATTTGGCCTTGCCTGCGACTGGCAGAGTCACATTTTCAACACTTGATCATTTTGTGGTCAAGTTAGCGAGAATAAATGTGCAAAGTCTGGTTAGACTAAAATAAAGCTGGCTGGGGTCTCAGTTTGGCTTTGGGTTTAAAAACCAAAAACTACTTGGTTAGGTTTAGGAGAAGATCATACGTATATAACTTAAAACAAGTAAATGTTGAAATTTTTCTCTCATGTGTGGATTGTTTGACCCATCCATCCACCCTGTCCTCCTCCCTGTGCAGACTTTGTCGCTTTTTGTACTGCACATCCATGCATGTGTGTATTTTCATATCAAGCTGAGGCAAAACGCGACACTGACTTATTCTCTCTAGAGGATCGGTGGGTCGATTACGTGCTTTTGTGTGACTTGGCTGTAACACCTGAATTTCCCCATGGAGGCTCAAAAAAGGATTACCTTACCATAGCTGAACCCCATCCACTGATGAAGACAGTGTCATTGTTTGGCAAACTACTATGTCCAGAGTCAATAAAGACTTTTAATTTCTTGAGTCAAACATGTGGAGACTTGGATCAATACAGTGCCCTAGTTGGTGTTGCGGGAGGCTGATGAGGATCAGAACCAGTGATTTAGTGATTTCAGTCAGGTGTTGAGATTCCTGGCTAGTTTTTATCCAACAGTTTGTATTGCAAATAAACCTCCAAACTACAGAAATATCCACTGTTGTAAAAATGTGACATCATTGTTTGTATCACTTCACAGGTTACTGTAATTCAAACGGACAAGCAGACTGTGTATAGATGGAGAAAAGGTTCGATTGACCGCCTGCTGGTTGCCCAAAAGTGGTCAATGAGGGTCATGGATGACTTAACAGTCCTTTAATGACCGACTTGGACTCTTCACCGACCTGCAGCTGGATTTGTGGATTACAATCGACTCATCTCACATGGTGGCCTCCTGAATTAATACTTAATGAATGCTTTCCCCCGCTGTTGCAATTTAATTATCTTTTAAACTGAGTATAAACCAAATTCTCTGCACAAGATGTCTGTTTGTTCTATTTGTCTGGCAACTAATGAACATCATTTGCAGGAAAAGGTTGTTTTATTTTCGAGCCAACTTCTGGCTAGTTTGTTCATCTACTTCTTAATACTGAAAATTATAATGTTAATGGAATTGCTGAGTGCCACATTTCTTACCTGAAACTTCTCCAAGAGAAACACTGCTATATTATTCTGAGAATGGAGTCATTATGTAAATCCCAGGAAGCGTTCTCAACACATCCTGACACTTAAGGTGCAGTGAAAATACTCTGTTTTCAGTTTTTCATGTCAGAATCACTTCCATATTTTTTGACGTGACATGAACTCATAATCAGACCTTGAGAAGTCTAATAGAATGATTCAATCAATGATCTAAATGCAGGCGGTGAAATGTAGTTCACGATGGGTAAACAAGCAGCTTTTCGACTGCTCTATAAGTCAAGCCAGTAGTAATTTTATGCAAACAGCAAGTGTTTCCCTCCAGGCTTCTTAACAACTGAGCAGAGTTTTAGTGAGCTGGATTCCTCTCAGTAGCTTGGAACAGAAAGTGTGGCAGAGATGCAGTGAAGGGAGAAGGGGAACCCTGGCGGCGTTTGCAGCCACAGAGTGAGTCGTGCGTCAATCAATAGCTTCTGCAGTGGCTGTGTTTTCAGAGGGAGCCAGCTCTAAACTTGCAATAACCTCTTTGGCTCGCTGCCATCTGCCACTTAGCAGACAACTCCTGGAGCATCAAAAGAGCGGAGTGGTGCAGCTGAGGTAAGGTCGCTTTCACAGGGAAAGCTCCAACTCAAAGGCACAACTTCAATTTAGTTCTCCAGCTGGTCTCTACCTGTAATTAGTTTTTGTATTTTCCGCTGGACGGCCAGTGAGGGATAGTCCTTACCTCACATGAGGGAGAAATGAGGAGCACATACAAGTCAACATGCTGAGGAGGCACAAAATGCTTACTGATTTATGACAGCGTGATTTATGCTCTTTCACATGCACACAAACAGAAGCGCCTGATGATTTAAAGAGACATCACGCTGTAAAGGTAGGAACTGCCTATTTCACAGGGCAGAATCTCTCTATCATTTGTTTCTCTTTTCAATATGGTTCATAATCTCATTTAGCTGTTATTTAAAGCTGCACTGGCTGATTGTTTGGCTATGAGAACAGCAGAAGCAAGCTGCATCATCTTTTAAAGGTCCAGTGTGTAACATTTAGTGGGAATCTATAGGCAGAAAAAGAATGTAATAATCATGGGTATGTTTTCATTAGTGTATAATCACCTGAAAATAAGATTTTTTTTGTGTTTTTGTAACCTTAGAATGAAACGTTTTTATCTACAGAGGGAGCAGGTCCTCTTCTGCGGAGTCCACCATGTTAGGGGTTAGGCAACCTGCGGCTCTTTAGCCCCTCTCCAGCGGCTCCCTGTGGCTTTGACAGGAATTTATATGTAAATGAGTAACAGTTATCTTTTTACATTTTATCAGTGTTGTAGGCCTGAAGTGATTCTTACCTTCTCCAATTGTAAAAATGTGTAACCATCACACACCACATAAAAAAAGAAATTTCAACATTTCGTGACAAGGAGCCTTTTAGTCAATAGCGGTGGCTACTAGTCTCGAGTCTCCTGAGCTAGACAATCTATGAATTCCAAATTTAAAAAGAAGAAAAGTCTCAGAGGAAAAAAGAGAATTTAATAGTGCATGGACGGATAGGTTTGTTCTCACCACCAACGCTGCTGGCTTGATCCGTGCTTCGTTGGTTGCGATCTGGAGTCTCACCGCTGGATGCCTACACACTGGACGTTGGAGCTGATATGGTCAGTCTGTTAGCAAACAGTTGCTAATTTACACGTTCAGGAGTTTTGGAGAAACATCAACATTTGGAGACGTGTTTCCTGATGGATGTACGTCCAATATTCACTCTACTTTTAGCTAACTTTTGTTTTGTCGGTCTGCTGTTTGGGGGCTGGACAGGTGGTGTACTGTGGGTTTGTTAAAGTAAACAGCTGCGTCTGAAAACAATGTTGAACGGTGAGACTGAACCAAAATGAGTTAAAAGACGCTGTAGAGCTGAGGAGAACTGCAGAGTCAGGTACATGCAACTCCTTCCATATTACACACACAAACTGAGCAATTTTCAACACTAAAATATTGTTTAGAGCAGCTTCAAATTCCCATAGATATATTAATGAGATCAAACTAGTTTTAACGCGGTAGCCTTAAAAATCCATACTATGATTTGTAGTCAGTGGAGCTTTGAGAAAGATGTACAGTTCAATAGTGGAGACTGGATTTGATGGATAACACGGTGAAAGCTCTGTGACGAAACCAAGAATGTGTTTATGTCTCACATCAGCTGCTCCAAAGATAATGGGATGTATAGAAGAAGAAAAAAGAATGGTATCAAGGAACAAAAGGGTCAAAAATGATTATTTACCGTTATTCATCCGTTCAACCAAAGAAAGAAATTCCAATAATGTGAAACCAGAGCACTAACTCTGAAACAAAACTCCTAGAGATAGATACAGACTGGATACTTTCCTTTTCCAGAGTTGCCTGGGGTACAAAGTGCTATCCAGATTTGGGTTTCTCATGAGCCACCAGAGTGGGCCATGTTTAAAGCCTCCATTGCTGAGGCGGATTCTCAGTGTCTTTGGCCAGAAAGTCCTTTGCGCCAGTTGTGGTGGACACCCAGAAAACCCTGTGGTGGAGGACGCTGACAAGGTGAGGGAAGAGGACTGCAGGCTCTGTGACTCTTAGTTTTGGTTAATTCAGGTCTGGCAAACCGAAGCAGGGTTTTAGCCCACACTTGCCTGTGGAGAGTCAAGTGTGTCCTGTTTTTTTTGACACATGGCTGCACCTTTGCTGTGAAAAGAACCAGTGCCTCTTGGACACGTCAAACCAAGGGCCTCCTCCCAGGCCCTCCTGCCTGGGGGCAGACCCAGAACGTGCACAAGAGATTACATATCCCTTTTAGCCTGCGAGCGCCTCAGGAACTCCCACAAGAGCCGGAGGAAATGGCTGGAAAGAAGGTCGCCATCATGACACAGGAGCTGAGTAAGTGGAACATGAAAAGATGGACGTAACAAACATTGCTCTTGCAAAGACGTTTTAAAAGTCCCCCTTCACTCCAAACTACCATTTTTACCCAATCTTCACTTCATCACTTTATTTAGTTGTACAGTACCATAGTTAACTTATGCTGATAAGAAATGCTGCTACAATTTTTATCACTTTTACCACTGTTACCACTTTATCGCTCCTTATCACTTACTTAGTATGTACTTATTTTATTTCAATTTATGCTGCTAAACTGCACGGTGCGTATTGTTGTATGTTGTATATACTGTACCTACGTTTAACTGCAATTTTTGCACTTTGTCACATTTAGTTACTTGTTTTCTTCTTTTCTACTTATGTCACCTGTAAGTGCTTGCATTTAGTTGCATTTAGTTAATTGTTTGATTTATTTTATGTTAGCCTTTATTTTAATTTAATTTAATTTTGTTTTGTTTTGCTTTGTTTTATTTTATTTTATTTTACTTTATGTTAGCTTATTTTTACTCTAACCCTGTAGTACTTTACTTTACCACCTCTGTATTTAAACTGTTGCACAGTAATTTCCCTCGGGATAAATAAAGCTTCTTGAATCTTGAATCTTGAAAAATATGTTTTTCTTCTTGTACAGTTTGGATGTTTGAGCCTCTCTGTGCAGAGTTTGACTCTAGAAGGATGTTTTTACATTCATCTGCTGAAAGTGGAAAGTTTTTCTGTGCTCAGTAGAGTTGTGACGTTCACGAACGAACCAAATCTATTGAACGGCTCTTTAACACGAACGCTGGGAACCAAGTCGCAGTTGAGAGCCGTTCTTTTTCTTTTTTTTGTTATTTTTTAATCGCTGTTGCACACAGCATGCACACACAAGCTCCTCCTTTGCTCCTCCACAGAGACGGAGAGCATGCAGAACAAGGGGAGGAGCGCAGCAGAGTACACAGGTGCTAATTTGATATGCAAATTTCGCATGATGTCATCTGAGTTGTCGACACAGTGGCACACTGCCTTCATGTGAGTGTCAGTACTGCAGCTACAATGAGCCAAAGAAAGCGCAGCAGCATTTGGATGCACTTCTTGGACGAACAAAAAACGGCAAAGCAAAGTGTAACATCTGTCAAAATAATATTTCTGGGTCAACAGACAATTTGCATTGCCATTTAAAACACCCGACAGTCAAAGTGTTGGAGGGAAGAAGAGGACCAACTAAGATAAAATGGGTTACCCCCAGGCTAGATTCTTAAAAATAAATAAATATAAAAATGAGTCAGTCTTTTGAATGGTTCTTTGAAAGGAACGGCTCCTCAAGATCCGGCTCCCTTCAAAGAGCCATAAACCCCATCTCTAGTGCTCAGTGAAAATCTGATTTTAAGAGGCGGGGCTTACGAGCATGATTTGTGTCATCACAATTAGTTTGGAAGTCAATCCTGGTCCCAGTATGCAACTTGTACGAGTGTGATGTAGAGACTTGAAGGCACCAGACACTGAGAACGGACTGAAGTAGGAGACATCTTGTGTTCAACTGTCAAAACTTTAGAAATGAATAAAATTTGTATATTCATAGATTCTGAATGTTTTATGAGGGAGAAGGAGTAGATGCCATTTTTTAAGGATTTGAATGTGGAAATTATACTTTCAAACACACATTATTGTTCCAAGCACACTATTTGTATGTGTGTTAATACGTATCTGGAGGGGATGTTTAAATATATATGTCAATTATGAAGACAAACAGATTGAAATAACAGAACAAATGAGCCCAAAAACTTAACAGGAACTCAAAATCTGAAAGTAAATAAAAGAAAAAACTTGTTGGCCAGTTCCTTTTTTAAGATCTATGTATAAAGTAAATGGTAAGAAAATATGTATATAATGTTTTTTGATAAAGGAAACTGTAGTATTTTTTGTGAATGCTGGCAAATATCTACATTCATGGACATTTGTGGCTTTTGTAGAAACAGTTTCCATTAATTGAATTCCTGCTTTTTGCCTGCAACATTTCTGATTTCAGGGCAATAATACATCTTAAGTGCATCATCACTTTGGAGACTTTAAGAGAGACTCCCACTCAGAAGAGAGCACAGCATGAAATGTGTGGTTCCTTTAATGATGGCATTGAAGTCCAGCTCCTGAAGGCATAAAATAATTATTTAGTGGGTGGATAGCAGATAGAGGGATGATTACTAAATTACCATCCTCCTACTACTACACTGTACATGGAGATACGCAAGGTGCACTTTCACAGATGGTTTCTTGTCCAGTTTTACTAAGTCGGTAGGAAACTTTGACAGGAGAAACACCAGTGAAAAGTGCCTCATATGTCATCCATCTTCTGGGCCTGCAGACAGATGGCCTCTATGCAGGCTGCGCGGAGCTGAAAGACAATTTAATGGGCAGCTAATCACTAATATTAAAGGAGAACTGTGCATGAATTCTTATTAAAATGTCTGCTTAAAATATGCGAATCAGGCTCTGAAAGTTTTTTTCGTCGCTGACAAAAATCACACAGGAACTGAAATTTCAGTGTAGTAAAATCCTTTATTTCATTATTAAGAACATAAATAATGCAAGTCTTGATTAAAAACAATCATTTTGGGAAATCTGTCACTTTTTATTGTTTCACATTTGTCACAGAAGATAGAAATCAGAAGTAGGTAAAGAAAAAAGAAAGAAAATCACTAGTTTTTTGGGGGGGGACAAGGAGGGGAAAAAATGCTCACACACATAGAAAACAGGATGAAGTGTTACCTTAAACTATATCAAAACAAGTGGGATGTTAACCAGTATAAGCACAAATCTCGTGTATTAACACAGATAATACAGGTGTGTGTTATGACGCTCTAACAGCTGGAAAATAAAACCTATAATATGTGTTGTACATCTTTGTCTCTCTGACCTGAAATAAGAAACTAAATTCAGTCTACATGTCAACTGAAGGATCAATAACAAGATGGAAATGCAAATAAATACACAAACACACACACAAAAAAACCAGTCCACTTTTTCCTGTTATGTATAACATGTGCTTAAAAGCTTTCAACCATGTGGACACTACAATTATTCTGATCCATTTCACGGGCCGGTAGGTTTTCGGATACAGAGGAATGATTTTGCACAGAAAGTGTCGTCCCATCAGATTTGTGAGAAGCTGCTTTGAGGCTTCTTGTTGCACCGGTGCAGTCATGTTTCACACAATGATCCACGAGGTGTTGGAAAAGAAAAAAGTAAACCAACTTTAAAAAAAAAAAAAAAACTCTCATGAAAGAGTAGTTCTTATCGAGACTTATTTTCTCCTCTCAGCTGAGCATTTTCTCTGGAGTTCATCACAGCGTAATGACTAATCCCTGTCGAGCCATTCTCACTTGTTTGTTTAGTGATGTTCTCTGACTTTTGTGTAAATAAAAGCAACCCTTGCCTGACTACAGCTCATTGCATGAACATCTGTTGGTTTTGCTTAGAAAGAACAGAGCAGGAACTAAGAATGGATGAAGGTAAAAACCCAGCTGAAAAATGATGCCCCCTTATAGAAACCCAAACATCATCAACAGAAAAAAAAAAACACAACAAAGGAATAACAAATCACATTGCTGGCCGGCGGCGGCAAATCCGCTGCCAGCGCCGAGAAAAATTACCACTATAATGATATTATCAAACTCGATGTACCCAAAGTACTTCAGGAGTTTCTCAAACTCTAAAAGAACTAATGTGGTGTCACAGGTTTTCATTTTAGTGGAAGGTTGCTGATGAGATGCAGAGAGACGCACAACATAATTGATCTTCAGCACAATAAAATCCCACCGAGTGCTCTGAAACACCAACAACATTCATTTTCATTTCATCTCTCAGAACAGAAAATCTATCCGACACTGAAAACATGGATAGCTGTTCATTTTAAATGATCTTAAATGGCCTTCAAAAATTACATCTGACCTTTAAACTGTCTAAATGGTCCTTTATTATGGGATGCAGGAATGATCACCAGCTAGCCCTCGTTATCACGAGTCTCCACGACTGCCTACAACTTCAACCACCATCTCTCTGGATCCATTTAGTCCGGTTTGTGTGTACAGTTCTTTTAGAACTACTTTTATTTATTTCTTCTTTTCCTTCTTTATATTTTTTTTTAAACCAACTTAAATGTCAAAGACGTGACTGTCATTATTTGTTGTTATCATTTTTTGTAAAAAAGTAAATAAAAAAACTTACAATTAAGGGAGAAACTTAAAATAAAAACATAAAAATATCACATTTTGATGGCTGTTTGACAAGCTGCTGACAGAATAATCTGCGTGAGTGATGAAGATTATTATCTGGTTCATAAACTATTTCCATCAGACTTTGTTTAAAGTGTGTGTTTGATACCTAATTTGACTGAAGAGAGGAAAAGGCACTTGACAACAGCATGCCATCAGTGTAGAAAAAGGGCCTATTCAATCTTAAGCTCAGCCACCTCAAACCTAAATGCGTTCCTGCTTCTGATGCAAACCAGCTAACCTGCAGCGATCCATATGCAGCGTGTGTCTGTGTCAGTGACCCTGTGTATTCAGATGTAAATCCTCTTGTTTGTCTGACTTTTCAATGATGTTCGGGACATTTATATTCCATTTTCTGCGGGTTTAGTCGACGCTGAGGTTGTCTCTGTCAAGGTGAGTCACAGCAACAACCCCAACTGCGAGCAAAAACAAAGTGTGAAGCTCGTCTTGCATCAGACAAAATCTATTCAGAAACACACTGAACATCAGCATCGCTTTTTTTTTTCTTCTGCCTTTCTCGGTTTTGGCATCTGCTTCTCCGAAGCTTGTGGCAGCTTTGGGGAGATGTCAGTGATCTTAGCCTCGGGCGAGGTGCCGTTACAGGGCAGACAGCTCATCAAGGTGATTGACAAGTGTTGGGGTGGGAACTTACGATTCACTTTTCTGCCCAGAGGTAAAACAGTTGCACACTGTAGCTGTAACGTTACATCTTTTTCAACTTTTTTTGGACAAGTCTCAAAGGGTATTAATGACGTAAGAACTGCCAGGTAATCATCAGGAAGCAGCTTTGAAGTAGAAACAGCTGCTCATTGACAACACTGAAGCCCATAACTCAACAAAAATAACAGCTGGAATGGAAGTCTTAGTTTGGCTCTTATTTTGTAATGTACCACTTCACAATAAAACACCTGGTACTGCAGTTCTTTTATGATATAAATATAAACAAACGTGAGTTTAAGACACACTGGATGTTTGATTATGACTTTTCTGATTTTTACTTTCAAAATGGAGTCCAAGCAATCAGTGAGATACTATAATAATAAATTGCGCCCCATAAGTAACAAGACAGCAGCACACTGTTTGCTCTTTTGGCTCCAATACTCTTATTGGTTTGGACGCTAGCCATCTCACCTGCCAGCCTTCCTTTGGTTGGTATCTCAGTGATACTGAAAGAACTGATTGAGTACAAGTTGAAGAAGTTTGTAAGTCTGCGGAGTACTGTTAGACTCTGGAAATTATATCACTTGTAAATTCAAATTGTAATATATATTCAGCTGGATAAGGAGAGCAAGTAAAAAAAAAAAGAACAGCGTGTCTGGTGTTCTTGATGTGCTGGAGACCTCTAGTTGACATTACAAGCAGTGGAAATGCTTGCCAAGACACTAAAATTGCTACTGAATTAATAAAGTCTCAGTTAGAGCTGCAGAAAAAAAAAAAAAAACAGATAAAACATACCTTATAAAGCGCCGTGATATTTGCTTTCTTTTCTGGGCTGACTACAGTTTGAACACTTTCTGGACGTTTTTAATGAATTATGAGCTGAAACCAACTAAATGCTTCGCTCAGTAGAGACTGAGGACTTTTTCCTGGTTTTTGTTGCTAAAACTAGGTGGAAATAATTAGAGAGTTAAAAAATAAACTGCACTGACGAAACAGATGGAGGCCAGGTGATTTCCAGCCTTAGGACATCCCTAGTAATTCGATAGATGTGGCATATTTTCCAGCCATGCATCTAAACAGACACCTTAAAATGAAGACAAGACAAGAAGCCCCATTGTTCTAACTGTTCTCACACACACACACACACACACACACACACACACACACACACACACACACACACACACACACACACACACACACACACACACACACACACACACACACAGATATCTAGTGCAGCTTTCTGCCATTTCCAAAATGTCCCCAGTAAAAAAAGGGTTAAATACTTTTAAGAGTGAAAAAGGAAAATTAAATATTACATAATATTTGCCCAGCATTTTTGAAAATGTTGTGAAGAGAAACAAATATCTTAAAAACACCCACATTAAACCCCCCCCCTGCACCTCCATCTTACACCCACACAGGTGTTCACTTATGTTTCCTGATTAGACCTCTTCTTATGCCTGTGTCTGCAGGTACAGACTTGATTGAGGTCTCCCTTTGTTGCACAGCAGACAGTTTGACCTGTCACAGCAGGAAAAGGCTCAAATGTTACTAATAACATTAAGGCTTGTTTGAGATGAACTGCTCTTCGCCTTGAAAGTCGATGAGATCAGGCGGCAGCAGCAGGAGGCGGTGGCGAAGAGCCGCAGGCAACTCGTACAGTTTCAAGCCGTCTTCAAAGAATACTTATCTGTAGACTACTTTTTAAACCATGTTCGGATATATAAATAAACTTTATCGCTAATATTATCGACCAGACAAGATATGTTTATTAACAGATTGAAGCTTCATTGCACAACATGAGGCTAATAGTCAGCAATCTAGTGTTAATTGTTACAATCACACAGACAATTAGGATTTTCTACAAAACGTGGTGTTTGTGGTCAAAAGCCAATCAGCTCTTTGATCAGGCGACAGCCAGGCATTTTAAGTGATGCCTTGGGTTGTGCAGTCGGTGGAGAGCACCAGCGTCTAAAAACTGCGGCTGCCTCAGTATTGTATAGTTTCTTTATCTATTCATCAGACGCAGTGCATATTAATAAACACTGCTGTAAGTGTGCAAGAATTAGCCAAAAGGCTTGTTTCCATCTGTAGTCCCTGGCCAGGTTTAAATACTGGCAGCCTGAAATCAGCATAAAATCAATAAACAAGGTTAAAACAATAATCATGATGTAAGACATGTTAATTAAAGGAGCACAGTCGTGAGGTTAGAGATGCAGTCGGCATGAAGTCGGACGCAAATTCAACCGGCACGATTCTGCGAAGGCCTGGCTCATCTCGATCGAGCCTCCAAACAACGGCTCTGTTTTATTCAAGTGTCCCATTAAGTCAGGACATGAGTGACAGCGAGGCAGCTTACACGATACCTGCTCCCTGAAAGTGGAGCAGCTGAATGGAATTCAGCCATCATTAATTCATATTATTTACAGCTGTGCTTTTTCCTACTGTGACATGTCAAAATGTCTGCTGGTGAGTTTTCTCAGTGCTGTTGAGAATTGCTCGGCCAGACTTCAACCTTCAAGCTCTAATCAGACAGGATAACTGAAAACACCTGTGTGGGTGCAGGTTGTTACTAAGCTCTTATGTTAACACGCTGTTCAACATCAGTAGAAACAAAGTCATTCACTTATACATGCAGAGCAAAGCATCTACATTGTTGTCTAAGTAGCTTCTCGTACACCAGTCCCTGAGGTAATATACATGTATATGTTAAAAAAACATATTCTTTCAAAAAGCTTTTTTTTTTTTTTAAACTTAATTTCACTTTTATTCGTCTGCAAACATTTTCTCCTGGGAAAGAATTTAAAATATTTAAATAGACTGCTCAAAAATACATTGTAAGTGCATTCTCAAAGTATTTTTTTTTGCAAACCAGACATACAGAGTCAGGAGGAAGAACTCTTTCTGAAGTATCTGCTCACATATTGTGAACAGATCAGTTTACTACAAAGTGAGGGTAAGCATATTATAGTGTCTCAGTTTGAAAGTCTTGCACACAGCATTAAGAGACTGTGTCCGACCCTTTGACTAAAGCGAATCCCTTATGGGAAGACGTGCGGCTTTGGCTTCCTACGACTTACTGGAACTGTGGCTCTGCTCCATCGTGTAGAAGAAGAGACAGACTCCTGCAGTCAGCAGCAGGTGCATGGACTCGTACAGTAATTTGGGTGAAAAGACGCTCCATATGAAGAGATGGTACCGCAGAACAGTTACCAGCACAATGTAGGCTGCAGCTGGCACAGACCTCAGCAGGGCCAAACAGTAGCAGCCATGGCCGACTGCAACCGGGCTCCTGCAGAGAGGAAAAGGATTCATCAGGGAGGTTGAAAGCACTGCAGAGAGCGAAGCAGGCAACTATTTTCTGTGAATAATAGGCAAACTTCCTGTATAGCAAAAGTTTATATGTGAACCAAGGTCATCCTAAGCCGCTTTATGTTTTCTAAATGATGATTTTGAATCAGTAAAGCTGCAGATTGTTTGATGATTCATTACTACAATTTCACTACATTTTGGAGTTTCTACCTTACGCATGTACCCAGGAGAAGAGTCAGATCCAATTATCTTCTCACAATAATGCAGATTGCTGGCAAATTCTGATAAAGAAGTTAATGACTTTAAAACCTGCATAATGGAAGGAGGGATGCAGTGAGGAGATTAGGAGGTGCTAATGTAAAACCAAACACACACAGATACACAAAGACATGTGTACGTGTACACTAGACTTCTTCTCTGACGCACTGAAACACAAATGCGTAAATAAATACAGTGATCTTGTTCTTTCGAACAGGCAGAGTCCCAGCTGAGGGGGAGGAACTTCAAGCCTTTTCCCAAGACAAGAGAAGTAGGAGACATGGGAAGCAGTCCAGTTTGGAGGTGGAAAATCAATCAAAGGGGCCAGTTAAAACACACACACAAGATACACATAGGCACAAATGTGTCAAACACCGGCGAATAATCAATAATGAGCTTTTTTCGAATGCAGCAATTCAAAACTGTGGCACACAGGAGTATTTGCTCTGGTTCCCCTCAGAGTCAATGACATTTATTTAAACAATATTACTGACTGTCACAACTACACTGGTGTAGTGTGCCACTCTTGTAAACTCAGTCTTGTTTTTGTAGTGTTGGACATCATTTTTGTCTGTATGATCACATTTTAGCCACCAATTACATTCTGGAGATGTGAGGCAGTTCATCAGGACGAGCAACCAAACTGGTCAGAGGATCATGAGGGGTGGGGACTCCTAAGGGACAGAAATCTAAACTGATGCACCAAAGTGCCAAGATATCCTGACGCTAAGTCCCTAGTATGGGTCTAGCTCCAAAATAACTTCCCACAATGCAACTGAATATGGTCTTTTGTGAAATCCCCCCCAAGCCTATTCTTTCAAAAGCCAAGGCCTCAGTTTGTATTGGAGAGTTTCTGTTATGAATTTACGATGATCAACAGAATCTGGAGTATTCCTTTCACAACCACAGAAGACATTATGTGAGTGACACTAAGCATGACAAGTGAACTGATCAATAACTTCTGTAGAGTGCTCCTTTATAGCTTTTTAAACCAGTTATGACAAGTAATTACTTATTTGTAATTGAAAAAACACTTAAAATTAGGGATGCACAATGTGAATTTTTTTCAGCCAATACATTAATTACCTGCTTCTCATGGCCGATACTGATAAGATACCTAATAATTTCACATTCAGTTCATAACCAGTTTTTTCTTTAAACCCCTGATTGTAAGAAAGGCTAAGGCTATGTAGTGAGCAACGATGGATGATTTAATATTCCATAGTTCATCAAAAAAACTCAACAAACATACTTTGGCTTTCATAGAGCATAAAGTTTATCAATCATTTTGAGTTCCAAATAAATTATAATAATTATGGACCAATAATTTATCAGCTGTAAATTAAATGCCAGGATAATTTATAATAATATAAATTTCCCATTATTGGCCGATAATTTATTAGTCCCTATAATTATTGTGGTTAACATATTATGACTGGTAATAATGTAATAGAAGTTATATGTTCAAACTTCTGTTTGTGTTGACCAAATTGACCTATTTGTAAAGCTGCCATGTCCTCAGATGAAGAGAAATGAAGTTGGTGACTATAATATCATGGCAACATGGAAGAAAATGGCTTTAGCTACATAAAAAAACACTCAGTTTGTACGGTGCTCTGTGAATTTACCTAATGGAGAATTCCACAGAGCTGCTGGGTTTAAAACAGCTTAGGGTTTTTTTTTCCTGTGTCCTACCTCAAAGAGCTACTAAAACATTAATGTGGGACCTCTCAGGTGGGTTAGCAGGGTAAACAGCCAATCTGAGTAAAACCCTGCAAGAAACTTAATTCTCTCAGAGGAGAAGACGTGCGACATCTATGGTATCTTTTCTAATTCACGGTTTTATAAATGAATGGGGTGATAAAGAAGATTAGCTCAATTTTGATGTTGTTTATCTGGTGTGGTTAGGAATAATAAAAATCATATAAAACAAATGATCAAACTGAAGAAGGAGAAGAAAGAAGGGCTCGAACACAGTGTGAAATGTGCAGAATGTGCAAAATGTAGGATGAATGAATGACTCAGGGAGATCCCAGCGCTGGAAATTCTGCACCAAAACGAAAGAGTTTGATGGAAGGCTACATCGTCCTTCAGTGCATTGTATTTCAAACCATTTTACTTTTGAGCTCACAAAGCAGCAAGCTGCACAAAAGATCAACTGTCTGTCTCCACTTGTGCTTTTTCACACCTCTCAACAAAAGGTAATTTCAAAGAGCCAATGCAGCCAATGTAGTACAGAGTGAAAATATGACCTGAATACACCTTTTATATATATATTTCTGTCAGAATCCTGACTTTTTAAAGACAGTCTGAAGAAAGTAAAGCTGCGTTGATGGGTTTATAGTCAGGGTCGTCATGCAAACTAAATTTCTTTCTTTCAATTAGAGCAGAAATAAAGAAAATAATGACGGAATTTTCTGCAATTTGACATATATATTCAAATGCTTTGGGGGGATTGTCTGAAAACCTCGCTAAAGCAGTTTTTGTAGCTTAATTATCCCCCCCTTTTATATATTAAGGTATTAGATTATTCAATTATATGTGCTGTTATGGTTATTGATTGACACTTCTTCAGTAGCTGCCACTCGTCTGCTTTACCCCAAAATTTTAATGGGCATACATTCACATACAAAGACCACATCCTCAATGCAAATTAGTTTAGAGAACAAAGATAATAAAGCCACAGATGAAAGGAACCTGCCTTCATGCTAACAGCTGTATTTTCTAACACAATGCACAGGAAGCAGCATCAGTACAGACGGGACTGTGTTGACATCACATAGCTGTGTCTGCTGCCAGTAAAAGCTCAGACAGAGCAGCAGCAACCTATTTTCCAAAATGCTCAACCTCCTCGTAATCCATCATCACCAACAGCCTAAGAACAAATACATTAACCTGTAACCACACCGCACACACTGATGTGACTAGAGAGAGGGAGGGGAGCAATAATATGCCTACCTGCCTACCTCAAGACCTGTCAGCAAGACTCCAGAAGGAAGCCCTAACTCTCTCCATTTTCACATGTTTGAAAAAAGGAATTGAAGCTCTACAAACCACTTCAGCAACACACCGTTAAGCTGCAGCCTACATCTCCTCCAACAGAGAGCTGTGTGTACCTGCTGTTGTGAATTTCAACTTTTAAAAGAAACTGATACCACAGGGAAAGTGTGTGTGTGTGTGTGTTTCGTTTCACTCACTCATTTATTAGGGCTGCAACTAACGATTATTTGTATTATCGATTAATCTGTATAATAATCTTTATTAGTCGTTTGGTCCATAAAATGTCAAAAAATTGTTAAAATTATCGATAGCTGTCTCCCAAAGTTCAAGGTGACGTCCTCAAATGTCATATTTTGTCCACAACCCAAAAGATATTCAGTTTACTGTCATAGAGGACTAAAGAAAACAGAAAATATTCACATTTGAGAAGGGCAAATCAATGACTTAACTTCTTAAGAAATGACTCATGATTAATCGATTATCAGAAAAGTTTGCGATTAATTGTAGCAGTTCTAAAAAGAATCTTAACTACATATAATAGTAATAAAATAATAAAATATAAAAGCTGATGAGGCATGTGTGCCCTTCATCTGGAATGACGTGTTTGTTCACAGTGATTAGCTGCACTAAAACAATGAAAACATTCTCTCTGAATTATGAGATTGCTTTGAGTAGAGTCAGACTGTGTCAAGGGAGACCCGTTGAAAAGCTATTGATCAAAGCCCATTTCCAGTACTTGCCTTGTGGTCGAGCTGCTGATGGTGCAGAGTGAATCCTAAATGAGCTACCGTATATGAGGCTATTTCAGAGTTTCATTTGTCACAATGTCTTGAGTGCACATTACAGGTGGGGTTTCTGAGGAAAACACTGCGCTGTGAATAACAACAGCAACATAAAGATGCTTGTGTGTCCCGCAGAGTAATGCAGTATGTAATGTCTGCGAGCAGGATTTAGTGTGACATTAGCTTGTGAGGCATCAAGGTTAAAGTCCCTGCAGTGGCCACTAGAGGCTGCAGTGTTCATTGCAGCACACGATATGAAAGTGATGAGCTGGCCAAACAACAAGCTGGCGATCTGGCTGTTAAAACCACAGTGAATATAGCTCCATCATCACCTCCTCATAATGGTTTCACTTGTTGGCAGATCATTCAGTCTAAATAGCGATTTACTGTCTGCATGCGTTGTTGTTGTTACAGTTTAGGTTCACAAGTGACATAAATCAATGCATGAGCCACGTCTGATTTTAGCTAAAGCAGCAATTTGAACATACGTAGTCGACACATCTTTGGTGTTGTTACTGTAAAGCAGTTTTCCTCCGCTACTGTATGTGAGACGCTGTCATGTTTCTAACAAGTGAGTTCCTGTTGCTAGTAGAAAATGAATGCTATTCCGCAGCTCTGCCTTGCTCACTGTGGTGTAGCTTCAATCTCAGCGTGGCTTTACTTTTTCATTTGTAACCCCTCTACTCTTAGTGGGGATAGATATTTAGATTCCCCGGAGAGTGGTGCTACAGGAAAGATGATGGAGGTCATTATAATCAAGTTGAGTAAATTTTTATATTTTATGGAAAAGTGGAAATTTTGGGGTGATGTTGACATTTTCACGGGGTTTTTGGTAATGTCTTGTCATGGATCAAACGTTGGGTCACAGAGACATTTTTAAGGTGCTGAATGAAAAGGTCGCCCATATCAATAGTCATTCTCTGAGGATCTTTAATGTCCACATTAAATATCATGGCAGGCCAGTCAGGAGCCGCTCTGGACCAAAGTGTCGGATGGACGAAAGGATCAACTTCCCTAGGCTCTGCCGGCAGCAGCGTAAAAAAATTTAAGATGAGTCGCAACTTTTTAATCAGAGACTGTCTGGACTACTGAAATGTTAAACATATCATATTTGAATGTGGGATCAAAGATTATTAAGAATATAAATCATGCATGGGTATGTACACCCTCTGCAGTCTAATTTTCATGGGACCTTTGTGCGAGCAAAATTAAAACATTCTTTTCCCCATAAAGTAGTGACTTTTTATGACAAGGCTGCAGCCTTAGATCAATCCTTGCATTTCTGTCACTGGCTTTTAAACAATATAGGCAGGTTAATCAAACTCCTTTTATACAAACACCATCTTCTGTCTACATTAAAAGAGTATTTCAGCTTTGGCTCCAGCAGCAGGGCAGCTGTTGCCCAGCCACAGTCCTCATCACTCAGCACTGTGCCTGTGTCTCATGCTGAGGGGAGCTGTAGTTATTGGCTGCATTCACACACATACAGCTACTGGCCTCTCTCCAGTTAAGGTCTTATGCAGGTTAAGCTGTTTACATGCATCTCTGATACCCTGCATGCGAGTCTCCTCGTTGCCACGAGTAAACCAATTAAGAGAATATTCCTGTGCACCTGTACTGTCTCACCCACGGAGAGGATTCAGAACGAAAAACTACAAAAGGAAACAACCGCCACTCAAAATTAACTGTAGCAGTGATGCTGTGTGACGGTGGAAACCAAAGTAGAAGAGAGTAGCATGTTTAAATTAAATATCATAGTGCAGTAGCTCCCCTATAGCCCTCTCAGATGAGCTCAAGTTCACTTTCACTGGCACCACCTGTCATCTTCCAAATGTGTTCTTATAAATGGATTAAACTGGATGTTATTTAAATATTACTTAAATCGGCGTTTACTGTTACAATAATGCTTTCATCAGATCTAATGACAGTGTTTGGGTTGCCTTGATCAAGGTGGAATTCATGCTACCACTTGGAGTGACGTAAAATAGCTGAAACGTTTCAGCTATTTTAACTGTTTATTTGTTACCTTTAGCTAACTACTTCACTATTTGTTTATTATGTTAAGCTAATCCGTTAAAAACACATAAACATTATTTTTAGCTTACTATTTTAACAATTCACTCACTAGTTTAAGCTAACCATTACTAGCTGCTTTGTTCATTACTTTTAAATATTTCAGTTAATTTGAACTATTTCAACTGTTTATTCATAAAACTTTTAGGTGTTTCATAAAAGTCTATCCATTACTTTTAGCTAATTTAACAACAATTTAACTCTAATTTATCTTATCTGTAATTTAACTTTTTATCTATTACTTAATTAACTATGTCAACATCTCTGCTGGCGTACTAAGTTGTTTCACGCTCTCTTACAACTGACTGTTGTCAGTGTCACTGGGCATTTTACTGGTTATTTTAAATATAGTCGTAAAGATCAGCACAAATTTCTAATCCTATTTTGTTATTTATGATTTTCCTCAACAGGGTTATGTGGAGAGATTTAATGAAATCATTCAGTTGAGTTTAGTTGACTTAATGAGTTGAGCTTTCCACGTATCCACTGGAAACTGCAGGAGTAACCCCGGGGTATAAACAACCCTTGGTTGGATATCATTGCCATGGAGTGACTTTTAATCTGACACTTACTTGTCTCTCTCTGAGCTGAGATAGCAGACGAGGTGACACGCCCAGAGCAGGGGCCCCGCGTAAGTGCTGAGGGCCGTTAAGAAGATGGCAGGTGCTTCTATGTAACTTTCCAGTCCAATGAAGCCCACTGAAATGTCAACAGTGGCAATGTTGTTGGAATTTCCCTGCAGGAGCACAAAAAAAGCTTATTTTAGCATCGCCATGGGCACAGGAATAACTCACCCTGTATACAGACAAAAAGGAGTACACAAAGATCTGTGGATGAAGCTTTGTAAGCATTTCTTAGCTGTTAAGAAGTGGTCCTTTCCTTTATCATCATTACTTTGAGCTTCTGGCGACTTCCCAGCAGCACAGTTGTTTGTGTTTTCCAGTCCCTGACCTGAGCAGCATACAGCATTCTGTCTGTAGCTAGACCCTTGTTAGAACCACTAAGGCTACTGTGTAAGTGTGCATGCGTTTGTGCCAGCAAAGAATTTTTGTTTTGTTTTAAAAACAGTGCATTTTCTTATCTTTAACTTTGCAACCAATTTCCAGTATCTCTGGAACGGGCAAAATATGCCTAAAGTAGAACTGAAAACATTATGCTTTTGTAACCTTGTTTTATTTCCTTTTTCCCTTGTTCTGAAGTTTCATCTCAAGCTTTAGAAGATTTCATCACTGCAATGCAATGAGGATTTATAGCCACAATATAAAGGGTATTTGGTTCTGCAAATATAGGCTATATCCACAGAAGGAAAGATGCTTTTGTTCAAACGTTATAACTCAACTCAAAAAATATGTGCTGAAATGTTGAGGATGTTGTTTCATCACGAGCTCAACCAGCAGAATAATTATAGCTTAAAATGAAAGAATATGAAAATAAAGTGGCCCATACAGATTATCAGAAGTAAGCAGGTGAAAATCTTTTTGACCGGTAAAGGCTCCAGTGAATCTAAACACATTACTAAATCCAACTATTCCCTGAAGCTTAACCTTTACAATAAAAGGACTGTAAAATTATGTTCAAAAGCTAAAAAAATAAATAAAAATACAGGCGAAGTAATCCATGTTCAAATTTGTGCTGCTCAGGTGCTTAATCTGATTTCTGGGTGGCACTTGGAGATTACTGAAATCTGTTCACGCCTCTGAGATGCAGCCTTCAGACAAATCAATCAACCTGAGCCACTGAACAGCGGCTCAGAGAAACATTGTCACGTCTGCACACATCCTTTCCTACCGAGTTCAAACTGGCTCATCTATAGTGTTTCAACAAGCAATAAGAACATTTAAAATTAGTACAATTCACTGCGGCTGTCAGGTTGTGGCATGTAAACTCCACTCTATACATGTACACACACACACAAGGAAAAGAAAAATCTCTGGGAATCAGCAGAGATCAAGGGTGGTTTTCTGGTTAAATCCGACTGCAATGACGATCCATAAGTAGCAACACATCAAGTAATGGTTCATTTCTCTTCTGTGCAAATATTTCTGATCACAGAGGAAGAAAACATTAACAGCTGCCTTCATTTTAAACAAACAAGCAGTGAATATCAGTGAGCAGGTTGGAGGCTGCATATGGATATTTTCTGCTTGCTTTCTTGCTGAAAATCCTGCTGTGATCATTCAAATGTATTCTGCACCATCGACAAACATCTCACCTTTGAAAAAAAAGGTGCAAGAAGTATTTTATGATTGAATTTCAGACAAAAATGAAAACTGTCAGAGAGTGGGGCTGGTCTAATATAGCTCTTTGCTGAAGTGTATACTAGAAACACATCTCTGTTTTGGGGTAAGTCTGAATACACTTAAAAGTGGTGTTTAGCAACCTGAATAGTGTTCAGTGTGTGCACCAAAATGCATCGCTAAAAGAGAAACATCTATTCTAATTTGTATGTTTACCGTACGTCACTTTTGTCAGCTTAATGAAATGTGAGTCCACCTTTCAGCTCTAAGCTCTAAAAACATCCTTGTGATGATTCATAGTTTTCTACAGAAGCTTGCTAAGTTGCATCTGAATTCAAACCCGTGGGGTGACTCGTCCCGACTCATGTGGCAACATTTGCACAAACTGGCTCATTTCAGAAGAATAAACTCCTCCTTGTTGCTTTACTGACCATCTGGTTTTGGGATGCTGATAAATCCACAGAAAATCCACTGCAAAGTCTGACTCGTCCATCACTGCAAATGATCAAGACAGCTAAATGCAGACGGCCAAAACGGCGTCTCCAGCGAGACAGTTAATTCATCATGTGATGCGATTTAACTTTTTTGTGACACTAGCAATGTCTGCATCTGAGGTTACCTGGAATATTTCCCATAATCCTCTTGAGCTTTTGTGTGTTTGCTTGCCAACAAAGAAGGACACTTAAAAAACAACAGCTTTCTGCCAATATTTATGTATAATAAAGCATCTGAAAACAGAAAAGGCATGTTTCTAGACTCCCCATTACTATCTTACCACTCTGATCAATCTGCAACCCCAGAGCTCATTGATCAGCTGTAACCGCTGATTAGATTTTAATTCAACATAATTTGGATTGTTCTGCATGATACCACTTTTTGTTTCCGAGCAGCAAATTTAAATCACATATGTCGCTGCTTTACAGATCCATTATGGTTACGGCTTCGTTGAGAATGTTATTACTCAAAGGTCTGTAATTACATGCCTGGGCGCGTACACTGAAAATTGTCTGGTGGCGGTCTATTCCCGAGCCCATCAAAGTATTAATGACCCAAGGGTGATGCCGGTTATTAAATTGTTAGCGATGTGGAAGTTCAGCGTTGACAACAACACACATCTGCTAACCAAATATCCGTCCTGGGTGGAGTTAAACCGAACGGAAGGTATCATATCTGCCTTGGAGGATCATTCATAGCTCATAACACCATAACACCTCCACAGGAAACAACTAGTCCAGTTCACCTTTATGCCAGTGCGGGATGAAAGTAATATAATTTAAACACTTCCTCTGCCCAGAACTGCTCCTATTACAGTGTCCGACACTATCAGCGGTGATAGCTTTCCAAAATGTTGCTGCACTCACTGTCAGAGCATTAAATTAGATGTCTCTTGCAATCAGACAAGAAAACCTTGCTTACTGTTTTTTTGTTCCCTGGAGTTTCTTTTATAGATATGGGAGGTTGTGATTTTGGCTGTGATACACATCTTCACACCTCTGTACTTTTGGTGTCAGCACCAATAGGTATTGCAGTTTGTGAACTGGCTGTAATTTGTGAGCTGGTAATGGTTTGATAACTGTTTTTGTAACTGCAACACTTATTTTATAGATTTACAGCGGGGTGAATTTGAATGGTCTGGACTACAATCAAAGTTAATCTGGATAAGTCAGTGGGGGGTTCAAACAAACTGGTTTGACTAATAGTAACTCAAAACAATCACCTTCACTAAAAAACACAAATCATTACAATCCACTGCTGCAACAAACACATTGTTTAAGCTTCAGGAAGGTCCTCACACAGTTAACGCACATTCACACCCGGAGGCTGTCCAGTACAACCACAGTTCCCAAATGTTGTGCAGTCGGAGCAGTCAGGGGTTAAAGGAAACCAGTCACAGTCACATCATAAAGTGGCACAGCACAATGAATCTGTGCACTTAATAATTTAATTTACTTTTTTGAAACTGTCAGTTCGCAAGCTTGTTAGCTTTATCGCTGACAGGACAATATGTTTACAGGTTTATTCAAAAGACGTATTTGTACCATTGAATCTTATCTCATAACTGTCTGCAAACCATCATCCATTCATTCATACCATTAACCAGTGGATTGTGCAACACAGCTAATAAGCTACGCTAACTTCATCAAGTTTAGTTTGCTACTGGACCATAGCACGAATCTGATCAGTAAGCTGCTAACAGTAATCAAATCTGATCACTGATAGCAGCAAATCCATTGGAAATCATTGATTTTGCCACATCATTTTCCCATTTTAACACACATTTAGCTCCCCAGTGCTTCATTACTATTATTATTGTGAATATATTAACCAGTCTGTAATACATATTAGCAACATTGTGTGGAAATTTTACTTCTACTAACCTTTTCTGCCGCTGCAGTGTAGTGTTAACGGTATTTAGTTGGTATCTAGAGGCCACTAAATCCTACACACTGATTCTTTAATACACCTTCTACTGCACATTAAACAGTAAATAAACAAGTGTCTGTTGAACCTTTGCCATCACTGACATTATTCATTATTGTTGCTTACCTGAAAGTAAAAGAAGGCCTGACCAAACCAGTAGTGCATGATGGTGGTTTGGGCGGCGTCATAGTGGAGTTCCTTCCAGATAAACTGAGCCATGAGGGTCTGGATCAACAGGGAGCAGCAGAGGACTGGCAGATTGTGAGCACGAAACAACAGTGAAACCAACAAAACCAAGCCACTGTAAATCTCCCATAATCCCCTGCTCTTCAACTTGGCATCTGCTGTGATGATCTGGGATCGCAACAGGTCCTTGGTGCCCGTGAAGAGGATGCCCAAAACGAAGACGTAAACAAAGCGCGCCTCCACTGTTCCCCTAAAAGAGAAAGATTACAGTGTCATTTTTGCATTTGCAGTAAGCCAGTATTGATTTTTCTCTACAAAACGTTCAATATTCAAGTAATTGTGGTAAGTGACTCTGGGATGTGGATTCTGGCAGTCTTGCTGTACCTGTCCATGCATTTTAGCAATTAAAAATCCAGAGTTTGGGGACATGAGGAGAATGATTTAATTCAGACTTTATACACTGAATGTCAAACAAAAGTGACAAAAGCAAGCTGTAATGGGCAAGAACAAAAGCAAACTACTAAACAGAACCTAAACAACCATCTTGATCATTTAAATGCAATAAAGAATAATCATTGATAAAATAAGACAGAAAGTCTAAAACACCTAAAACAGATTCATATCATCTCTGTAATACATTTCTTGAAGAAAATAAATATGACAGCATCCGTAACAGCAGATATGAAAAGTGTGCAATTAAACTCAAAACAATAGTAAATATTTAGCTGAATGACTCATTATCATATATTTCATTCATTAACCTTTCATTTAGAGGAAAAACATTTGGGACTATTACCATTTTCTGATATGAGAGACTACAGTCTAACATATCTGTGGTTCCAGTATATTTCAGTTCACTACTTTAATTAATTGCATATCCCTGTCTCTTTTGAGACAGTATTCTGTATATTTCTGTTACTTATAACCCTTATTTCATTCAGTATTCAGTGTGTCAATGTAACATTAATAATTAAAGGTGTGAGACTGGGAGTCAGAATGACTTGCCAGAGAAAAACAGACTTTCACATCCATCACTCTCTCCATTGTGCTTTCTGCATTGCTACAATTTGATATGCACGGTATTATCACTTCCTCCTGCTACTGATCTCAAAAATATCTTCTTTTCAATGGAGTATGACAGGTTGTAAGTAGTAGGGATGACAAGAGTGGCAGTGAAACCACCTAAGCTACAGACTACAGAAGGTCAAAGAGGGATTTTATAACATAACTGCCACGTATACGTTGTCCCTAGCACACTTTCCTCTAAACTGAAGCTGTTGGTTATCACAAGCGGGCCCCTACTGGCCAGTTAACAGGAGTGACGACTCTGCAGTCAATGGTGGCAGAAAACAGAGCAATCAATAAAATAGGTTTTTCATTTCAATCACTGCACCGATGAGACTACCTCGAACATACAGTCATAAATGTGTACAAAAAATACTATGCTGATGGGTCCAATAGTATGTGAGATTAGCTGTGGACAGATACACACACACACACAGACACACACACACACACACACACACACACACACACACACACACACACACACACACACACACACACACACACACACACACACACACACAAAGATCAAGGCTTGTACTGTATGTCCTGAGGTGCACAATAGTAAGTCTGAAGCTACTACAAGGTTAAAAAAAAGTTTCCATAAGGCTCTTCTCCTTCTAAAAGGCTTACTCCTCAAAAATCCTTTTCCAACTATCAATAATTTATATGCTCAAAAAGTCCCAAATTGAAGCTTTAAAGGAAAAGTGCTTTCGATTATGAAGGCAATTACATTTAGTCTAATTTCCATTTCAGGCATTCAGCATATGTTCTTATCCACAGAAACTTAAATGAAAAGAATTTTTTTTCCCCCGCCTCAAACCTGCTCTTTAATTATCTTTCATTCATTAATGTTTGTCCAAGAAAGAGGAATGAGTAAATAAACCTGAATAAAACAAAACAACAGACAACAATAGAGTGGTAAGATGTGTGGCATTGATAAGTCGTTTTATTCTATTTCATAATAGATGGAGGGGAAATAAAGAGCATTAAAAGCTAATGAAGTTTAGACAGACACTGACTTTTTAAGGAGTAACAGTTTGAGGATGCTTCTCTGCAAACATGTATATATATATATATTTTATATGTTCACCTATTGACCACCTTACCCCCTGATGATATTCAGAAGCACAACATTGATTTAAAGCAGCTGCTGGTAGTATTTTCAAACTGCGACTGCTCACAAGCAGTTTACACATTTGTCAATGCTGCGTCCAAAGTGATGACATCAAAAATGCGCTTCCTGTCAGTTGACGGCTATCACGCAGTAAAGGAACATTTCTTTTGCAGCAGGATGCAGTCAAAGCTGCAAAAGCACTACAGGATAATAGCTGACCCTGAAGGAGTTGAGCAAGTATTGGACATGTATTATTAATCAGTGTGTTTTATGGAAACCTGTTCCAACAGAGGAAAGGAGCAGAGTAATATGCTCCATACAGCACTATTCTTTATTATTCACAACTCCCCTAACAATGTGGCACGGATTGTATTCATCTTTATTTTATGCAAAGGAAAAGTGGAAAATCCTGGCCTGGATTTGATTGTGTGCGAGGACAGTGATGGGTTTGAGCTGCCGGGCTTACTTGTTAATGAGTGTGCAAGGTGGAGAAATCGTGAGAATTACCAACTAATCTTTTTGTGGCTGCATGTTTGTGCTCGACAGAAAAGTATTGCAGGGTGCGCCTAATGTGGTTGTTATCTTTAACTATACATCACACAAAGGGAGCAGGATTGGAAACCCATGAGATTTACATGTGAGATATTAAAAGACACCTTTCCTTCAGAAACTGTATATTTAACTGTGAAAGACTGCAGCACTAATCCACATCAGTCTGAAACAATAAACATTTTCCCCAACACTGAAGCATGCACAATTCTGAATGCTGAAAGGAATCTTGTTTGTTTTGACATTTCCAGAGCAGAAAGCACAAGCCCTCCTCCTTGTCTGAGCAGTAAAGGCTATTTGCTGTTTATGTAATTTCCCCCCAATTGCAGCACCCCCAAAAGTAGCTGCAGTTATTTTAAGTGTGTCCTGATTATAGTATATCACACAGCATGGCTTTGCACTTATCATATTTCTTCAACTTTTCCAGCCCTTACTTAAATTAGACTAGCCATTTAGACAAGGGGATATTACGCAATCTATGATTTCCATCCAAATCTACAGACGAGCAGCAGGCAGCACGAGCTGCAACAGTAAGACACTACCCCTCATGTGCCTGAACTCTCATCCTGTCCGCTTGAAGCACTGTGGCTAGTAATACACATAAACAGTACAGTCACAATCTCCAGTAGAGAGATGTAAGCAAACTAATGCTGCATTTTTATTTGCTTCTGAAGTGTTTGATGCCAGTATGCAAAGCCTCTTGGGACTCTGGTCTACAGGGAGATTTTTGTTCTAATCAACACACTACAGTCAGCGTAATTGTTAGGTCATTAGTATTGAACGACTATCCTATCAACCCTCCTTCAGATATATTATTGGCATTTTCTATTGAGGAGTTTTTAAAGAAAGTCCTCCATTTGCCCTTTGGCGTGCAGTAGTTCAGACCACCAAGCAAAGACCAGGGTCACAGCAAGCTCAGTCTTATTCTAGAACAATAACAAAGGCCAAAGTTGTTGTGATAATGGTGTTCAGCTGTGTCCTCCAGACGAGCACATCTATCATAAAGAACAATGCTAAGAGTGCATTTTTTTACTTTTGGCTTCATTTGTTGAGTTTACTTGTGGATTTGAGAACCACAACTCTGAAAAGTCTTTCCAGGGAATGTCATTACGAGATTACAAAGACGAGACAATCATTAAACATTCATTAAAGCAGATACTGTAATATTGTATGCCAAATGTATTCATTAATTGATGAATTAAAGTTTATCTGGTAAGTCTACATATAACATACATATCTCCGCTCACTACTAATTATCTCCAACAGTAACCATGATTTACATTCTAGCAAATTCATTAGTATGGTCACTCCTAAAGTCTGCAGCTCCTTTTGCTGTCCATCATTTCAGTCTGACGCTCGTAGTGACTGGAACGAGTTGCAAAAGATGTTAAAACTACCGTTCGAACTCATTATAAGCTGATAGTTTCTCATCACTGCACCTGCTTTTGAGTTTGCTTCCTGGGAACACAGTGTATAGACCTCTGTTGTTGTGTTCTGTATGTACTGTGATGCTTTAACTAACCTAATACTGTTTTCTTGCACCAGCTGTATCTATATTTTAATTGCTTGTATCAACTTGCCTCCTGTCGCTGCCTCTTGGCCAGGTGGTCACTGTAAATCAGGACTGGTCTCAAGTGACTTAAGGTAAAATAAAAAATAGAAAATGACTCTACCTGAAAGTGTGTCCAAAACAGCATTCGTCATATGGATTCTCTCTGGTATCCCGTTATCATAACTTTATCTAATAAGACCCTAAAAACAAATCCTCTGAACCTCTTAAGCTTCTTACTATGAAGGACAAGGCCCTTTATTATTTTATGTCAGAATTATTATTATTATTAAACAGTTTATTTCAAGAGAGATTTCTATATTTTGTTTTTGTTTGCTCACTTGGAAAAAGCTGAAGTCACCATTCCTGTCATAATACACTTAATAGTTTACTCCATAGTCAGCAGTAAATTGAGACATTTATGAATCATGAGTCATTTTGCATGACATTAAAAATGTGACGCATTGCATTGTGGGATCGTAGCAGAAAATAGCACGTACTTTCATGCAGCAATCAAAATTTTGCAATGTTTGAATCAAAAGAACTGCTGTGGAGTTGTTTGATTATGTTGTTCAAACCACACCCACACAGTCCTGATGGAGCAGATCAGAAGAGCTTTTTAAACTTAAAACTATTACTATACTTTTGATTGATTGATTTGATCCGATTATCCTGTCGTACACATAAAAGTGCCTAGCCCTCATGAGTTTGTTTCACTACAAAATGACACATTATAGATTATTATACAGCTCGGTCTTGGAACAAAATATTCTGCCTTCTCTCCCAAGCTTGGTACAAAAAGTTTGCAACAAATAAAAGCTCCTCATTCTAAAGCAGAAGTTTTTTTTATACAGCCAAAAGAAACCATCATAAATGGAATATAAATATAATTCCATAAGAGGTATTTTCAAACTTTAAACTTCGATCGTTTAGCTATGAATATCTAATGTTATTGAGAAAAAACTTTTTAGGGATAGTCTCCACACTGCCTGGTGAGACAACTCTACCAGTCAAATATATCGAATCTTACTTGCTGCATTTTGTAATGTTAATAGTAGTAACAGTGGACAGAAAATAGTAGCTTGTCAAGCTGTGGCACAGAGGAGCTATCTGGATTTCATGTTACCTTGGAAACAAGTGCTGGTGTTCCAGCAAGTGAATAAAAAAAGGTAAGACTACGTCCAATCCCCTCAACATGTTTGGTATATCCCCTTCATCAATCACCTGCATCAGGCTAACACTTACAGTAAATCAGCCAAAACAAGTAATTCAGTGCCAGAGGAAAGCTTTGAAGCAGACGCCTGAGAATGAGGAGGGCCTGCCCACTTTGTCTGAGCTCCGGGCCCTCTGTGGGATAAATCTGAGCACGTCAAAGTCTAACTATTGAAATGCCACTGGGACAAAGTGGCAGACTTTAAAACAATGGTTACAGGCGAAACATCTAATTACACAACAGACCATTAGATCAATACCTGCTCTGCTGCCAGAAATGTGTGTTTTTTCAGCTTTATGTTAAAGACATCACTGTCTTTCTGAAACAACTGTATGATTTAGAAAGAGAAAGCACACACAAATGCACCTTTATGAACTGTGCTTTGGAGTCAGTGGAGGATAATGATTTGTTAAATGTTACCACTGATATATTGTACCAACACAGACTGCCTTTGAGACAGGGTTATAAAATGGTTTACCTCTTGGGTAATAAAAGTGAAAACTGAATTCTGTGTGTCTGTGTGTGTGTGTGTGTCTGTCACTGCGTGTGTGTGTGTAAGTGTGGCAGGGGTTCACAGGTGTTTTGAGACGAGTTTGAATATATTTCCATTTTTAAGCGGGATCGGTATGCATGAATATTTTTAAATTGGAAACCTGCACAACAGCCCCTTTCTAGATGAAGCAGTACATGATAAAATGGGTCATGTTCTGTGCCGACGTAGAGCACACATACAAACACAGACAAAAACATAAACACTGTAAATGCTTATTGTGGCTCCGTGTTTGTTTACATGCGCCATAAACGCTAAGAAAGAGACGGAGACCGCAACAAACTTTGGCTATGATGTACACAGGCACAGACAGGTTTGGCCCCTAGCCGGCTGCTTTGATGTTGAGCTACTTCCTATTGGAACACAACAAATTTGATTTGCTTCATATTTTGTGTTACCTTGATTGTATCTTCCTCTTTTTTTTTTGCTGTGCTCGGGTCATTATCCAGTGATCTCTCAATATCAAGTTAAATACAAATAATGGAAAGTACATGTTTGCTCTGTCAGTCGACTGGCTGTCTATTTTTAGGTTCATTTCTGACGGTGCCATGAGGAAGGGTGTGTGCGAGAGAGAGGAAAACAGAAAGAGATGGACAAACTGTATCCACAGTGACATCAATTCAAGTAAGCCTCTGAACCGTTTAAAGTGAGCAGCGTTGGCTGTTCTCAACCCCATTAGCCATTTTGAAAGATGCAACAGTGCAATTAGGCAGTTGGCACAAAGGGAAGGCGAGGAGGGAACCGGGCAGTTGTCAGGGGGCTTTACTTTGATAACATGCTCACACAGAGAGAGAGTAACCCAGGAAGACCAGACTTTAAAAAAAGCATCATTAGACAAAGTCATTCCTTTTTACACTCACATTATGGCGAGAAGGGAAAAAAAACACAGCAATGAAAAAGGCAACATTTATAGCTTTTTCATTTCAGAGAGACAGAAACTGTCCTGATATTGTATCTAAAATAACCATAAATTCGACTATGTGCTTGTTCAAAAATAAACCAAAAAAAATTAGACCCACGGGAAACATTATTTGATTCCAACAATTCAGCTGGAAGCTACTGCACTAAAATCAAAGCACTATTCTAGTGTAATTAGTTAAATATAGCTTACAGCACCGGAGATGGACTGCGTGTTATAAAGCCCAAAGTTCAAGTTTGTTTTGGCTTTATGAAGAACTTTGCCAAGGAATCCACAGTGTGGACTACGTATAAAATACATCCTTGAGGCGGAGCACCGTAATGATTACTTTGTTGAGGTCTGAAGGAAAAGCTGAAGGACTGGGTCAGCCGTCAGCCGTGTCAATCATACAGTTCGTCAAAAAAGAGCCGGGGTCCCTGCATGGCTTTAGTCAGGTGTCTTTGTATGGGTACGGGTGAGAGGTTGAGCTTTTAATTAGGTGAGCAGGTAGGAGAGACTGCCAAGAAGAACAGGAAAGGTTAGGGAAGGCCAGGTACTGGTTTTAGATGAAGGGAGGTCAGGAAAACTAGACAGGAGAACTGTGTGCAGCCCTGCACACTCATTATTTTCTGACGGGGGTTAGTAGCAGATAACTCTGTGCCAAGCTACAGTCGACAGAATGAAAAATTAACGCACTTAGGAGCTGCAAGATTTTCGATTTCCCCTCTTTTTGGACAATGCTAACTACAGCTATTACATATAGATTGTACTAAAGGATTATATTTATACAGTGTAAAGGGGCATCAGTCTTCAAGAATACTGAGTCATGTTTTAAGGAACACATTAAACAGAAATCCTCATTATTCAGATTGAGTTCAAGGACGCAGATTGTCTAAAATACACTGGACACTGAAGTGTTGTGCCTCACATGAATTGTTCTATCATATATACTCCGCAAAATAAATGATTAAGGTTTGAGGCTCCAGGAGAGGACGTTCTTACCCTCAGGAACATACCACAGGGGTTTCAGTACATCTGCAGGTTCAAATTTAAACTCTTCTCAAGATTTATCTTTCAATGATAAAGCAGCAGCAGGAACTCAAGAGCAATTTAAGGACTGAGATAAAAAAAAAAGCTTTTTTTTTTGAAAAGCTGGAAAAAGCACCCTCCTTGTTATGGAGCGGTACAGTAGCTACTACAATTTCTTAATGCTGACATGTTTGCATCTTATATCAGTATAACTGAAGTGAGGATATGAGTGTTGCCATGCTCTGAGATAAATGCTAATGTATGCATGTTAACATGAGTAAAGTCCCCTTTACTTTTACTGTGGATACATGTTTTGATAAATAAAAGCACGTCTCAATTAGACGCCTCGTCTAGATTTTATAGAAATTCTTTGGATGTAGAAAACCTCTTAAAGCCCACCAGGTCGCCCACGTGAGTTCTAAGCTGCTTAAATCGCCTACAGGAAAATAAATGTTTAAAGTTTAGTCAATATGGACATGCTTCACATCGTTTGATCAGTTAGATTCTCCACAATTTAAATGTTCGGTTCATTTTACGGAAACAGTGAGCACCAAAGTATCAAATGATCACATGGCTGATTTGTAATTGATGTGTTTTTGACAGCCTAATTTTTATATAATATCTATGCTGGTTTAAATAAACAATTTGATATTATTTCCAATATTTGCTGAGCAAGAGCTTTGTGCAAAAGGACCTAAAGGCCCGTCCCATACAGAAGCCTGTCTTAAATATAGGCAGGTTGAGTTCAGTGACTTGAGCAAATGAAAGTCTGGGCTTTTTTTTTTTTTTTACGGTATAATATATTTACCATGTTAATCATCTTAGTTTAGCATGATAGAATGCTTTTTGTTTAAACGTGGTTAATTTGCACTTAACGCAACAGCTGAAGTTTACTGTAAAGTTAGTAGTTTTGCAGATATTTTCTTGTTTTATTTTATCAGGGCATCACCAAAGTTAATAGTTGTTGAGACAATTTGCTTGAAACCACAAATATGAACCTTCTGATGGAAGGATTGTTTTAGTGACCACCAAAAATACAAATACTGATATTTTTACTTCTCAACAATGGAGAACAATGCATGATTTTGTATTTAAATCATGAAAACAAAAACAAAAAGAATAATTTTCAAGCCAAATGAAAAGCAAATTTACTAAACTATTATTCCAATATTCTGCGAGGTGTTACCTCTTCACTTTCTCTGTTCAATCTGTACTCTAATTAACTAGCTTACTCTGTGTTGTGAAACATGTGACTGTGTTTTCATCAGTTACAGGGGGACAGCAGGGCTGGGTGGGGTTGTGGTTGTGTCAGAGACTTGTATTGGAGGAGAAAAGAACTGTCGATACCACTGCAATTCTTACTGAGTGCCAATTTAAATTAACAGTCATAGATTGTGCGACTCCCCTTTCAGTGTGATTAATTTAATTTAAGACCCTGTCAGACTTTTTTTTAGGACCTGAGGGTACACCGGGTCGGCGAGATTTACTGTAGGTAGAAAAAAACAAAAGAAAAAAAAACTGTACAGCAGTTCATCATCGCAGTTTAAGAGATGTGGGTCTAAGTGTTTGTCCCAAATGACACATGCAGCACAGCAGCCTGCACGCTCAACTGCATCATAGCAACCCAGCACAAATCAGCCCGCTAACAGAAGACAGCAATTTGCCAACTGTTACGCCAAATGAAATGATGATCGTGGGGTTAACAAAAAAACGTACTTGGACATAGTTCGACCGGAGTGTTGCCAGGGAAACCAGACATTGCCAACAGCTGCCCGGTAGCTGTAGACACCCAAAAGTCCGAGGGCGAGGGCAACCTTGGACACCCATGAGCACCGTCTTTGAACCAGGAGGTAGATAAGAACCAAACAGAAAGCCGCCAGCAGGGAGAGGACCATCCTGTGCTCAGAGCTGGAAAGAACAGAAAGAAAAACAGTAAAAAACAACGCCTCTATGTTCTTTGAATTTTGAAACTGAAATGAAATTAATTTAAAATACATGTACGGTACATATTGTACTATTTCATCACTCTTTATTTTACCTGAAAATAATTAATTCTGTAATTTAATTAGTCAAAAACAGAAAGCCTAAAAGGTTGAAGTAGACTATTTACTGAGCAACAGAGAACATTTTGATGAGATGAAACACTGTCAGTCATATCCTCCAGCAGTAGTTTAAACTTTAAAGAGGCACGGATCTTCAATTGTTCACTGGATTTAAGGCTATCCAGTTTGAAATTGCATGCCGCTGAGCACAGACAGGAAATAAGACCTCAAAGGACATATCAAAGTTGGATAGAAGCCGTGTATTTAGCTGTTAGCTGGATCAGACAGCAGTGGAAGTTGGGTACTTTGAGACAAGATGAGGCGTAACGCTAGCGAGATCTCATTATCCAAGCAACAGGCAGAGCAGGTAGGAAGAAAGGGCAACACCGGACAGGGAAAAGGTCAGATTCCACATCTCTATTCCACAATGTGATGCATGTTAAAGAACAAACCATAATCCCCTGCCCTGTGCTGTTGACAGAATATTAATAGCGCTGAAACAGTCAGTTTTACTGAGAAATCAGTTTTTCTACAGTCTGAGCAATCACAGAAGGCTATTTTCCCTTCTTGAATCTTTAAAAAAAAAAAAAACATGTAAGTGGAGGTTCCTGTCAGCTTCTCAGCCAGAAAAACACACTTTAAAAGGTTTCAGTGTCAGAAGAAAAGAGCCTTATATAGTGTTAACACCCTATACCCCCCTTGAATATTTGTGATGACCAAATCAGTCACAATTTCTCTTATATTTCACTCAATAAGCCTCGACTACTCCAGTGGGTTATCTCCTATATTTCCCAAAATGGCTTTCAATATTCCCCAAAGAACAAGAATGAATTTGTTACACTGATCTGTTACTCTTATGTGTAGGTGGAGAGACAAATGGAGATTGAACATCTTGCTGCTGCACTTCATTCTAGCCTACTGAGACTATTGCCTTTTGGTATCTGGACAAAATTGGTATCTCTGTCTTTTCATAATGAATTTATCCCTCTGTGACTGCTTTACGTCGCTACTTTAACGGTGACAGAAGTGTGCTCACATTGAACCTTAAGTTTATCACAGTTTTTTTTTTTGCCCCTCTCACCATCAACTGGAGTGTGTTGAAAATGAGTTTCTGTAATGTCCTGTCAACTACATGTGCCCACATATGCACATAAAAAAGAAAAATATACTATACACTATAACACAAGACTAATAGTCCTCAGCTATACTAGCAGCCCCATGTTCATTACAGCCCACATTACGAAAGTGTTGGATAGAACACACTGAAGAGTTTGCTGTTTCTAGGACCTTAACAGTAGTGGAGTTAAAAAGTAAAGTTTGTCTTGAGTAAGAAGAGAAAAAGCCAAATGTTGATTCAGATAAAGGTTTGAACTTCAGTATAATCACTATTTAATCCAGCTCTTTTGTGTTGTTTTATAAGGGAACAAAGACAAATCACTCATATCCTCGAATCATAATGCCACCAAGATAATTCTCAATCAAGGAGGCAGCTGTTGCTACTCTCTCTCTCTCTCTCTGCTAACCTCATTGAGTTAAATAAATCTAGTTAACAGGAGCTAGGTGGCTAATCTCTCAGGTCACAACACAGTTTAACTTCATGTATACTTCATGTATAAGTGTTCAAACAGAATTAGGAAAAACTGGTTTTAAATAAAATGCTCCTCAAAAATGGGTTCCAAACAATTAAAATCTCTTTGCTTTTTAAGCTTTTAAATATATATTCTCTGGGATTTTGGTTACTTATAATGTTTTTTCTTGATGTGTAATGATTTTTTTGGTCTATGCTCATACTGTTTATGTTTTCTTGTGCACAAGTTTCTCTTGAAAAAAGAGATTTTGATCTCAGGAAGACTGCCTGTTTAAATAAAAGATGAAATAAAATAATCTGGCAGCAGTGGCTGCTAAAAGGCTGGGGGCATGTGATTGGGTGACAACACCACTGTCATGACAAATGACAAATGAGTCACTGGCAAAAATGCTAGTGTGAAATAAAAAAGCAGCCTTTTGGAAAAAATTGCATTCAAAAATAAGAATTACTACATGATTAAAATATATGAAATAATAATGATAAAACAATTTAACCATTCTGCAGTTCCAATAATCAGGAACTTTTTTTTTACTGTGTGTGTGATTGATTTAGTCTCGTATAGCACTTAAAGGACCAGTGTGCAGTATTTAGTGGAAAATTGCAGCTTGCAACCATCTGAATACAGCTCAGCTTTCCAAGTGTACAGGAGAAACTACGGTGGCCTTGAATCTTGCAAAAAATGTGAAAGGCCTTCTCTAGTACCAGTGTTTGGTTTATCCATTCTGGGCTACTCTAAAAACATGGCGGTTCGACATGGCAGTCACCTCCCTCTGTAGACAAAAACAGCTCATTCTAAAGTAACAAAAACACAATAATCCTTATTTTCAAGTGATTATAAACTGCTTAAAACATACCTATGAATATTATATTCCATTTCTGCCACTAGATCCTCCTAGATGTTACACACTGGACCTTTAATACAATATTTTATCATTTTAGAAGATTGGTATACCCAACCTGTTAAGCCAATGTCCCACATCAGGAAGATGAGCCCACTGCACCCCGGTCTGGTTGAGGGAGCGCAGCAGTCGGCAGCAGACCAGAGTGAATGGCGGCGTGGCTAATGCAAGCCACTTCTCTGAGCAAATCTCTGCCTTAGGGTGAGCAGTGGGATGACAGTCTTTGGAAGGGAGGATATGCTCTTCTTCATCTCCAGAGCCACGCTGCTCTCGGAAGTACTTGCGGCAGACATCCTGGAAGACGGCGAGGCAGAGGGTGTTGAGCAGAAAGTACCAGGTTTGGTGCTCTTCCTCTACAAAGCTGCTGGCCGCCAAGCTAAGAGTGTGTCCCACCGTGCCAGCCAGCAGCAACACATCCAGCTCTGACAGCGACCACTCACTGCCACTGCTCCTCAATGGAGACTATGAAAGAGAACAAACGTGCAAGAAGGTTTAGAGAAAGGAGTAAAAAAAAAACATGTCCAAAAGGCACTCTGTGTGGTTACACAGTAGTTTGCAAACAACATTTATACATTCAGTCTTTTGCTCCTGTGTGTTCTTCTTTTTCTTGGCTGAGTATCTCATAAATCAAAATACAGATATCCATAGGATTTTGCAGACGGATACATTACCATTAAAAAGTTTTGAATCACCTGTTATATTGATGTTTTTCTTTTTTCCTTCAAAGGTGGTTAGTTCAATAATGACTAGTTCAGTAAGTGCTAGTTTGACATAGACAAAAACAGTAGTATTCAGATAATGTATTAGTTTCATATGAATTAGTTTTGGTCCCACAAGAAGAACAATTAAATGATTAAGATTTCCATATAGTCGATGTTCCACAGTGTTGCATGACGGGGAAAATATTTTTTTTTTCTGCACAAATACCCAACAATTTTAAATCTGTGACTCTATGCACCTCCAGGAGGAGCCCTGCTCCCCAGTTTCTGAACCACTGCCCTCGATCATTATGGAACCACAACAGTGCAGTTGGGCTCTGAATATATTTAGAACCTGTTTTTCTGTGTGTTTTGTAAGTACATAGTATATTCAGTTAATATTCAGAAGTGCTAACCCCAGACCAAACTTCTATTTCTATTTTGGAAGTTTTAAGAATAGCTTTGCTAAAGCAATGTCTCTGTTAATTCCAGCTTGTTACAGGCATTATTGTGCCTATTTAAATCTGCACAGAATTTTATTCTAAGCTTCCCATTTATTTTACTAATGACTGGTGATTCTTTTTTGAATGTTGCTCAGAGAAATATTTGGCTCTTTCTGCCCTTTCAGTTGTCTGTCTGGTTGAACCATTGCATTTTGTTCTCTGTGTAAAAAGGCAGGGTTTTTTTTGGAAAACCCTTCATACAAAATAACATCTATTTGTAAAAAGGACTTCTACAATCCAAAAGCATTGAAGACCATTCAAAAATATAGAGCAGCCCTCTCAGCCATCTGACTGTGGTGAATCAAGCTTTTGTGGCAGCTGATTCCAAACTTTTGAACAGTAGCATAGGTCTTGAGCCTAACAGATGATACACAATGGATCAGGATCCAGATCTGGGAACTCATGTTTGTAGCCCGAAAGAACAAAAGTGACACAGACCGAATTCAAAATCCTGTGCTGTGTCAACAAATCTATTAAGTTAAGACCATTTTACCTTCATACCATTCACAAATGGTTCACGAGAAGCCACTACCACGACCACACAAGCCTGACTAGACAATCTATTTTCCCCTCGCCCACCTCTGTACTGCTCCACTGGCGGATATAATTGTTCAACTCAGTGGGATAATTATTTGGATCAAACTAGTGCTTGGGTGATTCATACCAATATACTTCAATAATGAAAAAAACCTCATCAAGTGACCCATGTACTTCATAATAATACAGTTCAAATTGCAACCACTTACATCTGCTCTATTATCTCACCCAGAAAGCTTCAAACTCAAAGAGAGTCCACGGCTTCAAAACTGTTCACATCCTAATTTTATCAAAGAAACAAACATATTGCTAATATATGAAATTCAGTTGGTCATCATATTCTTCAGTATGTATAGAGGACATTTTATTTGCCATAGCTCAGCATGAATTGCGGTCAATCACTAATAGACGCTTCCATCACAAATTGCATACTTTGTTCAATGGTGACAGCACATTAACCTTGGCTGGTACAGCGGTACCAGAACAATCAGTGTCCTTTGAGGAAGTTCTTGTAACTACGAGGGTGGGCACTAAAACAAGAACACACTGTTAGCTGAACAACAATGGCAGTTGCCAAAGAGGTGAGCATAGATGCTGCTAGGATCAGTTATATCGAACTGAAGAGAATTTCTTCATTGGAAGAAGCAATGGAAAAGATGTTTCTCGTCTTCCGACTGACTTCGGTAAGAGTTTTTGTTACATGGTTTGTTGATCTGATTAGTTGTTTGCTCGTGACAGACGGTGATAGACAGATGGTTCATCCAATCACCTGTCAAAAGTCTTTGAAAGGGCCTGCCCCTTTCTAACAACATCTTCCCAGATAGTTCGTTGTAACAAAACATCTGGTGCAATCAGGTTAACAGCACATTGCCATGCAAAGCAAGTTCAAATGAAGTTCAGCCAATCTCTCAGCAGCAATATTTTAGCCCAACAAACCAAATACAGACATGAATCTTAGCCTGTGGTCACCTTGAGGACAAAGAGAGGCCGAGCCTGTATGTTTGCTACCTGCAGGCTACAGTACCAATTCACTATGGGACTGAGCTGTTTCACACTTATTTTTCCTTTACACAACTACAGGCTGTTGTGCCCAGCATTGACACATATTCCTGTTTACTTTATACAAAATGCTGGGACATTAAATATTCAGTTCTGGTAGTTGTGTACCGAAAGAAAGAAAGAAAGAAAGAAAAAAAATATTACTCAACTGTGGCAAATTTATGAGCTACAGCTTCTAGGTTGCATACATTTTTATACATTATCAGTATCTAGGTTGTTTTTTATGAAACTCAAATCATAATAAAGTTTTTGATGAATGTCTCCCAGAATAAATACTCTATGTTACTTAAGTCTATCGAAATATAGTTCTCTATCCGACATATATTTCAGAGTTGCGTCAGGATTTTGGTTAAGCAGGGTCTGCCAATTCATTCTGCACCGAAATCCGAGCTACCCTTGCATTACTGAGAAGAGGATTAATGTCTTGTATTCTGGGAACTTCTTTGTTTTTTGAGATAAAACCTGTCATGGCCCAAAGAGAGCTGTAACATGTTTTTCCAGCTCCACTGCTCCCCGTTCAAGTTTCTCTTTCCTCCAGTGGTTGGCAAATTGTGAAATCTCAAACTCAACAACTCCTCATGTTTTCCTTCACTGAGTAAGTCTTTTGCACACTCATTTGTGTTCATGGCATTGTTTCAAAGTAGATTGAATGCAAATATAACATAAAGTATTACTTGGGGAAAAAACAGGAAGCTTCAGCGTTTATATAGAATTACTTTCCTGACAATTTCACTCTATTTTTCATCTGAATGCCTTATACAATATATCACAAATGTCTGGTTCAAGTTAGTCTTCATCAAATTTAAACAAATAACCACAGAGATTATTATTATTACGTCATTAAGTGAAATATAAAAAAGCTAAAGTATCAGAAATGTATCAGCTTGATATAAAACAGTGACTGCTTCCTCCACTCACTTCTTTTAAGACCCTAAATGACACTGGAATCAAACCTGGACAGAAGAAAATTATATTCTGGTATCTTCAGATTGCAATGCTGCTTCTGACACGGTTGATCCCTCCCTATTGTTGGACAGGTCTAAAAACCAGGGTTTGGTCCACAAGTACTGTTACAAACTGGTTCAGGTCCAACTTGCAAGGAATTACTTTATCTCCATTGACAATCTTGCATCCAAGCAGGTCAGCATGACTTGTGGAGTACCACAAGGATCAATACTTGGCCCACTTTTTGTGCGATCTATACATGCTGTTGCTGAGCCAGATTTTTCAAAAGAATATCAATTACAACTTATGCTGACAATTAAATTTCATCACATGACAATAGTAAATGAGTCTCTTTCTGTAATTGTCATGGATTCTCAAATAATCCAGCAAACATTCACTTATACTTATTGTTTTTAGACTTCAGTCTTTGCAGGGACAGACTAGCTTTAATGTAGTAGTAAACTTGAGGTTGGTGGATTAGCTGTTTCCCCCTTGTTTCTAGTCTTTGTGCTAAACTAAGCTAAGTGGCTTCTGGCTGTATAGCCTTATATTTAATGGACAGGTATGAGTGGTAGTGATCTTCTAATCTACCTCTCCACCAGAAAGTGAATAAATGTCTAAATAAATTATCAAGAAGGACTGTTTTACAAATCAAACAGTGAAAGAGAGCTAGGATATGTTCTATGCTATTTTAAAGAGTATATAGAGTAAAACTTATGAACACCTGTAGATTGACAGGTGCGTAGGAGAAGGCTCCCACACATTGTCCTCTTCACTTTCAATCAGAGATATATAATAACAACATCTGGGTACACAAAGCTTCAATCAGGTTATTTAAAATTACCTGATGAAGGTCTCTGTACCCTTTTGTTCTGTAAAGGGTATAACAGGGAAAATATTTTCTCAGGAGCCTCAGGGCCAACATATACAACAGAACATCCATCAATCAAAACTTGAACTGAAGTTTAATGTGTCTACAGTAGGATGGATAAAGGATATTACTCTTCTGCCCTGTAAATGACCTTCTCTGCATCACGACAAAGCACAGTGAAATGACAGGATGATGACTTATTTGTCTAAAATGTAATATGTTGCCTTAAAATGATCTGGTACCACCTTTGCATCCATCCCAGTCAATACCACATTTCTATGATTTTAGGCAAAGGTACTATGAAACTGGCAAATCAGATGCAATATTTCCAGAAATACTTCAACCATTCTTGGGTTTAATATATGTGTATATGATTTATAATATTCTAACAGCAAGTCAGTGAACCCAACTTTCATCATGCAGTTGTGAAACACCTGACTCGGCCCTCTGGACTTTCTAGGTTTCTCATACGAAATAAAGATATTTTCACTCAGGCAAACAAAAGATTATCATTAAACTGTAGGCTCCTTACATACTTTAGTACTTACATACATACTTTATTTAATAACATTGATAATATTTAATATTGCTGGTATGTTACACTTGGCATTTCTGTTTTCTCCAATTTTCTCTTCCAAATATTCTATAACTTGTCACCTCCTTTATAGACACTACTTTTTAAAAAATAAAGTACTCTCACCTTTAGGTTATTCAAATTCATTCAACTGGAACTCTAATCACATTCTTGTTGGAGTGGTGAGTTAGTAAGAGTGTTTAATCTTCCAGTATTTCAACTCTGTCTCACAGAGAAACTAATCAGGATACTGCTAATAAAGGTTTTGGATGCTGCCCATAATGCAGTCATTTGTCAAGGCAAACCAGGCACAGCTTTGCACTTCCATCCAAACTGATGCAAGTGATATATTGATATATATATATATATATATATATACACCTGACTTTAGATAATTTGTTACCCTATCCATCTTTCATTTTGGAGCCGTGTTACACAATATTTTCTTACTTTTTTCTCCTTAATGGTAACTGAAGGTGTATTTTGTAAATTGAAAGGTTCCTGAAAACTGTCCAGAAAGATGCCAATTTGGCAAAAGCAGAAAAGACTTTAGAAAAATCACAGAGGACTTCCTGCAAATTCATTACCAGTACTAATATAGTGTAATAATAAAACAGCTTCATTATCTAATCTCAATATCAAAATGAGCTTGTCAGTCATGACTAAGAGGACACAGAATCTACTAATTGCATTTCCTCACACAGGTTATTACAGAGATAAAGATTTTGGCCATGAAGATGGGCCATGATTGTAAATGTTTAATCACTACAGTATATAAAATAAATACATATACTGCTTTCAAAGTGATCAATAAGATTGTAAAAGCGATTCCAACATCAACTGCAAGTCAATGGAAGGAAGTTGAAATTACTACTGTAGTTTTACTGTATATTATCCCTCTAAGACTATAATGTGAGTATGTCTGCAGCAGGATTCAGAACTAAATAAACACAGCTTTTATATCTGAAGACAGATTATAGCTGTAGACTTTATTATCCATAAATATATACTGTTATGACCTCTTATAGCCCGTATCATATAAATTGTGTGGCTGGAACAGTCTGCCAGTCAAGATTCAGCACTATGATCCTTCTGTATGATTTTTTAATAAATTCATTTAAGATATAGTCCCATGTGTTTATATCTTTACTTTCTTGACACGAATCATTTAATAACACACAGACAGTAGTGCTGAAACACTGCTACTTTTTATTCTTTTTTAAGACTTTAAAAGACTCAGCCTACATGGGGCGCTCACTCTACCAGGTGAGCTACCGTGCACCTCGAAACACCACTATTTTGATAATTGATTGTTCACATAAGTCATTTATCAGCTTCTAGTTCCAGCTTCTAAAATGTGAGGATTTGATATTATTCTTTATGTCATTGTGAATTGAATATCTTTGGCTTTTGGTGTGTGTATTTTGTTCTCTGTCATTTTCTTAGCCAGTTAATAAAACAAAAGAACTTTATTATCATTATCCCAAACAATGTTCAAACCCAGAGAAAAGTGTATTCTGGTAACACATTTCACCAGTTACCTGTCAATGGCGTCATATCCCCTTTGTGCGGTTGTCTGCCAGAAGCTGTCATAAACTGACTTTTTATCCAGTTTTAGAAACATTTTTTACAATACACTTTTTAGATCTTGGTTGTTTTTTAACTACATATTTTAAATGGATAAAGGATTTTAGTCATTGAACATTGTTGAAGTTATCAGAGAAACAAGCTGAGCTCATGTAACAGCAGCAGTGATTTTTAAGGTGAAACCCAGTAGAAGCGCTGAAGGAATCCTAACTAGGAGCTGACTGCAATGATGGCAGTGGTGGTGAAGACAACAACTCCCATTATCCCACACTACTTCACAACATCATCAAACTTCTTTTGTTACTGTATTTATGTTATTGTATTAAAGTATTTGTATAGAAACCACTTTTAGTTGCAGTCATAACTAACAATAAATCATTTCTTTCCCTTCATTTTGTGGTTGTGTTATTCACAGAAGACACAGACATAAGGGTGTAGTCAAAATCTTTCTAAATAGGTTTAGTCGAGCCACAGCTTTCTTTCTGACCATTTTACCTTTCTGGCCATAGTCTGGTGACTTCTCAAGAATCTGCTGATGGATGAGAAAGCACACTTCTCTTTACAAGTCCAATTATTGGCTTCCAACTGAGCTATGTGCACATTTTTTTTGACATTTGTGCGACATTCATGCTCAAAGAAAATATTCTTTTTTTCAAGGAGGAAAAATCTACAGCACATTTCCTCCACATGCTCCAGTATATAGATTTGGGAATTTATTTTTTCCCCCAACCTAATGGCCCAAGTGGATTACTTCTGACTTTTTTCTTTTTTGTTGTATCAGCACTTTCTCAAAGTTGCCACAAGGGAAATGAGATGTAACCTTTACAGATAAATTATAATGAGCAAAGAGATGCAGCAGTAAAGAGGACTCATCTCTTAGGCCAATTTAAACAAACACTTAAGACTGAAAGCTTCCACCTTCTGAATAACTACTCCTATCTCTGATTGATTGCTCACATTTAGAAGAGCAATCTACACATTGCTGGCAATTACTTTTATTTGTTGATGTAAATTTCAACATAGCTATTATATAGAAAGACAAAATAGTATGAACAATTATTTCTAAGCTTCTGTATACCTTTGTCTCCTCTGGTTTTTTTTTCTTATTTTAATTTTTGACTGTTGAATCTGTTTGTCCATTCACTTTGTAGGTTTAATGAATGTTTCCTTTCCACAGACATGAGAATTTATTGAAGGGTGGTCACATTAGACTGCATGTCTTTCAGCTGGGTGTACCTAATAAACTGGTAACTATGCCTGTGTGTCTGCAGAAGCCTGTAACTATTTCCCTTATGTGCCAAGGGAACAACTTTCACTGGAATTGACTGGATGGCATGGAAAGATGGTGTCCAGCTCTCTTAATATATCCCTGCTGCACTGACATAACACTTTATGCTGAACAGCACATCTACTGCAAACATGAATTTATAGGGCAGCTAACAGTCATAGTTGATTGGACCATTTTCACTTTGCTCATCATACCACACTGGGGCAACCCTCCATTGGCAATAAAAAGGCAAAAACAAAATGTTCTCAATTATTTCAATTCTGGTAGACTGGAACATTTCTGATATGAGTGCAATGGTTGTGGGGTTATAAAGTCATGTTAAAAATAGTACTATACATATGCTATGTACAATGATGGATTATGTTGTGCATTGATGCTGCAGTGTGTTTCAGAAATGTGACCTGATTTTAATGAATTTTGAAAACAATGGGAGCCTGTGAGTTCTGGGACATACTGCAGAGTCAACCTGCAGCAGAAGAGACTGTAGCAGCTTCTGTACCACATTCATGTTCCCTTTGTTGATACGATACTCAGTGTCTGTATTGGTCTGATACTGGCCAAAATCACTAGGGGAAAAAAGTATAATCTGATATCATCATTAGCCTAAACTATCATGTAAATGCTTCACTAAACTTTGAGTGACATGCCATCAAGAGAGAGGACACAGATGAGCAGCATGTGTCACATGAACAGTAACTAGAAGGTGAGTGAGACCTGTTAGCAGCTCTGTCATCATGTCAGCTGGGTGGAGGTACCTTAATGTGTAATAAAAAAAAACAGCCAAGGGCAGTTTATGCAACTTATTTTACTCATTTTGAATCTTTGAATGGGGCTGTGTGAAAAGGTTTAAATAAAAATAGTATTGAGTCATATTGTAGGTTATATTTCTTCCTTCATGGGACTAAAATATTTATTTCACAGTTTGCTCCTGATGTTTTGTAGATGGCTACGTTGAGCACAGTGCATCCAAACAACTGTATTAACAGTTTAGTGGTTTACTCAAGGTTGCAGCATCAGTATCGGACATGATGGTGAGGCTGGAGTGGTATTGAGCCATCCCTGCTTTGTTGTGCTGCTGGCATTACTGGTTCAACTCTGGAGTTTAAAAAAATACTGTCTGAGTTTCTTTTCTATAACTCAGTTACTGCATTAAAAAGATGATCATTCCCTTTATGTGTCAACGTTAAACAATATCTTTTTTTATATGTATCAATATATTGAAAGTTATTTCACTGCATTAAAATGTCAACATTAAAGCTACCCCCTACTTATGACCATTTCCCTTTGCAATACTGTAGAATAATTAAGGAGAAACTAAAGGGGCTCTTGGCAATTCTCCATGAAAAACACGTGACAAGGTGTGCATTCGGCCAAGCACTGTTTGATTAATATAAATGGTGCCTAAAGTCTCAAATCGACTAACTCGCTACTAAATCTACTAAAACTTTTTCTCAGGTCTTTGTTTCACAGGACAGGAACATTCAAGTGATTTAAAGCTGCATTAGTAAAGACTTTGCTAACTTAGCTAAATCAAAAAGTGGGGGTACAATAGACAAGACCGTGCCATCCCCCCTGAGCCTCAGTGGATTTAGTAGATTTTCTCTCAAATAAATTCTGATAGTCTCAACGGTAATGTTTCTCTACCCACAGGAAGTGAAAAATTAAAACATAAGAAGAGAAAAATATATCTTTTAAACTGCAGCACGTTATATTTCCCATCCAGTGACAGCTGCGTTCGCAAACATTCATTACTTTTCCCTTCGATATTGTTTGTAAAGCGAACACAAACACACACAAACTGAACTGGTTAACAAGTTAGGTTGCTTATTGATGTTTCAAATGCAGCTTATGCACATAGGTAAAGCACACGTCAGGGCAAACATCTGCTACAATCTGTATCTGTGTTTGGATGGTATATTTAGGTGCACAAGCTCACCTTCCCGTGAATCTTTGGTCCCAGGGGGAGTCGCCGTGTTGCCATAGAGACCAGAATACAAAACATTGCTGAGGAGAAGGCAACAGCAGCAAACACGAGACCCCAGGAGAGGCTGCAGAAGTAACAGGAGCTCTCAGCAGATGTGCACACCAAGACGTGCACCGAGGCGAGCAGCAGGCACAGGAGGTAGAAAGGCAGGGAGAGCAGGACTGAGAGGACTGGGAGGTCCACCGCTGCTTCACCACTGAGGGCTTCAGGCATAGCCAGCAGTAAGACCAACAGAAGCTTAAGGGCCAGGACAGAGGGAGAGAACAGGAGAAAAAGTTTTAAGGACTTTTTGTTCAACTGATGCAACCCCAGAAACCTACAGTAACATGGCTTTAGCAGTATATGTGAACAGTGGAGACCATACCATGGAAATATAATGCATATAGAGCATGTTTATTTTAATTAAGACAAGACAATGCGCATTAATTAACATGAGCATTTGGTGTTGTTATATAAATGTGCCAGATTAAGCCATACAGGCTAACTTTCCTCTGCAGTCTCTCGAAGGTTTGATAACATATAAAAACATTATAAGAAAACATACAGGAGCACAAAAGCACAGGCAAATAGTAAAACAATGACATAACCACTACTTCAGATTATGACAGCATGTTTGATGATTGTCCAGCAACCACCGATTTATAGATCTGGAGAAGGAGTTGAGAGATGTGATATTCCTTATTTCTGTGGGTATAGTGCTCCAGGCGCTGCTCGAAAAGGCTGACTGTCCTAAGGTAGGTTTTTCTATATAGTATTTTACAATCCGTTCTTACAGGAGCTCTGTCAGATGAGTTTTTGATTTTGTTTATTGAATTCATTGAGGGGAAGGGGGTCTGTCAGTACATGTTTCAAGTTATGTTTGTAGCCAATACACCTTATAAAAGCTTTTTTTTCCTCAGCTTTTGTGTGGCAATTATACTTTTTAGAGTTTAGTTTTAATTTTGTTCGTACACACCAATCTATTAGTCTTTAGGGTGGGTGAAAATCTTCTGTACTTACCTGAAACACAAACACCATGCCTGCGATCATGGAGTACATGTCGTATTTGCCCAGCTGTTTGCTGAGGGCCGAGCTCATGGCAGCCAGGGCCTCCAGATACTGCTTCAGGACCTTTTTGCCCATGTTGGTCAGCACTTCAGAGGTGTTGCCCTCCAGGTAGAGCTTCATCCAGCTTCCATGAGCCTTTTCTGCCACTCGGAACTGCTCAAAGCCTGCCTCTGGATCGAAGAGAAGTCGGGAAGGGGACACCGGTATCAACAACTGGCAGCTTTAGAGTGACCATTAATCAGGGATTGCTTGACACTGATGTCTGTCGTCAGGTACTCAAAGACTTGGCATTATTGCGCCGTGAAACGTTGTAAAACTTCCTGTCGGTACCGTAGCAGCTATTGCATTCATATAGATTTGTCAAAACGAGGCGGACGTTCGCAGCATCTCATCAATAACCTCTATGGGTTTTCTGATGCGGTGTCGCATTAGTTTTTACGCCGTTTATTTATCACCTAATACCACTTGATGAATCGGGACAATTAAACTTATTTATGAAACCAAACAATCTGTGCTTTCCAATTATGTAACTTCAACCTCTATTAGCAGACTGCCTTCAAACTGAATGCAATATTTTCAGTGTTATAATAAAGCACTGTTGTCAATCGGTAGCATTATGTTCTTGTATATATATCAACAACCTGTCACTATATATACATATTAACAACGTTACAGCCATGGTTGGATGCTATGCTTTGACTGTATGGAGTCAGAACCACTAGCAGAAATGTCTATTTTTTTACTGTTAGCTGATTTAAAAAACACACTGAAAAAAAGTGAAGAAAAGTTAAGGTAGTCTGGAGTACTCCGTCTCACTTTGGAAAAAAGCCTCAGACTGCTGCCTATCCTGTTATATTTCTCCATAAAGAAAATACAGGCATTTTCTATCCATTTGTTTCCTTATGAATGAGAGTTCACTAATCCTATTTATGGTGACATCAATCACTCCGATGCACGTTGGATGTTATGAATGGGAAATCTATTAAATTTCAGTATTTTCCTTTTGTGTTTCCTGTGTCAATAATGTTCCTTAAACTGAAAACATAATGTGCCTGTGGTAAAAACCATTTAGTCCTGAAAAAAAGAAAGAAAATGAAAGTATAATTTGTCAGGATTCAAATGATGACAAGCTATGACTCATTCACATGTTTACTCAAAGCAGATGAAATGACGCCCGTTCTCATTTTACGTGTGTGCTTTAGGAGCCTGTTCAAGGACAAAGCAATGTGGAGGTTTGATTTGTGGTACACATCAATGAAACAAACAAACACACACACACTCCTTAAAACAATATTTTGTAGTATAACACCTATCTCAGCAGCATAGGCATAGGGGTGATAAATAGTGACTGTGGCTTTGCCAGACAGAAGGGTTGGTAGAAATATTAGAACCTTAAGCCACAGGCATGAATCATATAATATCGATGGCCCTGGCCATGTTTCATCTGTCTAAAAGTACAGGGATTGGTTAATGGCCCTCCAAGATGCCTGAGGTTAGAAGCAAAGAAAAACATAATATGAAGATTGATACAAGGCAGACAGTGATGGATTTAAAAATTAGTGTTATAAGGAATTTCAAAAATGTGCTAGTCCCCTTCCTGTGTAAAGTTTTTATATTTTAAGTGTGTCCAAAAAGAATTTACTAAATGAAAAATGTGTTAGCTGGTTGAACGTTATGTATAAAATGCCACGGTTGAGAACATGAGTAAATGCTACATCTCAATCCTCTTTAACCTGGTTTAAGGAAGCAAGGAGGCTCCCTGCATATTTTCCTTTTGGACATTGAAAATAGAAAAGAGAAAATTGTTCTAAAATACAAATACTGGTTCTCTGACAGTACGCAGATGATTTGATTCTCTACTTTATATACCACAAATACTAGAGGCAGTGATGGAGGAAATAAATCAATACAGTGCAGTGTCTGAAATAATACGTGTGAAGAGAAAGCAAGGGTAGTCAGACAGCATATATCACACATTTTTAAATCTAAATATAATTGGGCCATAATAGATCTAAATATTTAGGGGTGACTATATTGTCAAGGCTTTACCAAAACTATGTTGGGGACTTACTGATAGGATTTCATATTTTGATTTGCGTTATTGATTTGATATTTCAGAAATACATATATATATATATATATACCAAGTCTATAGGTAATATAGATAAATGAAGGATAGGAGATGCAAGAGAGATAGACTTGAGGATATTTGAATATTATTATTATTATTATTATTATTATTAATAATTATTTTAATAATTCATTATTTAACATAATTTAAGTCACATGTCCTTTGTAGTGGACATCAGGTCAATCCCCAAAAAGTACTTCAACCTGTCCTTTTATTATCGTGATATAATATAGTTAAGAATCTCATAAATAAAAGAAAACATCCTTAAAAAGAACAATTTTTTTTTTTTTTTTAATAAATTTGAGCACTTCACATCTCCCTTAATGTTTGCTTAAATTCCTGCTGTTTTAAAAAGACAGACGTTGTGCTCTGTCACTGTGATTATAGTAAGGGATTAAAACCAACAAATAAAACAGTATTAAAATAAAGTTATTATTAAATAAAAGAAACAAGAAAGACAGAGAATGTGGCAGAACAAGGTTACTTAAACCTTTTATCATCAGTTGAGTTGAACATTTAAAATGTTACTTTCGTGTTTTTCAGGTTATTCTTACTTTGGGACAAAGATAAGTGATTGCATAAACTTTTTTTTAAATTTCTTTTTTACATTGCACAATAATGATAAAATCATAAAATATCCAGTTAGAGTGACACACTCAAACTGAGAGTGCTCAGCATTGTAAATCTTTTTTTTAAATTATTTTTCAATCGAAGGACTTTTGTCCCCCTGATGAATCATATTTAAATACTGAAATCAGCAGCATTTCTCTTCAGACAAGAAGCCTGCTTTCTTTTATGCAACTTCTTTCACACCCAGTAAGATCTGACCCCAACAGGTGTCCAACAGGCATGCTACTTAAAATATCATCCCAGACGAATTTCCCAGCAGTGACAACTATTACTTTCCACTGCATAACAGCCTCATGATTACCCAAGTGGACGGATTCGAAAAAATCAACACATCCAAATGTAGGTCTGCTGAAATAATTTCCATTTCATCCCATCACTATGGAAACCAGGGACCAAAATAGAGTCGAAAATGTGCTGCCAGAGCGGTAAGTTTTTTTAATGTGAAAGGATGTAGTTTGTTTCAAATCAAGTTTTGAGAAATGCAATATCTACCACGAAAGTTTGTGTGTGTTTTCTTTTACGCAGCATACTGTACGTTTGTCTTACAACTCAACTTAGGACACGCAAGACAACATGCAGTGTTACTGTCATCATGCTATTATAAAACTTGGGACAATATATAAATGTGTGTGGGCCCAAAAACAATGTGTTAAAAGACAAAAGACATATTACTGAAATATAGTTTGGGACTCAGCATTGGTACATGGGGCGCCAGCTCCAGGTAAGCTACCAGTCGACCCCTAACTTATATGAATTTTCAGTTCTAGATTTAATTGGAATCCATCCAATTGTTAAGACATTTCATTAAAAGCCACAAAAAAACAAACAGTTCACTGTCTGGGAACCGTGAATGTCTGTACAACATTTCATGGCAATCCATCCAATAGTTGTTGAGTTATTTCAGTCAGGACCAAAGTGCTGACACTGTCATCCATAGAGCCATGCTGCAGGAAAGGCTGAAAAATGAGTGTACATTCCTGTTTGGAAGAGGCTCCTTCATACCAACCATTTCTTCCACGTGGCGACCAATCTATCCATCTCCCATCCCAGCCATTTATTTACAGGGGGCTTAACCCCATTTTAAAAAACAAATGTACAGTATAAGTTGATTTTACAAGTTCTCAAGTTATTACTAGTTAATCTAAGAAGTTAATCTACTTACAGATCCAGGGTAATTATTTTAAATCAGTCCTCTAATGTTTGCTATGGACTGTTATTTCCTTATGATTTGTTGTAGCTGTTTTTGTGCCTTTTTCTGTGTTCAGAAAAAAAGAAATATCGGGTGGCTGTGGGCTTGTAAGCAACCTTGGCACCACCACCTATCTATTTGGTTGTATTTTTTAAAGTTTGCCATGTTCAACAGATTCAGTGCAAAAAAACATTCAGGTTTAGGAAAGCAGCTTTTTTTTGTCAAAGATTATTTTAAATTGAATGCCAAAAATGTCCAAAAACTTGCCAAACAAGCCAGTTTTCTCCCTGCCTCCTTTCCTCTGTCTCACGTAAAATGATAAGATAAATTACTTCCGACTGATCAAACATTAGCAATGGTAATTGGTGCCACTGGTGTATCAAATGTTTGTGAAAGTGAAGGACAGCAACAGAGAGACAGACAGAGAGGGAGACAGATAAGAGGCGTGGGGGGGGAAGAGGCTGCAAGATGGATAACTCTGACAAACAGTGTGACCCCGAGCTATAAGTAGGGAGCAAAACTCAGTGAGGATATGTGCATGCATTTGCACAAAGAGTGGGCAGCATTAATGTTCAAGAACAGACCACAGACTGTCTGTGACTCTCCCACGAGGAATTTTCACCGTTGTCAGGTCATTTATTCACAGACTTTAAGAAACAAGTCTTTCCCACTAAGGGTTTAACACTTACACCCTGACATGACAGGAACCACCATGTTCAGAACAGGTTTGCCAGTTTCTCACTCAGATATGTGGTTTCTGGTGGAGCCAAGTTCAGTCTTTCTCTTCATAAACTTGCTCTTGGTCAGTATTTATTGCAGCTTTTAGTACCCTACTTCCTTCAAATGCATCCTGGATTCATCAGTGATAACAAAAAACCAAACTACAAACATACCGTTAGCAGAAACATTTGGAGAATTATCTAACAGCAAGATGACATCTGCCAACCACCATTAAAGACCATTAACCAAAATAAAACCATGTGTTTTAATGGATTTATTTTCATCTGCAACATGTTCAAATCTAATTTTACAAAATAATATATATATATATATATATATAATATATTTTATAATTTTTTAAATAAAAATTCCAGTGTTGATGAGCTTCGGTGTGATGAATCTTTTGAACTTGCAAGATGACTCTACCCTCGTCTTAATCAGACTGCTTCAGGTTAAACGCTGTGAGAAGCTGCTTTGATGCAGTCGTCAACATGGTGTGAATAATGAAGAGATGGACGTCTGTTTATTTCTGAGTTAAATTAAGTCTGTTCCATCTGTGTGTCTTCGGTGAAAACACTACATGCACAAAACTGTGAGTGGAATGCAAATAAAACAATCATCTAAATAAGATTTTATAGTCTGAGCAAGCATATGTGATCTCAATAACTTATGTGGAGTATTCAGATTTTTTATGCCCACCTGGGGGCAACAACATTATCATCTTCATCATGTTACAGATTCGTTATAGCTAACAGTTGCCTATACAGTAACACATCCAGCAGACACATAGTCATTCATTTTAAATTGTGTTTCTGGGAAGCTAAAGTCCAATTCTCACTCTCATTTTAACTCAACTCTAGAGAAAAATATCTCTCTTTAGCTGCTAAATGTAAGCTAACATGGTGGACTGCATGGAAGAGGACCCGCTCCCTCTATAGATAAAAACAGCTCATTCTAAGGTAACAAAAGGTGGTTATACACTACTGAAAACATTCCTATGACTATTATATTCCATTTCTGCCCAAAAAAAACCCTCCTAAATGTTACACACTGGACCTTTAAAGTAGCTAAAATGCTTCGTAGAGCTGAGGGGAACTACAGAGTCGGATGATCACATATTCATTTGACCCATTGTCAATAGAAAATGGTGCACAACATGAGAAGCAGGTGACATAACTCATGTTAAAGTGCTTATTTCTGAATAATAACCCTGCTGGTGTCAGTTATTGGAATCTTGAAGAAAGATGTGAGGGAAAAACATACTGTCTGTGCTCGACATTGCATGGTATTTTCGGGAGTTTTGATAAAATGGCCCCATTACCTTTAATAGTTTGGGAGAAAGCCAAGAGAAAGTACTGACTCGCTGTGTGTTTGGTGGTTCCTCTAACGTAAATAGAGTTTAGACTGACATAGGGGTAAAGGGAAAAAATGACTGCATTTTCATTTTGGAATGAACTTTTCTTTAAACTGCACTGTTTTCTTACTAATGGCAATAGTCACTTTGCTGTGTGCATGGAAAAATGTAGCCACTGATACTATCATCAGTCTAGAAACACTACAGCACAATGATGAGAAACTCTGTCAGACGAGGTCCTGGCTTTCTAGGCTTTTAACGAGTCCAGAAGTTGGACGCAGTGAATTTGTAACCCACCTTTCTCATAGTCGGGCATGCTGTCTTTGAGCAGACAGCTGAGCTGGTGGCCATTGAGATGCAGGAAGCGCAGCTGATCTCGGAGTGAGCTTTCCTCCAGAACACCGGGGATGACGTGGCCCACGCTGTTTTGAGATATGGGCAGACCGAGTCCCAGTGCCAGGGTCGGAGTCAGGTCAACCTGCTCTACAACTTCAGGCTTCTCCAGTCCCACTGATATCACAGGGCAAAAAACACACACAATCAAAACAGTGAGGAGCGAGTACACCTGCAAAACATGATGCTAAAATAATGACACATAAATTACATTTCTTAGCATTTTTCATTTTTCATATTTAGGTGGTATCTTTGCTTTGATGTGTTGTTTTTTAACCTTCACTTGTCAATCAGTGTGTCTCGTACTGTGGTGTATTTTCTGTTGATAGATTTAAAAAAAAGGAACCTGTTCAACCTGAGTGCACTAACTAACAGGCTCTTCTTCTTTTCATTCCAGAAATACTTTAACGTTAAAATGCATCTTTTGTGTGCCGGGGGAACTTTTATCTTAAAAACCTGCAGTGTCAGACACAGAAAATGGAAAAGCTTTCAAAAACTAACCAATTGTTGAATCACAATTGTGTTACATCAATCAGCGATATCGGGGAGAAAAATGGATATTTATTTATAAGAACACAAGTCACATTTTATTACTTCAAACTCTAAGGCAATCCACAGACAAAAACAATTTACACGATGGACATGAGGAAATGGCTCAATTTTCATACTGTCTGCTGTGGAAGATTCCTCTGTTAACACAATAAGAGCTTGTCTGAAATAATTTCACAACATTCATCAAAATAAATTTGAAAAAAGAAGGTCATTCTCCTAGAGTCATAAACCTGACACAAACACTAACAGGGAAAGATCCAGCGCCTCTGTGTTATTTGGAAGTCAGTGATTATGTGGAATATATTTCCTGCAGCATCTCTGTCCCCTCAGGACAGTCAAGCTGCGGTCAAAGGAAAGCGGCGAGAGTGTGGTGGGGAACATCGGGAACCTTTCACCACAGCTGACTCTCATTTTAAATAGTAAGGCAGAGTGGATTAGTGACACCTTGTTAGTGGCAATATTTAATTTGAATTCTAACATTGAAAAAACCTGACTCTGAACACAAAAGCATCACAAACAACCCTGATTATTACTCTTGTATTAATGCCAAAGGGTATGACCGTGGGGAGGGTTGCTGCAAAGTGCAAAACAACCCAAAATAAAAAAATGAATGAATGAATAAATCATTATCATGTGAAATGTTGTTTTCATTTTTCAAAGCGTGCCTCCTTGTCAAAAGTGAACAGATATTTTTATGTTGACACCCGGCTTCCTGTAGAAAGCTTTCAAAAATACAAACAGAGAGTGGAAGTCATTTCCCAAATTGTCTGTGTCTAAGTGAGGTTGCAATAATGAACTATACTGCTGTATAATATATCCAAAACTGAACAACACAGCTCATGTGTGTGTGGAAGTGAGACAGCTGCAGACAAAAGACTGGGACAAACCCCAGAGCTATGAGCTAATTTGGTAATTGGACACAATGAAATAAGCCTGGGAATTATCCATTTTATATTAAAAGGAGACGGATTTGCAACAAGACAAGGACTTTGCTGTATTAAGCCCATAGCCATTCAGGATAATGCCATAAATCCACCAAGTATAAGAGACTTGTATAAATCTCTTACTTTGCAATGAATGACCAAAAACGTTTAAGTTATGGTTTGAGTTGCAGCAATTACACTAATGAGTTAAGTTGATTGATCCTTCTTTTTAAAAGTGAAATATTTTCACCCCCTGGAGGTGTTTCATCAAACACTAATCCCATATTAACTGTGTGTTAAGGAATACATCATTATTTTATGATGTTGCAATCTGTTCTTTGAAAACAAGCCAAGTAATCTGCTTGCCAGACCACTGACCACATGCCTATACAGTTACATCCAAGCAAACCTCTATAGAATAGCACCCGGTCTGTTTGTACTGTACTGTTTGGTTTACACAGAACAGAGCGACTCACATTCTGGCAGAACAGATGTGTCATAACTCAGTAAAAGGTTACACACACACAGAATGCTGATTCATAGATGACAAAACTGCAGCTGATGATGAAGCCATGCGAGGATCTAGCTCCCTAATATTATCTCTAAAATACCACAGTTAGAGGCCATTTTTAAATTCTTAATATGACTGTACAGAGTTATACGTTTGGGCAGCTCGGAGATTACTTTGTATGAAAGCTCTGAAAAGATTACGGCACATTTACCTCAATTTTGTGGGTTTTAATCGCAGCTGGTGCATGGATGACATGTGCAGGGGTGGAAGTAGTAATGGATTACAAGTAACACACAAAAAAAACTACACATGTTCCTGCAGCTGCCTGGAGAAGAGCCTCGCTTCCGGAGACAATCCATGAGCACATCGGACCACACTTTTTATACCAAAATCTATAAAAACAACAGTTACATGATGAAGTGCTTGCTGTAGTATTTCTTGCAGAAATCTCCACTCTTAAATATTCTTCTTCAAACCTCAGCGAGCACGCTGAAGTAATTTGCACATACTGTAGGTGAAAATGTTAGCCGAGTACATTTTTCATGTGTAACAGTTTCTTGGATGTTATAATAATGACATTAACTTATCTTGTAGTTAGCATTCTATTGGGTTTTAAATGTATGTGCTTTCAAAGCAGTTTACCTAATGTAAAACCAACTTCAACGTTAATGTTACTTTAATAATAGCAGGAGCAATCACAGCCTAAAAAATACTAAAATGTGAAGTAACTTGTGCTCTAAGTAATTTATTAATCATGTACTTTTTTTTTAGTTTACTTGAGTCGGTTTATGAACTGGTAATTTTCACTGTAACTGGAGTGATTTTCTATGAGAGTAATTGTACTTTCACTTGAGTACGGATTTTCGATACTCTGGCAATGTGTATATGAGAACTATACCACAGTTCATTTATATCTTTCTCACATCAGTAGGCTGAAACTTCAGGGAAACAAAACCGTGTTGCAACCAGTTACTGGTTTCACCATTGTTGTGGTGGGTTTTAAGGTGAGGAACTTATCCTCTGTTACTGGCTTTTCTGGTTTTTTGACTGCAATACAGTGTACTGTGGCTTCTTAAAGAAAACAAGAAAATACAAGGATACACAGACATCGAGGTAAACAATGACTGTATGGCTTCTCACGCCTACACTGTCTGATTAAAGTGGCATGGCCTCTCAGGATCCTCCCAGCAATGTCGACTAAATGTTCTGCCAATCTGCAGTGAGAGGGCTGTTTTCTCAATGATGCATTCAGATTAAAAAGTGAAGCTCAGGTACTAAGCCAGTAATGAACTCTGATCCACTGCAGCATGTTCTAATGAAAAACAACAGGCAGTTGAGCTTTCCACTAATGACCCGCCATTCTCACTATGTTAAAAATAACCAGTTACACTGATGAGGCCACTGATTGCACATTTCCATGCCAACATACTATATATACATCCAAGGTATTAATAGAAAGTCTGCCTCTTATAGCATTAAATGTCTCTGGGTACAACAGAGTTAAGATAATAATAATTACAATAGATTTCTTAATGTTTCCTGTCTAATTATTACATGAGATTCTTTAGAATATAACCATTTCTCCTCTTCCTATAGAAAGAACATGTGGCATAAGGATGAAGGTGTTCATAAAAGTGTTTCTCCACAGACAGATGGCTGGATATACATCACAACAACAACAAAGCTGGACAAAACAACACCCTGTGTTGGACTTAAAGGCCCAGAAAACTGTTTTTCTCAACCAGCCTCTTCTTATGAGCCATGGGATCCTATATGATCACACTATTTTCTGCGAAGGTTAGAAAAGTTTAGGTTATTTCACATCAGAGGTTTTTGTATTATCTGTGCTGCTGTCATTGGTTTAAAGTGGGCGGCACTTCCACGCACCAATCGGGATTGAATCTGATGGCAGATAACACCACACTGTCTCCTGTTTTAAGGGTTATATTATGTTCGTATTCTATAAAGAAGTGCTACAAAAGAAACTTTATTTATTGTATTTATGTATTCTTTTAATATCTGAAAAGCAACTCATTAATGACTTAAGGAATTCATTAAACTGGCAGTGTGTTATTTTCTTTGAGGAGAATTTGGCATTTACTTCCTACCCCTTCTGTGATTGGTAGAAATTTAGGAATTTAAAAGCATAAAGTCCTACTCGTTGGCAAGTCATTCAAGCTGTTGGCACCACAGGAGGCACAGAGTGCAAGCAAAACCAAGAACTCTGTAGCAACAACTCAACTGAACTGTAAATGATTAATTAACATGAATGATCTATAAATAAAAAATCTGTGCAAGAAAAGATCTCAAAAATAGACTTGGCTGAGAAAGAGGCAATTATCACAATCACACTTTCACACTCAAACACATTTATCATTGCAAAAAGTTCTGCTCAGGAGTTTCTATTTGCACTCTTTCGGGATGACACTGCTCTTCACGCTAAAATTAATGGAAAGTTACGTGTGAGTATGAAAGAAAGCGCTTCTTTTACAAATCCTATTTACAAGTTTAGTTTCACTTATTCATAATTTTCAGCAAAACACATTCCCTTCAGCAGGATGAACCAGTGGACCGAGACGCCGCTTAATTTAGACACTCTAAAATCATGTCAAGTCTACACACTTGTATTCATGGATCTGTATACTAACAGGGTGCAGCTGTAATGGTATCACTATCCTCCGCCAAAAAGAGTCTCTTCGCTTTAATGACAAATCTGCTGAGCTCAGCCTCTTTCAACAACACCAGACAGTTTACCTTTTCTTTTGAAGGCCGGACTTATGAGCACCAGGGGTGTATTGACTTCTGGCTCTGAGGAGCCTCCGTGGCTGCCGGTCTCCGACATGCCGTGGTCTCCACACAGCACCAGCAGGTAGGGCAAGGATCCCTCTGCCTCCTGAGAGAAGCAAACACCAAGGTTAATGGACTCCCACTCTATGTGCTGATATGGGAGGGCAAACCTCAAAAGCTCTGAGATGTGAATAATTCAAACTTGGCACCAAATGAAAAAAAAACACATCCAGTTTGGAAAACAGAGAAATAGCTTTAAAATGACAGCTGCTGGGGGGTAATAGATTGTTTCACCACATCGTTTTTATGCCATTATATTGGAGCAAGAAAGAAAGGTATTAAATTATTAGTTTCGAAAAGGAAGTCATGACAAATACTTCCTGGCACCGTTTCACTGCATCTCCAGACTAAAACAAATTGAGTAAAGGTAGCACACAAACACAGGATGAATCGTTTGTTGAGGATGACATACTTTGATCGAGCTTGGTTTCTTCCCTAAGTAATTCCCTTTCAACCAGACTCACGAGTACCTTCCATTGACAGTGTATTCCACAAGGATGCCTTATGAGTCACGGTAGTGGGGGCTGGTTTAAAAAATACGACTACAGATGTTAACAAAACAAAAGCCAAATCTTACCACACATTACAATACTCTCAAAAGATTCCTCAGTTCAGTGTTGTATCACACAAGAAGGACAGAAAAAAAAAATCAAAGAACAGAGACTTCATTTATTATTAAAGACTGAAAATTGTATCCTATGAACTACAGATTAACAGACAGCCTAAAAGACAGAAAAAGCAACGATTGCTGAAAGCTGAGATAAATTCTTCATTTGAGTTCGGAACATTTGGAAACTAAGGCAGATAAAATGTTTCATCTAGGATGACTTTATCCGAACGGACACACAGAAAAGGCCAACGTCAGCATGAGCGTTTATTTTTTTTTATCCACAGCTATAGTGATGTATCGATCATACTTTTTTTGATATTGTGACATAAAAAAAAGTGATGAATGCACTGAGGGAACGTTGCAGGTTGGAGCCTGAGCCAAACTGTGCCATTGTGCTCAGCTGACCCATTATATTTGCTACTCACTCAGCAAAGAAGGAGCAAAAGATTACCTTCTGTCCTAGATTTTACCTCTTGGATGCTTGTTATAAATGGCACTGGACACAGGGGATCCAAAGAAACACCTCAAGACCGGTACTAAACACCAGTGAGCCCCACACTGAGTGAGCCTCTCCTCTATTTAGGATAAGTCAGAGTTTACTCCTGTTCTCAAGGATGAATGCACCGGGCCTCTGTTGGGAGACTTTCTTCACACTTCATAAGAAACCTTTTTAAAACTAATACACTAGGCACCATGCTGAATCAGATGATAGCTCATGTTCTCCATGAGTAAGCCAGAAAAAATAAAAACTGAATAGCTTTTATGTCTATCCGGTGAATCAGTGATTCCCAACCAGGGGTACTTCTGCAGTTGCCAGGGGGTATGCGGAAAGCTCAACTAATTAACTTACCTAAACTTGACTAAGAAACAGAAATTGTGATTTGAGTAACAAAATTATATCCACATGGGTGCACCCCACTAGCTAACCTGGTAGTGACAGGCTGAGTCCTTACTGGAGCAGCCTGGGTTTGATTCCAGCCCAGGACCTTTGCTGCAAGTCATTCCTTCTCTAAAGGGAGGCAAATGAACATCTGCTTACAAAATAGTTTCATGTTGATCTTTAGTAAACTTAGAATAACCAGTAAGCTGCCCATCAACCTCAGTCAGTTGTAACACACGTGTTGCATTTGAGAGTGCATGGAAACAAGCCAGCAAGCAAGAAGAACAGTTTAAATAGATAGCTAAAAATAATTAAAAGTATGGAGCTAATTTCTTCCCTTAACTTTCTTGTTGTGGAAGGTGAATTACTCAGGACATTTATGAGAAAATCCTCACACAATCAAGCTAGATTGTGCTAAAACTCACGTCTTATTTGATTAATAAACAAATACATTCAGGTTATTAAGGTAAGAGTGATGAATAAACTGCTAAGATATTTACGTGACTGTAACAATAAACACCTTCATATAATTAATAGTGTTAAATAGCACCTTGTTTATAACCCATTTATAAAAAACTGACTGGTGGTGGTGCCAATGAAGATTTACTTCTAATAGCTAATCGGATACAGTAGAGCTGTGGGGCTACATCAGACAAATAAAAAGGAACAACCGTGGAAAATTGTTGTACATTAGTTGTAAAGAAGGTGCACTCAATATTAGGACGATATCAAGGTCTTCTTTACAGAAGGAACAAGAAAAATAAGTCTAAACACTTGCAACATTTCATTTATCTTGCTGATGAAATACATGGCTCAGAATACACACTGCTCTGCAGGTCAGGTTTAAGAAGTTTTGCACTTCAAACAGAAAAAAGCAGCAGAACAACCTTACAATCTGAAATATCCAGACGAGAAGATTGAGGCCATGTGATCTCCATTAACACAAAGGTCTGATGGAGGTCTTTATGACCACGAGGTCCTGCTTTCCAATCATGTTTTAATGGAGAGTGTTGCGGCTACAGGTAGAGCATGTCTCTGCCCCTAATATGAGCTCGCTGAAATAGGCTACTCGCGTCACATTACAACAGAACCTCTGAATGCTACCACGCTTTTCTCCTTCACTGTGCTGCTGCAGCAGGAGACGTCATTTCTTTTACTACTGAAGGAATCAGCAGCAAACAACAGCTAGCTCACGTGTGCAGTCAAACAGCTCCCAACATGTTAAAAGCATGTGTTGATCAGAGAAAACATGGTTGTTTTTTTGAGAAGCTTCTAAAGGTATTCTGTGGGACGCCTCTGGGCTGTGTCTATTTTTAGGTCACACAGCTGCGGTAGAAAAAGAACAGCCACAGCTTTCACTAATGTGACTGAAGCAAGACTTTCAAACACATTTCATTCAAAGAGCTCACTGGGAGCACGTACGAGGCCGCCATTGCCCAAAACGCACAGATGTCACCAGGAGCCTGGAGAGACAGGATTTAACAAGACTGAATTAACTACTTGGGGATGTGGTGAAATGTTGCATCAACATTTCCAGAAATACCCTTCGCTGTATCTTTTGCAAAAAGGAAAAGTTTACATGGATATCTGCATCTGGCTTCTCTCTCTGTCTCTCTCTCTCTGTCTCTCTCTCTCTGTCTCTCTCTCTCTGTCATTTCAGAGATGCAAAAAGATGAGGAGACAAAAAGGAGATTGTAGGCTCGTGTTGACATGACTTGACAATCTAAATACAAGCTACACAGATGAATGACAGTGAGACAGTGCCCATTAACAACACACACACGGCACAAAGACAATATGCATGCACAGCTGTCAGACCGCACAGAGAAAACAAGGCGACTAGACCTGCACACTGATCAAAGACAAAATTAAAGATAACAGAAAGGCTTAACAGTTTATTAAATCTCTGGGTTTGCTGCAACAGATAACATAATAACTGCTGGAAACACCACAAATGATCCGTGTAATTAAATGACCATCCAAAAAACTGATAATGCAAGAAATTCCCTGATAGCATCACATTAATATATTAACTATTGATCATTACTTCATATTTGAATATTTCTTTTTACAATAGATTGACGTTAACTTTTATAAAATCTTTGAAAAAAAATGTAAAGTTGCTGTTCAAAATTTGAAGTGTAATGTTGAATTTAATTTATCTTAATAGAGAGAAGCAGATGTTGACAATTAAATTAAGCAGCAGCACAGCCATGCAAAGTCAATCAGTCTAACAGACTTGAATTTAAAATAAGAAGCCAAACCAGTATCTCCAAATACAGTGAGTAAATAACAGGTAAGTTACAGCTGTAACATTTAACATTTTCATGAAATCAAACCGTGTTTTTGATATTTTTTATACTGACATTTAATGTACTTACATCCTGTAATTACTGCTCTATATAATAGTCTTCATTGTTAGTGGTGGAGCCCACCGTTCCTGCTGCTGGCTCAAATTGCCTCCTCCATAAGACGGATTTACAGAAAACAGTGGTTATGATATGAATTTTATGCATTTCACACCTTTTGATTTTGTTCCATTGAGGATAGCTCTGGAAATGTTTTTATTAAGCTGCCCGTGATGAAAATATGTGCTTTGTTGTATTTTGTACATTCAATGTCAGTCAATCAAATATAAACACAGTGAGTGATTTTAAAGCTGCATGTGCCATTTTCTATTTTTTTTGCTTGAGTTTGAGAGGATTCATTCTAGCACACGTTGTCTTGCCAACATGGTAAACAACTTGTTTTTTTTTTTTTAAACTGCCGTATAAATAAAGTTTATTATTAGATTATTTTTATCACGTTACCTTGACAACGCCAAGACATGTTACGCAGCCTATAACTGTGGGATGGGGCTTTTTATTTGACGTTTTTCCGCTGGTAGACCCGTGTTTACTGTCACAACGCTATGAACTGCGGGTAATTCTCTCAGGCAAAGTCTGCAGTACTGTTCGCTTACAGAACATGTGGATAAAGAGCAAATTGCTCCGGGTGAATGAACGTATGAGTGAGTTTCTTTCTGTTTGTGATGGCCTATCCCATCACTGTGTGAATGGGTGAATGTGGCATGTAGTGTAAAAGTGCTTTGAGTGGTTGGAAGACTAGAAAGGCAGTACAGTCCATTTACCATTAGAATGGGACAGCCCTTGGGATGGGGCCAACATGTATGTCCGTGGGTGTGGTCTCCCCTTCTGTGTCTGCTCCTCTGCACACCTGTCTGAAACAGCTCATCCACACTCTCAGTGGGCTCACCTGGCTCGCATCAGTTTGCACTGTGTCAAACCGTTTGTTCAGCCTCAGTGGAATGCGTTTCAGGCCAAACTTTAAAACGTTACGCTGGTGATTTAGCTTCCGTCTGTTTTCCTTGATCTAACGTGATTCTCTTTGTGTTCCCAGATCATCACTCACCTGCCAGTTTTCCTGTCGGTCTGCCTGCAACAATTTTATTCAACCCCGCTCATGCCAGCCACACTCCACCACCACCATCGTCGTCAACCTCTGCTGCCATCGAATCTTCCTTCCCTGCCACAAGCCCCCTCATCTCCTCTCCACACTACCTCCGTTCTCTGGTACTACTGCAATAAATCTTTAAACTTTATCTGCCTCCTTGTCTGTGTTCTGCATCTGGGCACATTTTAACTGCGTAATATAATATGGCCATTATTTCCTCAATTAATGAATAAAGTCTATTAAATGTCAGAAAATAGTGTAAATGCCCGTCACAATTTCCTGAAGCCCGAGGTGATTTCATCAATTTGCTTTTGTCCGACCAACACGTTGAAACTCAAAGATATTAAGTTTATTCATTTTACTGCGATTTTGGCTTTAAAAATTAAACTTACATTTTTAAAATAGTAACACTTTTTTCCGCTGCACACCTACTTATCACTTAACTGAATAATCAACTAATAGTTTCATGAATGAATCCTCAAACAGATGCCTCTTTACACGTTGAGCAGACACACAGCAACATCAGCATTTCTGACCACCAGGCCAATAATCACTCTTCTTTTAAGCTATGTTTTGGACTGATTAGAGGAGTAGGCTCGCTTTGTAGCAGCTAAATGCTCCACTATGTTCACCAGCTAGTGACTAACACTGTCTGCTGTTTGGTGTTGGGCAGGTCGGGTACAGTCAGAGGATTTCTCCTGAAATCAGCAGACACTTTAAACCAGGTAAATGAGAACCTGCAGAGTCAGAAAGTCTCTGTGGGTCCATGACTATAAGCAACCCCTTTCACATTTCACTAAGTAATTTGACCCAGCGCAGCTTTAAAACTTTATATAATTTTCAAGAACTTCCTTGAAACTCTGTAACAAATTTCACACTGAAAAAAACAAATTCTGAAGCTTAACAACAACAGAACAAACAGATACAACATGATGTAGAAAACAGATGCCGGGGTAAGAAATTACCTTTGAAATGAGGGCACTGTGGATCTTCTTCAGGATGTCATCCATCTCCAGCAGTTTGGGCTGGATGAGGGAACTGTGGGGTCCACTGATGTGACCGATGTGGTCGAGGCCTAGGTAGTGGAGGATCAAAATGTCCCAGTCATCTCTCTTTAGGGTGCTATCCAAGTGACGGGTCACATTGTTGTCAACCTACGTGGAGACATGACGCATAAAAGATACTTTACTGATCTACAGGATTTCAACCAATAACCAATTTAGGTTCATATTATTTAAAATCGCCCCCAGAGCAAATAAAAACTGAGCCGAAAGGAGCTTTACCCAGAGCTGTGACAAACCTGATGATTGTCTGATTATCATCATCAGGCAAAGATTTTCCGGCAGATATTTACCTTCATCCCACATTTCAGGTAAAGGGCTCAAAACTCTCCATCACCAATATTCCAGTATAAACAAGAACAGATTGCATACAGTCCCACAGTAGATTGGTAGCTATGGCATATGGAGATAACTGATTAGCAGCTTTTTTTGTGTGTGTGTGTGATCTCATCTCTGTGTGTCCCTGGTTGATCAGCCGCCTTGCTCTCTTTAATGCAGATCACTCGTAGAAAATGCAGTGACTGGATCATTTCCAGACATACATGTACACCATATTTGAGAGAACATATATATAAAAACCCTGCTTAATTAACCATTACTACTCGAGTTCGGACCAATCAGACTGAATATCAGCATCAGCCAATACTGACATAATTCACTCGGTGGATTAGACCCTCAAACCAATCCAGATGCCATAATCTGTTTTATGAATTATAAATATGTAATAATGCATTTCTAAACTCAAAGCCAAAATGTTATATTAATTAATTGATTAGCGATTAGTGTTCTACAAAGATATCCGGTATTCCCCATATTTTGTCTCCCAGAATTCAGCTTGCGCTGCACCATATACCCACCATAACGTAACATGAGACAGTCTGAAACTGTGTGAGCTAGTAACAGTCGGCTAAATCAACATGTCCTTATTTTGGAAATATTTTAGTCTCGAAATGCAGGAAAGCAAGATAGCAATTTGAAATGAGTGTAAAGCCAACATTCAGAGGGGTGGAAGTTGTATCGGTATCAGCAGATATCCAAATTCAGGTATCTGGAATTGGAAAGAATTGGATTGTGGATCTCTAGATACTACATTATGAACAGTCTTTGCTGTATGCAGGGCCCAAAATGCTGGTAAATTTTGGGTTTGGCAGAAAAATAAACTAGGGTCACTAGAGGTGGTAAATAATTTCCAAGCTTATGGCCAGGTTTTCATCGCCGTGTTGTTTATGAGGACAGGCTGAGAGTAGTGTAACCCTCACTGTCCATCAAAACATATCGTAACATCACAGAATCACATCAAAGCAGCTTACTACTGTTTCTACACAATGCCTGTTTATGTATTTGCTGTAAGAAATATCTGTGTTACATGTTATTAGTGTTAGTTAGTGTTAAGCCACCAAAAAGGAAACATAAAGATGAAGACAAAAGTCCTGAAGGCCTCGAGATCCAGGCTATAATATGAAGCTCAAAAAGTTCAGAAAGGCTCAAAAATGAAAATGAATTCAAGTCAAATAATGAATGATGTAGTTTTATGGCTAGAAAAAAAATATTTTTGGCTGGTAAGCTTTCATTGGCAGAGGAGCCAAAAAGTTAATTTTGGAACCTGACTGTATGTATTGGGTTATTGCTATGATTTAAAATACTTTGATGTAGAGCATCAGCAGTCTGGAGCAACCAGAGCGTTAGTTATAGTGTTGTATGATTCATATAGAAAAACAATTCAAGGTGATCTAAGAATAATGAAAGTGAGAAGGGAAGGTTTTTAGCCAAGAAGAAACAATTAAACAGGTTTTACTTCATCTTTTTTCTCACTTTTAGTTTAAACTTCAACCTCATGTATACCACAGTAAATATGGTTTCATAATTTCATCCAGAATTTCTTTATGTATCATTTTTAAAGATTCTGTATCATATCAGCCACCGGGTGCTTTAATTCTATATTGATGTTAGACAGAAAAATACATCATAACAGTCAATCCCTTGGTGTTTAACTCATACATACCTCAGTGTAGTCAGATACAAAGAAAGAGGTCGTGCCATCGTACTCCATGAAGTGTTTGGGGAAGAGGCGCACCCAGGTGTCATCTCCGTAGAAGACGATCCTCTTCCCCGCTGTTTTGGCCTGCCAAATGAGGTTGTCTTCCAGCAGTGCAGGAGAATTCAGGTTCATTACCACATCAATGAAGCCTGGGATACTGCCAGTGGTAAGAGCCTGGGGAGGATGTTTTTGTCATTGTCCTTTGAACAATAATTGTCTTTTAACAGTGTTATACAACATTACAATTTCATCATATTAATCCAGCTAATTACGATTTTTGCTGCTGTACACTGTTCAGTTTTTACATATTAATAATCTTCAAATCAATCAATTTCCCTTTTATCCGATCAATCTAGTATTGGTAGCCAAACTAATTCCCACATCCCCTAAACAATCTTGCTGCTACAAATGGAAACTGGAAACTGAATCAGGTAGATTGATGATATTTATGTAGTAAAGTTTCTACTGATTTCATCATGGAATCAGAAATAAAACAACACTGGTCTCCATTTGACTGACAAGGAAAACAGAGCCTATTTTATAAGTCGGGAGAGGGTCTGGTGCATTGTCGAGGGGGAAGTACAAAGGCCTTGTCTTTATGCACTGAAGGAGACATGAGATTGCAGATACTGGCAGGAAACAGTGTTATTTAAACCCCCCTATGAGCTGCCTGGAGCACAACCTGAGATCCTGCGGGACGCTCAGAAAATCCAGGCTAAAATCAGAGGTGACCAGCCTTTATTGTGTGAGGGCCTCGGTGTTAGAGGAACCTGCAGAGGAAGCTCGGCTGGCAAATTCAGATTCATCTCTGAAATCACTTCTTAAAGCGCTATTTTATATGCTTTATTGTTAATGTATTTGTCCTTGTATAACCCTGTTTCTCAGTTCACATCTGGGTATTTTGTTCAGCTTATCAGTTTTTATATAATCGTGGGGTTTTTTTTGCTTGCATGGTTACTGTGTGAGTACCTGTTCTATAGCAACAATGTGACTTCTGCACAGACACAAGAGACAAATAGCAATAAACTAACAATATCACGCCCCCGCAAACAACCCCAAGAACTGTCACAGGCTTTAAACCTCTCTTTATTTGCTACATTTTCAATACACCAAGGAGAATAAGTTTTTATCAATTTGTGTCTTTATATATGGGAGCAAAGTTCTCCTCTGACACTTTGAAAGCTTTGTGTCTGCTACTTAACGAATGAACAACAGCTTTACGCCAGAGGAACGTCAGAAGCCTTTCAGTTTTGTCAGCTCGCTCACAGGTACTGCTACGACAGGAAAAATGAAAATTGAAATTTGAGCCTCATCTTGTGAGCTTTGTTCCTGAGCTCAATTATTTACCACTTCCTTCCTTCCTTCCTTCCTTCCTTCCCTGTCATTGTTTTGCTCCTGCCGGTTGCAGATGCTTGTTTCAGGAAGAGACGGATGGTTCCGCTTCAAAAGCAGTCTTCTCTTTCTGCCTATTCAGTCTCACTGTGGTCCCCTGTCTATTAATAGAGACAGTCAGACCAATGAAACCAGTGGTTCGGTGGAAAACAGGGCCTTTGTGCCTTGTGAACACTTTGCTGTTATGCAATAACGAACACAGGAGCAAAAGGAGATAATTCTACTGCAAAGGAAACGATCAGCTGGAGACATACGAGAGCTCTGTGGAAAAGTTTAAAAAGGCTAAATCTTAAACATTTCTCCAGATGCCAAAAAAAAAAAACATTGAGAAGCTGCCCAAACGAATCAGTGACTCATCAACATACTAATTACTGGCCCACAGTACGCGTCTAGGCTTACGATGTGCCACTGCTTAAATGTCAAATACAATATCAGTGGGGTATACAGACACTCTCTGGCACGGTGATTAAAACTTGTAAAGGTGCCAAAAAACAGACGGAAGGGGCTGTGACTTTGAGTCTTCGAGCCTGGCAAAAGATTTTTCAGTTTCCTTTTCACTTACTTTTGGTTGACTGTTGTAAAGGAAGACTTTCCACCAGTAACTTGAAAATCTCCTCAATCTCCTCAGGTTTCTTATTGCCAGATAATACCTAAGTGTGTGTGTGTGTGTGTGTGTGTGTGTGTGTGTGTGTGTGTACTCAACCCAGTAAAGCACTGGCCTCTCAGACACCCTCTGTGCATTGCTGCTACTGTTATGATTAACTGAATTCATTGTGCAAATCCACCACCTCAGTAATGTCCACTGACTGCTGTGCCAGTCTGAGTGCGAGGCTCAACTGGCCACATGTGAATACAGGACTGGGGAAGAAAACTTCTTTTCTTTTTCCTGTCATGGTTAGAAAGCGCAAGTAAATTGGAGCCATTAAATTTAGTGGGAAGACCCCGGGGTAGAGTTTCCAGCATAACAACTGTTTGCTGCGTGGCAGTTCAATAAAAAAATATAACACATGGAGAAGAAACTAGATACTTAAACGTAACTGTGTATCTGAATAAGACTTCAAAATCAGCTGTATGGTATATGTGCAGGAAGCTTGTAACTTTATTAGATACAGCGGAGGGAGTGTTGGGTCTAATGGGTGTGTAAATTAATGGCCGTGCCACTGAGAGATTATGATTTAGGTTAGTTGGCTGTGTCATACCAGTTAATTGGGTGCAATGCAGTGATAGTGGGCAGTAAATGGCAGTTAGTTTCTACTGCCACCTACTGGCGCACCACAAAACCTCAATGCCATGATTAGAAACAATTTAACCTTAATGCTTTTGATGCTGTTAAAGCTCTGTGAATAACACACCTTAACTAAATCATTTAAATGTTAAACTGAGCTGCAGGTTTACAACAGAAAAGTGCCTCAGAAGCTCTGAGCTTATGCTTGTTTTTGTCATGCACCAGCTGTAGTGTGACGGTGCTCCAACAATTCAGAGGATATCTTGGGATTTCTTTACAGTGGGCTCTCATTCATATTCCCCTCAAAAATAAATCTCTTCTTCAATTAATTACCAATCATGCAGTAAAAGGTGAAGAAGAATACAAGGCAGTATAGTAAGGTGCTGTGCCTCGAATCTACTGTAACTGCCCAGCCCTCTAAAATGTGATTAACAGGCCCCTCTGCAGGGATTATAGATGTACCTGTATGCTCTCACCGAGCCTGCAAATCAAACGTACACATTTCTGGACAGCTGAAGAGGCTGCATTTTCAGTTCCGTCTCTCCTCCATATACTACAGCTCTACTGCAACATAAACCCCTCAAGTCTGTGCTTCTGAATCAGGAAGATTTTATTTTGAATTTCCTCTCTCATCGATTTTCCTCTACATACTCTTTTACCATCAACAAAACTTTTTGAGAAGGTTCACATCCAGAGCTATTTTTCCAAGCTGCCTTAAGGCCCTCCCCCCCCGCTCATCAACACTGCATCCTCTAAACCCTTTCGGATTATGGTGAACATCTGTCTCCATGCAAGTCCACCTCAATCACGCTCAGCTTTATCCCGTCATCCCTCCTCCACATCACCACTGACCTGCTTCGTCTCACGACAACTTCAAACTTTCCAACCAAGAAAGTGTTCCTGCATCCAATCCAGTCACCCAGATTTCCACCACCATTCAGTCGTTACAGCACAAGGATTTAATTATTCTCTTTGTCGTGTATGATAATAAACTGTTTTTTGGACAGTTGGTTGTATAAAACAAGACATTAAATGTGTCACAGTGGGCTCTGGGAAATTAAAATCGGCATTACTCAGTTTCTTATGACATTTTATGGACTAGAGCTTGGTTGTATACTGGATCAACAGGAAAATAATCAACAACTATCCTGATAATCATTTCCTAATTTAAACTTTAAAGCTTTGCTGTCTCAATTTAGACATTTTCTGGCTTTTATTTATTTAAGATCAATTAAAGTTTTAATACATTGCTTTGTGTTCTGATAACATTTAATAGACATTTTTCATTAGTGTTGACATTTTAAAAGCTAAATGATTCATTCACAAAAAAAAAAAAAGAAAAGAAAAATCACTACATTCATTGATAATTAAAATGATTGTCAGCTGCTCCCCCACAGTGTAACATGCTCTGCTGGCTTCAGAGAGGCTTTTAGTAGTGAGACTCCAGGTTGTTACTGAATACTCTTTCCCCTCCAAGGTTTCTCCTCCTCGTCTTCATCGCTCATCCTGTCCACCGTCTGAGACGCTGTCAACCAACACATGGTCTTTGCTGCCCTCACTGACCTGAAGACCGCTGAATCTGCACTCTCATGGTTCATTTATCAGCCATAGCTGAGGAGAACTCCGTCCCCACTGTGGATCTTAAGCAGCAGGATTCTCCAGGTTTAGCTCCAATCTTCTTCTATCTTTACAACAGCTCGACGCTGTCAGCAGCACTGCTTAAGCATGAATGCTGCCTTTTATTCCGCCCTCTGACACTCAGGCTCAATATTCTGCTTCACCTGACAACTTCAGTTAGATGCCTTCCCACCACCTCAGCACAGCCCAGAACTTGTAAGAGGACCAAGCTGCTCTTTTTCCGAGGGGAAAAAATCGTTCCCTTGGCAAAATCTCTCCAGCACCATTGACAACAACACGCTGACTCTTCCTGCCCACAATCTTAGTGTGTTTCAGCACAACCAACTGTCATGGAAGCCACATATGACATGTAATGACAATGACTGTAATTCCCTCCCTGGCTCTGCTCCCAAAATACTCCCATCAGCACGACACATCATCCAAGTGTGACAACGCGCCATGTTTTCACCCTTCCCAAATTCTGCCATCTAACCCTATTTGCTGAAATCTTAGCACCTATTTCAAAATATTCCTCGCACTTTTTCTTTTACATGACTATTCTGGTCTCACAGGAATACTGTTAGGACATTTTCTGACTCCAGCACTTGTACCTCTTATGATGGGGCTGGATGAAATATTGGTGAAAAAAGGAATTGAAACTTTTATTGCTGTTTTCCCAGAGCCAAAGGAGACAACTTCAATTCATTAATAATGATATAAAACAGAGAAAATACTCACACTTGAGAATATGGAAGCAGTAAATGTTTGGTGTTTGTGCATTACAAACAACTTCAGCGATTCATCGTAGAACATGTTGTTGGTTAATTGTTCCAACATTACTTTAACATGCAAATACAATTGATTAAAAAGTATTTAATAAATATTTTCAAGTATTGATGTTATGGATGCACGATATAGACGATTACTTGTTTCTTATGGCCCATAAGATAACTGATAACTGTTGTTTATGCAAACTTGATGGTAAGAAAGGCAAAGATGTCGTGAGTTAAGATTGATTATTTAATATTTAATAGCTGAGATCTAACAACATCTAACTGACATCACAAAGAAAGTTCAAATGTTCATAATGTTTCCTAGTAAAACTTAATTAATTTGGCTTTAATAGAACAAAGATCCATCAAAATGAATAATAATAATAATAATAATAATTATTATAATTATTATTATTATCATTATTATTATTATTATTATGTGTCTATAGTTGAATTATCAGAATAATACATACAAATATGAATTCCTGTTATTAAGCACTAATTTATGGGCACTGATAATTACTGTGTTAACTGATAATAGTAATCATTAGTTAAGTAAAGTAATGTCAGATGCAGTTATGTGTTATATTGTTATTTAGTGATTAGATAACATAGTCCAACTTTACACTGATTCCAGGATAAACAAAGGCCGTTCATCTCTCTGTCATTACCTAATAAAGGCATAAAATATCCAATAAGTAATTTATATTTTACAAAATTCAGTTAGTTATTAATTGAAATGTATAAAATATAAGTGTAATATTAACAGTAGTACTAACAAGTTAGTAAGTAACAAACAAACATCTTAAATCTGGAGAAGAGAGATTTAAGATGTTTGTTTGGTACAGACCCCCAAAAATCATGATTTTAATAGTTTTAGTGAATAAAAAATAAAATTTGTGATGCAAAAATGTTAATTCCCACTAATCGTGAATCACATCTCAATATGTTTTTACCACATCATGCAGTTTGAAGTTAACTTAAACTTTAACATCTCTACTGAAAACAAACATTGAACAGCACATAAGTCAAACGTTAAGAATTTTCCAAAGGTTTGATCCCCTCCAAGTGTTCATCCACCTTAGACTGACTAAAGCGTTGAACTTCATTTAAGGTTGGTGATATAAACCCTCGCTGACGTCTCTCGGTATAACACAACGCAGTTAAACAGCATCACAAACTGCAGCCTCTCAAATGATCGTTCAGTTGATTCAACGTCTCTAAAACGGGTCCAACAGCACCAGAATATTAGGATTTACTGCCAGGCTGTTGCACTGCTTAGCTTCAGCTTGGTGGATCTAATATACTGGACAGTGAGGGTATATCAACGTTTACCTGACCACTAACATTTATACCAGCGGTCATTCTTGTTTTAGGAAGCTAAAACTAAACTTAAGAGAAGGACAGGAAGGTCAGAAAGACGGACTAACACAGTGTCGGCTTTGGGCTTTTTATGGGATTTATCAACAATAAGAAAAATAGAGAATAAAACCAGCCTTTTTAAAGAATCATTATAGGTTGAATCAGCGTCTCCCAAACTAAGGATCACTAAAAACTCCTTTTTATTGAATTGCTAGTTGGGAATACTTTTTTCATAGTGCAAGAAAATGTGATTATTATGATTTCCTATCCATTTTAAATACATATTTTTATTGTTTTCTTAATCAGCAGCCTGTAAATGTCAAGTAATACTGTATTTTAGTAAGTTTTGGGGTTAAAGTAATGAATCTACCGGCTGTTTCTGATCAAACAGCGACATTTAAAACTTGAATTTTGTGAAATATATTCATTTATTTTCAGCTTCCTGCCAAAAAAACTGGCGTCCATGAGCATAATAATAATAATAATGACACCTGAGTGACCTCCTCACCTTGATCCTGGGCATGGTGACAGTAGGGGGTCTCGCCTTGGCCACAAAGCTTTGCGAGGAGCCTCTTTCCACCACATGTCTGGTGTAAGGCATGTACCTGCGACCACCGGGGCCAAACACAAAGTCCTCCCGGAGGGCGTCCACCAGCATTACAACCACCCTTTTAAAGAGGGGTGGTGGGAGGCGAGAGGCGTTGGGAGAGCTCCCTGTGATTAAATCAATCAATATATCGATCAGAGACTACAAGGCGGACCTGTTAGACGCAGGTAGGAGACGCGGTGAACTCACCTGTCAGCGGCTCCGATGGGAGATCCGACAGCTTGCTCTTGGATGAGAGGGAAGACCTGACAGGTGCGGGGAAGAACCCCCGCAGGAAGAGGGCGATGCCAACCACCTCGGAGATTAAAATAAACGAGGCGAACACAGACGAGCGGACCTTCATGTTTGTTTCTTTCTTTCTTTAAGAGGAGGTGAGTTGTTTTCAGTTAGCAGCCGGATAAAAGAAGCCGTAACGTCTTCATTTTTTAAATGTTTTAAAACTGTCAAAGCAACATGTTATGAAGCCACCTGTCTCCGTACTTCATAACCCGCCTCTATGTTAAATATTCGTGGCTGTGTTTGAGGATAAAAACACATTAATGCCAGTTAGCGCTGTAGCCATTCGTAGCTGCTTCCGCGTTGAGAGAATGGAACTACGGGTATTACGTAGAATCAAACAAAACCAGTTCGCTTTTTTTTGTTTTGTTCTCAGGCTGTTGTCAGTTTATCAATAGGAAGAGTTCAGATGGCTCAAGACCATAACACAATAATAATAATAATAATAACATAAAATATATAAAATGTTGTTTTTAATATTAGATTTTTTTAATTAAATAATAATAAGGTTACAATATCTAACAATATATCTATAAATAGAAATGTGTATATATCGGGTTACACATGTAAAATAATAATAAATCATAAAAGTATAAAAAGAGTCTAAGTATGTATAATACAGTATATAGAGATAGAGGCTATTTATGACTATATATGGAATAAAATACAAGATATTAAACTTTAATATTATAATGTATAATAAAAAGGAAACACCAACAGGATACAAAAAAGGCATCACTATAGGCAATAAAGACCTGTGAATTAAATAGAAGAGTATGGTGTAAAAACCTATAGTGAAACTTCTACAACCACTGAGAATAATAATCATTTTACATTTATTTTATCAAGTATTTATTGTTAGTTTTGACATTGAAATGTAGGTAAGATATGTGTTTTCCTGTGCTTCAGAAGTCATGTAAGATAGGCTGTTTTCCATAAAAGGATGTATAAATATATAAAGGCAAAAGGTACAAGGAAGTCACCTGTTACAAATCTTACGGCTTAACATCTCCAGTACAACAGCACATACTCACAGTCCGAGGTCCCTGAATCTGTACCTGTACAGGAGTTTACCTATTTATCTTTTGTACCACTTCTACCAAAAAGAAAAGAAAAGCTGGTGTTTGCACCTGAAAATCTGCCTGTAGATTGAATATTACCAAAGACTGAGAGAAAGCTATAAGAAGTTTTTTTTTTTATGGGATTATTCCATATTATTATTATGTATTAGAATAAAACAGACCCCTGAGAAACCGCTTTACGGATCCTTATGACATCAAATTGTCATTAATACCAATTCTAATGGAGCAAATTAAGGTAAAACTGTATTTACGCTCTTAGAAAATAAAAGTGCTAACTCAAACCATATAGGGTACTTTGGCTTGTCCTCATAGGAGAACCCTTTATAGGGTTATACATAGAAACACCTGTGAAAGTTTCCACTAAGAACCAACCCAGATGCTCTAAAAATAGTCTTTTTATAAGGGTTTATATTGTGGTTTTTCTATGTTACAATTACCAACATTGAGAAAACATTCAAACAATTTTTAATGAGTAAAATATTTATTTAAAAATCTTGGAGCAATGATGTATGAGGAGGATGAGCCAACAGAACAAGAGAGGCTGTGTAGGTCCCAGGGGAGCAGGTCCCAGGGGAGCAGGTCCCAGGGGAGCAGGTCCAAAAGGAGCCTATAGCACCAGTGGAAGTCAGGCACATCAGGCAGTTAGTAGCATCACGCTACTGACTGTCCCTGTAGTACACCATATGAATCATAAGCCATCTACAAACAGCAAAGTAATGCAGAGTCTGATGAGAGCAGTGTGTGGGGACATAATAATGGTGAGAATATTACATTTGTCTTATACCTTGAAGTTTCTGATCCTGTCTCTTCAATCCAGCTTCTAGTACAAAATTCACACAGATAATCAGGTGATCACTTCGAGACGGGTGTGAACAAACTCGTAATCAAGACCACATTAATCCCTATTCGTCTTCTATTGGGTGGAAAAATAAAACTAAATTCTCAGATCTGACCTGATTTCTTTTAACCTTCCTCCACCTTTCTCTAACAAACTCTCCTCCTCAGTATAGGAGAGAGCCTGAACGCCTCATACGTCACACCTGTTTTGTAGAGGAGGAGGTGCGATGACATGAATGTTGCCCTTAGAAATGTATTGTAGTGGCCACCCACATTTCCCATCATGCCCTAGTGTTGGACTGAGTAGTTTGTTAAGTTTGCTGTTTTATGTTCCAAAATGCAAATGTTACTTTTTACGTTTTTAATATGTCTGTTTTATGATGATAATCCTCAATTTGTGTTGGTTTATAGTTTAAACCATTAGTGTGAGGTTGCTGTCACGTCTCCTAAAACCAGCTGTACTAGTGATTTTTAAGGGTTAAAATTACTTGAGAGCTGCTTCTTGTCTCTTTTTAAAGTGTCAGGATGACAAATGGAATAAAATCAAAGCAGTTTTAAGCTTGTTCACCAAACTGGAAACCAAAAACTATTCAAACGTGAGTCCACAGCCCAAAACATCTACACACAAGGTATCTCACCAACTAACACATGTTCATTACTAGTATGGAATTAACTATTGTATGGCATGAAATGAGGGTAAAGATATCAACTATGGCAGAACACAAGTAAAAGTAATTGATTAGGGGGATTCCTTACATCTATGAGTAAAAGGATCTTTTAACACCCATGCTCTTAATCTTACAAAGAACCCTTAAAGATCCCTTTCCTGTAAAAATGTGTTCTTCAGAAGCAAATGGTTCTGGGTAGAACCTCAATAATAATCAACAGTACTAAATGCGTCACCTAAATCTTTGAAAAGTGTAGCTCAGTTTATTATATTTTTCTTAAACCCAAGGCTACATACTGACCTGTAAAGCCAATTTGAGTCACATCTGCGTGTTTGAATACACTGAAATGTGAAAACATAAAAAAAAATAGCTGGAAAGACACCGTTTTATATCTTATATTTAAGTGCCTGCTGATTTTTTTACAGTTTATTAGTCATTGCGAAAAGTGTTTGACTATAAAATGTGTTGGTTTCCTCATCAGTTGATATATCATCATTGATATAACCATAAATACAATATAAACACAGGCCTTTTCATATTCAGGTGTAATTAATAACTTAAATTATGTCTGCATTTCTGTAAGATGTCAAAATGTCTGCAATAAACAGGTCTAATCCTAAACTGTCCACACAATTAACAATCATTTTTACTTGAATACTTAAAACCACTGCACACTGCTGGAGTGCAACTTGTCAAAATGTGCACTACTCTCATCCCTTTCACTTGAGCTAAATACCAATTAGTCTCTTAAATCCCATTCGCTTTAATTTGCAAAGTACGGGCAGCACACAGGGACAATGAGATATTTTCATCGAACCTCTAACTGCTGGTTAGAAGGTAAGTGGACTGTCTGGAGTTTATATGATTTAAAACTGACATTTATGGAGCCGGAGGCTGATGAGGTCTGATTGAAAATGAGTTCAGGGGGGAATCAACGTCCTTTCTGCTCTTTTGTGCGTTTGAGCTGCTGCTGCCATCTACTGGGAACACTGCTTAAAGGACAGGCTTTGATATTTTACTTTTTCACAAACGCAGCACAGTTGGCACAAAACATGGTAAGAATTGTAATTTATATCACTGTCTTTTAGAGGTCAAATGTCAGCGTCAGCTACCAATCAAGAGCTGGTAGGGACTAAGTGTTTTAATTGGAAGGCACAGCCTGGGGGGGTCTCCCTACACCATCCTGCAGCAACTCACTCAAACTGTAGGACGTTAGTTAGTTTAGTTGTAAATCAAAGACACCTAAGTTACAACATTAACATCTTAATCTAAATTAGTTAAAATTTGACTTTGTAATAGTAAAAAAATACATCCTGGTTAAAGTCAAATTCAAAATCATCTCACACGGAGACCAGAGATTAAAACCAACACAGAGACCAGAACAAAAGAGTCTCATTAAATACCAACATCTACCATAAACAACACTTTGCAGGCACTGTTTATGGAAAATGATGAGAGCATGAACCAGAAGATCTACTGTTCTTCTCTTTTCATTCAGTCTACAATGTGCAGAACTTATATGATCAAATTGGCACATTTAGTGTTTTAAACAGGAAATGTCTCTATAAGAATATACAGAATTTAAATGACTGAGCCAAGTTTATATCTTCTCACTTCATGAATGACTGAGCCAAGTTTATATCTTCTCACTTCATGAAAAATAAATCATGGCCTGAACAATGTTTCTTTTTAATTGTCAGTTTTACCTGCTTAATCCTTCTCGTCTATAAAATGTTGAGTTATGACTGCTGAAGTTTGTCTGACCAAGAGTGAAAGAATAAATGACCTAAATGATCAACCAATTACCACATTTAATTTGTTGACTGACTGATGAACATCTCAGAATGCAATCAAATAATTATCCATACTTACTGCACTGTATAGTATATACAGTGACATGAGGTGTGGGCAGCACATTTAATGATGTATTATTATTATGTATTTTTAACATTAAATGAGGTTCAACATTCTTCTGCATAGTTTGGTCAAACTGTGTTGTCATATGATAAAGCCAAAATCACCATCACAAACAGAAGTGTTAATAAAGTATTAGACAATCATTCATTTTGAACAGCGTGTAATATTTCCTTTTTCCTTTCCTCAATCTCTTTATTGGTTTTTGCACAGAAATTAATATTAAAAACTGTTAAATGAAAAAAGAGAGGAGAAGTAATGATGCATATCGTAGAAATCAGCACAATTACAGCAGTCTGCAGCAACAATGATCTTTTTATTCAGATAAATTAGTAGTGCCTTTTAATAACAAAGACCTATATATATATATATAACCTATATAATAATACACTAATGGTATCGCAGTCTATTTTTGTTTCCTCTTCAGAACATTAATGAAGGCGTCTTTGGGAACTTCCACACTGCCGATGAGCCGCATCTTCTTTTTACCCTCCGCCTGTTTCTTCAGTAGCTTCATCTTACGTGTTATGTCACCTCCGTACTAGCGACACAAAACAATATATATATATATATAATTCACTTTATTTGTGGTACATTTGTAGATTAAAACAATTCTGAGAGTTAAGAGAAACTTTTACTTACACATTTAGCAAGAACATTTTTTTTGTAGGCCTTAATTCTGAAAGAAGCAAATATTGTCATGTCACATTTAATACACAAATACAATTCATAGTGCTTTTTCTATATACACTGTTCTGCATCTCATCTCATTCTGACAAAGCTTCCGGCTGATGTTGTACTTACGTTTCCCTCGCAATGACCTTACTGCCAATAGCTGCCTGTACAGCGATCTCAAACATCTGCCTTGGTATGGAGTCTTTCAGTCGCTCACACATGGCTTTCCCTGAACTGTACGCCCGGTCTCTGTAATGAAAACACAAACATCTGAACCAAAAACAACTGTAAAACTCTACAGATACACAGCTCTACACTACCAGCAATCCATCATAAAATGTACTGTTCTCACCAAATCACCTCAAAATAGAGCAGCTGATAATGACATATACTGCACATGTGTCGCCCCCTTTGGGAAGTGATTGACAAGATGAATCATCGGTCCAAGTTTAATCAAAATGGCATTTTAAAATTTTAAAATGTGACCTTTAATCACAGCGAACTCATCCAAATAATCAGCATTAGATTTAAAAATCAGAGCAGAATGTCAACATACGTCATCTTTCCAAGTTATTTCACTAATCGGACCATTCTCAACACGGTGAAAATGTTCAGGATAAAAAGGTTTACGGCCATAAAATTGCTAAATTTTTGCCACTGAGGCAGTTCTGTGAAGGTTAAAAGAAGTAATGGTTTGACATTTGGGAATACCCGGAGATTGATACCACACTGATGTTTGTGTATTAATTATGAAGCTACAGCCAGAAAGCGGTTACCCTAGTATAGCATAAAGACCGGAGACAGGGACACAGGAAGCCTAGCTCTGTCTCCAAAGTTCAAAAATATGTTATACTATCATTTGAATCTTGTCTATCCAAACATAAATGGTGGTACAGTGGTAAATACAGTGGTGAAGTTGCAGATTGTAAACCAACTGAATGTAGCTCAACCTTCCAAGTGCGTAAGAGAAACTACTGTGGCCACCAAACTTACCAAAAACGCAAAAGGCCCTATCGAGTGTTTAGTTTGTCCTTTGTGGGCTACTGTAGAAACATGCAGATTTGAAATGGCAGACTCCCTCTGTAGATAAAAACAGCTCATTCTAAAGTAACAAAAACTCAACATTTCATATTTTCTGGTGATTATACGCTAAAGACAACATACCTATGAGTATTATATTCCATTTCTGCCAATAGATCCTCCTAAATATTACACACTGGACCTTTAAACTAACCAGATAAAATGTGTCAATTAGTGAGCGTTAGAGGTGTTGCTGGAACATTTTTAAACTCAAACACACAAACAGGCTAGTGGTTTCCTCCTGCTTACAGTCTTTATGCTACCTCTTAGCTCTAGCTCAAACTAAATGTATAATCTAACTCCCAGCAAGAAGATAAATAGGCATATTTCCCAAAATGTGAAACTATTGCTTTAATGGGTAGAGCATGACACTGAACACCAGTATTTGAGGTTCGCAATACACCTGTGTGCCCTTGTCATTCTATAATGTACTTTAGATAAAAGCCTGCATATCAAACAGATGTAAATGGCCTCTCTGCTTCACAGGTCATCCTTGTCTCACTTCAGTCCAGTCACGTCCCATATACTTCAGTCATCCTCGAACGTGCCTCTCGTAAAAGATATTCTGCTCTGTGATTGGTGCGATTGCGTCGCCCTTAAAGAATAACTGAAATTACGCTCGGCTCGGCTCCAAGGCTTACAGTGTGAACGGTGGGAGAGTAGAAGCAATCGTTGGTGAAGCGTAGCGCCCTTCAATTACCAAAGTCTGTACTGGCGTTGGTGGTAAGTACATTAAATATCTGCTGTGCATCATCACTTTTCGCCTGTGAAGTTACTCTATTGTCCTTGTCACAAATGGAATGAAGTCCTTGTCCGGTGTGTAAAGTCACCGTAATAGATAATGTTAACACTGGCTGCCAACAGGCCATTTTTTAATGTTATCCTGGGCGTTGAATACATTTCATGCACCATAGGCTCAGAAGAATTACTTTAGTAATGAAGGACCATATAACCTTGAAATTATGTAAAAATCTGCCATTTCTTTTCTGTGACAGCAACAATAATAATTAAGGTATGGGAGCCCGCTGTGACAAAAAAAATAACAAGATCCTCTCAAGCAGCATCAGAGTCACACCTCCTGAGACAAACGAGGAACTTACCAACCAAAATATTTAGTGAAAGATTAAACTTGCAGACTTATTCTGCATGTGAATTCAGCTATAATTTCAAACACACAGTACCTGTGTACAATCGTGATGAGTTCTTCCACAGGTCGCCCATTCAGCAGAATATCCATCTTTATCAAATCAGCAGCCTGGTAGCCAGCATTCTCGTAGTCAAAACTATAAGAGGATAAAATCATGAGTCAGACGTGACGCAGTATTTAAATAAAGTCCCCCTTCACTCAAAACTATGTTTTTGCTCTTGTTCTTGCAGTTGGATGTTTGAGCTTCACTGTGCAGAATGATGTATGTGAGTTTGACACTAGAAAGATGTTTACAGATCTGCTGAGAGTGGAAAGTTTCTTTTTTAAGGTGAAGTAGGAAACATCTTGTGTCCAGCAGGAAAACTTGAGAAATTAACACAATTTGCACATTCATAGATTCTGACATTTTTAAAGGAGGTAAAGTAAGTAAAGTAAATTACTTTTTAAGGATTTTAATGTGGAAATTATACTTTTTTTTTGCAGAAAAAACATCAGTCAAAGGAAAGTTCCTTGTGAGTGTTTTGATTCACTGACTTTAATTCATCCTGATATAAGATCCAGTTTCATTTGACACTGCAAAAAGATTCTTTCCACCACTTACCAGATTACAAAGTAGCCTCAAAATGCATATTAAATGTTTATGATTGAATGTGTAGTATATGTATTTATAGACGTAGTACTTTTAGTACTAGTTTTACCTTGCATAGCCAGAGGACAGCGATTTGAGGAGGTCATAGAAATCCACAACGACTTCATTCAAAGGGAAGAGATACTTCATCATGACGCGTTGGTCGTCTATGTACAACATGTTCTTCTGGACCGCTCTGCGATTCTTTAACAACACAAGATTATATTGTTTTTGGCTTCAGTAGTTTTATATTACAATCCAAAGAAGAGCTGCTTTGGTAACCTAATCAATCAATTACTTTTGAAATTGAGGGAGCTCTAAACATGCAATGTAGCATCAGAAATATAAACACAATGGACTCATTTTCGAGTGTTGTTTTCTCTTTGGCTCCAGACCAATTTGGAAAAGGGTAAAAAGCAAAGCTGCACTCTCGTATCTGCTGTCAAAATACATTTTCCAACAGGCTTGAGAATCAGGCCAACTCGCCTGTGAGTATTCAGAGACATCATCATTCTCAGATTTTTTTTAAAACACGTCTACCCTTAAAATGAGATGTTTACAAGGCAGATACATGTTAGCGGTACACAAGCAAATGAAAATGAACCCCATGTGGTGCAGAAACACATTCACACATTCAGGTTAAACAGTACAGACAACAGTTTGTCATGCATTTGATTTGCATTTCCCATTTTTCCTCTTACCAAGCAGAGACTCATAATCTTGCCAGTGTAAGAGTCGGGAGCGAGAATGGTCCCCAGTACCATCGGCTCCAAATACTCTGACACAACTGTTCTGTCTGGGAACTGAGCAGGATTCACGATGGTGATCTCCTTACTGCCGTGTTCCTGTAAGAAGAACCAACAAGATTTGAACCTCCAAATTAAGCAGATAAAGGTCTTTCCAAAAGCTTTAATGATGATTTTAACGTGAAACTTCACCTAAAAGCTTTGTTTTGGGACTGAAACACTCACTGCAGGCTTGAAATAAGGCTATAAAAGGTTACCTTTACATAAGAAAATGGTTTAAGTTCCAGGGCTGACAGAGAATGTAGGTAACACTTTATTTTGGATAATCTGGACAGACTATAAACTACTGGTTTATAAAGTATTTGTCACATCTGCTTTGTCTGTAGATGTTTAACACTATAATTCATAGAGTGTATCTACTGTAACAATTCACAAACATACTCTAAGTAAGTTGATTTTGTGCCTAAACCTAAGCAAACCTTTATTTGTGAGACAGTTGAATAGCTGAATCTCAATCAACAAGTTGTTGAAATGTGACAAATACTCTATAAACAATCTGTAGGCAGACTATCCAAGTACAATGGAGTATATTATGACATTAAAGTCAGCTAATGGGACCACTGACTGGGCTAACTAGGGTATGTGACATCTGTGTTACGAGAGAAAAGGTCCATGCTGCAACAATCCCCTTTCTTACTTAATTACTACTTTAGTCCCGGCCCTAAGGAGGGTTAGGCACAGCTCTCGAATGGAGTTTGAGGGGAGTCTTTTACTGCAACTAACCTGCTAATGATGACTAGGTCGACTCTCTCTTATGAGTCTTTCAAGACTGAGAAATTGTGTAAATTGTAATAATTTGTCATAAAATAATAATTTAAAGTCTTTACATCCAGTAAGTTGCTGCTCTGGGATGTTGTTTCCAAGGAAACTCAACGCAACAGCAACAAATTGGCTGTGATTTTGCTTCTGCAACAGGACATTTTAATTGCCCTCTCAAGTATTTCCCATCAAGCATGTCCCATATGTCGTGTTACAGGAGAGCACGCCAGTAATACCAGAGAGGCTCCATTTATCATTCATTACCAAGTCAGTTCAATCTTTCCTTTTGCTAAGATTACAGTACGAACCCAGCTCTACAGTAAGACAGGAAAATATATGAGCAGGAAGCGGCTCTTACCTTGATGAGTTTGGCTGAAGAGAGGACAGCCTTGTAGGGCACGGTGGGCGCCGTTACTATAACAGAGGCATTGTACTCCTGCTCCAGCCTCTGATTGAACACCTCCATATGGAGAAGACCCAGGAAGCCAAGTCTGCAGGGGGACAGGAGGGTTCACAGGTTCACTCAAGTTTCATAATTGATATTCATGCTTTTAATTACAAAGAGCCTGTTTGGAAAGAGTTCAACAGTGAGTAAGATTCATCGCTATTCCAGTGCAGTTTCATACTTCCAAATGATCTAAATCACTGCCACTAATAGAATCAAATTTACACCAGCTGGACTGATGTGACCTGTGATGATAAATAAACTCTTGCTGTCTATTTTGGCATCATACAGTATGTCCCGAGGAAAGTTGCTTATGGCCCAATCAATCATATCTTATGATGTCCAAGTTTGTGTAGAAACCGATAAGAAAGAAGATAAATCTTGCAACTTCTCCCACATTTGGTGCCTTTTAGGAAAAAAGTGAATAACTTTTCTGCAACAGCAAATTACTTGGAAAACATCCAAACATCAGGACTCCCGAAGCAGGTTGGAACTTTTTTTGCGCTCACACTGCTCAATGTCCACACTTTTGTTTTCATTACTGGTCACAGTATATGTAATGACCCCACTCCTCTGTTGTGCTCTTAGAGCCATTTTTCATTCTAATTCCAAGCAGTCGTTCTGACCTCCAGCCTGCTCCGAGGGCCAGACTGCTGTCTCTCTGCACTGTGACACTCGAGTCATTCAGGGTCAGTTTCTCAATGGCGCTGCGAAGGCCTTGGTACTCCGACTGGTCCATCGGATACATGCCTGAGGGACAGAAAAATAAAAGACAGAGTGCACATCAGGACTCAAGCAGAACTCTTTTCATTTAGTTGGAAAGCACAGGCACTCACTGTACTAGCTATTGAAACACGACATGCACTTAAGGGGTTTTATGTTTGACTACATCACCAGTGATACCGGAATATTCAAGGCTAGTGCTCCGTTACGTACTGAGTAGTTACATTATTGCATGCGGTGTTGAAAAAAAATGTTTTTTACAGAGAGATTTTGATCTGAGAGAAGCAAGAAGCAACAGCAGACGAGAACACTTCTCACCAGCAAAGACCATGGCTTTGGCGGGTTTAAACCCTGGAAGAGCTTCCACCGGCTGCTCCTGGAGATAGAGTGTGTCACCAATCTGGGCCTCCTTCACGTCCTTCATCCCTGCTACGATGTAGCCAACTTGGCCTGCAAACCTACACGACAGTCGAGGAGAGTTACACTAATGCAATGTAAACCGTCCTCCAGTGGACAGTTGGACAGAGTGTAGACAGACGGATGGATTATTATTCAGAGATGGCTGCAGTGGCAAGAGATTCGGAATCAGATTTCAAACCATGTATTACATTATACATTTCAGGATATTTTACATTTCTATTGCAACAAACAGAATTTAGATAAACCTAAACTCATTTTAAAAACTATCTTCTATTTTTAATCATTAAAGGTCCCATATTTGAATTTTTGAATAACCAAGAAGATGGTTACGAAAACTAACTAAATATTGTTTTTTTCTCCTCTTTCAGGCACCCCAGTAGCTCTCCTGGTAGAGCACCCACCCAATGTATCAAGGCTGACTCCTTTCTGCAGCGACCTGGGTTTGTTTCTGAGTCCTTTGCAGCATGTCATCCCCTCTCTCTCCTCTGTCTTTCCCGTTCACCTCTCAAGCTTTCGCTGTCTAATAAAGCATTACAAATGCCCTCAAAATAAATCTAAATCTCCTCTCTCGTGCGTCTCTCTGGAGCTCCAGAAAGAACTGGCCTCATTAGTCAGTCACACTTGCACAAACTTGTTCCTTTTTAACTCTTGTGAACTTTGACCGGTGGAGTTGTAGCCTCAACCAAAAGCAAAGACGCACAGCGTGCATTCGCCTCAGCAGGCGATGGTCGCTCCCCTGCGTTTGCGTATATGTGTGATCGAAGCCTTAATATTAATAAGCCTTTCTTCTGATTGGCTGACGGCTCCTTTAAAGGCAGTTTCTGAATACGGTTTTGATACTTTCACAGTATTTACATAGCACCTAGACCTGCTTCATAATCATATATGATATAAATCTCCCTTTCTACAATATGGGACCTATAAAATGCTATATCTTTGAATAATGCCAATTAAAATTTTGTTTTCCTAATTCGAAGATATTCAGTTTATTATCACAAAAGACTAAAAAAGCTTCACAACTTAAAACCTTTTTGCTTTAAAAATGATCTAAATGACAAAACTCACTCAACTATCAAAAACATCAAAACAGTTGCAAATTATTTTTCTGTCAATATAATATTTTCCGCTCCCAATATCAGCTCTACTGGATGAGATATCGAGTGAGAGAAATGACACGAGAGGAGGAAGAATGACCCTTACAGCTTGCCAGTTGAGTGCTCATCTGGCCGGAGGAGCCCCAGCTCGTTGACCTCGTAGGTTTTGCCGAGATATGCTGACACAATCCTGTCCCCTTTTTTGACCCGACCTCCAAACACAGCGATGTTGGCCACCACTCCTCTATAGTGGTCGAAATTGGAGTCAAACACTAGGGCTTTAAAGGGGTCATCAATACTAGCTTCAGGTCTGCGGATACAATGAAACAAAAAAAGAAAAAAAGCTTAATTTGTGTGTGTCAAACATGTTTCATGTGAGAAATGAAACAAGATTAACTTTCTTACGGTGGAATTCTGTCTACAACCGCTTGGAGAACGTTTTCAACATTTGTTCCAAGTTTAGCTGAAATCTGAAAAAGATGAGGCCATAAAATTAAGAGAAATTCTTCACAGAAGCGATGCTGAAAACTAAAAAGCAAAGCTCCAACTCACCCTGATGCATTCTTCTCTCGGAATATCAAACACCTTTTCAATCTGTGACTCCACTCTCTCCGGATCAGCATTTTTCAAATCAATCTAAAAAGGGAGAAATGTCCAATTAGAAAAAAACCCCATTAAAATGAGAAAAATAATGTGATTAAACCAAAAACAAGTAGGTCTCATTGTACCTTGTTGATGACAGGGATGATTGCCAGCTGAGCTTCAAATGCCAGGTAGAAGTTGGCCACCGTCTGCGCTTGAATCCCCTTCACGAGACAGCAAAATATTAACAACGGCATCACATGGTTGCACAAACATACAGCCACAATGATTCATGAAGAAAACTGGGAGATAGAAGTCTGGTTTTTGTACCTGATTGGCATCGACAATCAACAGGACACCTTGGCATGCAGAAATCGATCGAGACACCTCGTAACTGAAGTCAACGTGACCCTGCAGAGAGGGAAAGCACAGGAGATTCAGAGAGAGTCATGGTAGTGCAGAATGTAAAGACAATGACAAAATGTTCATCTATCGTTTTGCTTTTGCAGTAAGAGGCCACTTTGGTCTAATTAATTGTGAATGAGAGGTGAAATCTGCAATAAACAGGCCAAAATGCATCTAGTTGGGGACTTATGGAGCACATACAATCTGCCACAGTAGCAAACAAGAAGTAAACAATGAGGAAAGGAAGTCGTTAGGAGGATTTTCAATGTAAACGAAAGGTGTCTGGGCTGGAAGAGAGGACTGACTCGGCTGAGCACTTACCGGTGTGTCGATGAGGTTCAGGAGATACTGCTGTCCCTCGTGGTTGTAAAACAACGAGGCTGTCTGGGCCTTCACCGTTATCCCTCTCTCTCGCTCCACCTGAAGCTTGTCCAACACCTGTTTATTCTTCTCAGTCTTTGCTATGGCCCCTGTTTGTCAATGACATCCATTAGTGAACACATTGTGCTAATCAGTTCCTGATATAATGTGGTTCATTAAGTACTATGTCTGAACCTCAACAGTGACCCAGTCGCTGACACTGTGTGTGTGTGTGTGTGTGTGTGTGTGTGTGTGTGTGTGTGTGTGTGTGTGTGTGTGTGTGTGTGAGAGAGAGAGTGAGGGACGGACAGCGGGAGAGAGAGAGACACAAGCTCTCTCACTCATGTCATTAGTGTTGGGCGTTACACTGGATGAAAGGACAAGCTGTGTATTGAGACGGAGCCTTAGTAAGAAGGATACACAGTTAATAACAGTTATAACTTTATAACAATGAATAACCCACGATTAACTCTCACGGCACACAATAATATGTGACAATTTGTTTCTTACTTGTGCAATAAAACGTGAGAAATATCTCTTTTTATGTGAGTTTATAGACTTTTTAGAACTATTTTAAAATATTTTGTTTGTATTAAGTTCAGTAAAATAAGCCACTATAAAGCCATATAAAATAGGGTCTCATAATTAATTTAAATATTACTGAAATTACAATATCCATTAGATATTTTATTAATTATTAATTAAAATAAAATGCTGTAGTGCTACAGAGAAGCTCTGGTCTTTAAATCTTATTCTCCAGATGACAAATGTCACATCATCATAACTTTAACAGTTTTTTTTCAATGAAAATTAAATTATTATTCCCACTAATTGTGACTCATATCACAATATCTGTCTATAAAAGGCAGAGTCAAATAAAATTAAATAAGAAAATACAGTAATATATCGTGAAACCATCACTCAGCCACACGTTATTAAACAACTATTTGGAGAGTAACAGCCACACACAGATCACAAATCCCCTGATTAATGCACACAGTCCAATTACTGTAGATACCTACCTAATACATTAAATTATCACATTATCAGTTTGTTTTCAGACCTAAACCGGTTGTGACTCTTGTGTGAATCTGTTTGATGAGCAAACGTACCTGTCATCTCCAACAGCCTGTCAGCCAGAGTGCTCTTCCCGTGGTCAATGTGAGCGATGATGCAAAAATTCCTGATTCTGTCAGCAGGGAACTTAGACAGGTCAACAGCATCCTTAAAAGAAAAAGGAAAGAAGCCTGTTAATTAACAACTGCTTAACTGTTACTGTAAAAAACATCTTAAAGAAATAGCAATTAGGGCTGCACGATATGGTAAAAACATAATTTTTATGCAATTATTATGACAGATATTTTGTGGGAATAATCATTTCTGCATCACAAATTGAATTTTCACTAAATGATTTAAATGTTTTCTTAAATCTGGAGAACAAGATTTGTAGAGCAGTGCAGCCCTACAGCACTTCATTATAATACTTTAATTAAGAGCATTACTGCTCTTGTTACCTGCATATTTAGATTATATTTTGTATTAATTGTGCAGCCCTAATAACAATATTTAAGGCTAATCAATTAACTTGTGGATGGGGCAAATACAGAACCATTTAGTTTAAATGTAATCTCAGACTGTAACAGATAACAGTAACACGTGTCGATGTGTTTTAAGTGCATCTTCAAGATAATTTATAAATATAAACCCTTTTCACAAACAGTAGGGTAAACACCAGTGATACTAATTAAGGCTCTGTTCCATTTAACACCTGTGTTTACCCTAATATTTCATGTCAAAATGACTGCTGTGAAAAAGGTCTCTTGGCAGGGATAGAATAGTTCAATGCTGTTTATATGTAACAATGTTGTATTACAGAATTATGAGCAGGAAGCCTTTCACAGAGACTCACAGAGACTCACAGAGACTCACAGAGGTTCACAGAGACTCACAGAGGTTCACAGAGACTCACAGAGACTCACTGAACTCACAGAGACTCACAGAGACTCACAGAGGTTCACAGAGGTTCACAGAGGTTCACAGAGACTCACAGAGACTCACAGAGACTCACAGAGACTCACAGAGGTTCACAGAGACTCACAGAGACTCACAGAGACTCACTGAACTCACAGAGACTCACAGAGACTCACAGAGGTTCACAGAGGTTCACAGAGACTCACAGAGACTCACTGAGACTCACAGAGACTCACAGAGACTCACAGAGACTCACAGAGGTTCACAGAGACTCACAGAGACTCACTGAACTCACAGAGACTCACAGAGACTCACAGAGACTCACAGAGGTTCACAGAGACTCACAGAGACTCACAGAGACTCACAGAGACTCACAGAGGTTCACAGAGACTCACAGAGACTCACAGAGACTCACTGAATTCACTGGGAGTTCATTGAACCTGTTTCTGAATGTCTCTGGTGGTTTACCTTGTCTGTCTGTGTGCTGATCATCTTGAAGCTGCTGGAGAGGACGGGCAGCCTCTTCATCCAGCGATGTCTCAGCAGTGTGTAGGTCATGTTGTAGTTCAGTATTTTCCTCCTGTAGGTTTTGAACTGTAAAACACGTCTTAATAAAGGTGTTTCGCACCAACGTTTCACGAGAGAAAACGACATGTTTCTGGTTAAGCTACAAAGTCACTGAACACGTAGCGTGAAGGATAAACAAACGTCAGCTAACTAGCTGTGGAATACGTCTGCATTGTCATGACTACAATGTAGGCTGTTGCCATAGTAGCGGACCGTTAATTAACTACCACGACGACAGAAATGCTTTAATCTTTAAATGTAGTAGTAAGTATAGTGCTGTAATCTCCCCGGTGCATGAGTTCTTAAGGGTGCTGACATTTTGGGTGACAGTTCATCGGCAAAGACTTCTGGGAAATGGTGTTTAATTGTTCAAACCAGAGATGATGTAAAGAGACAAGATGGTACGCTGTGATAACTTCCGCTTTCGTTTTTTTGCCGGTCAGAGCAAGCGAGCAAATTCCTTCAAGACGTATCTTTGATAAACTGTAACTGCACTTTATTGTATCTAAAGTTAATTATAATGCTAATGAACTTATTGTAAAATAATAATACTGATAATAATAATAATAATAATAATAATAATAATAATAATAATAATCACAGAGACTCACAGAGGTTATTGTATAATAATAATACTGATAATAATAATAATAATAATAATAATAATAATCACAGAGACTCACAGAGGTTATTGTATAATAATAATACTAATACTACTACTAATAATAATAATAATAATAATCACAGAGACTCACAGAGGTTATTGTATAATAATACTACTACTACTACTACTACTAATAATAATAATAATACTGATAATAATAATAATAATAATAATCACAGAGACTCACAGAGGTTCACAGAGGTTATTGTATAATAATACTACTACTACTACTACTAATAATAATAATAATAACTTTATTAATATGGCACATTTAAAAACAGAGTTTACAAAGTGCTTTGACAGACAAATATATATAACAACAGAGGGCCAGACAGTAAGGCCAAGACAGAAATAAAGATCAAGAAGAAAAAACATGACTGAGGAAAGACAATGATGATGAAAGATAAGGACAGTAAATACATATTGTGATTAAATATAAATATATGCAAGAATAAAAGCCAAACAAGCAATAAAATGTAATAAAATATGTCTGCTGATTGTTATTGTTGATTATACAGTTAGGAGTCATCAGCCTCCAACTGGAATAATATTATAATGTTAAAAAATATATATATAAAAAAATAACATTTGAACGCGTCAAAGGAGGATGACCATCTTGACACACTATTAACTTTGGCAGAGCTTGTGGCAGTCGGAAGTCCCGCCCACTCAACCTGTCAGATGGAGGATAAAAATGGATATCAGTTGCTATGACAACGAAGCTGCCTCTTGCACAAGAATAGATTACTGCTTCTCCTCTTTGTGCACCCAGAGATAATAATCCTCTATTAGCCCCAGTTTCTGCCTGTCATGTAATCATCATCTTTTTTTTTTTTTTTTTTTTACACTGAGGATCGTGTTTGAGTGACACAGTTAAACATCAGTTTATCTTAAAGATAATACAAGAGTTTTATATAAAAAAAATAAAAATAAAAATCTCACATGCTAGCTTTCTGTTATATTATCTATTTATATATATATATAATAGGATATTACAAGAATCATCAATAAACAAAGATGGGAGTCATCAGGGAATCGTCAGGGAATACATATCTGCTTGTTTGATGATGCAAGACAATATTAATGTATGCATAGTAAAAATTAAAGACCTAAAATAACACAAACTAATGGAAAATTAACTTATTTTTCACCTCCAGCTTGCATTTCTGTTGTTTTTGGCTGAACAAAACGGTCGGAAAATTGAAAACCTTGGAATCTGGTTGACATAATAGCTGTAAAAAATGTTGTCAAATGACCTGTGGGGATGCTTAATTCTGTCACTTAGCTCTGTGACTCCAGTTTAATAATTAAAGTAGAAGTCTCAAGTGTGAAAATAATAATTAGTGAGAGGCACAAACTGGAGATGAGCCTCTATTGTCTCAAATGGCCCAAAGAGTAAGTTATTTATATATTTTAAAGCTAAATAATTTCTAATTAATGAAAAACAAGATGTCATTTTGACTTAGAGTGCGTTATTAATAACATTAACGCTGTGCTCTGCTCCATTCAAGTGTCCCAGTAGGTCACGAGAGTGTGACAGCGAGCACAACAAGACCCCGAAAACCTGAAGCATCGAAATTCACACATCATTGATTTTATTATTTACACCTGGGGTTTTCCTGCCGTGACATGTCGATATGTTTTTAAGTGAATCTTCCAGATGAATTGTCAACAGACCCTTTTCGCAGCAGCCATTCTGACAGGAACTAGTAGGGTAAACGTTATAGGTGTTAACCAATTATACCAATTAAGGCTCATTTCCATGTGTTTACCCCAAATATTTCATATCAAAATAGTTGCTTCTTTTATTTGTTTTTAATTTTTTTTTTTTTTTTTGTGTGACGTCTTGAGTTTGTAACCTAAAACTGCCCTCTGGTTTCTTGATTTTAGAAGCCATAAAAATCCAATAAGAGCAAATGTGTCCTGGTTCAGTGATAATGTTTGGTATTGATTTTGGAGTCACAAGGTCACATGATGAGGAAGCTGTTGAAATGAAAAAGAAAAAAACTGCCATTATTTCCTACACTGTAAAACCAGATAAGTTAATTTAACTAACAATTGCTGAAACATTTTAAGTTAAAAAAAGGTTTTTGATTATGCAGCTTTTTACCTGTCATTTTAAGTGGCATTAAGTTCAAGAAACATTCTTGATTAAGTACTTTTTTAACTTGGTATTTTGTTTTCACTGTACAAATAAAAAAAATACAAAAATCTATTCAACTAAAGCTACTTAATCAATTAAATTAAGTTATTTTTGCTAAAAATTGGTGATGTAATCAGTTAAATTAACTTTGAATCGGGTTTTACAGTGAAAACATTAATGAAAAGTAAAGGAATTACACTCATAATCAATAAAAGTGAGCTACAGACCAGTTTAGTATAGTTTCTTGATAACAATTTTCATTAGTACAGGCAAGTCAGCATGAAGGTAGTGGAAAAAAAAGATAATTTATTGATGGTCGACTCCCCTAACTGTCGTCCTACAGCCAACGCCGCTGGACCTGCAGTGAATCTCTAACTTCTCTAACAGGCAGATAAACATCTACGACTCCAAACTTGACACTTGAGTGAATAAACTGTAAATAATTCTCAATTATGAAGATTTCTGGACGTGCATGTAAGCGGCTCTGCTGTGCCGTCCTATTCTAGACACCTCTACATCCATCAGTATTGATTTCTGTCAGGCCCCCGCCACTGAGTGGATGAATGGGGTCAGCTATGGATCGAGGAGGAGACGGAGAGACCTCACATTTGGGTCTTGTGCTGTGCAATGCTCGAGCGGTGGAAAAAGATCAGGGCCACAGAAAATGAGACTTCAGCGAGCGTTGCGTTTGCAGCTCAGTGCCACGGGGCTTTTTGTTGGTTTTACCGACACATTTGGTAATGATAGTCCCTGGCAGCATAGAAGCATTGCTTAACAGCATCCTCTCCGGCTTAAGAAGGGCTGAAGGGTCCCATGATCCGACTGGGCTGCTGTGAATGTATCTGACCTTCACATGGGTGACGTTAAGTGTTATATTGATTGAAATATATCAGCTAATACAGTCAGAAACAAAAAACAAACATTGATATCGGTGTTGAAATTGTCCAGACCTACAAATACGTGTTGAGATTTAGTGACAATACAGATATACAGAAACTAAACTCATTTTTATAGTAAATCAAAGAATATTGACAATGTTTTATTCTTCTTTTATTGAATGTATTTGAATTTTTTCTCTGTCAAAAGGACAAGAACCGACTGCAAGGTTGACGTCACCTCTAAAATTATTGGTAAGATCCCTGGTGCACCTTTATTCTTAACAAGTCCACAGAAAAACATATAAGTTTAATGTTTCTTTATATATAAAAGACTTCTGTTTGCTTGCTTGCTTGGACAAATAAAGTATCTAGAAAAACCTATCATCAGTCAGCCTCTAATTCAAAAACACTGCACAGACTAGATATAAAGAATTCAAATGATATGTGTTTTTATTAGAAACTGTGCACTGAATCAAGCATCCACCTCGTGAACAATCATTTTATCTGGAATGTTTAAGACTCTATCAGGATGTTGGAGAAAATATTGAATTAAAAAGAAATATGTCTGACAACATAATGTGTAAAAAAAAAATGAAAATAAAATAAAAATAAAATAAAATAAAGATTCTAGATTGAATCTTCATGCAAAGTTTGATTCAACAATCAAATTAAGTTAAATTAAGTTGAAACATTGATGTGAAGCAAAACTGATATCACTTTATATAAAAAAAAGAGATAGAGTTTCATATATGGCTACTGATATGGGGCTGAACATAATTTGTCATGTCGTTACGCAGCATCCTATGGCAGAGATTGTGTCAAAATAGGTTTATACAATACTTTGCCTCATACAGTATGCTCATAAAGTACAATCACTGGTTGTCCCTGTTATTTATTATGATTATATGATGACTGTATATGGCTTCTGAGTTAGTCCAAAGTGTGTACAACAATCAACCTGCATAAGAATATGAGATGAAAAACTACAAATCTTTTTCAACAATTTCATGATCACAAACATTAATTTGGTGTCCCGAATCCTGGCTGCATCCTCTCACTTTCAGCACATTACACAAAATATTTGCTGGCAGAGGAACGTGACAATCATCCACACATGATTCACTGAAGTTCATATTGGCACAAAAGCGGTCCTGTGTTTGCAGTCCTGTCCCTCTCATATCTGTAATTGTTTCAAAATAGCTTGTGGGATCATGAATGTGTTGTAAATAACCAGACACTGGATGTGAATAATTGTAATGGCAGACATGTTGATTACTGTAGTGCTGCCACAGTGTTCTAGTCTTCACCAACAAATCCACGCTGTCCTCCAGAGTTACTGCCACCGATTAAAAAGCTGTATAAATATCCACGTTTATATCTGCATTCAAACCAAACAGTTAGTAATTAGCATATTCAATTATATGCTTTTTAACCTAGAATAAGTAAATAAAATAAGTCATTTAAAAAATAAATTGTGAATAAACCGTATTAGTGTGCTTGTGAAGCAACATATTTCTCATCTCATAAATTACTTACTTACTGTACTTTTATTATTGATACTGCATTAATCATTATTTTAATCACTGATCGATATGTGTCTGCTATGGTGAAAGGGGTCTCCAATTATTACGTACAGTATCTACAGTTGCTTTTCAGCCTCTTGTAGCTTGTTGTTTTGGTTGTAAAGGTCCAGTGTGTAGGATTTAGTGGCGTCCAGCGGTGTAGTTACTGATTGCAACCCCTTCGCTTCACTCTTCCATTCCAAGCATGAAGGAGAAACTAAGGCTGGCAGCAAAAAAAATTTCCATATCTAGAGCCAGTGTAGAAACATGGCGAACATTTTAAAGTGATGAAAACACAATGATTCTTATTTTCAGGCGACTAATAAAAACATATGTATAAATATTATATTTTATAGATCCTCTTTAATGTTACACCCTTTAAAGCAACACATTTACTGTTTGCTTTCCAGATGTTTTCAGTGAAAAAAGCCTCAACAAACCGACTCTAGCAGCTGGTGAAGAAAGTCTAAAAGTCCCAGCTTCCTGAGGAACTGGTGGAGACCAAAACAGAGGTAAAGGGGGAGTGAATACTGCACTTAAATATATAAGGTGGTAAAAGCACGACACAGCAATGGGATGATAAGGTTTGTCTGTGTCTGTTTGGTGCACAAATAGGCTTTTTGTTTGCTAATACATTAGCCAAAAACTTTAGATGACAATACTTGGTCAGGGCTTTGTGTCGTCATCTTCTGCCTTCTATAGGTTTATAATTTATCCATCATATCAAAGCATGTTAAATTAGACGTTATTCCAGTTAATGATGTTTCTGTTGCCTATCAAATCATACGTAACAGATTCATAGACTTTCATTCTATCATTAAGTCAGATGCTTCTGATAGTATGATTATATCTTATTTTTGTTTAAAAGTCATTTTCAAGTAGTTTTTTTTTTTAACTCTGCCAGTGCTGACAAACGTGTATAAACATATCGTTCAAAGCATTGTCTAATTCAGTAATGGCACTAAATATAAGCTTTTCCATATGTACTGAATAAAAACAATTGTGAATTCATGTAAATGTATAAATCATTCACGGCACAATGTGTGCTTTGTTTCTTTCCTCCTCAAAGTCGTGTGTTCTCATTAGTTTTCCCAAATAGATATTTTCCAGTAATATGCCATTGCTACACAGTATAACATACACAAGCACACTCATTTTGTATCTTCCCTCTGTACTTTTGTTTTTGCAACCTTTTTTTTTCTGTGTTTCAGTAATTCTGGAGGTCAGCGTTTGATTGCAGCCCCATACCTGCAGTCACAGATAATAAAACAACTTTTACACTGTAACAATATTATACAAGTCTGTTTTTGCATTGGCTTGGACAGAAAAATATAAAAGAGTCAGGCCACTCTTACAGTAGATGGCAAAGAAAGTAAGAAATATGATATAATCAGTCCCTTTCACTCAAAAGAAAAATATATACTGTAATATCAAGAGAGTGGGCATTACCAGCAAAATCCAACACATTTAGAAGTAATCTTAAATAAAAATGTATGTGTTATGTGTCTACTCTTCATTTGATTCGTATGTACAGTGGCCACATACTGTAACTGGAAACATACTTTCAAGGAAAAATGCACTCTAATCGAAGTAATCACACAATATGTCACCATGAAACCATGAATATAAATATACATACACATTTACAAAAGCCAGGCTTTTCAAAAGTGCTGCAGACGGTGTAGAAAACAGGCGGAGATAGAGGATCACACTGCAATCCAGGACTTCACTCTGCAAAGGTATGTGTACACAGTTGCTGGAGGTATTTGGTTCGTCTCTTAGTCCCCAGACCAGAACCCATTAAAAGTGGCCTCTAATTAGAGGGGACCATATCCTTTATAATGGGTTCTCTGTTTAAGTAGGTGGCCCAGTAGACAAGGTTGAATGAGCCAAAGAGAACCGGAAACAAAATCCTTGACATCCTGTCAATTTTGCTGACGCTGTTGAACGTCTTCTTGCTGTCTTGGGCTTTGCCGTCTGCCCTGGGCTTGTTGGGATCCGAAGCTCCACCTTTGGCAATAGTTGGAAGTGTGCTGGAGTCCTTGGTGATATTCGGCGCGTAGTTGGCCACTGCTACAGCGTAGGCGTTATTCTTCTTGACGACAGACGCCCTCTCTTTTTTCTGTTGAAAGACGACAAGGATTAGATGTAGATGCTTAAAAAGGCAAGGGAGCAACCCTGAAACTCTTCACTTGTCAACATCTATTCAGTTTAAAATACATGTAAATGAAGGCGTGAGGTGGTAATGGACTGGTTCTGGTAATGGATCAGCACATTTTGCCATATCAGAATGAAGGCCAGCAAAGGGCCAAATACATCAATTTGACAAGGATGTACTGTAACCTTTCACAGTTTTGTGTATTTTTTCAGCCTCCAACTCTTCCGAGGATGTTTGAAGCTTACAGCGTGCAGTAGACCGAATGATATATCGTAGCCATACTGGCTTCTTTAGATTACATGTAATAATCCTCTTGGAGTGGAGACACACTTTAAGATGTTTTCTAAGGCACTTTAAAATCAAGAAGGCCTCACGACCCTCCATGAAGCCTCGGCGACCTCTAGTACCAACTAGTCATGTTAGCTCATCTCTATCTAAGATAGAGATGAATAATGGGCAAGTCTCTGTCTTTTTATTTGCCATTTTGACCAGAGTTTGTCATTTAGGTTTACCTGTCAGCTTATTAGCTCTCGCTGTCGTAGCAATTTGGCTTTTCTTGCGGAGGGCTAAAGCATTATCGCTGCTTCCCTCTGCCTCCGATATTGTTAAAGCTCTGGAAGCGTTGTCTTCTCCAACATACAGTCACAATGCTAATGAATTCTCTGAAAATGGAGCCTGTCAAAAAGACATGTTTTTCTCCTCATTACCTTGTCAGTCACAACACTCTTTCCATCCCAAGCCCAGCCGCGCTTTGTGAAGTAATTGACAGTGGCAAACTCAATCAAAGCTGAGAAGACGAAGGCGTAGCAGACGGCGATGAACCAGTCCATGGCGGTGGCGTAGGCAACCTTGGGAAGGGAGTTCCTCGCACTTATACTCAGTGTTGTCATAGTGAGAACAGTGGTTACACCTGGAAATACACACAAAGAAAATAATATCTTGTCTTGGATAGTCAGTTCTCATGAAGTTCACACACACACACACACACACACACACACACACACACATACACACACATATATACATAACACACCTACTATAATAAAGGCAGACCAAGTGAAATTAAATCAGTTTTACTTTAATGAAATCTACTCAGTAGGTGATTTGAGAGGGGATGAAGAGGAATGCCATCTCCCTTGATTTGAAAATGACTAAAATACATCCCCCTTGTTAACCTGCCATCTCCTCTCTCCATCCCCTAGCACTCAGGTCACTAATAGGTGGACCGTGGCCCGGGACCCAGACACAGTCCTATCCAGACTCAGACCAATAACCGATAAATTATTGAGAATTATTCAACTGTGATGGAGATTTTATATTTATTTATATATTTCATCACTTCCTCACTGAACAAGAGAAAGTTGGGAAAGTGGGATATAAGAGGGAAAGAAAGAGAAAGGGAGGCGTTATAGCTGTTCAGGTGTTAAGATTGTTTATTATAGAGATTATTAAGATGAGAAATGGAGTTAGCAAAAAAAGAAAGAAAAAAATCTAAAATTAACTCTAACGTTCTAAAATTAAGCACTTTATTTTTAGATGTACATTTTCAAAAGCTCTCTGTTATGTATTTTGGTTTTAAACACAGCCGTTATTTTCTATTTGAAATGAGAATGAGTTTCACCCCTTTCAGAATAAAGTGTTAGTCATTACTGTGCTTTGTATCTTTACAGTGTAAGGTTACTGTTAGCCTGCTCTACCCTAAGAACCCCTGACCTTCAGTAATGCTTTGACTGCTCAGCAGGTTTGGTACGTTTGGCCGAAGGACACAGTTTATTCTTGATTTCTGTACCTGTTTTTCTTTCTCTCTGAGCGAACCAGTCTTAGGTCACTGTTATTAGTTCCACTTGGCTTACAAACAAGTCCAACAGTAGCTTGTCCAACTGGATTGAAAACCCCCCCTGAAGCCTCTAAGAAATGTTCCCACTCTCCTCTTTATCCTGTTTTCTCCTGTCGGTCTACCCTCTATTTGTCATCAGCTTTCAGTCAGTCAATAAATTCCTCATGCCACCACGTTCATAGACCTAAATTACACGAATTCCATTGAAAATTATGTTATTTCACACCGATGCAGGTTTATTGTCTGTTTAAAAATGTTTCTTTATATGAAAGAAGAAGTAGAAGAGGGTCATTGATAAAGGCAGACACTTACCAAACACAGTCCTAGCTGGCACTGATTCTCTATTCAACCAGAAAGACACTTGGGAAAGAATGACTGTCATGATGCACGGGAGGTACGTCTGGATGACAAAGTAGCCAATCTTCCTCTTCAGATGGAAATGAGCCGTCATCACCGTGTATTCACCTGTGGAGACAAGAATCAGGGTCACTTTAAAGCACTGCCACCGCAGCTAAGTCTACTATCATTTATAATTTGACATTTTAGTACTTTTAATCACCTAACGCATCTAATTAATTCACTCAACCTCCGCTTATAATGCACACCACTCTCAGTTAATATGTAGGCATCAGATGTTCAGTCATCAATCTTCACCTGTGCATAAAGGTTATTTTGAGACTTTCAATGAAATAAAACAATTTTAACAATTCATAAACAGCTTTTTTTGGTTTTATGTTTACATGAAATATGGTTTGTAACCTGTTCATAACACCTGAAGAGGACGTTATCAAACCGTGTTAGTGCTGATCTGCTGTTGTCTTTTTAAATTAAATGGTTATGATGTCTCTTGAACAGCTTTAACTTGATTGAAAATATAAAATATTGTCCTTGCCACTAAATTATAAAGAATGATCTCTGTTTCAAATCTCTTTTGAACCTTTACTGTTGTTAAATTAGCCTGAAAAACAGGCAATTTGTTCAAATTAAAGGCAAAATGATTGTTATTAAAGCATATTCCACTCTTCATAATAAAGCACAGCAGCCTAAAATGCTACATGATTTATGATTCAGATAATTAAAACATCATCAGTCACAATAAATACAAAAAGTAAAGGTTATTCTCTCTTCAGGTTGGAAAAAAGAAGCCAGCTGTCAGTGAAGTCCTTGATAGTTGAATGCATGAGTAAAGTATTGGAAACAACTTTTGTCCACTCCCACTGATTTACACATCAACACTATCAGAGATGATTTCTCTCTACCAGTTAAATTTAACCATACAAGCCAACTTCTTTTAGCAAGATACTGAACCCTAAATTGCTCCTGATGCTGTTCACCGGTGTGTGAATGTGTATGAATGAATGTTTGTGATGGCCTTTGCCATTACTGTGTGAATGGGTGAATGTGGCATGTTGTGTAAAAGCGCTTTGAGCGTTTGGAAGACTGGAAAGGTTATATATACAAGTACAGTCCATTTACCATCTCCAGTGGAGAAAAAAAAATGCTTTTACCGGGTGGATATTTCATCATTATTTGGTCTTTAAAGCAGAAAAAGGGAACAGACTAACAGTAGCCTACAGTGCAAGTTCTGCCTTCCCTCCTCCTGTAGGATACTGCCTGAATTTGCTTAGTGAAAAGCACATTTTTCTTTAAAAATACAACAAAGGACAATTTTTTGGTGCCAAAAACCTTAAAGTTTACATTGTTCCGTTTTTTTTATAGAATCAGCTAAAGTCATCTTATTGATATTTCTCTTCTTTTGTCTTTATTTGCAGATTTGGGGTGATGTAAAAGTAGTGGAAAGTAATCATTATGTTACTTTAATATTGTGATGTTTGGATTAGGTTACTGACCGACCTAACCCAGGTTTTACAGGTAGTTAGTAATTGTATCAGATTACATTTTTAAAGCAACCCTACCAACCGTGTTTATATCAGTAGAAATTAATATTTTTAGAAGATTGTAGAGCATGCAGATTTAAGATGATACAGCACTCTAGATTAGACCGCCAATTAACGGTATACATTTGATCAAATAATCCATTCATACGTAGAAAAAAGTAGGCAGTGTGATTTTCCTACAGCCACCGAGCAAAGCCTAATAGCTGACAAGGCTGTGACACAGTGCCAATGCTGCAGTAGCAGGCAGGCCTTCCAAATGGAAGATATCTCAAAGAGAAGCCAAGATTAGACATGAGAAGAAAAAGATGTGTTACCCATGGCAACAGAACAGAGAAACATAGCTCATTTGCTGCGATTCTGAAACGAAGGCCTTGATACACGCTGCCACTTGGCAAGAGGAAAGTCCTTTTCAGCAGTGGGAAGGGGGGAGGGGGTGTCAATTCCAAGGAATAATCCCAAAAGATTTTTTATTCCCTCTCTCTTTTTTAAATTTATTTTTTATATAGCACTGTAGTTGTATTGCCTGTGTTTCTAGCAGTTATGTGAGGACCTTTTCTCTCTCTTTCACCGTACATACAAACACACACATGCATGAAAACACACACACACACACACACGCCCTCACTCAGGCACTGGAATTTAAAGAAATTGAGTGCCTTCTCAGTACCCTATGGAGCTCTGTATCTTCCGTAATTTAATTTGCATGCCAGCCCCGATGCCTGTGCTGTGGATGGGGGAGGAGGATGTGCAAAGCAAGGAATCCACTGGATGTGGCTGAAGTTTCTCTAGAGGAGCCTGTGATCGCTTTACTGAGAGGGAAGACAGTAATTATTGCATGAAGATGATAATCACGTCATGTTTCCTACAGATTTAGGGAACAAGGCTCCTGCTGACACCATGGGAATAGGTCTGTCACACAGGACACGCTGTACAGTGTCACCTGTCTGACAGAGGGCACCGACTCTCACACAAGGGACAACAAGCTTTGACTTCATGGGCATCTATCAAGAGATATCTGTTAATGTTTTAAGAGACACAAAGTAAATTAAATGGGAAGAGTTTATGAGTAAATATAGTCCTTTTCTGGAAGGACCAATGTACACTTCCTTAAATGTACTACAAGGAGGTTTTAACTAGTCATGAAACAATCTCAATTTAATACTGATGCTTCTATATCACCTACAAGCACTATCAGCAAGAACATTGTCTTTTTTTTATGTAGTTATTTTTAATGCCTGCCACTGGCTGGATATGGTTGAAAACCTCTTGAACTAGGCAGTAGAAACACCGCTTTTGTCCACAGGGGCCGTCTGAATCAACAAGTTCCTTGTAGGGGCTTTAGAGTTAGAGAAACTCTGAGTATGGGTCAAGAAAACTGGATGCTACATTTCCCATAGTGCAACACAATAGTGTCTTATGTTAGACACTCACTGACAAACCAACTTCGCAGTTACCCTCAGATCTGGGGAGCTTTTTAGCAGCTTTCAGCTCATTGTTTTTGTTTTCTACCTTCAACCTTACTGTCTTGGTTCACTATCACTGCTCCTAAGTACTAGGAGTAGAGAGGAAGCCACTGTGTGGTGCTCAGGGACCAAATCCAGATCTGAGCCAGAGACATTGTCAGAATTATTCTAACATACATTTTTCAATGGTGGGGGAAACCCACGCAAACACGGAGAGAACATGCAAACTCCACATGCCATCACCAAACCCAGAACCCAAGAACTTCTTGCTTTTAAGGCGGAAGCGCTAACCACTAAGCCACCGTGCCGCCAACAAGCAGGCAAAGTTTTGACAAGCTGGTGAACATAGTGGAGCATTTAGCAGCCAGATATTTCTCTCATGAGTTGGTGGAGCAAAAACATAGCTAGAAGGAAACTGAATACTGGACTTACATTTGCTAAATCCCTAGAGACATGACCCCTAATGACGTTAACGCTAACGTTGCTCAATATCTGCCAGGTCAGTAAATAGTCAATGGTTTGCTAAAAGATGTTAATATGACATGTTGTTACAACTTGTTTCTGCTGCCTTCACGTTGCAAAAAAATCACTTATTGCACATTAAGATAATGTATACTCAGCAGTACTTGAACATCATATATTATACAATGTGTTTGAAGTAAAACATTACTGTATTTTAGTCCTGTTCAGTTCATGGGGGTTTTTTTGTGCCATGTATGCACTTACACAGTGCTAAGTGCTTTAAAGTAACATGACTATGTGACAAATAAACATATGGCTGAATAGTGGGATTTTTGTAACAGCGTGTTGGTATGTTCTGAGGCTTATGCAAGATGTCCGTCCCTGTGAAGCCTGAGAGCACACTCATTCGTGCCAAATGACCTAGTTTGCAAGTACGCTACACCAAACACTGACACACTAGTAATGAATGATTAATTTAAAGTCAGCCAATCAGATAATGTGGAGTGACTAGTTAAACAAGAGAAACAGTCACCAGCAGGCATTCTGCCTTCTACAGAGGTATCATACACCACTTAACCTAGATAGGAGCATTTAGTGCATGAAAGGATATTCTTTCTCAATGAAATTGAAGCAGGGATTCCCTTGATAATATAATGCAATCACTGGGGAAACACTCCATACTGGTGATTGATGCCTACAGGGAGTATTGGTGGAGCACTTGCCACGGGGTCACAGTTTTGGAGCCTGCATTTGAATTCAGAGAGGATTTTAGATCTAATGGTAACATTTCTTAAAACTCTTTAACTACTCTGTTACCAAGATAAAGATCCAATTTATGCTACAGGGAGATCACTTGTCCTCTCAATTGATGTGGTCTTTGTTTGTGGGATAAGGAAGAACATCTAGCTTTCACTCAAAACTAGTCTGAAATAATACCTAGAAACTTCAGCATAAAAAGTTCAGAGAATTGAATATTGGAGCAGCTTGTGAGAAAAGAGGACTCACTGTTCATGCTCAAGCACATAAAGAAGACATCTAACTCCATAGCAGTCCGTTGCAAACCACCCACTCCTCCCTCAACTCTACAGTTAAAGTCTGGAGGCGATAACCAAAGGTCAATATCCTCCACCAGGAACAAACTTTTCAAAGTTTTTCCACGACCATCAAACCTAATACATTCTTTATATTCACCTAAACTCTGATACTTATGATTCACATTTCCACCACAGAGCCGACTGCCTCACCTGACCTGTCGCCCTTTGCTGCATGTCATCTCCTCTCTTTCCCCATTTCCTCTCTATCTTCAGCTGTCCTATACAAGACAGGCAAAATGCTCTCCACCCCAAAAAAACTAAACATATAAATCAATCTTAAAAACGATTCAGTGAGATTTAGTCTAAAAGAAGACACCATAAAGACTAAATGGACTAAAAACTGCAAAAACAAAGCAATGGTCTCCCAATAATTATAGCACACCTACACATTTATCACCATTATTATGATCACTGCTATCGTCGTCCTGCAAGATCTGTATTTCAAAAGCTTCTTCCATCAGGTTTTCTTCAACTAAGTAGTATTGCTAAAATTAGATCAGTGCTGTCACAATTGTACGTGCTTTCAGATCTTCTCACCAAACTTATCCTTTTTTTTCTCCTTCTTAAATAGTGGCATTGTTGCAGGCTGTGTAAAAAGCAGCAGCAAGGATTTTTACCATTAATGTTATTAATGTTTGCGGGTTTGGTTACTCAGGCTTCCTTAGCCTTAAGCCTCCTAATCAGTTTTAGAAATGATTTGTCCATTCAACTGGTTCAAGGGTCATCAAGGCTTGGCTCCTTGGTACAACCCAGACCTTTTACCCATTATTACCTAGGCCACTGGTTCCCAACCTGGGGTCCTCACCCCTACAAAGGATTGCCAAAGCTTCACAGGGGGTTGTGAGGCCTTCTTGATTTTAAGGGGTGCAAGAAAACTTTTTGTAAAAAGTATTATTATTGAAGAACTCTCACAGGATAAGGGCACGTTGAAGACCTGAACACAAGCTGTATTCACAGAGCCTTCACTCTCTGCTAAACAGCCTCGTCCTGCATTAGAAAAGTACATAGTTAAAACAACCAAAGAACTAATAGGACAATGGCCAAGCATCAGGGAGAATGAAACAATGAATTCGTCAAAACGGATGCCTATGCCTTGACAAACAGACTCTGTTTAACTCTACAGCTTTGCAGTGACCTGGGTTTTTCTGCCACCCCCCCATAAGGAGCCTGCTAGGTTAGATTGACAGACTAGTATAATCCTTTACATAAATGGTTCCCAGGCTTACAACTAAAATGAGTGGCCCGTTGTCACAGGTTGCATTATGTCTATGAACAGTCCAACCCAGAGAGAGAGTTCCTCCTTAAAGCATCTCAGATTGTTTTATTTGAGGTCTAAAAAAAAGTTATAAATATCCATTATTTCTCAAGAAAAAAAGCCAAGAGCAGAAATTTGTGTAACAGAACAATATGTTTTCCTTCTTTCCCCTTTAATCATCCTGGAACCACTTATCTCGTGACCCCCCCCCCCCCCACTGCTTTCACTTCCGAAGCTCCAGTGTTTCTCATGTTTCCCTCTAAAGCTTTCTTGGTTACTTCTGTTTTGAAAAGTGCCATATAAGTACTTTATATTTAGTTTATGCTTATGTCGCCATGGCAACTTGCACTGTTACCGTGGCAACGTACCCTGTGATAAATCGTGTGTCTGTTGAATTTGGCTCATCTGTCAGGTGTGTTTTGAAGTCCCTTGGGTTCAGTTATTCTTACTCCTTATACTGACATATTATTATTATTATTATTATTATTATTATTATTATTATTATCAATAACAATGACATTGCATCTCTACCGTAATAACTACCTATAGCCTGCCATTGTTAGGTGTCATCCTCTGCCGTGTCAACTCACAGTTAACCAACCACAACCACAGCACAATCGCATCTCACTGCACTGATGTGGCGGCCTATTTAAAGACATTCACATTCGCTCTGCATGCTGACGTTACTGCCGCTCCACTCCTCCCAGCCTCCACCTGCTTTGGTTCTGCTTTTTGTTTATTGCGCACCCTCGAGGGCGTTTATTTCTAAGTTAATAACCATTGGAGGGATTATTTAGTGTCCCTGCATGTTATTTATCACTGTGCTAAGTATTTCATTCTGCAACAATGCATTGCCACAGCAGGGAGAACCTGTTGCAGAGTCGATTTGAATTTCCATTTTTATGATAGTTCCCGACAGAATTAAACGTAAAACATGGGAAATAAACGGTAAACAACACAAGGTGGATGATAAATTTCGTCTTCTAAGCAGCCCCGACAGCTTTATTCCAAATGCTGTGGAGTCACCTCAAAGGATCCACTCAAATGTTAACACAAATCTTTGTTGTTTTCCAATCCCTACAATAATCATTCCCAGGTTGAAGCATGTCCCTTTTCTTTACAGAAAACCCAAAAAGTAGAACACATCACTTTGCAGTCTGGCCTTATTCTCTGTTCAGTGGCTCCCCGTAAACACGTGTATTAATTGCAGGCTCTTATTTATAACTTAAAACGTATTACATAGCCTTCGTCAGTGATTTTCTTTCAGCCAACACATAATCACCAGTCACTCGGTGTCAGATTCCTTGTCACTCCCAGCATGTAAAAGAAAACAGCTGCCAGCCTTCATCCCTCTCTTCGTCATCTCTCAACGAGAAGCCAGCTAGCCTCACAGTGTCTTAGTATTTAAATCCAGACACAAGACACATTTATTTACCACAACATCTTTCCAGCTATTGCTCCTTGCTGTCTACTTCCTGTCCCCCTCATCTTCACAACACACAGAAACACATATACACTCAAGTTCTGGCCCCGTTTCTTGGCTTTGTTTGCAATGTGTTTGTTCTATTTTTAGTCCTCATTATCTCTTTCTTCTATATTATAGCCTATTTTTCTATGTGTTGGTGTTCTTTGTTTTCTGTATTCACTTTGTGAACAATATGCTTGTTGAAAGTGTTTTATAAATACATTAAACGTGACAACTGATTGTTTTGGATACAATATATTTCTATTTCTGTTCAGACCCCTGACAGAGCCAGCAAGGCTTCAAGGCTTGATGATGGTTACTGCCACATTTCTGAGTTCATTATCATTCCAATTTTGTCTAAACATATCTTTTTTTTTTACACAATTTCAATGAATTAACAAGAAGACTTAAAATAATTAATTATTCGCTAAGCCCTTACCCTTGGCCACTGTTGCACATATGTAGTTTACAATGATAATAAGGAGAGCTTTATTTGATCAGTTGTAGCCATAGACTGTAGGCCTATAATTAAAAAGTGGATGTGGTCTCTGTGACGTCACCCATAGCTTTCTGAAGTGGCCGTTTCCAGCTGCCATCACCATCTTTGCCAGTCATGACTCCGCCGGCTCACGGCAAATCCAAAAATGGGCAAAGACATGGAGCGTGAGTCAGGCAGGCTGAATGAAGCCGGGTTACTGAAACCAGCTGCCATTGAAGGCACCCACCCGTCACTCAAAGTGTGACTTGAAGCCTTGATATAATATAAAGGGGTGCATTATATAAAAAAATCATGTGGTTGTCACGGGAAAAAAAAGCTTTATAGACCAAAACCACACCAGGCTGTAAACATATTTATTTATGCTGTAAAACTGGGTATTTTAACATGAGGCCTTATGGAGATATTACACTTTTTGCAGCCAGCCTCAAGTGGCCGTTTGAGGAACTGCAGCTTTTGTTACTTCCACGTTGGCTTTATTTGCCAGCCAGGTTGTCTTTTTTTACAAGCTTCACTTTCCATACACGTTTAAAACTTTTCATCCCCTGCTTTTTGCTTCAAGCCAATGTTTTAAGACTCTAGACTTGGGTTAATTATCCTGTCCACTAATGAGCTTGTCACTGTTGGATTCACTTGCTAATGTCTCCTGCAGGTCCATTTGAGTGAAATGCCACATTTTCAATGCACACCGAGTTATTCACTTTCTGGGCCCAGAACATAGATTTTCTTTGTCATTTCATGCACCATTGCACTTTTGAGAGACATTCCTGTGTCTTTGGGCACCAACATAAGACACTTAAATCACTGAAGAACTCAGCAGTTATTCTTTTCTCCTGGAGCTCCTCTGTTAGTGTCTCTGACAGCTACACCACACAGATGTGCTCCCTTATGTCTAGTTCTGCACCAGCACTGCATTTGTATGTTTGCCCATCTTTGTTCTCCTGATTGGGGGGGGATTATGAAATGAAAAGGTTTATCGCAGCAGCAGCTCACCTGTCATGCTGCTTTTGAGTCTCCAGGCCGTGCTAAATGCAGATTCAGTCAATCAATCAATCAATCAATCAATCAATCAATCAGTCAAACTAAGTTTTTATAGTACCTTTATACTTGTTAGTGTAGTGTACAAGTTCTACACAAGTAACTGTAAAGCCAATAATGAGACAGAAGACAGACCATAATAGAGCTATCTTAAGCAAGACTAAAAACTAGATTAGATTAAAGAGACAAAATAAAACAAAAATGAAATAAAATATACAATTATTTCAATAATAATGAAATAACAGATGAAATAAAATAGGATGAAACTTTACAAAACTAGTGGAATAAAATAAGTGAATAAAATAAATATTAACTCTTGATCAAAAGCCGGGCAGAAGAGGTTGGCTTTCAGTTTACGTTTAAAGATTTCTCATCTCAGATTTCACTTCCAGTTCCTCTGAGATGAACAAAATACAGAACAAAGTAGGAAATTCAAAATGCATGACTGCCAAATCCCTGTTTTGTCGAATCTTTGTCATGCAGAGGAAGCCAGAACAAATGTCTCTCTGCAGTTTTCAAGCCAAATAAAGTGAGTAACCAAAAGGCAAAACTTAGCAAGCGTTTCACAGCAAGCTACGACCGCCTCCTGCAACATGTAGGAGGTGGACAAGTTCAACATCCACCCAAACAAGCTCAAAATCTTCACAGTTTGATTTTCACACCAAAAAACAGTTTGGAACTGAGATAATAAAGATTTTTAGGTTCCAAAAAATTAGGCAGGTCAAAGGTAAAGAACGCAGTTTTCAGGTTATTGTTTGAACAGGTTTTGTCGCTAAAGGGTGTTTTAGAAAAAGCTATTAAATATCCACAGTTTGCTGCATGCCAGCTGAGAACTCTCTTGCAAAACCCAGACTATTTTAGTAGTATGGCTTCATAAGTGTTTGAAAATCCAAAATCCAGGGTTTCTTTCCTTTTTATGAGACATTTTCTAAGCTGGATGAACATTTGCTGCAGAGGATGAAGGTCGGTAGGAGGTGGAGGAGTCATGAGGTATTTTTAATTCCCACTAGACCTCCACAAAAGCCTACCTGTACTCGATTTGATGGTTTCTTGTCCGACCGTTTGTCCAAGCAGGTCATACTGGTTCAGGCGGGAGCTTTCGCCTTCCACCACCACAGAGTCGGAGGCATTTCGAGTCCAAGCATAAGTCACTTCTGAGATTGTGTAGGCATCTAAAAAAAGAGAAGAGGATAAACCCATAGGGAATAAATCTGGGGCAACCGCAGCTATTGATGATTTTTCGAGAAATTGTTTCACTGACCCAAATGAAAAGCCCCCCACTACATTGTGTTTAATGCTGGGTTTCTAGAAAAAAAAGAATACAGTAGAGAGAGAAAAATCTCTCAGTGGTTGAAGATGAAATTCATAAAACGCCAACAAGCAACTGATGCACAGTGACATTTGCCCTTTTCAATCAGTCACAGCATACACTGAATATGAAATTTGAAAGCTTGTCAGCTAACCTAAGAATGCCTGATCAAACAGAAAAACATTTTTTTCTCCCCTTTATATAAACTTATTGAAAGATTCTGCCAGTCATGCTATTCTACATATTATTGTATTGTGAGCAAAAGGCAAATGAGCAAAGAGATTAATGTGAAATATAAATGGGATATTTAATTTATGTGAGAGGTCAAGGCATTTCAGACATGACCCATCATGTACTGATGCTCTTAATAATCTCTTGTTTTTAAACCAATATCTTAAAAGCAGCTTAAAGCAAAAAACTTTCATCCAAATGTAAAGAAGCCATGGCAATAAAGTAGTGATTAAACAGATTTAAGTTAACAAAATAAAATATTTGGATGAGTCTTTTCCCACCATATTTCCCAGAGACATTTCCACTCAGTCCTTAATCTGTTAGTTCTGTATCTGTTTAATTGCTGCATATTTTGTATAACTCAGCCATGCATTCCAGCTTCACTCAGTTCTTAGGCTGCTCACTTGCCAAAGAACCAGTGACGAGAAAAAACTAAACAAAAGAAAAAGCATTTTACTTTAAGGTCCCTCAGGCGCTATCATCATCAGAGTTACTCACAGCTGCCAAATTTTAGTGGACAGGAATGAAAGTCCATGGGGAAATCCTCCAGATGCATTGGGCACTCTGCATGCACAGTTAACCTGCATCCAATTCACAGAAAATTAAGGAGACTTCGCAAATGCATGGAAAAAGTAAACAGCACAGATTAGGTACGGTCTCAAAAAAAAAAAAGGAAAACTAAAAGAGAAAAAAAAAACCTCATGCACTATTCAAGACGCTTCCCTTCTGTAATGCCTTGAAACAAAATCTTAACTGTAATCAGCAGAGCAAAGTAAACAAGGTACTGCAGAGACCAGCAGAAATCAAAACGTGTGTGTGTGTCTATATGGTGAGATTAGCTCTTTGATAAGAAACTGCATTGTATGCAACTGTACTATTATAAAACACTATTCAACCCCTGTGAAAAACAACTTGCAGTAATTTAACATGGAAATTGATTTTCTTGAAATGCATGTTGACAAAAGGATGCTAAGTTGCAAAAAATAGGATGCATGAAGAATACATTTGAACAAATGGGATTCTGTATCACAACTGGACCTGCTTCTATGAGACTATAAGTGTTCTGTTCAAGTCATTCCTCTTCAAGGAATAGTTCAACATTTTACTGTACAGGTTTTTTACTTTCTTGCGGAGAAGATCGATACCACTCTCATGTGTGTACGCTGAATATGAAGCTACAGCCAGAGGCTTGTTAGCTTAGTTTAGCACAAAAACAGGGTGAACATACAAAAACTAAAGTGTAAAAATGCCTAGCTGTTTTTTTTTTTACGGGGGGGGTGACAGGCTGCTGACAGTAGCTTCATATTTAACATAGAGACATGAATGTCAGTCGTCTCATCAAAGTCTCAGCAAGAAAGGAAAGTGCTGAACTATTCCTTTAAAGGTCCAGTGTGTAAGATTTACTGGCATGTAGCGGTGTAGTTGCAGACAGAAACTTGCTTTACCCTCCGCTTTGAAGTGCAAAGGAGAAACTATGGTAGCTGCGAAATGTATGAAAAACATGCAAAATGTAAAGACCCCTATCTAGAGCCAGTGTTTGGTTTGTTCCTTCTGGGGTACTGTAGAAACACTGCGGTTAAACATGGCACACTCCATGGGAGGTGACCCACAACGTCTGTGGATATAAAAGGCTCATTCTAAGGTAACAGAAAGGTAATGATTCCTATAATCAAGTGATTATACACTAATAAAAACATAGTTATTCATATTTTATTCAATTTTTTTGCCATAAGATCCTCCTAAATGTTACACACTGGACCTTGAAATCCATCTCAGCACATTAAACATAAATAGAACTTGCTTCTGGGACTTGAATTACCTCATTGTGTACAGCAGCGTCCCATCATCTTTGATCCTCAGCAGTTTATTAGGCATGGTCATGTTATGAGCCACAGACTTTTTCCCATTGTGGAAGAAGGTGTCCGGAGTCCAGATTTTACTTGCCATCAGGTTGTTGAGGGGCAAAATATTCATTGGTCCATGAAATTTCAACCTCTCATCCTTCCAGCTTTGCCTGAAGAAAACGTCTATGGTGTATTCCTGTGGGCAGAGGGGGTAAATGTGTGGATGAATTAAACTGTGTTATTGCTTTTATGTTTCATCTTATGTATAAACCTGTTGTGACATCTCTCATTGGTTTGTGGAGTACCGTTTTGAAGCCTTGAGTTTAGCACCCTGTTGGTTTTTCGGAGCCAGTAGCAGTGACATACTGCAATTTGAGTTGTGCTCAATGGCTGTGTTTGGTTTCAACACACACATTCTTGTATTACAGCTAAACAGTACACTAAAATATGTTCCTGGAATAATTTTAAGTGAGAAATAGGCAATACAGTGACAGAATCTTGATTTATAGTTGTTCAGCACTGCTTAGTTTGACAGTTTGATCTGAGTTTGGTGCTGTTTGGTGGACGGACTCACTGAGAATGACAAGGTAGGCTAAAGCATACCCTGCTTTATCATCTATTTTACTCTAAATGGGATCATAGTTTACAAAATGATCATGAAACTGTTTGGAAGAAGACTTGAATCTTGCAACTGAGAATATAAAACCTTTAGGAATCTGTTTACTGAGCTAATAACTCAAGCAAGAAGTAGGGTCATTTCTCCATAAGCCACAATACTATCTGACTTCTTTTTTGCAGCCTATGGAGCTGCCCCCTGCTGGCCATTAGAAAGAATGCAGGTGTAAAACACTTCCACATTGGCTTCACTTCACAGACCCAGAAGCTCTGTCCAGTAATTATATACAGTCAATGGTATCAACTTTCCACTATATTAAAATAACTCCCATTTCTGCTGAAAAAATGTAAAATAAAACATTTTCACTGCCCTGTTTTATCTGAGCCTACAAGCAGCAGTTCTTCACGACTGACTTCACCTGCCACTTTAAAACCTGGGCACTGTACGGCTTTCTCTAGTTGTCAAAGCTCCATCAAGGTGAGGCCGGTGCTCTCCGTGTTCCTCTCAGCTATCTGAGACGGTGTTTTCCTAAGCTGGCTCTGAGGCCAAGACAACCCCTTGACCTACAATCCCCTGTTGTCAAAAGAAACCACACATGAGGAAGGATTTAGGGCAGAAAGCTCTGCGCTGTTAAATGTGTGTACGTGTGAGAGTGCGTGTGCATGTTTGTGTGATTCACACACAGTAAGTAAGAGTGAGAGGATGATCAATTCCTCCAGAGTTTTTTTCTTGTCACAGTTAAAAGGCCTCTGACATTTAGATCTTGAGACACCGAAACTGTCCACTGACACCAAATCGCCTTCTTTTAGGGTACAGCAGCTCTTACAGTGAAAGGATAATTCTATGTTATTACAAATTTGGGATTTGTTTTTGTAGTTGTGACCATCATTATTATTGCTTACGATAGCATTTTATCCACTAAAGCAAATTAGAGAACAAGGCCGTACATATGAGCCGCCGTCAGATGATCACACAAATAACAAACAAGCCACAGCTTGTAGAGCTAATTACTATAAAACATTTTATTTGAAGTGAAAATGAATGCACCTAAAGCATCAGTAATAATCCCTAATTACACAAGTAAACAGAGTATTGTAGATCACAGATGAAGCAGGAATTATAGGTCTGTAACCTGTGACAGATGTTTGGATATGATCTTACCGCTGCCTCTTCGTTTCCTCTCGAAATAATTCTAGCTAACCTGAGCTCGACTTGGGGCCCTCGGGACAGGGTACCAGGTGGCCCGTCGACTACTTTCTAATTCAATGAAAACAAATTGATTCACACTGGGAATCCTTTTTTGTTTCTTTATGCCAATTAGTAAATGTTCAATAATGTCCCTCGGCTGTCAGTTGGGAAGTTGCAAGTTCACTAACGCCTGACCTGTGCAGTCCTGCTGTGACTGGATTTGCCTTTTTAAAAAATTAAACTACATATTTGTGACCTTTTCTTAAAGATTTATGTCTTCAGTATTAACAAATGGGCTTAAGGCTGACTGCCACAGACCGGGTAGGGAAGACCCAAATGACTGAGAGACAGACATTTATGTTTTTTTCATGCAGTTTACTGAACTGTACGTGATTCTTGCCTCTTCTGAGTTCTTTTTATTGATGCTGCAGTGTCCCAAAATCAGCGAACTGACTTCAGTATACTTTAATGAGTGAGTATAACGTTAATATTACCAATACAAATAATGGCTGTAGCTATTAATCTGTTAATCTAAGTTGTAATAAAATAGAAATATCCTTTAAGGCATTGTGTTACAACAAAAATTGTCTGGCTAACGCTCTTTTGAAGCTAGACATGGTATGTTTTTTGGTCGTACTAATTATTTTTATTTCATTCTCCAGCTCCGGCTGTCAGTAGACTTCCTATAAATCCTATAAAGCGGCGACCTCGGCAATCAGCTGAATTGCTCTACAGTATCTGAATAAATCAATCAGGTCAGAGGATAATATTTCAGACTGTGTAAGACTTGAACCTGAAATAAATCATGTATTTCCAGCTGTTGTGTCCTATTTTGCTATACCGTAATGTTAATTTTACTTTTTAATACATAATAATAATATCATTTTTCAAATCTGAACATACATTGAGAAGATTTTGCCCCATGGACTTTCTAATTCTGACATATTAGTAGCTTACTTCTATGGTTATAAGCTCTAATGGCAGTGGTGACCTCTGCCAGTGAAATTGAAGGAGATGATGTTTTCAGCCCTTTCAGATGTTTATCTGTCTGTCCATCTGTTTGCTTGCCACATATATATATATATATATAAATAGTAGACTTCAGGTTTTGATTTGGCTGAAATTTAGTGGACAGATCAGATGTGGGTGGTGATCTGGATTTGGGATTTCCACCATGCGATTTGTCTTTTATTTTTCAGTCTTAAACTGATTTATTATTCTGTGCCCGAGACCTGTTCCGCACAAGTGTTGGTTTATATTAAACTGAGTGCCTTCTAGTTTACATATCTTTCAGGGGCCACTGCATTGAACTCCAACATCATAACTGTTAAATCAATAGATCAATCACTTGGAAAATGGGTCTTCAACAATAGAAGGGACGCTGATGATATGATGTGAAGGTGGGCGCATGCTTCAGAATGATAAACAGGAAAGCCCAGGATAAACAAAGGAGTGACTAGAATAACAAGAGGACTTTAAATAATTTATAAGATGAAAATTGTCAGATGAATAGACATCGTGCTTTAGTGTGGAAAACTCGTCCCACTTCAGTATTGTGTTGTGCGTGCGGAGAGAGAGAGGGAGATGATGCAATTATGAAAGGAGGGAAAGCCGTAATGAAACTAAAAATAAAGCAAAAGAAGCTCCTTTTTTCTTTCTTTAGGTTTGTATGAACAAGGAAGTACAAGGCTTTCCTCTGCAGCGGTGTTGTTCTCTAAGTGTTTATTCAACAGCAAATGTGTGGGTGAATAAACACAATAAATAAATGTCAAATATCTGCTCTCACCATGTCTGTGTCTGAAACTGGTCCAAAGCTGGTGACGTAGATGTTTGTCTTCACCTCAGTTATCCTGTCTGGATAAGAGACAACAATTAGAGGCAGCAAAACACCCAAAGGGGTAAAAACAAAGTCAGGGGGCTTTCATTGTGAAGGAGTCTCAGGAAATGCAGTGTCACAGAGGTTAGCCCTTACAGAAGCTGTCATCACAAATGTGCCTACAAAACAAGACATGGTCATTTTCAGGATCGGTTTGAAACATTGCAGAGAGGAACAGAACAACAGTTTGTATTGAGGGAAGTAAAAAATGACTTTGAGCGAGTAGATTTTGGAGCCATTTGCCACTAAGCCCTGCTGTTACCGTCAACCGTGTGTGTGTGTGTGTGTGTGTGTGTGTGTGTGTGTGTGTGTGCGATAAATCAACTCTTAAGGATCATAACTTTTTTTTCTGCAAATTCAACAGACTTTAAAAATGTGCGTGTATACACCAATCAGCCATAACATTATGAGCACTGACTGGTGAAGTGAATAACACTGATTATCTGGTTATCATTGCTACTGTCAGTGGGTGGGATATATCAGGCAGCAAGTGAACATTTTGTCCTCAGAGTTGATGTGTTAGAAGCAGGAAAAATGGGCAGTGTGAGGATTTGAGCGACTTTGACAAGGGGCCAAATTGTGATGGCTAGACGACTGGGTCAGAGCATCTCCAAAACTGCAGCTCTTGTGGGATGTTCCCGGTCTGCAGAGGTCAGTACCTATCAAAAGTGGTCCAAGGAAGGAAAAGCTGTGAACTGGAGACAGGGTCATGGGCGGCCACGGCTTATTGATGCACTTGGGGAGCGAAGGCTGGCCTGTGTGGTCCGATCCAACAGACGAGCTACTGTAGCTCAAACTGCTGAAACAGTTGCTGGTTCTGATAGAAAGGTGTCAGAACACACAGTGCTTCACAGTTTGTAATGTATGGGGCACTCTATGACCACCAGGGAAGCCCACTTCATCATAATGTAATGGCTGATCGGTGTATCATGTCTAACAAAGTTGTACTCCTTCTAACAATACGTGAAGAATGTTCGGCAATCAGATGAATTGTCAGCCTATGACCTGTGCCATCCAGTTCATGGGCAACTCTTGTAAGATCAAATTTAGCGAGCCACGGCAACTTGTAAACTATGATTTTAAGCGTATAAAATTTGTCCTAAATGTTCAGACTGATGTGACAGATAGGAAGAGCAAAGCCTCACATGATTCCTATTCAAGTGATAATGCGCTACTGCATCAGCGCTGCTGCATCAGGTCCATTTGCTTTCTCTACACTCTGTCTCTTTCAATAATTACTGAAGCTCAATCTCTCATGCTCGGTAAATTCAAAAAGCTTTCACGTTTTACTCTACACTCGGTACTACACAGCGAACAGCATCTCACATACAGTCTGAAGAGATCATTACTCCTCAGTAAAGTGCTCTCATGCATGGCAAGGGGAAGCCGCCATTCACGTCCCTCTAACAAGACATATTATGAAAATGCTTTCTTATTTATAAGGTTATGTAAATCAAGAGGAAGTGGCAGGTTGCCAGGTAATAGTTGCAAGCCATTTAGTGAGACAAGATGGTGAGGTGCATTTATTTATGTAAACCAGGCCTTTGTATGTGAATCAGGCTGATTTACAATGATCAGGTTTTTGTTTTCAGAAACACTACCTCACTAAAAACTAAATGTTTGACATTAAACGCATTTCTTCTTGTAAAAAGATACAATATGGTGCATTTTATCATTGGGGAGTACTGTACTTCTTAGTGACTTGGCCTGTTCCGTTATATATATATATATATATATATCTCAAACTCCCAGGCCTCTGGTAGAGGACCCGAGCTTGAGGATGACACAGATAACACCCCAAGAGGGTGAGAGGGAAGTTTTTTTTTTTTTATCATAATATCAGACTTTATATACTGGATGCAAATGATCCCCAAAAAGGAGTATAAAATCTACGGCCTCGAGCCAAACGGTAACAACCATCCTTCATTGTGAAAACAGAAAAAAAAGAGGTACATTTAGACCACTAACACATATGAATTGTATTTTTTCATTCTGACACTATTTATAGTCTGTATAGTGAGTAGTGATTAAGTGAACGATTTCAGGCACAGCCAGTGGTTAATGCCATGAAATGTGAATCTTGCCAACACTGATGATATGAAAGTGATCTTTACATGCATGTATTCAGGCAATTGCACAGAGAAATAAGTTGCCTGTCTCTCTATTTATCCTGTGTTAGTATTTGATAGGAGTTTGGTTCTTTGTATAAAAAATCTTATTTAGGTTTTGTGCTGCACTTTGTGCTACCAAGAGCAAGTTTCTTCTTAGTTTATTGTGGATCTTTGTGAAGTTATTGGCCTATTTCATTATAAGAAATAATGTTTTCTTTAGATATTTTGTGGTTTCCAGAGCATTGCTTTACATTTGTTTTTGTATTTTTGATGTCATCCTTGTATATTTATGCTATTTTCTTTTTATTCTATTATGTTCACTCTTTAACAAAAAGTTATACCTGTGTAGGGATCCTGTCCATGTTGTAAGACAAGCACTGGTAGTGGACGTACTTTGAGCGTAGTTTGAGCGATGCGTTTGTCCCCGGGGATTACATTGCAGCCGTTTCAGATCTAACTCAGTGAATTAAGGGTTTAGTTCGACCAAAACAGAGTTGGTGATTGTTGTGGAAAGACTAACAAAGACAATTTTGGCGAGTTTTATTTTGTTTGAATGAAGTTTTATGAACTGGGAAGTAAAAGTAGTGTTTTTGTCTGGTGGGCAGTAGAGCATTTGTTCTGGTCTGACATGCTGGTGCTCTAGTGCGACATCTGGTCTGAAAGTTAATACAGTACCTTCAATGTTGTTGATCATATTTTGTTCTTGTTTGGAGTTTGTTTACTTTGCCCAGATAATTATGTGTACATTTTTGTGTTATAGGGAGTTCATTTGAATAGCAAATAAAAATACTTTTTTGGTGCCATGGAGTAAGGCTTGCAGTATAACATAACTCAACACATTCAATAAATCTACCACAATAATAAACAACAAACAGAAGGCTGTAGAAAACCACATGCACCACCAAATGACAGGCCATTTGCATTGAATGAGTGGAGCAAATTCGGAAGCCAAACCAATTTGAACAAATGATGCATCCTCACAGTAGCAAACCTAGAAAAGCACAGCCCTCAGGAAAAATACATGTTTACTATTTAAAAATATCCAGAGTGCATTTAATGCCCGAGGACGTTTGGACACTTATTTATAGGAATAAGGACAATACCTAAAGTTCATTTATTCAGAACAGTCATAACCATGTGCTTTTCATATAATGTGAATCATATGGTACAGATGGGCCTGCTGAACCATGTTTAATTGGTCAGACGAAAACCTGCCTGTGTTAGGGGACAGTACGTCCCGCTGTGAAACTATCAAAATGTCAACTTAACTCTTGCCAGTTTGGACGGCGATAAAGAGCATCAGCAAAAAATAAATGTTGGACAGCGGGTTGGGTCAGGAGGCACGAATGACATCAGTCCAGAGAGATGAAATTCTTATAAGCCGAGCCTGGTTTTACTACGATGATCAAACTGTCGGACGTTTTAATAGCTGCACTTAAATTAACAATCTGTATAACTGCCGCCTTCCTCTCCCTACTGCTGATTACTGCGACACAACAGTGATTAAAGAAAGTTCATTACAGCTTTTTGATTAAATGTCTTAAGAGCTGATGTCTTGTACTGTAGGTGAAATTTTGTGTTTAATGTTTCTGTGTGGTTAGCACTGCTGGCATTTTTAGCTCATTGAGCAGACACCGGGGTTCTTCTAGTTGCATGCAGCAGCGACAGCAGTCCCCCTGGAGCCAAGATCTTCATTTACAGAATCAACCAATCCAACCAGAATCCACCCGTAACGTGTCACAATATCACCCACAGTGCAAACAACACAAATATTCCATAATATCCACCTGATGAATATGTATTTTTAGCCAGAAATCTGATCAGATCACCACAGCGAATATGTGGAGCGTAACAAAACAGCGAGGTGTGTAATAATTACATCAAACTTAAGTGTAGTTTTAAAGCTGCATTAATCAGTTAACACACTGGTGCCCAAGCTGGGGGTCACCAAAGATTCATGGGGGGTCTTCTTGGTTTTAGGAGGTGTAAGAAAAATTTTTAAATGTGTATACAGTTGGCCTATATCTCAGCATTTTCCTAATTTCTGTGAAGAACGTGAGGTATATTCACAGAGCCTTCACTCTCTGCTAAACAGCCTCATCCTGCATTAGAAATGTTAAAACAACCAAAGGGCTAATAGAACAATGGCCAAGCATCAAGGAAGAATAAAACTTGAATTTGTCAAGAAAAGACACCTAAATTAAAAACGCATGAATAAATAATACAGACATAAAATTGCATGAAATGTTCCTGATGTAACAGGAAATAATCTGCTCAAGTTGCTCATTTGACACAAACTTCCTGCAGTTATTGTGTGTTCACTCTTATTTGTACAGTTTATCTGTTCTGCACTGTTATTGGTTTGAATATAATGTGAAATATCCATAAATTATACCACTTAATCAGATGTTGTCAATTTACTCAATCATACAAAAGAGGGTCACTATAAAGTGAGTGTGACTCGATGAGCTGGCGGTGTTAGAAACTCGTTGCCTGTTTACAGAACCAGTTGACACGAAGCAACATTAGCATCAGTTGGACTTGTGTTTCTGGTTTTTATGGATTTCACAGGGTTGAACCAAAACAATGAGCTGAGAGATGCTCAAACTCCCCAACTGAACAGCAGAGTTTAGTGATAATTATCTGTGGGTTTGTTACTACGAGCGACACCTATCACATCACACATAGACAGAGCCATATTTGACCCAATGTTCTTATAATATAGATATATAATAAATACTGGACTTAGTGCAGCTTTAAAGATTCCTTCTAACTTTTACTTCTTCTGTAAACAGATGCATGGATGGATATTTAATTTAAACATTTGTTTGACATTAAAAACATGCTTGGTGCTGCTATAAAGCCAGAACATAGCTCTGAGCATGAAGTGGTAGTTAGATGACAAATTTTTTTGGGTGGGAAACAAATTAGAAGCAGAAGTGTGAATATGAACAGAAGTGAACTGCCTCGCAGTCACACTAATGATGATGTGGGAGCAACTGTGTTTGCTGCATTCACTCTCTGCAGCCTGGCTTGATTTCAGTGTAAGTGACAGAAACCAATTGGTGCATTTTAAAAGAGCTTGGTATTGCTTCAACACTGTAGACAAGTAGGAAAAGAAATGCTGAATTAAACCTGCTAGGGTTGCAATTTAGTCCACACTAGTTACAATATAGGCTCTATATTAGATAAAATGAACGCAAGAGGCCTGTTTAGCCATCAAATGGCTTTGGTTATATTGTATTTTCTATAAATAACTTCAAGAGAAATGTGCAGCCTAAACCTACACAGTAATTCATTCATTGTTGAAACAATTACAGTTGTTTTGTTGTTGTTTTTTCTATCCCCTGAAACCTTCTAGTAGCCCCAAGGGGACCAGGGTTCATCTTGAAAAACCCCTGCCCTAGATTCATCTTTTCCATCTTTATCATTTGATTATCAAGTGGAGGATGTACTGTTTGAACTCACAGCTCTCGTTCACTACAGTAAGACACGGCAGAGTGTTCATCGGGATAGATTTAAATGTCACAACATGTAAACTGTAACTCAGTGTTCAGCCTCAGTATAGGATCGTATCATTTTGTGTACAATCTATGGCAACGGGCCTGTAACTGATTCTACTTTTAAATGTTTAATTGTAGTTTGAGATCTTGTTATTGCATTGCGTTATTTTGTCCACAGGCCGTGTCCCCAACTGCTGTTTTCTATTATTTGAATTATCATGTGGAGGAGGGACAACACCGCCACTGAGTGAAATGATTACATAGGAAATTACATTTTGTAATACCGGCTATAAATAAATTATTTAATATTTAAAGATTCATACAGAGAGAGATTACATACAGTAAATATATTAGCTACATCAGGATTCAGGCTCTTGTTTTGGTAGCACGCCATTCAGACCATGCAAACTGTCAAAGGGATTCACTCTGTATCCTTGAATAAACTATATGTACACGTGCAGCTTTTAGACACATTTTCAGCCTTTATAAATGTGTTACAAACCAGCGTCCAGTGAAGCATTAACATGTTTTTCCCACAGATGTGACACACTAAACCTAATGTGTCTACGATGTGGAAACCTCCATCTGATGCCATGTTCCTGTTTCTCCACTGAATTCTGCACCATGATGTTGCTTCTGTGTACGTTAATGGATACAGTTATGGTGCTACATCTTGAGTGTTGGGGTTTGGGCTCCCATTGGGGCCAAATCCTGAGAAAAATGCATGTGCTCATTGTACTGCAAGACACTTAAGATGAAAGCGCCTAATTTATGTTTGAATGTTTTATTCAAGTTTTTTATTTCAGATGGCTGATCTCTGTCTTTAACATGGCAGGGATCATATTAAAGACAGAGCTGTCTGTTGGTGGAGAATCATTAATTAAAGCTGCAGAAGGCAAAACCTTCCGCCTCTCTCTGCTGCTTCGTATCGCTCCTCTAAAGGCCCTGCCACCAAACCTAGAAGTTCGAATGCCAGCAGAAGGAGTCGGTTGCAATGCAAAACCTCTTGCCTTGTAGGGTTCGCCGAGACCCTCTTACCGCAACTCGTCCTCTCAAAGACGCCCCTACAGAAGCTCCGTGGACCCAAGACAGAGCATCCCAGGCTTCAGAGGCAGCTGCAATGCGAGTGAATGTGCTACCTGTTGAAAATAAAATAAATCAACAGAACGCCGGTCTAACACCGGGATGAGAGGATGGTCCAGACATCATTTTTGACTGCCTCAGAAACACTCTGCTTTGGCGGTGATGGGCAAGAAAAAGTGGAGAACTTGATTTCTCTGGGAGGGGGGCACCTTATTATAGGACTGTCACACCGACATCTAATAACACGGACAAGGAAATGCTCAGTTTTGTGCCAGTGAAAGCTGCACGACTAGTACACCAGGCAGGGACACACACCACTGACCCCCTTCAAAAGTTGTTTACTGTTTGTCATCATGCTCTTTTGCCACTAGTTGATCCAAGCGGCATCACAGTGACATTTTGGACTATAACTAGAATTGGAAATGCATCACAAGTTGTTGAATTTTGTGTTGAATTTTCTGCCATTGAATCAGAAACACCCTCTCTCTGAAATGATCTGTGATTGGCCGAAGTTTCCCATCACAGGATATATTGTCTAAAGTCTGAAAACAGAGCCAAGAGGATGTGCCTAAGTCTAGTTTTTTCTCAGACCACCACACAGAATTACAATATGCTGAAACGTTATTATGGAAAGATACCAAAAAAAAACAAACCCCAAGCTCTAATGTAATTTCTCGGTAAAAATCAATATATTTTTATTGATTCCATCCCATAAATCTCCAATGGACTACAACAATCTAAATCAGAAATGTACTCTCCGTTTATATATCTTAGGGATTAAGTATAGATTTTTGTGTATAAACCATATTTTATGGAAACAGGCTGTGACTCTTCTACACAGAAAGCAAGCAAACAGCACTATTACTGTATAGGTCCAGCTGTACAGGCTGAGTGCTGCCAAGCTAAAGGAGGTCTGTTCCCCATATGGCAGCTCCTGGGCTGGGCTGATGGCCCCAGGAATTTGAATTTCAAATGGCACCAAATCCTGAGGGAGGAGCTCAGCTTTGGGGTGAGGGGCCAGCTGGAAATGAGATGCCAAACATGGAGGATGAGATGGGAGAGGTGACGATGGAGAGGGAAGCACAGTAGCCATAGGAGGAGATGTGATTCTCCTCCACACACACAGACACAGAGACAGTGGGGAATAATGTTGAAGCCTGTAATGCTTCTGCAGCTTGAATTTATCAAACCTCTCAGAAGCTCCGGAAACTTAATATACTATATGTGATTATATTTGATTCTGAATATTTTATTTGTAAATCTTTTTTGTTTAACTTTCTAACATGTAAGATTAAACCTAATGTACAAATACTCAAGAAAAATTATACATATATATATATATATAAAGCTGTCAGATACACTGAGGGCTGGGGGTGGGAAAGGGGGTTTCAGGGAGAATATGCTTCATCTTTTAATGCAAATTTCCTTCAAAGTAGAAGATGAAATGCTTTGAAAAATCTCCTAGTTTTTCGAGCTTGAGCTATATTATAACATTGTCTTAACCATTTAGAGTGTGATGGAGGCTTGGTAGATTTCCATTGAATCAACAGTAATTATTCAGCCAATAATTACAGAAAGGCTAAAGCTTTCAAGCTGTGCACCTCAAAGTGCAAACTCTCCAAAACCTACTCTGAATACTGCAATTTCTGGGTCTGACCTGCGTACTGACATTACAAAATAAATCAACTTTGAATACCGCATTTTGCTCCTTTAGGATATAAATAATCCAAGAAGGAATACACCGCTGGATGAAATAACCAGTGAATGAAATATAACAATTGTTTAGCTACATTTTTCCAAACTTCCCACATGTTACTTTGATATCACTTCAACCACGACCCTACAGTCAAACTAGCATTACAACCATGCAGCAGAAACAAACTGATACTTAAACAAACCAAGTTAAAACCGCAGAGTAGTTATGACGGATTCAGCGGGGCATTTTCCAGAAAAACTCAAGCGAGAATATATCCCTCTGTGGGGTTAAATGTGGCCAGTTTGGCCGTTGTTACTTTCCAGGAAGTAGAGTGAGTGTTATATAACCTAAATGTTTTCTGCACAGAGTGTGTTTGTCAGTTTATTCTTGAGGGGATTGCTGCCAAAGCTTATCTGTACTACAAAAGCTGATGTTAAATGAAGTGTTCTCACTCCAAATGAGCCATCAACCGTTTAAAAAAAAGAGACGTACAGTTTCGTAACAAATGGAAACACAACTTTAAATGAGTAAGTAAGATAGTAAGATCTAAAAAGTGAAGATTTCAAACGATGAAGTTCTGTACATCCAGTAATAAAAGGTCATCGCCTTACCCCCAAGACCAGGCCGTAGACGGTTGTCATATCCATCCAGCAGGCTGTCCAGGATCCGTGTGAACAGGGTGATGTTGGTTTTAAAGGCATCAGACGTGGCATCGGCATTCACTGACCTAGTTGGCGGACACACGATGACATGATAACGGACACTTCAACTTTTGTTTGATTAAAGAGACCAGTGTGTAGGAGTTAATGGCATCTAGCGCCGCAGTTGCGGATTGAAACTCCCTCGCTTCACCCTCCTCTTTCCAAGTCTAGAGCCAGTGTTTGGTTTGTCTGTTCTGGGGCTACTGTAGAAACATGGCAGCTCATCCGTAGATAAAAACGTCTCATTCTAAGGCAACAAAAACACAATAATTGCTATATTCAGGTGATTATACACTAATGAAATTAATATTATATCCAATTTATGCCAATAGATCCTTCTAAACACACTGAACCTTTACATTTTTAATGTATTAAGACTCGTAACTCAGAGGCCTGATTTATGGGGGGAAAAAGGAGGTTGTTATTATGTGGCAGATTTCATACATACCCACACACAGACACACACATAGACATTGTTTCTCAGCCACATGGATGACCCAGTTCAAGGCAGAACATTTGTGAGCCATCTGATCTTGGAGCCAAAACACAACTGAATATGCAAATGTAATCAGAGCTAGAGATTCATGGTAAATAAATAAATTCTGATAAGGTCCTACATTAAAGCTCCACATAATCACCACTGTCGACAGCTCTGGTGTAACAGCCTCAGGTTATGGGCATATGTTACTATAAGCAGCAAAATAAAATGTATATACAATGTTAATAATGTATTTTCAGTTTGGAACATTTTCTTTTAATAACCACCAGAGACAGTGTTGGATTAATGTAGCCTACTTACTGGCGTTATAACCTAATAGAATATTTGATTTTTTATTTTCAAGTATGAGCTTCTATTTGTACTGCAACAGCATTTTACCACATTTAAATCATATTTTTAAGGCTCTGTTATTGAAGCATCAAAGCACATAGCAAATCACCATTAAACACAGCATTAGCATTTGCACGAGACCTTGGGTAGAAGATATGATAACTTACATTTTCACACTTATCCATAATTATAGATTATTAACAGCTGTTCAGTTTTTCCTATTGTTTCATGTTAACAAGATTTGTCCAACTAGCTAGTTTTTAAGGTTTGCTTTGTAGTTAGAATAGAAGAGTAGTTAAATAATGTAAGATTATGCATAACAATTACAGATATTGGTATATATTTTAATAAATGTTAATTATGCTGTGTTCATGTCGTATTATCTTACCTGCTCATCCAAGTGCCCCCCTCTTCATATTTATATTTATAATCTTGTTTATTTATCTTATTTCATGCTGTATTGTACAGACCTCGTCCTGGTTTTTGATAGCTACAATACAGTTACATCTAAAGAAAATTCAATTTTAACACCATTACAATAAAGCTAATTCACAAAATTCAACATAAGTAATAAGTTTGTATCTGGTTTTACGTGTTAGCTATTAAATTGTGCGGTTTTCCTGTTCTTCCTATTCTGCCAACATGGTTTAAAAAGCCAGTTTTCACAACAGACATTTATACTTATGCTCTCTACGCTGGTGCTAATAACATTAACACTGTCCCTGTTCTGTTCAGGTGTCCCAGTAAACCTGGACCCTGAGACTTAAGATGCTAAATGGAATTCAGCCACATTAAATTTTTACTTTTTTACACTTTTTGTTGTGTTTTTCCTGTGGTGACATGTCAAAATGTCGTCCGTGGAAAAAGGCCTATACAGCACTAGATGATGGGATGGACGATTTGGCCCAGACAAGTTTTCTGTACGTCAGTGGGGACATAACGGAGCCTCGAGGGGATTCAGTGGCCTTATTTGAATTGCCTCTCGTGCTTCTGACATTGACTGTTTCTTTCTTTTGTGAATTGTCCTCTAGTGTAAGCACTCGGATGACCTAAACTGTCACTCCCTATATCAAAAGACACCTTTACACCTGATGTGATAATGTGAGATGTCCTCTGATAAAACAGCCTCTAGGGGTGCCTGCTTCAAAAGAACTGAAGGTTAGACACACTTTCAGGCATTGCAGTTTATAGTAATTCAAGATGATTTTTATTTGTTTTTCAGATTTTTATTGTAAATGTCTATTTTATTATTACGGATCCTAACTTACTTGACTTTTTTCTTTTATTTTTATGGACCAAAACACCAAAGCGAATTCCCTTTACGTAAAAAAATCTATTTGGCAATAAAACCTGATTCTGATTTATTGATAGTTGTATTGTCCTTGGAAGAAAAGCCATTTGGTCACAAAATTGCATTTCAAGGTTGATACTGGCTATAGCTATTATCGTAAATTATAGAAAAAAGGCAATTAAAACAATAATTAATCCCTTGTTAAACAGTCATTTTAATTCTTCTTTTAATTGTTTATATCACAGATGTAATAGCAAATATCAAATAACCTTGAAACCAGGTCTCTATTAAAAATTGTACTTGCAATATGCATTTTCAACAAAGGCTCTATACCAGCTACATAATTACCCACATGCCCTCCGGGGTTATTTTTATGGTCAGACTGAGGATACTGAAGGCGGTAAACTGGCTCTGCTCCTGCGCATTGATCCCCACTGATAATGAATCCAGCATAATAAAAAAAAAAAAACTTGATAAATTGAGACCCCCAGTCCGTCCCCGGAGACACAATGAGTGATCCTCGGTCCTACAGCTCAGGGATCATCGCTTCAAGGCGTCTCCCATTCAAAGGACTCACCTGGTTTTCCAGAGAGCTGTGAGCGCCAGCAGGCAGATGAGAAGTAGAGAAGCGCTCTCTCTGCTCCACATGGCTGCTTCAACACCTACACACAGCAGGGCAGCCGCTGTAAATGAATGGAGGCTGAGTTTAACCGGCTTGACATGCCAGTGGATTCATATCTGACCTATAACAGTCATTACATCCATCACCCATTTCTGGGGGATTCCCTTTAACACGCAAAAAAAAAAAATAAGTAAAATAGACCAAGAAGAGGAGCAGAGACAGCAACTGACAGCAATTAGTATTCACGGACACAACCTACGCCTCCACTCACTGAACATTACTGTCCCCCCCTTCCAAAAAATAAATAAAAATTGGATCAATAACGATTTGAAGCGATTTCCCCCAATTTTTTATCGATAACATTTAATTCACCAATTGCAGAAAAATGATATGAGAGAAAAACGTGGAAGAGAGACCGCTGCTCCTCTCCCACGCTTTCTGCTCCTCACATAATAAATAATAATAAAATAAAACGTTTCCTTTGTGTCTGAGTGTGAAAAGGTGGGGAAGAAAAAATAAAAAAAATATATATAAATATTCATCCAAAACAGACTCACCTCAAGTGCAGAAAGTACCTGCTGCAGCTGGAATCGTCGAAGATGCAAGAAAGTTAAAGACAAATCACCGCTCTCTCCTGTTGTGATGAGACTGAATGAGTGCAAGTCTGTCATGAGAACAAAGCTGATAAATCATAGTCCCAGTCAGCAGCAGGAATGCACCCGGAATGCATTGGCTTTCATAGTGTCCCAAAATGAAATATATATGTGTGTGTGTGTGTGTGTGTGTGTGTGTGTGTGTGTGTGTGTGTGTGTATAACAATAAAAAGGAAATAAATGGAATAAAAGCTTCTTTTTTTTTTTTTAAATAATAAAATAATTTAAAAAAAACAAGCAGTTGTGGCAGCTGATCCCTGGCTTCCCTCTTCAACTACCCCCCCTCAGCTGATAAAAAAAAGCTCGATGTGAATCGTGATAAGCAAGAAGCACATCTCAGTCTCCCTCATCTCCACACAAAAAAACTACAAAGGCTGAGGAGGAGACACACACTGGGTCCTAAAGATAGCTTGGTATCCACTGAGCCTCCTTCAGCTGCGAGTCTGCAGCCGAGATCTTGGTATGTGAGGATGTTAATGACTGTTGTTTCCTCCCCCAGTCAATATACAGAGGGGTTATTGATTATGCAAAAGAAAAACAAAAACAGTGTGGCGTCGGTGCATTGTTGTGATGGAAGTGGCATGTTTTGGAAATGGAGTTAGATGGGTTCAACCATTTTGGGTGAGACAGATATGCTTTGACGTGTGTGTGTCAGTGCTCACATGAGGCTTGATTTTCTTTTAATTTTCAGGATGATGTACTAAAAAAAATATATATATATATATATATATTATTAAGTATTTAAATCTGGACCTGGATATTTACTGAGACTGAAATGCCTTTAACATTGCAATTAGACCATAGGACACTTAACACTCTCCACTGACATGCTGATTAATGACTTGGTTTAGTGGATGAGCAGCAAACTCTGGGATGCACCCTGATTGATTAAATAACTGATTAATTTAAATTAATTGCTTGGTGAACATGTTTTAATGTATATCTATGGTCACTAACTGTACCAACATCTGAAATGTAAAGAAATGACAGATATTGACGTCATGTATAGTAGCACAAAATCAGAAAATAACGGACTAAATATTTGATTTAATAAAAGGTTTTTCCTTGTTTGTGTGTGTCTGTGTGTGTGTGTGTGTGTGTGTGTGTGTGTGTGTGTGTGTGTGTGGAGTGAGTGACACACAGAAAGAAAGGATGGCCCTCTTGACACTTTGCTGTTGTTACGACTGCATTGTGGTAGAAATAGTCAACCCCTTTTAAACACTGTACTGTAGTTACAGTTTTTTGCAGCGTGACAGCTTATTATTCTGGATTGCCTCAAATCAGAAACTAAACAAATCAAAATACAAACCACGATTTAAAAAGTAAAAAGGATTCAACGGTACTGATTCTTTTTCTTTTGTGGAGCTTTCAGTACCACACTGTACACAGACGATGTAACTCCACCTAACATGTAACTGCTTTTAACAACAATGCTTCTAAATGCAACACTCGGAAGAAACCAGGTTGCAAATCATTGGTTGTTGGTCTGAAATAATGTGTATTTTTATTTGTATTTTCAATTAAATTGACCAAGAACCAGTGAAGAAAGGGGGAAAAAAATAGGTACAGAGATTGGATAATTACAGTCTTTATTACCCATAAGATATTCCTTTGGTGGCAAATGTCTGTGGTATTTAATTTCTCTGAATTACTGTAATAAAGAGCTCAACTTAACACTAGACATGTACAATATAGGAATTCTTGCAGAGAAAGTGGATAATTTGTCACTTTGAGAGTCTTTCAATTAGATTTTCCTGCTTTACAACTCAACGCAGTATCATCACACACAGCTCAGCTTGCTCTATATGCGATCAGGCAGAGCAGATAAACATAATATCAAGTATGCTACCGTTCATATGACGCTGATATAAGAGTATAGCGCCAGGTGGTTGTTGACCCCGCTGACATTTTGTGGGAGAAAATACTTGAGCCAGTAATAAAACAGCATATGCACTTACTGTGTTAGTAGGCCTGTGTCATTTAGTGGCTGACAGGGTGACGGGAGGGGGGCAGTTCCTGGCTGCAAATGGTCTACAGTGATCATGCTGTGTGTGTTTTATCATTAAAGCTGCAGTAGGTAACTGTCATATCTGCTGAAAGGTTCACTATATCCTGACAGCAGTACATGAGACAGATAATCTGTGGAACAAATCAGGTTCTTCTGGCTCCTCCTAGTGCTCCTAATAGTATTTTAAAGAATCCACCATGTCTGAATGAGAACAACCAATAAGAGGAAAGACAGATAATTGATTGTTGAGTCTTATTTCCAGGCTACAATATGCTTTAATGATTGATTGTTTAGTCTCCTTTGAATGAAACTCAACAGTCAACTGTTTTCTCTATGTGTTTTTTATTCAGGCGCAGTGGATTCATACAAATGTCATTGAGGAGGAGCTAGTTTCACAGATGTTATGTCTCATGTATTACAGTCAGGATATAGTGAAAGCAAATATTACAAAAGGTTATTTTTTATAAAAGTTACGTGCTGCAGTTTTAAGGATTCATCAGGTGCTGAATGAGACTGTGTGTAATTTCTGACAGTCAATAGAGTGAATAGAGAATCACAGCTACACAGCAACATGCAGACACAAAGGGTTGGACAGTTTATATATCTGTTGGTCAATTAAATTTGTGAGTGCATACTGTCTCTCTCTCGATTTAAAATGCACATTTTGTTGTATTGACATGTGTAATGTAGAAGCAGGTTTACAATAACTCAGAAAATAAACAATGAATGGTTGTGTTGCTTGTAGCTTCTACTATATAGAAAGGAAAACAAATAGTTACAAATAAATCACTGGAAAATAAAAAATACAACTATAGCCTGAATAAAATGAAAATAATTAACAAATATGAGGGAAATAAATAAATGTAATGTCTCTCCGTCTGGGTCTTGCTTACTCACACGCATGCAGGCGGCCTGTGGTGTTTGGTTTCTATGAATTACTGTAATAAAGAGCTCAGTTTGACAGAATACATGTACTATATATGAATTATTGCACAGAAAATGTGTAATTTGTCATGTTTCAGCTACATCAGAATGTCTTTTATTCATGGAGTTGATGATGGTCACTCCTTTTCAGATACATGTCTAGCCTTTTTTGACTAGGGTGGCACAAGTAGGGCACTGACGCATACAGGGATGACAGTAAGTATGTGTCTCAGTCATTCCCAATTTATACAACTCCAATATTGTTCAGGCACCCATTCAAAACTGCATGGGATAAGTATAAAGTGGACATGTCTGCTAAAGAGTGACTCATGGGTCAGATATCTTGAGATCAGTGGTAAAGGATCCCCACCGCTAAAATGTAGCCTAACTTTGGAGTGTTATTTAGCCCCCTTTCCCGAAATGCTAGCTTTAAAACTGAGCCCACAATAGCCTCTATTAAAGACAGTGCTAGTGGAAGAGGTAAGGATAATGGGGTGGCACTTAGGGTGGTCAGGGCAAGATTCCCAGTGACCCCAAAAACCAACATGTTCACCGCATGTCGCCGGGTTTTGGGTAATATATTTGTTGTGTCCCGTGTGAAAATGGGGTTTTAAGACATTCATTATTTTAGATAATTTGTCAATAGGCACATTTTATTCCCAGAGTCTCCTCATAGATTAATCCGGCCATGAATCCTTTAAATTGAATAGATATTTCAGGTTGTGTTTGAGGTCCTAATAAGAAACTGACATAGAGGTTTCACATTTGTGCTGCACCAACATACTTTACGCTGTATATCAGGTAACTGACGAATGCTCAGACATGTTGAAAAAAAGATAAAAGAGCAATATAGGGACCTGGTGACTGATAACCCAGCACATACCCTGATTTAAGAAGTATTAAAGGAAGTGAGCACTCACACACGCACGCACACACGCACACACAGATCAAAACAGACCACTGGACCTCAGGGGTCGGGCCATTATCAAGCAGTCGCTGCCTCCCTTTGCTATACTTCAGACTAGAAGGCTGTCCCATTGATCTCTGCTCTAATCCATAGCTGTGACAGGTGATCGATGAGTCAGGTCATCTCAATAACGGCGACCCCTCAGGCCCGCCTTCAAGTCCAACAAAGCAGACAGGTAGGACACAGCCAGCAGAGGAAAGGCAAGGACATCGAGGACACCAGAAAACAAAAATCTCTTTTATTTCTATTAAACTGTGATTGTGCATGTGTGTGTGTATGTTTTGGTTTGCTGCTGGCCTCTGTGTTACACACTCTTACAGCACATTGTTTATTGCAAGATGTTGCATCATACACAGCCTACTGCCAGGCCTGAGTGAGTCCCAGTTGGGCACAATGAGTGACGATGCATATTGATCTGGTCCATGTGGAGGAAGGTACGCTAATAATTCCAGGTTGAAAAGTAGCTGTAAATATTTGATTAACACCAAAAACGTACATTAATTACAATTACATCTCCGTCACCCTCGTTGTTTTGTGTTTCAGGATCAGTGGTTGTTGTTGTTGGGTGTTGATGTGTGGAAGGGAATGATCCTGAGTCAAGGTGGTAAATGTTAAAGCAATAAGGGCAATACTGTAATTTAAGTCACTCTGATTAAAGTCACATACTAAATATGACTAGTGTAATCCAAATATGCAAAGTAATTCATCATTAGTGTGATTAATGGAGGGCTGAGTAACTCCAATCTGTCCTTTCTTTGGTAACAGACTTGTCCGTTAACCCTTTGTGTGTGTTTTACAGCCACCAGCTTGCAACCTGTAAACGGGCAAGAATACCAAGGGAGCAGTACAAATGCAGATTAAGGCAGGCAGGAATTGACTGATGTGCTTTAAGTGTGGAAGCAGCTCAATAATGACCTCAGTAAAAAAAAAAAAAACAGGTAACAGAAAAGTGTGCTGCTGCTGCTGCAATTAAACAAGCTGCTTGATTTCCTTGTCAGAATAACTATCATCTAGATAAAGCCAATAACTCATAGTGGCTGTCTGAGAACATTTGCTTGTTGCAGAATAGCATTAAAAAAAAAAAAAAGCTTAATAGTTCTGTGGGGTGAGATGAGTCACACATATGCACAAATATCCATGCAAACACATAGACACACATGCACAGTGTCCTCTGCTGGAGAAACACAGTAACTCACTCCACATCCATTTGGAAACGGATGTGGAAAAAGTGACTGTGTCAGCACACGAGGGCATTTCAATCAGCACGTTTGATTTTTACTGCTTTAGTTTCCTATTATGCGGCGTCACACGGAGGAGCTAAACGTATTAGTATATACGTATTATGTGCCCCCCCCCCCCCCCTTTGATATGAGATAAGAGCATATCGCCAGGTGGTTGTTGACTCCGCTGACATTTTTGGGGGGAAGAAAATACCTGAGCCAGTCATGCAGCATGTTATTGTCAGTTGCATGTCAGC